CTTTACGCAAAAGACTATAGTCTTTGCATTTTTATTACTTTTTACGCAAAAGACTATAGTCTTTAACTTTTATTCACTTTTTACGCAAAAGACTATAGTCTCTTTAGATTTACACTTTTTTACGCAAAAGACTATAGTCTTTGAATTTTTACACACTTTTACGCAAAAAATATAGTGTTTGCATTTTCACACTTTTAAGCGAAAGACTATAGTCTTTGCATTTTTTATATTTTCATTGGATAATCTTGACGAGCATTGTTATTGGTGAGCTCAGTTCTGATTGGCTAAAGTATAAAATGGGTTACCCAGTTGAATGAGATGGTAGTCTGTCTGACTAGTGCTATTTCCACAACTTTTTTTGGAAAGAGAAATCACTAAAAATAAGAAAAAAGTTTTCTGTTTTCATCCCAGGCAAATAAACTTGTTGCGGATTAAGTACAAACAATTGTTTTTTATTGGGCTCATAGGAATTCCCTTATATTTTCTTTGAACATAATGATGAACCAGTATCTTCACAAGTGATGTAAAGTGGATATATTTCATAGGAGTGGATCTTCTTAATTGTTTATATAATGTTAGATGTCTTCTTCAATGAATATGTAACTAACCTGGGGCCAATTGTATAAAGCTCTCAACTACTTTTTTTACACTTTCTACTAAAGTCAAACAACTAACACTAGGTAATTAAAGTTAACTATGCTATGGACCATCGTTAATTTTTCAAAATACAGTTAAATGTGTGACTTATGTCTTTATAAACACATTTCTTTCAACGATTTTACTCAGCTGTTAGAGAAATGAAACGATCTTTTCCTTTGTTACCCATAATCTTTCAGTTTTAAATGCTGTAAAAGCAAGGCCATTCAAAAATTTAAATCCTTGCACATAGAACATAATATGAATAAATTCAAGAAGTGTGCACATTGTTTCATTTTGACTAAGTCATTATACATAAATAAAATAAAGCAGTCCTTGCCGTGGCACGTGTGATTAATCAACATCGTACTCACTGTACAACACAGAGGATAAGGTCAATTTCTAGAGAAAAATCCAAATTATATGTGATATGCATCGAACTATAAAATTGAAAAATTTATCATAAATGAGTTAAAATTTCGAAAACATGGCGGAAAAAAGAGCTGGTGAAAATGTGAAAGACATTATATCTGTTTTTAAGGTTTTAGCCAACACGGACCGAAGTGTATTACCAAATGAGCGTATTTATTATGAGTTGAAAAGCAGTTTTGAAGAGTTGCTGCTCTTGAACTTGTTTCTGTTGCGGCGTAAACTCGAAAATGATTTCAAAGATGTAAAATCTTTCTCGAAAATGACGAAAATTGTAAACTTCGTTTTTGCCCAAAATATCGAGTCAGGAACTAATGGAACTAATGTACGATGGATATTTAGTGAAGTTTGTTTGGAAGCATTATACTTGTTAAGAAGTATTTTACACAATACAAATAGCTCACGAAGTATTTCCATGGATTTAAGCATTGGTGATCAACAAATTGTTAAAACTGTAATTCAGCTGATTACTGTGTTGAAAGTATATCCAAACCTTGTCGATGGAGTTGGAGTAGCTATGGAAATGCGAAGTGAATTTGCCCATTCGTTGAAGGCAGAAGAAAAAAAAAGTGTATGCTCGAAATGTCTGCATAAATGTGTATCAACTTTGATTGACTGCTTGAATGAGCCTAGCTTGAGTGTGGTCATCTTATCAAAACATTTGTGTGATATTTTAACTTCACTTATGCAACTTGGATATTGTAAGGAAAGTATACAAGATCATTCAAAACAGATGCAAACTTCATTTTCAAGTTCCAGTGCTTCATTAGACATGGACAATGAAAATAAATGTAATGTTAACAATAAAGAAAAGATAGAAGATGTTACCAAGACAGATAGTAATAAGGTCAATGGCATCTTAGTTACAAGCTCTTGTTGTAGTAATGAAAATCTAACACTTTGTGGTGAAAGTGACGCTTCCATTACTTTCTCAGTATGTGAAGGTGGTTTATCTATTTCAAAAATTCAACAGAAGATGTGTCAAAAGTCTTTGAACAAAATTGTTGATAAAATGTATCAACCATTGATTGTACGTGAGTTGTTATTTCTGCAAGGAAGTATGTTGAAGAAATCTCATGGAAAAAAGACAGAAACACCAAAATGGATGAAGAACATCTGTGGTCATTTATTGTCAAGGTGCTTGATGAAGAAAAATGGTGTTCTTAATGTTTTAACAGCTGTTTTTGAAGGAGTTTCAGGTCTGTAATGAAAATAGCATTTTTTTCAGTTTATCACATTGTTACTAATGCTGAATTTTGATTGAACAAAAGATGGTCCAAGATAAGAAAATGTGTTACTTCAAATTAAATAATTAGCCAAAACAAGATATTTAATGGCTTGGCCAAAAAAATCAAGAAACTTCCATTGAATGAAGTTTGTTATATTTATGTTAGGTTTGCCAAGTGAATGGAAAATTTGTGAAATGATCAGTGAAGTTATATCCAATTGCCCATTACAAATAAAAACTATCAAGGAATATTACTGGAGCATTTCATATCAGGCATTTATAAGTTAAATATATTTATGAAACATATGAATTGAAAAGGTGGGGATTGTCATCATCATTAATAATCTTGATTTAAATCTCTGCATTTTTAGCTTTTGCCTCTGCTTCATTTACCCTCATCAAAACTGCAGTATCGATATTGCCAGGCTGTTGTTATGACTATTCATGCTATGCTTCGAAAGCATCCAGAAATTGCTACAAAATGTCTCACAGAGCCTCTTGCAAAACCTTTTTTTCTTGCCTGTCAAGAACAGGAGTGTGTTAATGGAGGTAAAATAAAAAGAGCTTTTTCATTACTAGTTTTAATGACCCTGGAAATAAATTGTTAGGTGAGTGATGATTTGGGAGAAATGTAGGAATATAAGTAGTTAAGAAAACATTATCGTCATTTGATTCTAATGTCACTTCTTGTACTCCATAATCATGTTGTTTGATTACAATGAATATTAGATTAACATTTGAAGACAAGTTTTGACTTATGATTATCTTATTGTATAGATTCAAGCAAAGGAAACATTTTACTGGATGAAACTCAAATAACACAATCTATTGAAGGATTACATAAGGTAAGAATGCAGTGCAAAATGTTCACTGACATGTTTTTACATTTTTGACAGGTTTCATTAAAGCAAAGAATTCTATAACTATTTTCAAAGGTGTTTGTTGCAACAACAGAGTGCTGTGCAATCATGAATCAAACTCTAAGTGAAATAATTATTCCAGTCTTTGAGCTGTTCTGTTTTGTCAAACAATCTGTTTCTTATATCAAGTAAGGAAATTAACTATTAAAAGTATTGTTTTTGAACTCCTTAGATTGAAAATAATGACATAGAAACTGTGCTCACATATTTTGTGTCAGCGTAGGTAGTGATAAATGAACAACAGAGAACGAAAATAGCCTTTATTCTTCTTAAAATATAAACTAAGGTAACGGTGTTTTACCTTCTCCTGTTTTCAACTTTTTTAAAGAATGACGTAATATCCGGTACATTAACGACTTGTTGTTTGCGTTGTTCCTTCTTCGTCTGTCGCGCTGCTCGGCCGTGACTTGACGATGACAAGGAACACAAAGTGTCCTGTAGTTCTCCAGATCACACTCTCCACCCCCGTCTACCACTGCAAGTACATGATCAGCTTCCCATAACTGAATTTTAAAACATAACTTGTTAAAGTATGCATGTAGATGAATGAAAAACAAAGAATGAGAACTTTGCACTATCTAAAATATAAACTAAGATAACGCATGTCAGTGTAGGTAGTGATGAATGAACAACAGAGAACGAGAACAATCTTTACATTACCTAAAATATAAACTGAGATAACGTGTGTCAGTGTAGGTAGTGATGAATGAATAGCAGAGAATAAGAACAGTCTTTACATTACCTAAAATATAAACTAAGATAACATGTGTTAGTGTAGGTAGTGATGAATGAACAACAGAGAATGAGAACAGTTTTTAAACTACCTAAAATATAAACTAAGATAACGCATGTCAGTGTAGGTAGTGATGAATGAATAACAGAGAACGAGAACAGTCTTTACACTATCTAAAATATAAACTAAGATAACGTGTGTCAGTGTAGGTAGTGATGAACAACAGAGAACGAGAACAGTCTTTACACTATCTATAATATAAACTAAGATAACGTGTGTCAGTGTAGGTAGTGATGAATGAACAAAAGAGAATGAGAACTGTCTTTACATTACCTAAAATATAAACTAAGATAACGTGTGTTAGTGTAGGTAGTGATGAATGAACAACAGAGAATGAAAACAGTTTTTAAACTACCTAAAATATAAACTAAGATAACGTGTGTCAGTGTAGGTAGTGATGAATGAACAACAGAGAATGAGAACAGTTTTTAAACTACCTAAAATATAAACTAAGATAACGCATGTCAGTGTAGGTAGTGATGAATGAATAACAGAGAACGAGAACAGTCTTTACACTATCTAAAATATAAACTAAGATAACGTGTGTCAGTGTAGGTAGTGATGAACAACAGAGAACGAGAACAGTCTTTACACTATCTATAATATAAACTAAGATAACGTGTGTCAGTGTAGGTAGTGATGAATGAACAAAAGAGAATGAGAACTGTCTTTACATTACCTAAAATATAAACTAAGATAACGTGTGTTAGTGTAGGTAGTGATGAATGAACAACAGAGAATGAAAACAGTTTTTAAACTACCTAAAATATAAACTAACGTGTGTCAGTGTAGGTAGTGATGAATGAACAACAGAGAACGAGAACAGTCTTTACACTATCTATAATATAAACTAAGATAACGTGTGTCAGTGTAGGTAGTGATGAATGAACAACAGAGAATGAGAACAGTATTTACACTATCTAAAATATAAACTAAGATAACGTGTGTCAGTGTAGGTAGTGATGAATGAACAACAGAGAATGAGAGCAGTCTTTACACTGTCTAAAATATAAACTAAGATAACGTGTGTCAGTGTAGGTAGTGATGAACAACAGAGAACGAGAACAGTCTTTACACTATCTATAATATAAACTAAGATAACGTGTGTCAGTGTAGGTAGTGATGAATGAACAAAAGAGAATGAGAACTGTCTTTACATTACCTAAAATATAAACTAAGATAACGTGTGTTAGTGTAGGTAGTGATGAATGAACAACAGAGAATGAGAACAGTCTTTACACTATCTAAAATATAAACTAAGATAACGTGTGTCAGTGTAGGTAGTGATGAATGAACAACAGAGAACGAGAACAGTCTTTACACTATCTATAATATAAACTAAGATAACGTGTGTCAGTGTAGGTAGTGATGAATGAACAACAGAGAATGAGAACAGTCTTTACACTATCTAAAATATAAACTAAGATAACGTGTGTCAGTGTAGGTAGTGATGAATGAACAACAGAGAATGAGAGCAGTCTTTACACTGTCTAAAATATAAACTAAGATAACGTGTGTCAGTGTAGGTAGTGATGAATGAACAACCGAGAATGAGAACAGTATTTACACTATCTAAAATATAAACTAAGATAACGTGTGTCAGTGTAGGTAGTGATGAATGAACAACAGAGAATGAGAACAGTATTTACACTATCTAAAATATAAACTAAGATAACGTGTGTCAGTGTAGGTAGTGATGAATGAACAACAGAGAATGAGAACAGTATTTACACTATCTAAAATATAAACTAAGATAACATGTGTCAGTGTAGGTAGTGATGAATGAACAACAGAGAAAGAGAACAATCTTTACACTGTCTAAAACATAAAGAACGTGAAAAGCGTATATAGCATGGCCACTATAGCCTATGTAGTTGCAAAAGAACTGTTAAAAGAAGAATATAAAGTATTATATTCTATTTTATAGAACTGCTTTATTGGAAATCCTTTCAACATTTTTCAAACGAACTGACAAGAAGACTTCGTTGTTATCACTTTATATGTTTATTTGTAAGGAACCACCAAGTGTCACAATGCAAACATTTCTCTTCAATTTTACACACTTATCAATGGAGGAAGTGAACAAATCGACAGACGGTCATCCACCTTCGGAAAATTACGGAGATTATTCGGATATAACGATAGCACCTAGTGAAGTGATTGAAACAAAAATGCTTTTTATGCGGAAAGATCGTACCTTTGTTTATGGTGAAAATGGTGGTGTTATACTTATTAAAATAAATCCTGTAAATGAAGAAACTGTAGATGATATTTATGAGGAACTTCTTGGAAAAGGAGAGAAACGCATTGAGATGCGTGCTCTGTGTTTGGTCGAAATACTCCAAACTCTACGAAATGACGTAATTCCTGGAAATTTCTTCCTGTTTCTTCTTCAGCAAGTACAAGAAATAATTTTTGATTCACATTTCTACGAAAGAGATAAAAAGAAAGTCCTTCTCATTTTTCACGTTTTGGCAGTGATGTGTGAGAAACTTGGACCATCTGTGCTAAAAAACACAACCCAAATGATTCAATTTATTGGCACGACCCTTACACGTGCACATCGTGTGTCTATGGAACGTCATGAAGATGTGATGTTTGAAATGGAGACATTAAGCATGTCTCTTGGTATGCTATCTGCATTACTAAGTGGAGCTGTGAAGGTTAATAGGATGGCTTTCCTTTGTCCGATTTTATTAAAATATTGATCAATTCTAATGCGACATACTCCTGCATATGCATTATCAGATGTGTTTTTTTTCTCAGATTGAAGATGCTGACTACGCCAAACTGGAGAAACTGACTCCGATTTTACGTAATATTTCTGAAAGTTATGGTGACCATGAAGTATCAGAACAAGCGAACGATTTGCTTGTGTTTATACTCACTAAAACGACAATTCTTTCCGAAAAGAACAAAAAGATAGAGTCAAACAACTTGGAAAATGGCCAAGGATCTAAGAGAAATGAAATAGATGGCACAGGTAGATCATGGTGTACAATTTAGAAATAGCACGAAGCTTGTTCATGAATTGTTAATATTAATGTACGAATGTTGCAGATTTCGATACAGCCTTCAAGCAGCTTTGTGATCCATTGCTGCCTGTTCGTGGGCATGCAATCATACGCCTTGCTGCTCTTATTAAATCTGGCGATAAAAAAGCATTAGGGAATATCGACATTTTGGTGAAGACATTTCGTGATAACCTTGTCCACGAAGATAGTTATATCTACCTTGCAGCCATCGAGGGCCTGGTTGCTGCTGCTGACGTAAGAATGGATGACGTCATAACATATCTTGTTACGGAGTTGACGAACAGTGTACATGTGAATATGGTTTGCAGAAGAGATTGTACACAACTAAATAAAGGTAACATTGTCTTAGTCCATGCGATCTTAGCATTTATGCTTTTCAGTTCTCATCTGCTGGGTAAAACATGGAGTTTTGTTGATTATTGACGACGTTTATGACATCTCATGTTTTAAGGCAGGGAAAACAAGGAAGAAGTCATTCAAAGATCTTCGAACATTCGTCTAAAGCTTGGTGAAGCATTGCTTCGTGTTGTTAAATGTTGCGGCTATCTTGCTCCCAAATATTTCCACATGTTGATACACGTATATCTTGTTGGTGTTCGAGACGAAGATAGTTTGATTCGAGCAAGTAGTTTATCAAATCTTGGAGAGATTTGTCAACTGTCTCCTCATATGGTGTCTAACGTTATTGAAGAAGTATGTAGCTGGGTTGGTAATGTAAAGCTACGTTTCAAATCATCATTGGTTAACACATTTAGAACTTAGCAGACACGTGACAAGTGAGAGACATTAGCCTTAATATAGTCAAGTATTACTTTAATATTTTAATGAGTTTGCAAGCAATTTTTTATCTGTTATTACAAACATATTAGTGATGTTATTTTATGAGGATTTGTTCTTGTGCTAATGATTATTTCATCAATTTAGATACTTCATTGTCTTCACGCTGTTTTGAAGTCAGATCATGCGTGTGAAGTACGCCAAGCTGGTGTATTTGTTATCACTCTACTTTTCAAGGGATTAAAATCTGACGTAATAACAGTGAGTAAAATCGCTATTTGCGAGTGAGTTCATTTGGTCTGCACCATGATTTGCTTACAAACGTGATAAGATTAATTTTAGTAGCAATACATAACAGTTGATAGAATAATCAATGTTAGTTAAGAATCAATCTGTGATTATTTATAATGGAACACCCAACGAATATGAAGAAGATTTAATTAGATAAATGAAACAGAAACGATGAAGACCAATGGTCTTTTTATACTGTACTTGATTTTCCTTCGATTGAGTTGCAAACCTTGATGATAAAGGTTGACAGGTTTCCTTTAGAAACGATCAATAAGAAATGATTTATTTCAAATCTCCTTTCTAGATGAATGAAGCATGAATTAACTATTTTTAGGAATTGTCTGACCAAATCAAATCTGTTTATCGCCTTTTGAAATGGGTGATATCCGCTGATGGTGATATGACAACGCGTACTCACGCACAGGTAGCCCTAGGTGTGCTGGATAATATTATGAAGGATCAGCTTTTTCCAGAACAGAAGTATATGAAGAAAATTCGCATTTGAAAGTCATGTTTTACGCCTGGTGAAGGAGACATATTTACAATTCAAGATATCATGAACTGTTATTAAACCAGTCATTAGACTTTGTTATTAGAAACCCCACGTAAATGTGTGTTTGCTGTAACAAGTCAAAGCTAAATTTATGATTTATTTTTGCGACTTGCAGATCAGCGATTTTTTTACATTCTCAAAATGCAGCCAGATTTTTTCATTTTTGCAGGTCGCGCCAGTCTTTTTGTAAAAAATTTCAAAAAATAGTATTTTTATATTTGTAAAATTTTGAAAGTAAACGTTGCGGTACTTTTTCAAAATGCCATCGAATTTGAAGATGTTAGTCAAAATTATAGAATGTCCAAAAAATCGGCCAAAAGTCATGGCGTTGCAGAGAAATTTTGACGCTAAGACGAAAATCACGAAAAGTCCGCGCGATGTTTGTTGCTTTTTCAAAGTTTTTGAAAGTTCCAGGCATATGCGAACGTTCAAACCACCTAAATATTGTAGTTCCATGTTAATTACACAAGCCTAGGAGGTTTCGTAAAAATTGAGCAATTTCCCAAAGAGAAAAATGTGTTTTTTAGAAGCATTTTCCATGTCATGAAAATACACATACTACAAATATCATAAAGGTCGCTGTCATAAAGAAAAGTGAAAGATCCTCGCGATAAGGAAATCGTTAGTATTCGTTGTTGAGCTTCTCGCTCGACAGGCTCTGTCTGACCCAGTGTTGCTAGATGAAATTTTAAAATATTCATTCTCGCTTGCGTCAAAAGTTCATAAAAATGGCCAAAGCTCATACTACATCTAATTTTTAAGATCGGAAGTTGACGTAAAGCCTCGGACGAACTTGGACATTTTCGGAGTACCTCGGAAATTGTCGAAAACTCTCGGAATTACTCGGAAATTACCGGAAAACATCAGATTACCTTGAAAATTGTCGTTGTCTTGAAACAATTGTCAAGCTATGAGTATGACCCTTTCATTGACCTATGATTTATCTACTTTCTTTAAAAAATATGATGAAAATACAAAAATTCATAAAATTTTGAAAAGTTTACAAAAAGTTCACAAACTTTTAATGTTCATGAAATGTTCATGAAGAAAGCAAAAAGTTCACAAATCTGTGAACTTTGTTCCCCCTGTTTCCTGACTATTAAAAAATGACTTCCTTCAGGATGTCATAAAAGAATTTGATCAAAAGACTTAGTTTTTTAGTGCAAAATTTTTGCAATTTTTTCTTTGTGATTTCTTTCTGAAAATATATATGTGTCACATTCCATTCTCGAAAAACAAACAATAGAAGTGCCATTTGTACACCTTGTGTACACTATTATCCAACCTTACTTTGCTCTTACCTCATGGTACACACTCAACCAGTGAGTGTGTTGGAAACAGATGAAAAATTTTGTACATTTACGATAACAGATGCTTGAAGTATAATAAAAAATTATTTTGTAAAGTGACAATCAAGGAAACAAACCACACATTTGTAGCATCGACCTTCGACATTTTCACAACAACATCAGAGATAAAAGCATTTCATTGTAGGACATCATCATTTGTCAGTCTGGTCAGCATTCTCATTGACACCCTCACATCTTGAAGCATAGATAAGGAAGTTGGATAAATCTTCAGGCTTAGGTTTAGGCAAATAGAAACTTTTTTCTAACACATCAGAGAAAGAAAAGAAATTGAGTTCTTTCACAAGTTCATGATTTGTTTGATTTGTCAATAATCCATAATTCACTATAGATGATTTTTGTAGCATTGGAGGAAATACTGATGCTGTATGGTAGTCAAGATTGTAACCAGAAGGCAAACCATAATCTCGATGCATGATTCGAAATTCTTCCTTTGCTTTTTCAACATTCCATAACAAAAAGCATGGCATATTTATGGCTATTTTCAAAGCACGTTCATTTGTAGTACCCAAGTGTTCACACACAAAATTTAAATTCTCTTCAATTTTAAACACGTGACTCCTAAGTTTAGGTTGACATTTATACAGGAAATAAACAAGTTTTGTAGATCCATCTGAAGCTTCTCCACAAGGAATTAAACCACGTACATAATACGCCACAAACCCCTCGTCAGCAAAACATAACATTAGGACGGGTGGTTGACGTTCAATGGATTTCCTTTTTTGAACATGTTCCCACCCTGTTTCATCCATAAAATGAACGCGTTGTTTCAAAAGCTCTACACGATAATGCAAAAAGAATGGTTGCTTCTTCCGTACCATCTTATAATCTATGTCGTCACAACGATTGCCCAAAAGTTCCGCGCAAAAAGTAGTCGGGAAATCTTCGACAAAGTTTTTATGTCGTGCAAGTTTAATTTCTTTCATCATAACTTCCAAATCGGTTTTCTTACCAAATGTAAGCTTTCGAGGTCCCAAACTGATCATTCGTGTTGTAAATGATGTTTTAAAGAACATTGAAGACACTGGATGTGTTATACATTGCTTAGTGGAGAATGAAATCCTCTTAGAAAGTTTAGCCAACTTCACAAAGTTGAGGTAGCGAGTCGCCATGTTGAATTTACGGATTAAGATTAAGATTAATCAGCCAATAAGATAATAGTAATCTTCCCGACGAGCGACAGGGAAGACAAGCAAAAGTACGATTTCTGATATTTTCAATATTTTTTACTTTGTCCTATTTTTTGCCATTTTGTTGAAAATTTCGTGTATCATTTCCATTCCTCCAATCATTTCGATCACCGTGATTATAATTAAACCGACCATAATAGCTGTTAGAGCGAAATCCGTTCGAATTAAATCTTCCAACATTTGAGATATTCCTTGTACGAGCAATAAGCTCAGGCAATTCCTTTGCCTTTTCTATGGTAATACCCCTTGGCTTCGTCCAAGACGCCTAAGATATGAACCATATAATAAGGCATTTACATACAATGATGTTTGATAAGTACATAACATTATGTAATGACGTTAGAAGAAAAGATTTATTAACTTACTTCAATTTCATCATCAAAACTACTTGGTACATCGAAGACAACCCCCTTAAAGAAAAAAAAACACGTATGTTTTACTGTATGAAGCATAATTATCACAAGTAAGAGCTGTGATGATTTACGAATAACCAAAACAAGAGAAAAACACCATGACCATAACTCTGGCTATGGTGAATGACCAAGAGAGAACAAAACACCATGACCATAACTCTGGCTATGGTGAATGACCAAGAGAGAACAAAACACCATGACCATAACTCTGGCTATGGTGAATGACCAGAGAGAACAAAACACCATGACCATAACTCTGGCTATGGTGAATGACCAAGAGAGAACAAAACACCATGACCATAACTCTGGCTATGGTGAATGACCAAGAGAGAATAAAACTCCATGACCATAACTCTAGCTATGGTGAATGACCAAGAGAGAACAAAACACCATGACCATAACTCTGGCTATGGTGAATAACCAAGAGAGAACAAAACACCATGACCATAACTCTGGCTATGGTGAATAACCAAGAGAGAACAAAACACCATGACCATAACTCTGGCTATGGTGAATAACCAAGAGAGAACAAAACACCATGACCATAACTCTGGCTATGGTGAATGACCAAGAGAGAACAAAACACCATGAACATAACTCTGGCTATGGTGAATAACCAAGAAAAAAAAAGCACCATGTCCTGAACATTAAAGTAGACAGCAAAAAGTGGACAAAAACAACGATTAACTAACATATCGGTCAAGCAACATTGACATTCCCTTTACTTCTGCCTTGATTTTCGATGATAAATTATTTTCGATAACTCGCCACATGTAAGATGTAGACCTCAACTCCATTTTTTCTTGTTTCAATATATATGTCGTGTAACCCTGTCAATAAAAATGACATTTTTAACTAGAAATACAATTATCACATTAAAAGATAAGTTACTTCAAAAACTGCCTTCGCTAACAGGTTCTACCTTTACCCTTTTTCACAACAGAGAAAAGCACTGGTCAGACAAGAGTAAGAACAAATTCATAGGATAACCTACCTTCTCTGAACACAATAAAGAACGAGATTGTACTTCAGTTGTTCCAGAAATATGAGCCAACGCAGCAGCTACTGCATCCACAGCACCACGTTCCACAATCAATGCTTCAGCAGCCTCTCGGAAAAATACGAGAGCGTCTCTAGGGACCTGGGCAAGAAACCTAAAGTGAAAATTCACTTTAATGCAAATAGGTAACTCAAGTTGAGCACGTTCAAGATATATCGTAAAAGTTCATACGAAATTTCACAAATTATTTTCTCAAATACTGGACAAAGTAATTACCACATTGTTATCCATAAAACATAGAATTAAAAAAAGTTTTGGCATGAACTTATTTACGTAGTTAGATGATTGTGTGAGTTTTAAATAATCCTTTGCTACATAATTTTATTATAACATCTCTCACCTTTTAGCATCCTCCGCTGATGATTTAATTATATCTTCAGGTTGAGGGGCACCAATCCTTGTAAATTTAATTCCCTATATACATACATACAGTGAAAATCATTGAAGGCTTTTGCAAAATATTTAACTAAAGACTTTTGAAGGAGAATGTAATAATTCATTTTCATTGCAACTGATAAAGCATTGTTCAGTATATGACTGTTGAATATTGAAAAGAACTTTTCCAGTTGTCAACCCATGTTACATTACGTATACATCGCAGTTCTGTATTGCACATTAAAGTCCGTTTATGTAGAATAGAAACATATCATATTCATCACAACATACAAATACGTCTCTGTAAATGTGATCAAGAAACAACATACATCGAAGATTTTAAGCCTTGCTTTAAACCCAGCTATCTCTGTAAAAGATTCAGAAGCTGCACTCTGACAAAAAAAAGCCCATCAAATTTAAGATGGCTGCAGCAAAATACTTACTGCTTTATGTTCAACCATTTGTAATAGGCCTTCTTGATTATGTTTGTAAAAGATGATACACACACCCCTTCGCTGTGCACGTCCTGTTCTTCCTGAACGGTGTATGTATGCATCAACATCCTAAATATATGAATAAATATCATCATATGGTCAGAAATGCAAAACTGATTACTGATTAATGGTCATAAAAGTGTAAGGACAGAACAGAGCGTCACCTCACCATAGATTTATGTATCACAAATCACAAACCTTAGGTGGTTCACATTGCACAACTAAATCCACTTCAGGAATATCTAAACCACGAGCTGCAACGTCTGTTGCAACGAGACACCGAAACTTGCCCTCACGAAATCCCTAAAAATAATCATAATCAGGTTTAGAAATATTTGTCATCTCACAAAAATCTATAACTCCGGTCATCAAAGTACTTTTAACGTAAGTTCTCTTTGTTTTTGCTGGATGTCGCCATGTAGTACTTGTGCTTCCTACAAAGGACAAGTTGAAATTGAATATTCATCTATATAACGGTAAATACTTTTTGGAATTTTATCCACAATTAATTTAAGCCAAGATTTAATTCTTGTTTTCACTAAATTCTCAATACAAGATATGCTTCATTTTCAACTTTTATAAACGATCCAATGTCAGTTTATTTAATCAATCAGATAAAAATGATTAGTTACCTGTTTCAATATTGAATCCAATACAAGTTCATTAGCTTCTTTTTTGGTTTGAGTAAAAACAATTGTCCTACCGTGTGCACCACAATAAACCTACAAAAATGACCAACAAAATATTGCATATGACAAATGGCATCACGAGGAAAGGAACAATTCCCTTCATACTGTGTGATGATCAAAATCATTAATAGAAGGACAATTTTCTTTAAGGAAGAGTAACAATCACCTGAATAACATCACCAATTGTTGACGCTCTTTCATGATAAGGACATTTTATTGCTTTGTGCTGGAAAAGAATGTATGAAAAATTATTTACAAAAAGGTTACTGAAAACACTTCAGGCATTATACAATACACATTTAGCATCCTTGTTTCAAAAACAATTTTCATACAATGTAAGACACTAACTTCAACTGTGATTGCTGCCTGTTGTTTTTCATTTCCAATAACATCGATGAGATGGCGATCTTTGGTCATATATTTTCTTGCAGTAGTTTGTACCCAAGGTGGAAGGGTTGCTGAGAAAAACAACGTCTGAGGTTTTTGGGATGAATCTAAATAAATGAAATTATGTATATTTATACAAGTTCTAAAACAAAACAAGATGGGTTTATTCTGCGTGAAAATACCCGAAGTATATGAACCAGATAAAATCTCTTCAACAGAATCTTGAAAGCCCATGTCAAGCATTCGATCCACTTCATCCAGGATACAATGTCTACGACATTAAAAATAAAATCTATATCAGCCTGTCATATAAGTATAAAGACTGTTCTGCTTAGTACATACAAATTAATAAAACCCATTTTACTCACTTCAGTTTGCTCAAATCTAAGTTGCCTCTTTTCATATGGTCTAAGATTCTTCCAGGTGTACCAATAAGAATATCCAAGCCAGAATTAATGGCTGATTCTTAATTAAAAATAATAAATTCCTTGACTGAACATTCTTTCAACAAATTTTAATTGTTCTGAGTTCTCAATGGAAAACAACAAAGCAGTTGAAAATACACTCAATACTCATTTACATAATAATCAAGTTAATGAACATTTTTGTTTTCTTTTTATTACCTTGGGGAGCATAAGGCATTCCGCCATAAATACAGTGAACACAAAGAGATGATTTCAGTGCTTCAAATTCATCATTGACCTTGTGTGATGTAGAGCCATAAATAGAGGTCAACAATATGATAGGTACGTAGTAAGCAAGTTGAAATTTACCATAATGGTTAAGTTGGCAACAAAATATACATATTGAGAATATATTACCAAAGTAACAATAACTAAAAACTTTCACATAAGTATGAAATCCATAACAGCATTAACAATTTTTACATAAAATACTTCAAGTGTAGAAAATACTCAGATCAAACCTGTTTAGCAAGTTCTCTTGTAGGCACCATAACTAGTACCTACAAAAATACAAATCAACTAAGAAATTTACAGCATTGAAACTCAACTTAACAAATGAAACAAAAGAAAGCATTCAAACCATGGGTGGTCTTCGTTTTAATGATGATGTTTCACTTTGTTGAAGTAATTCAATGACAGGTAAGGCAAATGCAAGCTGTCATGGAGATAAAAATCTTAAGCATTAAACATACTTTAGAAAACAAATTCATAATTCATATTAAGAAAAACTTACAGTTTTTCCTGTACCAGTTCCTACCACAATGAAACAGAAAATATCTTTGTCACTGCACTATGATAATGCCTACACATTTGCAGTCATTTCACATATACTTACGTGCTTTGCCAATAACATCATGTCCATCATATATCAGATCATAAGTTTTTGCTTGAATAGGAAATAAAAACTTTATTCCACGTTCTAAAAATGTCAAAAAAAAATAATGGTATGAAAGGAGAGTCTGCATTGAATAAAAAAATACAATGAATCTATCAAGATGTACATAATAACTTTTATACATATTATTGCATGGTTTACCTTTTAACACCTTTCTTGTCTTTTTACTTATTCTAAATTTCTTTAACTTCCCTTCTTTTTCCGAAATGCCAACCTATTAGGAATATATAAAAAATGCAACCATACAAAACATTTAAATAATTTAAATTATCCAAGGTGTCATCATTTACAACTAAATTACTTCATCACATTACTTCTATTTCTTCTTTGCTTTTACATTTTACTTTCTTTGCTCTTTCTCCATCAATATCTTCTTCTGCTTTTCTTTTCTTAGATTCCTTCTTGTTCTATCATAACAAATAAAATAGTACTCATGATCTGTCACAATCTCAGACTTGAAAGTGCGTGAACTGCACACCAGAGATACAAAATTTACGTGTAAAAGCCTAGTTTTCTCAAAATTGCTAACATTTTATCTCTAGCTAACTTTCCAGTCTGGTCATAATGTCAACATCGCCACCACGTGTGTCAAAAAATTTGAAATGTTTTTGAAAAGCCTCCATATTTAACTGGTGATGAAACATAGTACTGATGACAATCTGTGGAATAAAAATGTTTGATTTTTACAGAGTACTATCATTTTTTGCTTACAAAATACTATTTCTTTCGACTTGTTATGTTTCATCAATATACACTATCTTTCTTTCAACTTCAAGTCTTTAACTTGTAAACCTCATCTATTAAAACAATTAAAACATAACACATACTTTGCGTTTATTCCCTTCCATTGATATCCCAAGGTTTGATTGTGTGGCAATACTTTGTTCTAATTTCATTTGAACGTTTCTCAAACACAAAAATATCGAAATTCTTTGCAAAGCCGGTATTTTGAACTCAGTCGACTCAGTCCTGTCGATTAACACGTGCTCCACGCAGAATCCCGCAAGTACCTCAAACTACAAGAAGTTACCCAAGATTTTTAAATAGTATGTAGGACTATGTAAGTTTTAGGGAATTCCTGTTTTGTCAGCATATGAAATGTCAAAGAGAATACCGAGATGACCAAGATCATCATTATAAAATTAAATAGTTATTTACATTATAAATCACTATACAATATCCACAAAGTTTATGGGCCAGCCACTTGGCACTTCTTCAACCCAAAAAGGTATTTTTGACAATTTTCATTGAAATCATTTTGCACAGAGACGCTGGGGCTTCAGTAGCCTACGATATGACAATATATCATTCCTATGAGATCTTCCTCGATCATTGGGATTTTGAAGATAATTCTTGAATGATCGTTTGTAAGTGCTTCTTATATACACTGTATCTGTAAGTGAAGAAAAATTGAAGTTTCAAGAAATCAAGGAGAAGTTGAATTTGTACAAAGAACATATAACATTTCAAACCCACAAAAAAAAAATATGTAGACCTTACTTTTTGATGCTAAACCACATATATTATGAACAGTTACATGTGGACAGAGGAGAAGTATACCTGTTTTTAATCTTCTGAAGCTCTCTCTCCTCCTCTTCATTAAATTTTACAATAAATGACTGCAACATTGGCATTGCAAATTGCAAATATTGTGCTACCTTAAAACACAATAGCAAGACATGTACATTCAAATAGAAACAATTTAATAGTATGCTAAAAATGAAAAAAATGACAAGTGTTCCAATCTTCCCCGGGATAAACAAAGATCAAAGGTAGACATGATATTGATGTTGACTTTACATTACGAGAGAAAATTTACAAATATTGTTTGTTAGCACAATACATTACTGTCAACTTGGGCAGTTGACAGTTTTGAAAGTTTGGCTGTGATGCAGAGTTCAAACAGAGATTTTTGATTTTATAAAGCACTCATCATATTCATTGTATGAGAAAAATGGTAGAGCCATGTCTCCAGTAATCACCAACACACAGCTATTGATTTTTAATGGAGACTGGAGGTTAAAAAAAATTGTTCTCCAAATGATACGATTCTATGACAAAGCCCTTCTTTCATCATCACAAACCTTCCTTTACCATCACAAACCTTCCTTCACCATCACAAACCTTCATTCACCATCACAAACCTTCCTTCATCATCACAAACCTTCTTTCATCATCACAAACCTCTTCCTTCATCACCACAAACCTTCCTTCATCATCACAAACCTTCCTTCATCATCACAAACCTTCCTTCATCATCACAAACCTTCCTTCATCATCACAAACCTTCCTTCACCATCACAAACCTTCCTTCATCATCACCACAAACCTTCCTTCATCATCACAAACCTTCCTTCACCATCACAAACCTTCCTTCATCATCACCACAAACCTTCCTTCACCATAACAACACATTTTATTTTAAAGTAAATGGTTTGAACCCAGGAGTATCGTTACATGTTTGTGGATGTAGATCATCCAGGTTAGTAGAGTCCTGAGAAGGACTGTTGGTGTTGTTGTTGATTGACGTTTCGACAACCTTAAGGTAGTCATCAAATGACTCTGACTACCTCTAAGGTTGTCAAAATGTCAGCCAACATTAACAACAACAGTCCTTCTCAGGACTCTACTAACCTGGATAATCTACATCCACAAACACCTAACATCTTCTTTTGTTATTTTGACTAGATAACATTTACTACAAACCTCTCGTCCGACAGTGTTTTCCTCCATGTCTTCCATGATGAAAATTTTTGCTATATCCTTATGAAAGAAAACAATGCTTTATCAAGTAAAAAAAATTATACTTGGTGATTAAGCAAACCTCGTTGTTTACCTCAGCAGGACCAAGACGAAGTCGAACCATCAAAGGACCATCTTTATTTCCAAGTCGCTTGATTTCTGAGAGATAAATGTTCATCTCAATATTTTATAGTTGAATAATTGAGATTTTAGGCCAAAATAGTTAACAAAGAAGTAAGAGTGTAGGTAGAGGAAATTATAATCACAAGAGCAAAATGTTATCTAAAATGTTTCACATGCAACAGTAGAAAACTGCACTGACATTGAAAAAAAGAACAACATATAGGAATCGAAGGTATGTACCTCCATTTTCATATTTCACAAACAATGAGAATTTATCGACAGGATCAGTTATCTAAAATAAATAATAATCATCACAACAGTTACACAATGCAAGATAATATTTATTAAGTTGCTGTATTTCTGCCTGTTATGCTCTATTATATTTATCATAGCACAAACAATGGTTTATATTAAATTATATTGAGTAGTTTAATATATGTTCTTGTTCACTATTGTTGATAAATACTTTGTACCTTAGATTTTATTTTAGGTACATAGTGTAGAGATAGTTTTGTTCTCTATTTTTTATTCATCACTGCCAAAACTGACATACGTAATCTTTTTTGAAGATTTTAACAAATCATTTTGTGTTATTTAATACCTGAAATTTTGTCAGAATCATTTTCACAACATCTGGTGTGCAAATCTTACTGGTCAATCTAAGATTAGTTGATGTTCCATAGGTTGGAATAAATCTTGTCGGCTGAAAATTAAAAAACTCAACACTGGAACAAATTCATTAACAAGTTATGTAATCATATGATTCACAAGTGCACAGCAATCAATAATTTGAATTTATGAACTTTATTTAAGCTGAATATTAAAGAATAAGTATCAGGGTCATGCTTTGCATGCTTAATGTTTATCTTTTCATATGGGACTTCCTTGCACTTAAGCAATCCGATGTGTATTCAATACAGGTTTTGTTTCGTTTATTGACTTATGTGATCATATTTATTAATAGGAAGCATTTATGGTTGATAGTTTGACTGTTGCTACAATAATCACGCTGTATTTATATGCTATACTTACGTACTTAAATCAAACATATTACAGCAGTCATTTTCGGGGTCCCTTAAAATTGTCATCCAAGTGCACAAAGCATTACCCTCATACTCATTCTTTAAAAAACTTAATTTCACCAACACTATACCACACAAAAGAGCTGCAGAAATGCAATTTTAATAGTTCAACACCAATGAAATATTTCTTGGATATTAGGGTTCATTTTCTAAGATACCAATCAATGAAAATTAAAATGAAGCTATAAACATTGCTTAGTATGCAAAAAAAACAAACCTGTAAAGACATTTTAGCCAACCTCTTTCTTCGATCTGTAGAGCTCACTGTGTGTCGACGAGCTAATTTTTCATCACATGGCTCAGAATTTGAAAGAGGCTTTGAAGGCATTCTTCCAAGAGTATAACTGACTTTTGCATCTCCAAGTGAGCTAGTATTTCTGTTCTGAAAATAGTAAAAAAATCATCGATGACATTGACATGTTAATTTTAAAATTAGACAAGTTCAGCCTGTTTTTTCATATATTTTTTTATTTTAGTCAGCAAAATAAAACTCATTGTCACTAATTATTTTAATTATCAAACATGATAATCTTTCTTCCCACCAAAAATATATGCAGATGGCTTGAAATCTGACTTTCTAAACAATACGTGTCTCCTATTATTAAAAGCACAATAAAAATATGCCACAAGAATGGTGAAGTAGTTTAGGAAAGATTTTATAAAAATCAGTGAAACACCTCATTCTTATCAAAACAACTATTATACGAGTAGTAACGTATGTATAATTGGTCAACTTCAAGTCAACATATATAAAGAGCTTAACTAGTTCTCTTCTCAAAAAACAACAAACCTTCATGGTTTCACTTTTTGATGACTTAGAATTTTGTACATGAAAAAGTTTCAGAGCTGCACCATTTTTCATATAAAGTGGAGCCAGAGTGACATGATTCTTTAAACCCCAGTAGATACGTAACACTCCTTCAATAATCAACTTTCCATTTGCCTACAAATAAATGACAAAAACATGAAGTCATGAACTTCAATAAAATTGATAAAATGAACTGAAAGATGTTAGTACAAATAGCAAATTGTTTGTTGTGCTTGCAAGACTCAGCTGGAAAATTAGTGAAGATAATGGGTCCTACGATAAAAACATCTCATATTCTTCAACTTTCACAACTTTTCTTGTACAGTAACAGTGAAAATGCAATTTTAGACAAAAATCTCATAGTTGACAGACAACAAATTTTGCACAATTTAATTTGTTAAGCAATGTTTGAACTCCACCATTTCAAACTAAACAATAACTTACCTCTTTACTAGATAATTGCAATGCTTTCTTCTTATCACCTTCGTAGTAGTTATTATAAACTTGTAATTTGGGCTGCAACTCTTTCCTGGAGAATGATCAAAGAATAAAATTTAGGAAAACAAGTCACAACAGAATGATCAAAAGCACTGTATTTGAATAATTTGTGCAAACAAATGTAATACCTTAAAGCTAATTGGTCAGATGTGAGGGAAGATTGATGGCCTAGTTTTTGATGAGACTCAACTCCCCCACGACCATAGCCACCAGGACCAAACAACAAACTGTAACATGGCATGTTACAGTATGGCATCCCACGATGCTAAATGAACATAAAAAAGTTTGTCATATAAATATTTAAGTACATTTTCAGTCATTTCAGAGGACGACTACTTAATTTTCATCATGTAATATGACTGTATGAAAAATTTAATGGACTCAAAACAAAAGTTAAGAAACATAGGAAGCCTATTTTCGACACAGCAACATTTTTTGGGCAAAATACGTTCCTACTTAGTTCACAAAAGATAAATAATTGTGAAAAGAAAGTGCACAACTAAATTAAATAAAACATAACACAATTCCAGCAAATACATGTTTTAAATTGGAAGCAAACAAATAATAAATATGAATAAACATCAAACAATACATGTATGTATATCTACCAGCCATGTAGAAGCTGTTTGGGGTAATCGTCTATGAAAATAATGTCGTGTTTCTGAATCCATATTTCATGATGTCTCAGTCATCAAAACATACTTGAAACAAGAGGTCAGCGATGAATAATTTAATACCATATATTCAATTCTTGCATTTGATTGGTCGCTGTTGAATGTGATTTAAAATTTAAATTGCCGTAAAAGGCAAATAGGAGTTCAATTTCCTGCTTGGAAACCTTGTCAATGACTCCGGTCAAATTTCCAAAACAAAATATAAATACTGTCTTGAATAATGACTACAATACATTAACGTGTCAGTTCAAAACGTATTATCCAATCTAATAATGACTTAACATGTATTTACACTAATTAAAACATTTAAAAAAATGTACGACGTGTGTGTCAAATACATGTTAATGATGTTAACCTAAATAAACGACAAAGAGAACACCCTTACTCTGTTCTAAAAATTTCGCAAGTAAAATAGGTAATACTTCTAGCGTACAGTCTGTAGATGAATGACAGGTAACCACAACATTGCTATACTTACAGGCGAAGAATTGTCGCCCATATTCTCTAGGTAGTCAGAAAAACGGTGAAGTTCGGCGAAGTTCGGTGAAGGTTATTCAATACAACCAGAAAATTTATGCTTAAAGCAAACGTATTTACTAGTTTGTCATATGACAACAGTCACGAGATTTCTGTTTATTTGTCTTCAAATGTCGCCTCTTAAGAATTTTGGTGTTTAATTTCTCTGGGTGTCTTCAGTAAATATTTAACACTGCACTTCCTCGCTTGACTAGCTCACTTCCTTTTCAGATACTACGATTGCAATTAAAACTTCTTTCAATTTTAAAAAATGAAGCTTGATGCGTTGTCAAAATTATGCATCAGATACCACGATCAAATACTTTATAAACAACTATATACAGAAGGAAACAAACCCTAATTCCAAAGATTTCACTCAAATAAAACGTTATTTCCTATCAAGTTACAAGGCCAATATTACAAATTATGCCAAGAAACTTAGATTTACACAAAATCAAAATTTTCGAAATAAAAATGTAGCTACCTCCGCATGTTGACCAGGGTTTAATACTTTTCCACATTCTTCACATTTCAAGCATTTCGGATGCCAGGATTTGCCCAAAGACTTCTTCTGTTCGGCTAAGGTGGTAAATGCAACAGATATTCGCTCATCTCTAATTTTATAACCACGAAAAATTCATCCTTTAAATATTCAATATTTACTCAGTACTTACATTAAACACAAAATCGTTAAACATGGCACACCGATAATTGAAATGTCAAGAAATGCCTCTTTTGAATACAAATTTTAACTTACCAAAGAATACAGGTTTATTGCACCTTGGGCAGTTTGGCATCAGTTAAACGATGAGCAAAATGATTTTAAATGACTGTCAAAAAGCCGAAATTCCAAGACCAGTTTCAATGGGGTCTTCTTTGCACGTACAAATTCAAATTTGCCTACGCAAACGTACTTCTCCACGCGTGGGTATACACGCGTCTCGTGACGGGGGACGTGGGCAAAACGACTCGAGAGCTCGAGAGTCGAGAAGCGTGCGAGTAAATTACGCGAGAAAAAAACTAAGAGTAAAAAATTACTTTTCGTCTTACTTCTGACGTGCAGTTTCGATGTAATTCTACTGGTGAACGACTTGCTTCTGCCCAGCTTTGAGCTCGTGTCTGCTTTATATTTCTCAGCTTTACGCTTCTGGCTTTCACGTAAAAGTGAAGAAGCACGAGTTTGTCTTGGCTCCCGAAAACTCACGGAACCTTTTGCAGATCTATTGAATGGCTGTGAACGGTGAAAAAAAGGCGAAGCAGGAGCACTACGTGATTTGAATATTCTTGATTCCGGTGGTGGATTGTATGAGAGGCTATTGGGTCCAGGTTTTCCACAGTTCTCGTGGTAACTGGGCATACTGAAATGAAACAGATAGTCACACGAATGTAGTGCATCTTAAAATAATAACACTTGGGCAAATAAATAGCAATAGTATAAAGATAAATGGCAACACTGCCTTTTCACGATGACATAATGAACACAAACATTGTGCATATGGAGTTTTCTGCTTTGTCAAAAAAAAACTTGAAAGTCAGGTAGAGATTTTTAGAGATGAGAAATTTCTTCATTCCAGTGTCTGCACACACCTAAAGCAATTTGTATGCCATAGTAAATAAACATACAAATGAAAGCACTCTTGATAATCGTTTATTCCGACTACGTTGTTCAATATGTACCATATTGTTTTGTCCTTTTAAACTTGTTTGAAACCATAGCATTTATATGAAAAAGAACAGAGGTCCAACGTCAGGTTTAGCAATGAAAGCTATTTCGTAATGTATATTATCAGAAACTACAAAACTGGATGATAGCAATGTGTTTATCAAATCGAAAATTTCCCAAAATCTGGTTTTAACACAAACCTGTTTTGGTTATGGCTCTCATAGTGAAAAAGCGATTTCCTCACGGCCCGAATGACATTGAACATTTTTGTTACGATTCTTTGATTTATATTCTGTCTTTCTATGTTGTATAATATCTTTTACGATAAATCAAATGTAAACACTGGCAATAGGACGAGTTGCTTTAGGAATGGGTCGAAATACGAAAAATTTTAGGCAAATGCCACATTGAACTTAACTTCGAGATGGTCCTCTTAAAAGCTGGATGAATTTACAGCAATGAACGCGACAATTCGTCGACTTACAATATTTTGAATCTGTGTAAACTCATTAAATGGAGATTTTGTATGCAGATGATTAAAAATTAAAATTTAATATAAACTTATATTAATGATAGACATCGTTACATGAATGTTGTATGGCTGTAAACATATGTCCTTGGAATAAGCAATAATGAATCTGCTCTCTGGTCTTATACTGTTCCCAAAAACTAATTTCTAACCATGAAACAATAATCCTACAATGATTACAAGATTACAACAGTTGCCTTGTTGCCTGCGTCACATTTTACATGAAGTCTTCAAAACCTCAGACATTCAGAAATCCTCACTCTTGTACAATCATATGAAATCAATGCCTAAAACCACCTAAACTAAATATGGCATGGGTAGAATGGGGGAGCAGGTTAGCAGTGCAACATCATGTTTATGAGACTTGCTATCAAATTTCAGTTAGCTCTATAGCTCAACTGATAGACCCTGATCTGTGTGATAAATGGATGGAACAGAAATTCCGATGAATTGAGTAGCTCTCTATAAATAGAGCACAGTGATTTGTTTCTCTCATAGAGCACTGTTGATAGAGAGCCTGGGAACAAAAGTGGGAAAATTGAGATTTTAAATCTCAAGGTACTTTCAACGCAACCCTCCATTCAGTTATATATTGGTCAAGAAGCAAAATACCTCTGTTGGTTTTATATACATAGCTAATTCTACAATGTCCCTAATTTATGTCACTAATTTATATTTTACCATCAAACCAAAGTAAATGTGAAACTGACAAGTTTTATCAGCAAAATCGAAATGCAAGACATTTAAAAACTTATAAAGGTTCCATATTATATACAATAACATTTTAAAAAAAAATCTGAGATATATTAAAATAGAACCAATTTTCTTTTACTTGATGTAAACAATAGCTTAAAGCAAGCTACCCACATAGTTGGAATAATACAAATTCATTATAAGTGAATATTACAATTGGGGTTGTGTTGAATACATTTATTTATACAACGCAGCTAATAATTTTTCAATAACGATAAAAGGATAGAACGAGTGTGGGAATTAGCTACAATGTATAATTTATCGGCAAATGATCTTCAAAATTCAAACCTCAATGTACACGTAGATAATGATAAAAAATTATCAACAACACACATACCCGATTTCCTTGTAAGTTTTGCTTTTTTTCTTCAATCAATCGATACGACGATTCACTTTACCGAACTATAAAGTTCGTAAATACCACAGCAAAAACCAATATTTGCGTGTGAGGTCGAGAGTTGAGGTCAATTTAAACTTGACAATATCAATTATGTACTGAGAGGTTCCGGAAAGTACTAGAAGATACTCAATAAATTTCAATATATTCTCTTGCATTTCTAGCACAATAATCATTTAAATGAAAGTTATAATTTAGAAAGTTTACAGTTCGGTTTTGACTGTTGTGTATTTCAAAAAAGAAGTTAGTGAAATTAAGAACTATTTCCACTGAACTCTACGACACAACTGGACGGGTTTTGGAAACTTTGTTCGGCAAACAGGGTTACAGGTCACAGCTAGCTTTCCTTTGTACAAATTCAGTTAATCTTTCTTATAAAGATTTTCATCAACGTGTTATTTTGTCTTGTAGACGTAGAAAGATTCCAAAACCAGAAATGTTAACTAAAGTTGCCTAGCACTACAGTAATAATAGTAAATAACACTTACCAAAAGTTCCAGAAGAGCTCACTGTCCTATCGACCACTTTTGAATCACGAAATGCGATGAACAGTCTAAATTTAGTAATTCAAATAAGGAATTTGCTGAGATGTTTAATTTTTCTCGGAAACAACATACACATGCAAATGGTTTTCAAAATTAGAATACAATGGTTGGCCGAGCAACAAAGGAATATACAGAAATACTGGTAACAAGATTATAAAGGACGTCAATTTTCGAATTTAGAAATGGAAAACTTGAACAAAACAACAGCAAAATTGTTATCCTTACCTTGGCAAGATGTTATTTTTTTGCACATATTTTATTATCTATCTTTGCGTGATATCTGCAGATTTCGACGAACTTGCCGTGAAGCGAACGAGCTGTGTCTCAACTACTTCAAACATTGCACAGAATTGGATTGTTCTGGAATACATAACATTCTTACAGAAACTGCATTTGTAAACACTACCTCGAATTCATATTCTTTGAGGAAAATCAATCTTGAAAACTGTAAAAACTTCAAAGACAATGCGTTGATTGATTTATTCCAAAGAAATCGCAACATCAATTGGCTGAACGTGAGTGGCTGCAGTTCTCTAACCGAAAACTTCTTGTTCACCGCCATGCGTTATTGTAGCAATCTATATCAGATATATCTACGTGAATGTCGATGGGTGTCGTCAAGAAGCGTTATAGAATTAGCAAAATCTTGCAAATCGCTAAAAATCATTGATCTGAGTGGTTGCTGGGAAGTTGATGATAAATGTTTGATAGCATTAGTGATATCATGTAAAAAATTAACTCAACTCTGCATTAATGGTTGCTATGGTATCACTGATATGTCAATACATGTTTTGTCTCGACAGTTGAATGGTTTGAAAAGGCTTGAGCTTGATGGGTGTTGGCGAGTTACAGATCAAGCTATCAGAATGGTAGGTGAATATTGTCATCAACTTCAGCATCTTAATGTTCAAGATTGTCGAGATATAACAGAGGCAAGCTTGGCACGACTACGAATCAAAGGTATCATAGTAAAGAAATTGCCTCAGGTTTCTCCCACACAAATGATGGTCACCAAACATATGCATTCAAAAACACAGGTGTTGAACACACTTAGATTTGATCCTTCTTAGGATTTAAAATAGTTGAAGGAAGGGTAGCAGAGAAAAAAAAGAAAGACAAGAAACGAAAAAGTCTACAAGTTTTTATGTTGTACGCTGTATTTTTTCAACATACCAAGTTTGAGACACTTCAAGAACAATTGATTCTTGTCAACTGTTAATTATATTTGTAAAATTTTATTACTTAGGCAAACACAAAGAAATATTTTACCTTTTTGTATGAAATAAATTTTTTCACACTGTTTTATAATATAAAACATTAAAAAATCATCATAAAATTATAATTTAGAAGCTCATCCATTTGTACAAATTTTATAAATTCAGCAACTGATTTGTGATTCATAAGAAATTTCATAAAAAAATCATGTGAATGTGGACAGGTTATAAATAATTGATGTCTGTTTGAACTGTACAATTTGCTCAGATAGATGTGTAATCAATACTTTTGTGAGCTAAAAACATCATAGCAATGTTTGTCTCATGCCTTGTTTTGTTTTGATGGTTTCTATAAAGTAAAAATTATTTAGTTCTGCAAAACATTATATTTACTTTTGTCATAGAAATTTCTAATTATATTAAGACATACATACATCCACTTTGTGATAACTCAGCATTAAACAGTGTCTATATACATCCGTTTTATGATATCTGCACACCCCAGGACATAAATATATATATACCAGCTAACAATTTTGATTTCTATAAACTCATGGGTTTTGTGTCAAAACTAAGGGGGAAAATAGGTGTTTGCCAGTAGTTTGTGATCATATGCTGCTGTTAGGGATATAGTTAAGTTAGTTGACCTTACCATTTTCCAGTGCAATAACTTCATCCATTTATCAGCTTCCTGTCTTGTACTTGCATAACAATAAAAGGTTCGACTAGGCATTACAATTCTATAACATGTGCAATATGGAATGCCATTGAACAGAAGTTATATATTATGACCAGAAAAAACGTTTACATACTTAAAACAATTAGATTTGCCTTGTGTGTGATCTTCAGAGACTTCTTTGCAATTTGTCAAATCTAAAGTCCTTAGTGGCAGTTCATCCTACAATAGATTTGAAATACATACAAGTCTTGCAAAAATTGTTTCAATAAGAGGAAAAGCTAAGCAATTTAACTCACATCTTTTGCTTTGAAATATTTTAAATCTGTGCCAACAACAACAAAATACCTAGTTCTCCAACTCTACTCAAATATGAAACAAATTCAACAGTAATCATATTTTGCATTGTAAATGTGAAACAATAAAATAAGCAAAAGAGAAACTTAACCTTCACTCTACCACCTTGCTTTGTAAGGAAACCTTCATGAGTAGCAATCTATCAAGTGGGAAAATCATAATAAGGTCAAGACATAACAGGCAACTTGTTCTTTGTCCTTTATGTTCGTTAGAACTTGTCGTAACGTTGTGATTGGTTTATGTGCAACACGTATGTTGTATGGTCGTAAGATACGCAAGATAGTCTCAGACGTACCTTTGATGTAAGGTATCATTGCTATTGTCGCTGAGTTGTTTGTTTCGTTGTGTTTGTAAGTGTTGCGTTCAATGAAGTCAGAGTTATAGTTGTTTTTGTCAAAAACACGTTTGAGATAGTTGTTTTCGTTGTGTAGAGTGTCCGGTGAATCACATATGATTTGCACGTCTTGTTAATGTTCTAATTTTGGTGGCTTTGTGTGACGTAGGGTTGTAACATGATGTGTCTAGTAGTCGGTCAGTGTGTGATGGTTTGCAATAAACAGTCGAGAAAAGGAAGAGTTCCGTTTTCTTCGACATCTTTGGTAAATTGTATGTGGCTGTTCTGTTTGTTGATGGGAGTGTGAAAGTCATCAATCTCGTCTGCATGTAGTGCTGTGATTGTGTCATCTACGTAGCAGAACCAAAAAGGTAGTACATGTTTGTAATCCGTGAGCGTCCGTAACAACAACTACAACAGAAACGGGTGAGCCCATTGCTGTTCCATGTAATTGTTTGTAGTGTGTACCTAGGTACTGGAAGTAAGTCGAGGTGAGGCAGAGCTCCAGTAGCTCCATAATGTCTTCTGTCGGTAATGGAAGTAGGTCCGTGCTGTTTGTAATAATGCATCATATTTCCACTTGAGAAATAATTATGACAAAAACTGAATACTAACTGGAGTGTTGCCTTTATGGTCATCCTTGTCCCTTTCTCGTCCCCATACTGCATGAATTCTCACAGTGTCATAATTGTCTGGTTCCTCTATATCACGAGGATATGGATATTTCAGCAATGTTAGGACACCTGAAAAACAAATATGGCTGACATAATCATCATAATTGTCTAATAAACCATACAATATGAATAATGTGATCAAACCTGAATCACCACCAATAAGTGGTTTGTTCTCAAAATGTTCAACAAATTCAGCCAAACAATCAAATTTCCCCATGCCAAATGTATATTTTTGACCATCCCATCCAATTGCAAAATGCTTTACGGAGTTTGCACACCTACAAAAATTATTTGCCATTTGTTATTAACCAATTTTATTATCCAATACAATGTTTAAGTTTGTAAATAAAATCCAGCAGTAAAACAACTATAGAATGATGAATTAACTAAAGATTTACTTCAATTTAAAATGTATTTAAAATTTTGCAATTAAATACAAAAGGCTTTTAACATTTACATATTAGTATTGACTTTAAATGTGACATTGAACTTGTTAATATCTATAGTAAAAAAAAATTCCTTCATTCCTTGATGAATTGTAGGGAGCATAGCAGATCTGCAACAAATACCAAACAAAACGGCAAGCAACGTTTTAAAAAAGTCGCCACCATAAGAGTTAATACTTGCAATGGATAAATTAAGCTTTCTCAGATGCTATAATTTTATTTTGACTTGATGAGAGACCTACTGCTGACCTTTGCAGACATATTTAACAAACTAAATTGCAAAATTTAAAAGGTACATCATCTCACCTGACTGATAAAGAAAGCTGTCCAGATTTTTTACTTGGTCTTAAAAGGTAACTGCCGTCATCACCATTTGCCATTAATAATCCTTCAGATAAATGGCGAGTCATGTTGGGGTGATACCAACTGTTAATAAATTAAGTATGAATTTAACAGCAAAGATCGAATTCATCAAAGCTATTAACACACATTAAAATATTGGTTTTACTAAAATGTAAGCATCAATTGCACCATTATCTCATTGTACCATTACAAAATTGTACCATTATCTCACCAACATCATTGGTGAACTTCAATTAATTATGAAATATAACCTACTTCATAGTTGAACTGTTTGAAACAAAACCTTGCTTTTAATGTATTTAAGTGAAGACATCGACCTCTAAATGGTTTACGTTAAAGTTTGCATGATACAAAGGCAACAGCAATCCATTATTACCATTACAAACACGAACATAAATTGAGCAAAGAGGCATTCAATTGATACAATCATTGAATGAGACTGTGAGAGTAAACAAGCATTCTTCAATTTTACGCCATTACGGTTCACAACACTCTTTCATAATAAATAAATATTTTATAAGGATAAACGCTTCAGCCAAACCTTGTGATCAACTATCAGACTGAAAAATTTAGGGCAAATGTTTCCTTTGAATGAAATAAATAACCAAAAATACATTGCACTATTTTAAGAACAATTTTTATTGTTTAACTGCAAGATGATTTTAACTGGAAAATCGCACATCAACAATTAAATTGTACGTTAAGTATAACAAATGAAATATTTCCACGCAGCCTAACAATTTTTACCTGATTTTCTCCACTTCAGCATAAGGCATTGTATTGGACATTGCAGAGTTAGAGTCTGCCGGTTGTTCGCACTGTGTGACTTGCTCTGGTTGATGCAATCCATTAGAGAAATTCGAAGCCATTTTTGTGCGTTAAATGGTCACGTGTCGTTATTCGATCGGGAAATACCGGGGATGTACGAACTTATTACTCGGGCAGTCGGAGGTACAGGTGGTACAGAATCAAAACTATCTCCACTTTATTGTAACAAGTTTTGTTTGTCACACAAAGGTACAAATGTTTTCTCATAAATAATGCAGCATTGTGTATGAAAGCAAAACAATAATATAGTAAACAAAGATATTGCTTGATGTATAAATTACGAATAGAATTAATACAAAGGTGAGAAAATGATTAGCTTAATGCCATGTTGCCAAAATATATTGCACCCCACTTACTTGAAACACAAAAAAAAGGAAAACAGTATTAGAATTCTACACTTTAAATTGCTGTAAAGAATTCAAAATTACTATTTACACACTACATTACATTATAGTAACATAAAATATTTGAAATCTGGTCATGACTAAACTTGCTTAGGTACTTACAAATAACTAGTCAACATAAAAAAGCATAAAAAATCCAATCATAGGTACACTTAAACTAAATATTTACAATCATACATCTTTTAACAATATCAATTATATCTACCATGAATTTTTCTTGATTTCGAGTAACTCAAGTTGCAAAGCACTTTTTAAGCAAAGTTGAAATAAGGAATACAATGTTAGCAGCTGTTGTTAGTAACAAATGGAAGTTTTAATTAAATGACTATTAATAGCATTTAATTGATAGCATTCTGACTCTGAGCATAAATTTCCCCTTTATATTGAACAGTAATGTTGTATTTATTCAAGGTCCAGTGAAGCGAAATGAACATTTATATATACACCCTGTGTTTGTGGATATTACCATTTATTACTCACCTGCCTGCCTTCAACAGTACGCAAAGTAAACGTGGAAGATTTACTTTGCAACACATGACAATAAACGTATATCCTATATATTTAACTGTCCAGGACGATTTAGATCAGCAGGAACTTGTTGTAAACCTTGATCTGATGATTTCAATCGCTGCTCGTTAAGTGTATGCAAGGTGGATATTTGTGCTAAAGTTTCGGCAATTTCACGCGGGTTTTCACCACTTTCTCTTGCAGAAGTTGATGTGATAACCGTTCCAAAATCAATTCTTTGTGTTTTACCTGCAGGTTCGCTTGCACTTGATTGTGTGGTCAGTTTTACACGATCGATTATCTCTGAACCATTTGGTTGAGAACCCAAAATATTAATTAAGGTGTTAAATTGTTTTCTAGTGTCGTCCCTTTCTCGTTTTAAGCGATCATTCTCTCTTGCAATTCTATCCAGTTCCTCGCGTAAACTTTCTTTATCTTTTTCTAAATCCAGCCGTTGTGATACACGTTTATTCCGACTGCTTTGTGCATAACCACGATTCTTCAATGTTCTCCTACGTTGTTTGATCGCTGCTATTTCTTGATCACTCAAACCACGTAAACGTAAATTTAAATCTTTTACAGATAACGTGACAAGTTCGTCATCACTAAGCCCTGCAATTGGACTACCAATACTAGACGTTTCCACATTTGACATAACGTTTCCTTCGTACATTTCGCCCGCTTGTGTTTCGCTCTCATGTACTTCGTTTTTGATAGATTCCGCCATCATGCCCTCTCGATCATAACAATCATCACATATCCCTACAATCCTTGCGACCGTAAATTTGAAACAATTTTTTAGCAATTTTTACCAAAATTCATGAGTATTTCTCAAAAATATTAATGAAAGTCAGCACATGAAAGTAAGCTAAAGTGAAAACTTCCACAACAGCAAAAGAAAAGTACAAAAAAAACACAATTCAAGCCATTTCTTAATCGAAGGAGTGCAACATTGCCACGTCAGCATATATTTTGGGGGTATTTTAATATTCATGACTTAATGTGGATTAAATATCTTCTTTTCAATAAAAATCAAATATCAAAGAAAACAAATCTTCTCACCAATCACCACAATGATCATTGGTGATAAGTCGCACACACAGTCAAGATAAAACATTAGCAAACAACAGCAAATAACACAGAAAACATTAGATTTTTAACATATTTCCAAAGAAGACATCATCAACAACCAAGAGAATACACTTGGGATGGGATGATCATTAATGTAGTTTCAAAATCGCTCCATTTCCAAATAAATATGCTCAACCCAAAATTTCAAAAAAACAATGAATGAAAAAAAATGTCTCTGGAAACATTTCAAGATTTGTATAAATGTATATATAGTATTTTATAATAGTATTTTACAAAACTTAATTACTTCTCTTCACACCATTCATTTTCTTTCCTGACCTGAAGTTAAAGCACAATAATCATTGACTTTAGAATAAATGAGTTCCAGGAGGGTAAAAATGTGAGGCACAAGATTGCCATAAAATATTGAATCATGAAAAAGAATTTGGACAATAAAGAAAAAAAATATTGTCTGAAGAATAAGTAGAAACAATAGCAATTGTCTTGATCATTACCTGTTCTTCTTCTTCAGGTGTAAAATCATTTTTAATGTTGAATGTTTTTCTAATCTCCTCAGGAGTTTTACCTAAACATAAACTAAATGCTTCAGAAAAAATTACAGTATTATGACACCGAAACATTACCTACCTTTAATCATATTAGCCACAGTTTTGCATGTAACATCCAACAGACCTTTAATATCTAGATAATTTGCTGCCTAAAAAATGAAACCATTTTCAAAATCATGAAATGCACAAAAATAGTTAGACACACAAATTGTAAACATTGTTTTTCGAACCAATATTAACTCAAACAAAGTTCCTTGATCAACTTTGAGAAATTCCATATCCCAAGGTTCAATGTCGTCAGTTCTCTTTTCTTTGTTTTCATCATCCTCTGGGGGAGGGGGATCGTCTTTGTGATGAGTTGCCCATTGTATTACCTATGGTCATCCAATCATTTAATAATATTAATATGAATAATCATGATTTGGTAGGTAATCTTTACAAATTACACAAAATTGCAAAGTTTAGGTATGGGTAAATTTTACATAAGCACTGCCAGTTGGAAAAGGTTGAGAGGAGACTGTGTGAGAAAATTAATATTGATAGAAGTTATAGTGTGTTAGTAAATGTTGAAACACATGATGGTGTGGATGAAGGTGGATAAAGATGATGATATACATAGATATGAATACACATGATCAAGTGGATGAAGGTGGATAGAGATGATGATATATGTAGATATGAATACACATGATCAAGTGGATGAAGGTGGATAGAGATGATGATATATGTAGATATGAATACACATGATCAAGTGGATGAAGGTGGATAGAGATGAACATGTGTAGATGTGGATGCACATGATGGTGAAGGGAAAGTGGGATGGTGTGGGTGAAACTAGATGGAGATGAGGGTGTAGGTAATGATCACAATAATTTTGATTCAAGGTCACAGTGTTTTAGTAAATGTCCTTTGTGTTTCATGTATACCTAGGTTGTTATGGAAATTCTAATTTCAAAGCAAACAACAACACCTTATTGATTAAATAAAATCCTCACCTTCTTTAAAATAGCAGCATTAACATTGGGTAAAGGTACTGGATCCTCATCATCTTCAACCATACCAAGATCTGGCAAGAAATATAATATCATGCAGCTTAAAGAAATGAAAGATATAGCAATTGTTTTGTGTGTCTTTTCAGTCCATAATCATTGAGTTTTCAATAACTCTTCTTGTTGAAAAATACAAACTGTGATTATGGGAAGGTTGGTTTAGGTATCTAAATTACTGTAAGATCAAATACTTTATTATCATGTGCAAAAACAACAAGCTACAGCAACAGGCTGCATTTTTACAATAACAGCTATCCTCAAACCACAAGCCTGTCAAGACATTATTAGCGCACTTCTGCCCTTCAAAATTCCAAAGCATGAATTATTATGACTTCTCAAACGTGAAAAAAGATTAAAACATACCATCTAACATAGTTTTTATTGTAACCGATGCTTTTGCAATTTCAACATCCACATCAAAAACCTCTCCATCTGAACTTCGCAATTTTATGTTTGGCATCTTGCTGGTTTCTAAACTTGATTATGATAGTCGTTCAAGTTAAGACTTAATAATATATTTCCTGTGTTATCATTGCAAAATTATCTTGCACTTTTTACATTTACAAACTTCAAGGAAAAATACACCTAAAAACTATCATTGGAGTAAGAAAAATATCGGTTAAAATGTCACATATGTTAAGCCAACGGCCGTTAGTTTGAAGCACAATTAAGCTATAAATTCACATCGTGTAATTTATATTATTCACAACATTAAAACAAAATAAAAGTCAAGAAATACTGACCTAAAAGAGCTGCCTGTCTGTGTAGTAGTCTGTTTCTTCGACAGTTATGCCATTTACGTATAATTATTCAAAAATAAACAATAAACCAGTGACCTGTTTATTTGATCTGGAATATTGCTTTGTCTGCACCTCCCCACTATTTTCACCACTAGGTTTATTCAATTCAAGATAAAAGCATTTCCAATAACTTAAAAATGCTGTAAAAATTGCATGGACTTCACTAGTACTGCGTTTTTATTTGAAAAGCAGATTTCTTCTAACTTTTTAATATTTCTTTTTTTAAATACATTTTATTTCCATAGTTTTTTAATAACACAATAGCCAATAAGCATTTTAAACAAACAACAAGTTTTTTTTAATGAAGACATGTTTCTTTTAATCTACAGTTTTTAAATGTATTGGCAATTTGCGGACGTTAAATAGGGTCCTATATTGAAAAATCAGTGAAAACAAGTAAAGAAAGATTACCTCTACCTACAATAAAAACAAAACATGGCTTTAAACCTCTACCCCCACCCCTTTCAATAGTTGTAAATCATATAACTACACGATAGAGTTGACACAAAGGGACAGGAATATATGTTATTAACAGTTGACACAAAGGGACAGGAGTTTATGTTATTAACAGTTGACACAAAGGGACAGGAGTTTAGGTTATTAACAGTTGACACAAAGGGACAGGAGTTTATGTTATTAACAGTTTAATACTGGTGCTTTACACTGTTTTATTGCAACAAAAGAACCTTCACGTTGAATTGAAGAACAATAAAATGACCATTGGCATAAAATCAACAACACTGAAAAGAAGATATATTATTATTCATTACAGGTTATTTTTGTGAAAATGTTAAATCTTCAAATGTTTTAGTTCTGAATTATAAGTTTAAGTGCACCATTGTGCTTTGCCTGAAAGTAAATTTTAAAATGTTTTAAGGTCAGTTACATGAAGTAGACATACTATATTTCAACTATCATTTCTTTTACACAATCAATTTATATGAATTCACCCATTGAAACTATTCTGTTTGAAATGATAAAATAACACTAGCTAAATCGCATTTAACTTGAACAAATCAATGATTACACGAGGCACATTAAATCATGTTCTTATAACATCAATTTACTGTTTGCCCATGTTAACAGTAGATTCCTTCCTCTTAAAAGTTGCCACTTCGTGAGTCCGTGCATATTTTTCTTGATATTCCTCTCGTTTTTTTAGGTACTTACTGGTGCATCTAGCACGAAATTCCTCGTTAAAAAACCATTCCTGAAAGCAGTTTTGCATCGCACGATTTTCACTTCGACAAGCAGTAATCAATGACAATGTTCTTCCCTTTGCACAATTCGTGAAGGCGTCAACATAATTTTTGCAAAGAACCTTTGCTTCCTCTCTCATAATTTTCGGTATCAATACATCTTCTTCAACGTGTCGTAAATTTGTGCCAGATGCCCATTTTGGCACTTGTTTTGGTTGGTCATCATTTTGTTGTTGATGAACATTTGCCATGTTCGTTATTGGCGTTATCAGGGGGGATCAAAGTGATCAACTGAAAACTAAATTGATCCCTAATCCAATCTCTAGCCAATGACACTGATCTGTAATCGTTAACCCAACTATGTATTCTTACTTTTCTTAAAAGGAAAAATGAAAACTTCCAAAATTTCAGAGTAAAATACCTTTCCTTCTTTCCAGTTGCAGGTCAATAGAAATTATCATCTATTCTTCATAGGGAATTGATGGTCAATATTTTTATAGTATGTATTTATTTAACACAATCTACATAAGATTTAACATAAGAGCCGGTTGCACGAACCCTGGATAGCGTGTTTTTATTTTTCTTATGACAAAGAAATTTTGTTAGTTTCGAAACAATATTTTATTTCAGCGATTGCACAGTTCAAATAGTATATTTTTCCCTGATAAGAGATTTTATGAACTTTAAGAAAAATTTGCTATCCACTGGATAACGCTATCCAGGCTTCGTGTAACCGACCCCTCACATCTGTATACAATGATGTAAAAATCTGAGGAATAAAAATTTTGTATTTTCAGAAAATCAAATTTCATATGAAAATGAACGAGAAATGCAAGTGACGTCTTGATATAAAAATTACAAGATGCTATTGTCTGTGATGTACAAAAAATTCACGATTTTTTCAAAACCATTTGAAATGTTATAAAATTTCATAAAATACCCGATAAAGACAATGAAAACGTTGCGAGTAAGATTATCGTTAGTTTTCACGATTCTGACAAGTTTCAAAATCACTTTGAGCAAGTCCAAATATCAGATCGCTCGAATTCAATGAAAATTCTGCCTTTGGAGCTGTAATGACATAACGTCGAACACTTGATCCATCCAAAAGACGATAAATACCAATACATACCATGCAGAACTTCTTTAAAGCATGCCTAAAGAGTTCGCCAAACGTACAAAATTCCTAAAATAACAAATTATATAAAGTTTATTTCATTGTTTCACGTCAAAAAATATAAACAAAATGGCTAAGAACGTTTTGGTATATGAAAAATATTCAATTGACTCATGTAAAACTTACTTCAAACTGTTTGAAAGGTCCTTCGTAAAGAGGTACCTGAACAAGTTTTGCTCTGCGTCTAAATGCAAATATTTCTGGCGTCTCTAGCACCCCCCGTATTTCTCGTCCTTCCGCAAATTGTGCTTCAAGTTTAACACTGACTCCTCCCGTAACAAGAGCCCGTACCAAGTTTAACACGTCAGAATTAAAGTATGTCTACAATAAAGTATAGTACTAAAAACAAATCATACAAGTAACTGAATATAAATTTCCTAAAATGCATGCAGTGAAAATAAATTTAGTTTAATAAGAAGTTTGTTCATGAAGCAGCATTCGTTTTTACAATGCACCACTTGCTTACAACTATTAAAATACTAAATATAGATATAAAACCTTGATGATTTTTGAGGGAAAATATTTTAAAAAGTACTATGACCATACTTACAGCTGTCATCAAAGAATCGAGTACTGAAACAGTGAAAGCATGTCCACATGCAAAAGGTTGAGTTTCATAAAACTAATTCCATCTTCATCTTCGTCTTCATCGTCCAAATATTGCACGTTGTTGTCAAATACTACAAAATGATGCCTACAACTTGAGCATTAAAACTACAAAACTGAAATTCAACAGATAAAGGCACAGAGTTACTGACCCAGTTCAGTAATCATAGGCAAGACACCGCTGGCTTCCTTCAGTTTTGATAAAGATTTAAATCGGCTTCTTTGAGATAAACCTGTCTCGTCGTCATTTTTTATATGTGCAATCTTTTCCTGTGGAAGAACCCGGGTGACATCATCAAATGGCATAGCTTTCAAATTAAGACTGGCCATAATTGACTCCTTGTCTGCTAATGCCTGATTATTGTGAATTGAACCAGATTGAACTATTGGCGACAATACAACCACCATTGCTGCAAGGTTAGCATTTACAGCGTTAAGATCAGCACGGTTGAATGGTGAACCCTTAAGAAAAATCATGTATGTAACACGGTTATTATTAAAGTATTGACAGTCAGGTAAAAACACACATTGTTATATATTTTAACACATTTACTGTAGTAAAAAAGACTAGCTCGTAATAAAGTACAACTAATTCATCAAAAATTGGCAACCCTGATGAAATTATGAGTGTCAACGCGAGAATACATTCAACTTTTTCAGTTTTTTAAGAGAATACATGTGTTAAAGTGTTGCTCATAAGTCATCATAAGCTATTACTACTAAGTCACATTTCTTAAAAGGCAATTTTTATTTTAAATTAATATTCTAGGACAGCAAAAAATATTCTTAAGTAAGTATTTGGTGAAAATTCACATTGTATCTTATTAATATTTTAACTCACCGGCATGACGTTGATTTCGGGAAAATTACAAAGTTGTTCCCATTCTCTTTTCAAGTAATTAATATTCCCAATGAATACAATCTTCTTCATTTCACTAGGTTGCAGGTTGCTCGCCCGCAGCGGTATACAAAACGTACGCAACCCAATAAGAGGATCGTCACTGTTTGCAAAACACAGACGACAAGATGATTGCTGAACACAATCGTCTCAGCACGACGTCGGTCCTTTAAAAAATCAGCACCATTTTCAGAATTTTGAAAGTTTGATACGCATTGTCTTTGTTTAAATGAGGATGTGAATTGATATATTATCAGGACTGTTCATTTTTAAGTACAACGCCCATAATTGTATTGTGAAAATGCAGAGTTTTAATGCACTAAAAACCAATCTGGGAACAGCTACAAGCAGCTATAAAATGAGACAGATAACATTACCACAATTGCGCTATCAAAGTCCACTCTTTCACACCAATAGTAAGTCCCAGTCGAATCGAACATTGTAGCAGAAACGTCTTTGAATCTACACATAAATTAGAAAGCAGAAAACTATATTCTATACAAAAAGGCACAAAACATATCAAGTTAAAAAAAATTCCTCACTTCTCCTCTTCCTGTCTCACACTATGTTTCTTTTTACGAACAGACGAATTCAACTCAATAGTATTGTCATCATCTTTATCCACTGAAACGAAAACTATCATGGTAACAGCATTTTATGACATGTACGTTTTTTGTCTGCCATATGAACTTTCAAGTCAACACATACTCACCATTTACAGTTGCATGACTTACAATAGATTGGTAACGTTGTATGCCTGTCTCTGCAAAGATAAAAAGTTGATAAAAAATGATGGACAAACTAGTGCAAGCCAACACCTAGCATTTTATCCTCTTGAAGCACAGTTGCGTTTGTTTTCTCCCTACCTACAAGGTAATTACCATCACAAGAACATTTTGTATCTGCTCCGCTTTCACGTTTTTATGACAGTTATTACAGTAGTAAAACACTCTGAAAATGAAAAAAATTGTCGTCATAACCATATACATGTCAGTGTGATTATTGTGTATCAGTATTTGCCATGTACGAATTAAAGCATTCAACATATTAACCTTTTAACTTGGATAGCAGAATCAGCTATGAAACATCCTTTACTTCCTAATTCTACATTGACGTTCTCATCACAGGGATTAAGAGCAAAGCTATAAAAACGTTAGGTTTTACAATCATATTTTACTAATAGGAAAGAGAAAAACACTCATAGTTAATAAGTCTTTACTGCACCAAAAATTTTCATTCATTGACCGGAGTTGTATGGCCAAAAGAGTCAAGCCAAGTCTCTCAAAACAAAACCTAAATGAAGATTGTTTCAATTCAAGAAATGAAGTCGAAAACTCCATGATAATTATATTGATCTACTTACAACACAAAATCGTGAAAACTCATGTCTACAAACGCAGGAGAAATTGTTTCTGTATACATTTCCTTCGACGCTCCAAGTAAGTAATTTGCCTTCCAATCAGCCAGCTCACAATCTGCAGGCTGTTTATAAAAAACTAAAATTCAACTTAACAAAACAATCAGGTAAAACTACACTTTGAAACAAAAAGATATTCAAAATGTTGATCATATAGGTTTCTATCTCACAAATGCTCAAAAAATAGTTTTTCGTTGCAATTAAACATTGCTAAACAAATTTATCTCATACTTCACTTCGCATGGCAAATAGATTAGCCAGCAGAGTTGAAAATCCTTGCGAGAGGCAACTTTGTGCAACGAATCCAAGCTTGAGCTGCAGAAGGATAGAAAAAGTGAAACTAAACAAAATGCATAAAAATGGTGTAAACTTGAATGCCCTACCTCACTGACACAGACAATATCGTCGCGTGTACTTTTATTCCATGAACGGATGTTAAATATATGCATCTTAAAAGAAAAAAATGCAACATTTTCTTGCTATGTAAAAGTTGAACGGCTCAATAAGCCCTACGTTATCAAAGCTTGGTAATGAGCGATGTCATCAAAGTAGTTCAAAAATATAAATATATGATATAGGACTATTTACTTTATTGTGATATTGTAGAAGTTGAATAACAATACGAATATTTGAAGAAAAGTTCTTAATAGAAATAACTCTAGAAAAGTGAAACATAAGTATATTGATCAGTGAATTGTCAACATTATAAGTGACCATCAATGGATGATGAAGACCTCATGATGTTTGCAGCATCCTCGGCGTCAGGGTTTGTACAATGTCTATTGGCTAAAAGTAACACAGCTGTCGCTTCTTTCATCTTAAGATAGAAAAGAAACGTTAACATATTTGATGTAACAACACGTAGAAGACAGTAAAGAGAATGCGAAATTGGTTCAACGTAGACGTTGAGAAATTCAAAAGCTGGTCATGACAAGCAACTAAATAGAAAACCATGGTATATCAACAAACAGTTCATTAAACATTCACCTTGACTCGTTCACAATCAGCGCTATCCAAAACTGTTCCTTTGAAATACGACACTTGACTTGAGTTACGTTTCAAGACTGCTTCTAGTTCACTGGATGGAAACGATCTAAACACATGAAATATAAGTATAAAATTGTTCAAGCAACAAAATTTGCAAATGATGAATGTTTCTTCTTACGGATAAAGAAAAACGACATGTTCATTTATATCATCTCTGTCTGAATGAAGGAATTCTTTCAAGAATGAGTAAACTGTATCTTTGGTAATGTGGCCAGATACAACAACATGGCTGAAATATAAAAAATACATGTATGACGCTTCTAATAAAGCAATCTAGTATAGTCAAAGGAATCATAATTTAGTTTAACTTTCTCTCCTAGAAGCAATACAACTAAAGAGTTGATCCTGACGAGATCTCCATAAAGGAGAAACTGATTTAATAAAGATCTATTATTAATCCATAAGTTTACGTCTTTTAAATCATAAAACAATCAATTGCATGAACAAATAGCAATACAGCAATTAAAAAGAAAGTTTCCTAGGTATCACTCATTTGGTCATTACCTTACACCATCCGTGGGTTTAAAAGTGCTGTTGTATTTTGATTGTGAGGCAAGGAAAGAACCAATAACTGGTATGGATGATGTAAACATAACAAGACCAACAAAAATAAAGATGCAGATAAAAATCTTTCCCAGATAAGTATGACAGTATACATCACCATAACCAACCGTCGACATGGTCACCTGTTTTAAAAATACATCTCCATTAGTGTTATTCTATAAATGTTAATTAGAAGCCATTACAGTAAACATACGAGAAGAAAATAAAGACACTCAAATGGATCTAAGTTGCTTGGTTCATATTTATTATCACCAAATGGATCGCCAGTATTTTCAAGCTATATCAAAGCGGATATAAAATAAATTTTTAATGAAAAAGTTTGAGGAAAAACATAGTTTGTGTTTGTATCTCACATTCAACTTACGATATGAACCATCCCAGCCGATGTAATCCACAATCCAATAAAATTTCCAATAACAGTAGCCATCTCGATTGCACCACTGAAAGATATTATTTGATTATGTGCAAGGTTTATGAATGTTTTATTTTTGGAACATCAGAGGTTAATTGTAGATAAGCAGAGTAGAATTTGAACCAATTAATAACATGATATAACGACGAAATTAGCAAGAAATTAAATTTTACGAAAAGTAAACCCAAAATACATGTAGAAAAAAATATGAATAGAGTGCATTAACTTATCATCAATAAACAGTGAACAGAGAAAAACTGTAGTTTCATTCTTACGCGCTTTTTAAAATTCCAAGAATCTCCAAAACCTCAGTAAGCTTTGTAAGTTGAAGTGCTCTCAGAAATCTTAGACCTATTATAAAAGAAATGAAAACAAGCATATATTGTTGAGCACAACGTACAGATCAAAGAATATACAACTTAGTGATGACGACAATATCATAAATAGGTTGGGTAATTTACTTACCCAACCAGTTTTGCTTGACAACAATTGAAACGAAGACTTGAGGTACAGTAAAAACATCAACAATTGACGTAAGCTCCAGCCAATAAATTAGCTTATCGTTAGCGGCCAAAAACTATAAATTGTTTCAATGTACTTATGGTGAGCTCTAATAGTTAAAGACAAATGTCCCATGTAAAAAAGTTAAAAACGCCACGAGAAGTTAAAAACACCATAAAAAGTTTTACACAAAGACTTTTACTCACCCTTATCAGAAAATGAACAATGAAAAATGTATTTAAGCTGATTTCAAAAATCCGTAATTTCTGCTCCTTCAGTTTGAGGCAATATTCCACAGGACTGAAAAATAAACATAACGCTCCACAGATGTACATTACAAAGTTTTCTCATGTCAATACTGCAGGAGGGAAGGGGTGGAAATCTTGATGTAAAGCGGTGGAATGGAGAAATTGTAAAATAACAAAATAAACTCCACTCACAAAGCTGTTTCGATGTAGTAAAGAGCGACAAATATCATACTGAAGAAAAATGATAACACAATCTAAAAACAAGACAAGTTATTACAAACCTAATATTAATCTGTGGAGATAATGACAGGAAGGGTGCTACTCAAAACTAAAGATAATCAAAAACATTAAAAAAATAATTATTGTTGAAATATAAACTAAGATAACGTGTGTCAGTGTAGGTAGTGATGAATGAACAACAGAGAATGAGAACAGTCTTTATACTATCTAAAATATAAACTAAGATAACGTGTGTCAGTGTAGGAAGTGATGAATGAACAACAGAGAATGAGAACAGTCTTTACACTATCTAAAATATAAAGTAAGATAACATGTGTCAGTGTAGGTAGTGATGAATGAACAACAGAGAATGCAAACTGTCTTTACACTATCTAAAATATAAACTAAGATAACGTGTGTCAGTGTAGGTAGTGATGAATGAACAACAGAGGATGAGAACAGTCTTTACACTGCCTAAAATATAAACTAAGATAACGTGTGTCAGTGTGGGTAGTGATGAATGAACAACAGAAAAAGAGAACTGTCTTTACACTGCCTAAAATATAAACTAAGATAACGTGTGTCAGTGTGGGTAGTGATGAATGAACAACAGAGAATGAGAACAGTCTTTACACTATCTAAAATATAAACTAAGATAACGTGTGTCAGTGTAGGTAGTGATGAATGAACAACAGAGAACAAGAACAATCTTTACACTATCTAAAATATAAACTAAGATAACGTGTGTCAATGTATGTAGTGATAAATGAACAACAGAGAATGAGAACAGTCTTAACACTACCTAAAATATAAACTTAAGCAAGTTTCCTCAATCCTGGGCCTTCATCTTCATCAGTAAAATTTCTGTCATATGATAACTTGCCTTTCATATTTTATACTCACTATGACCTTTCCTGTCAATGTCTTAACGTTCACAAGGGATCCCGCGCCTTCTTTAATAATAACATGAACGTCACCCATGTCATGGGACAATCTTGTTTTGATGATCTAGATTTTCTTGATCTTTTACAGGAGATGGAGTCACCTGTAACGTTTTCGACCAATTTCCTTGAAATAATTTAACGAGTAGTCTCCCAAAGAGGATTATTAGCAATCCACCAAAGTATAGCGTGATCGACGTTAAGATAAAGTAATGCCATTTTCGTTCCTCACCAGGGATGAGAATATCTTTACAACTAGTTGTATTCATTTTTTTTTTAAAGAATCACACTGTGCTATCTTGCTTTTAATGACACTTTGCTATGACGTTCAATCTTGCTCAATATTTAAGTTCAGTATGCCATCACTACCAAGAATTATCGCCAAACGATTCCAAAAAATATATGAACTTGATAGAAACTTTACAACTTGTACGAAGAAAAGTAGGAATTTAACAACTAACTATCGATTTAAAAGTTCAACAAGTGTAGAAACAAATATCAATTCGCGATAGTTTTACAACAGGTGCCACAATCGAGCCATGACAACAGAAGATAAATGTAAACTTCGCTTTGCTGCAATGTTTTGCAATAATTGAGCATACGTTGAAAACATTATTTAAAATTAATAAACCATTGTATGTATTCCTACGTCTTATGAAATATCTCGCAGATGAAAATGGTTGTCATAGACAAAAAAATGCTAACATAAAATGAACGAAAGTCATATTGAGTAGCTGTTGACAACGGTCTTTATATAAAATTTGTGTGACAATTGACATTGAAATGTTAAAGACAAACTAAACAAAATAATTCTGTCGACAAGTGTAGAAGTTTCCACACTTTTCCAAGAGAACTTGTAACTAAAACTGCATTTTGATAAACATGAGTTCTTTAATGTATAACATTTTATCAACTCTTACAAAAAGAAAATCTTATTTAACAAGACAAGCAATAAAAAATTATTCATATTAACGACAATTAACTGTTTTTTGTTGTCTTAAAGTGCTACTGAAGTGAAATTTTCATATTTCGTTTTTCGATACAAACGTTTTCTCTGTATTTTACTGATCATTTTGAGCTATCGCCCACTGAATTTAGTCGATGGGAACGCATCGAACTTTGCGTTCAAACATGGCATATTTGCTTGTTTTGATGCGAATTTGACTTTGAGTGCGTGACGTCATTTAAAGGACGGAAGTTCAATTTTAAAGCTCTTAGTATATAAAAATTATATACGAACAAGCATATTTCCAACTGGAATTTTACATATTTTATAACTTCCTTCGCAAAAATTGCGTATATTTAGTGACAAATGAGCAACACGCATAGGTAAGCAACATTTACAATCGATTAGAGTTTTATAAACTTCTTGAATTAACTTATATTTCTCAATAAACTGGGTGCCGCATCCTTGACGAAGTCTGCGGTTTTAACACACACGCAATGTTATCAGAAACTAACTGTAACGCGCTTATTTCCAATCATCCAATGTATACTACTTTTATAAACTTCTGGATTAGACTTATCATTCTTATCATATGGGTGTCGCATCCTTGACGTAGTCTGTGGTTTTAAAACCCATGCAATATTATCACAACGCACATAATATAAGGAGAATAATTTTTTATTAAGTTAGTCAAACGTAACGATACACCGGAAGTTAAAATATGGCGAGTAGGCAAAATTCTGCAAAAAACCGTCGAGGAGGACAATATTGTGTTGCTGGTTGGTCCAACGGAAAAAGTTGTACAAACAGTCAACACACAGAGGGTGTCTCAGTACATCGTTTCCCCATGAATGACAAGGAGAGGCTGAGTAAATGGACAAAATTTGTTAGGAGACATAGGCCAAAATTCGTTCCTCAGCAGTACTCTGTGCTATGTTCAATGCATTTCGCAGATTCTGCATTCACCGTGAACGCAACAGTTGCAAAATCGCTAAACATGAGACGACAATTGCGCTCTGATGCTGTTCCAACCATAGACTCTGTAAAGGCATTTCAATCCAAGGTGATAAGAGCAATCGCGACCGCAGAGTTGTAAGTACAAAATTATACAAGTTAAATTACACAAGTTTGTATGCACAACCTCGCTTCCAATGTTCGAGGTTCTAAGCCATCTGCGTCTTCTTCGACCGACACAAAATTCTCTCCGACTGCGTTCGCAAAGGTTCATTTTCGTAAGGATTTACAACTGAATTAGCCACAATTGTATCCTCATCGCCGGAATTCGAAAGTAAATTTTCATTTGCCATATCTGAGTTTTCAGTATCCGAACTGCGTTCGCTTTCACTGCTTGAAGAACTCATATTTTATTGTGTATATGTGTTAAAAATCTAACAAAATACTAGTAAATCAATGCTCATACTTCGACTTCCGTCCTTTTAATTACGTCACATCCGTATAATATTTCAGTTGTAAAAATTCGCACGCGAAACCCAACTTTGAGCAAAAATTTATTGATGATCCCGTGCTTCAATATGCATAAAAATTATACCAAAGTGATCAGGAAAGATAGAACTATTTGATTATAGAAAAAAATCGATACCCAAAATTTCATTTCAGTAGCACTTTAAGATTGAAAATAAACAGAACTAGTATAGTAGGTTATTAATTTTTTTTGGTTGTTAAGCTCACCTTAATGCAGGGGAAACCTCTTGTAGATGAGAATGGAGGGATGACCATACCGTAGAATACAGTAAAAGCTTTTGAAGGCACCTGAAGGAAAGAGTTCTGATACACCACTTACATCTACATTCATACAGATAAACTAAGAGCAATAACTTCTCTCATGCACGTGATTGAAGGCATGCAGGTTAAAGAACTAACTGCATGTTACGCAACTATTCTTCATGGATACTTATGTTTCTTTCGCGAGCCTACAGGCAATAATAAAAACTGTGAAATCAGAGTTAGAGAATACAATCACTCAGTATAAAGATGCCCATCAAAACTAACATTACCAACACATTCGCTGTGTATACATAAAAGTATATTAGGGTAAAGTTTTTAATTAAAAAAAATGTGAAGCTAGTAGGCAAAAATGAAATCTTTTTAGATCTTCCATTGTTCTCATAGTTAAACCTTGGACTAAATATACAGCTACTTTTCTCATAAGGAATATACAGTCAGAAAAGATGTACAAACTAGGAGTATTGTAGAAATTTAGCTGAATTTGATGAACCCATCAAATATAAACCTTGTCAATCTGATGATTCTAGTGAGAAAAAAAGCAAACAAACCACAGTATTTGTGTCATTTTATTACATATTACAAGAAATGATATGAACTGTACATTGTTAGTTTAAAAGAGGCATCCTGAATACATATACACTTCAAATATAAATAACAAAAGCTAGCAGAGCAAGATGTTCTTATTTTCAATGTACATTTGCCTCTCATGTGATAGTGAATGAATGAGAGAACACGGTTGAAGGAATCATCATAAACATTATCTATAAAACTATTGTGGTTTAGGTGTTCCTTTCTTTCCAATCAAACTCTTGTGAATATGAGGAATAACACCTAAAGAATGGTATAAATTGTAAAATTAATGACGGATGATTTCAAAAACATGTGTTTGATAACTGCAGCAAAAATTGATTCATAAATCAGAAATTAATTACTTTACCATTACAAACCCGTCAAAGCAGCACATTTATAAGAGAAAGCCGACCATTGACAGCATATTAAAAATACATTTCTCCACCCAAATTTCCAAATACATCATATTTATATAAACAAATCAACTGTAGCACAGCTTACCTCCACCAGCAATTGTTGCTTTAATAAGAGAATCAAGTTCTTCATCACCTCGAATAGCAAGCTGTAAATGCCTTGGTGTTATACGTTTTACCTTAAGATCTTTTGAAGCATTTCCAGCCAACTCAAGCACCTATGAATACAAGTTATTAAACACCATAAACTACATGAACTGATCAGATGACATAAATATTCAGTGATAATAAAAGGTGGTAGTAATTATTTTTCGCTCAATAGCAATATATGGTGCTATATAAAAAATAGGTATGAAAATAAGGAATTTTAGTAATTTAGAGGAAAGAAATTTGAAGCATAATGGTTTCATTACACACAGTGATTTTATCATACAAAAGCGCCATGACCGAGTGGTATTTTTGGGCGGGAAATTTTAAAACATAAAACTTAGTCGTTTTCCTCATCAAAAATTAACCTTTGTACAAAGAAAATATGATTTTCTTGCAAGTCAATAGTAAGAATCGTAGTTTTATGCTCTTTCACAATATTTTTCAATAATAACACGTATAATCTTGCGTAATATAACCAGGCAATGGGAGCTTGTGTTTGGACTTTATTCTATGAAGGGCGTATTATATTTTAGAAGAATAGTGAATATCTTTCTTCTTACCTCAGCTGTAAGATACTCTAAAATTGCTGCGCTGTACACAGCAGCAGTGGCTCCAACACGGCCATGGCTAGTTGTACGGTTCTTCAAATGTCTGTGAATACGACCAACTGGGAACTGAAGGAAAAAAGCGATAAATAGATATCCGATTGGACAAAGCGGATGCAACTAGAAAAAAGCTGAAATAAATAAAGGCTAAAATACCTGTAAACCGGCGCGAGCAGACCTCGACACGGCTTTGGCTTTTGTTTTGGAGTCTTTTCCTGCTTTACCTCCGGCCTGTAAATCGTAAAACTTCATCTTTTAGAGCCCAGTAATCGCAAATACATACAAAATAATATAAAATAAAGATCACTTTCAAAATATTTGATAAAATGACAACGTTAACGATGGTACAAATCAACGGATGGAAAGGATTCATGTCACATACCATGCTACCTCGAATTTGTAATCTTGTGTAATATGTCAAGCGAAACTATTTAACGAACAACAAGAATGATTGCGTCAAAATTGCGCCAAAATCTAGTGTTTAGACTTTGAACAGTCATTCACCAATCATAGAGAGGGAATTGTTTTAAGCAACCAATAAGATTGCAGGTATTCTTGATGCTAATCGTAATATCCATTTTTGTTTGATTATTTCTGATAACTTTCTAATTTTATCTGTTACCATTGCAGAAATCGTTGCTGCACCCTAACCTACAAATGTTTTTTTTCAAATTTTACATTTCAAAAAATATACAAATGTAGATTTGAATATAAATTTTAATAAAAAGTACTCAAGACAAGAGTGTTTAAAAACTAATTAGATAGAGCAATATAACAAAATAAAAATCCTAACAAGATAACATTTAATTTTATGCTTTAGTATTCTGGTATAATTCCATCTAAATATGTATAGCAACAAAAATACATCTATGTTCTATTCAATATACAACTACTTGCATTTAGAAATATTAAAACTATTAGAAATTTTCATTTTACAAACATCAAGTTCGTTTTCTTCATCTTTGGTACCAAAAGATCTAAATGGTGCCATAATTACTGTTATATCATCAACTGAGCCAAACTGTGCTGCTGAGCTTGTTAGCAACTCTAAGGAATCGTCAGGAATTGTCGAGCTATTTAATATATTAACTGCTTGTTCAGTGGCCATTACATTTGAAATGCCATCAGTAAACAAAGCTAGAAAACTGTCCTTATCTTGATTAATTTTCACTGAATATATTTTAGGAACAGCATTTACACCATATGGCTTAAGATCAAAGTTACCAAAACATCTAGTCATGGCCAACCGACCATTAACCCTAGGGGTCATTTCACCATCTTCTTCTATCTTACCACCTCTTGCAAGAATACGATTCTTCTCCACTTTTGATAAGGCATTGTGGTCTTCAGTGAGTAGAACTGCCTTCCCATCATGACATAAAATGGCTTGACTATCTCCAACATTCCCTATAACAAGCTCTTCACCATTTTTTAAAATGGCTACAGTTGCAGTAGATCCTGATCGCACAAACTTGTCCTTGTTTTCTAAATGACAAACAATTCCAATTGTATTCACATCTACACCAGCAATTTTTAGGATGTATTTAAAACTTAATGCCAGTGATATATAATGGACAATTATCTTTGTTTACACCACGAAAAGTTGTACCACATAAAATTCATATAAATATTACACAGACACTTTTGGGGTCCATGGCAAAGATTAACCATGTGGGGTCAATGACAAAGCCAGGTTTAGGGTGAGTTACACTTTATAAACTATGTAAATGGACTAAAAAATTGTTTTTGTATCTCAGACATAGTTTCACCACTTTCACCATGCTGGAATTTGCTACGAACAATAAACGATAACTGTAGCCATACCTTCTTTTCCAGTGTCTTTGCCAATGCCATATCACAATCAAGAAAACCTTTCCGCAAAGCTGTTGTGAGAGAAGAACCACGTTCAAGCATGTTTCGCACGTACTCATGCAAATTGTTTTGAACAAAATTTACAACGAATGAGCCTCCATGTCCATCAAAAATGCCAAGAAACATGATCTCTCGAGATAACTCAGTAACTTGAACTCTATCTTCGTTATATTTCTTCAAACCTTTCAAACTTTTATGTTTGATGTTATTAATATCCACACGATTCAAAAGCCAAGCGTCATCTGTTTGCCAGCCACCAATTTTATCGTTGTTATTTAAAGCAAGATTCCCATCGTCACTCCAAAGTCTAGGTTTTTTGAAGCGTTCATCACTTAAATAACGACTGAATATGTACAAAACAGTTTTAGTCTCAGTGTAGCCGAATTTTAAAACGAATTTCGACAAACGGCGAGCAGAAAAAACCCTCATATTCAGTCATGACCACAGCGCGAATAAAGCTGTTATCAAAATAATAAATAAGAGCTTTGGCTGATGTAATCAAGGATTCCTAATTTCCTATAACTGGAAATATTTTATATTTCATTACCGTGGGCTTTCAAGTAGTTCAAAAACCGGTTTTTGCTCGTAAAATAGAACACCAACTTTTTTGTGTGAAAGATGATTGCCTGTATTATTAGAAAAAAACCTTTGTTAGCTAGTTTATGGTTGTTTAACATTTGCGAATTTATTTATTACATTGTAAACATAAAGTCGATGTCAGAAACATTAAAATACCAAAATCACGTTAAAAAATAAAAAAATAGATATCGCGGGTTTTCCTTTTTAAATACTCGTCACTCCCTCCTCGTTGTCATCATTCATTTCTAAATCTAATATTCCATCATCACCCACTGTTCCTTTGACGGACGGATTATCAAATGTTCGTACTGAGGGGATATCGCTTACAACATCGCGAAACGTCGCCATGGATAATGCCTAAAAATGTGTACTGCGTTAATTTCTAAAATTTTCGACATTGAAATATTTCACATATGTATGTAACATCAACACAAATCTTCAAAAGAACGCTTCAAAGTTATGGAGTACATATTCGTCTATTGGGTGTCGGTGCAATACAAAATCACCAAGATATGTATTGATGTATGGATACCTTCGACTCGTAAATCTTGGATGTGTTACTGTGAAGAATAGTGAATCATTTCATTAATACAACAATTCAATGATTACAAAGGTAAGATATTTTTCTAATGAACAACCACAAGAGTTATATTTAATGAAGCAAATGCAATGGTAACCTGTTTTGATCATTTTCTGTTTTCCAGGCGTCGCAAAGATCCAACCAAATTGGGTTAGAGCTACATGATGAAAAAACATCAAAATATCGAGATTTATATATTGAAGACAACTTAAGAAGTTACCAAGAGACACTATCATGAAAAAACTGCGTTTGAAACGACAAAACTTTACAATTTTACGAGACAAAGTATAATAAAATGATGAAATGTGATGGTCTTGTATCGTCAACAATACCTATTTCATAAACATTTATTATTTCGTCAGGAAAACAACATTGGTAAAATAGGTAGGCTGTAGGGGTGGAGGTTAAAACCTGTTCTCAACATACCCTTCATTAACATGCATGTTTGTTCCTGGAGTCGATATATTGAAAGACTGTTTTTGTACACCTTTGGAAATGAAAACAATATGTTAGCAGTTAAAGATATTTCCTCAGACGATAAACATAAAAAAGCCTACCCTTTGCTTTAGCTGCTCTTAGTTTTCTTTGATGACTGCAAAATATAATAGAAAATACAATTCTACAGCTTTCTATAAAAACCATTTTAAGTGATCAAAGTCATGAAAATACGCTCTAATATATATTAGCGTCTCTCCTTTTCAGGACAACATAACGTCACTACTTTACTACTTAATAATCCATATGTTATAATCTTGCAGATACAAACCTTCGTCTCATAAGAGAAATGACACACAAAAAACACAATAGTAACATCAACAATACTATGGAAAGCACTATGGCAGCCATTAGTACTGTGTCAAAACCTTTATTTTCAATGTCTGCTTGCTTTGGCTATAAACGGAATTATTTGAAATGAGTTTGTACAATAAATTTCTCTATCTAAACTTTGCACCTTAATGCGAACAAAATAAGTCCTTTTATGTATATTCTGAATAATTTTCGTTTAAAGAAAAAGAAGCAAATAAATAAAGTTCAAGAAGTTTCTTACCTCAACAGCGTGAACTTTATACTTTTGAAATATTGAGATCAGTTTGTCGTAGTTGGCATCAATTCGCCTGCAAAGAGCAACACGTTCACACTTTAGAAACCATAACTAATAAACGTTGAATGTTTCATGAAAGTCAATGACGTACCTTAATGCCTTGCGTTTGTCCACAACTTGGTTTGTTTTTGGATCAACAGCATGCATGAAGATGTCCGTCCTAAGCAAAAATACCTTAAAGAGATCACTGAGGAGACACAAATTGTAAACATAAAAAAGTATATTCTGCAGCTCCAAAAAAATTATTAATAATTTGAAACAACACTTATTAACAAAAGATGGAGCCTATATGAACTTTTTCATACACCAAATGATCAGGTCGAAGTATAAGCAATCATACTTTGATAAGTCGTATCTTCCGTTGTCTTGAAGATGATACTGAATGTTATCAATATTAAACTCCAGACCTGTAGCTTCGTCGAGAATTCTGCAAAAAGTGTAAATAGACAGTTTATACTGTACTGTAGACGTAAAGTTTACAGTATACCATATTGACCACAGAGAAGTTTATGCTACACCCTATTGTCGATAGAAAAGCTTATGGTATACTGCAGTCTATGGTCAACTGCTACAGTTTATGTTACATGTAGTAGACCATAGAAACGTTTATGCTACACCATATTGACTATAGAGAAATCTATACTATATTGAAGTTGACCATAAAGAAGTGTATATGCTATATCATTTTGACCACAGAGAACTGTACGTATGCCAAGTCGTTATCAATTACAAGAAAAAGATAAACCAGGCGGGTGGGCATGCGCCTTAGTTATCAAAGTTTCATCATTCTAAAGAACACAAACCTCTTAATTTTATCTATGTTGTTGCGTACATACTCTGTATCATTGATTCCTAATGTTAAACGGACTCGTTGATCATCTACCAAGACGAATATCTTAAAAAAAGATAAAATGTCTCATCATCTTGTGCCTCGTGTGTGAGTAAAGAGATCATCTTACTGTAACGTTGGTTTTGGCAATCTTAGAAGGATCTTCACACGAATAAATAAAGGAATATTTTCTTCCTACACCACTTGCAAAGTACTGTTGTTGACCCGCCAGTATCCAGCCTGTTTCTTTTTCCACACTCAATAACTCCGCAGGATGCAGGTCAACGACTTTATAAATAAGTTTACTGTTATTACCAATATCTTTATCGATACACTAAAATTATAAAGATGAAATATTGCATCATTTCCAATAAGTTTGCTTATTTTAAAAGCAAATACATGAGCATTAGACCCCACTTCATGACGATGGTAAAAAGTATTTCTGAGAGATACATGTAACTTTGACATAAACAATGACAATGAGTCAGACAACTCATGCACATATTACTAAGTTACTAACCACATTAATTCATGTGCTTTGTCATGCATATTCATGTTTCATATGTGGGAATTAAATCTGTTGAAGTCCGCAAGCACTACTACCTTAAGAATACAAACTCACCGTAATTCGTGTTATTTTGCTATTGTATTCAGCACTTTCCGATACTCCTACATCATATAAATTTTAATGATGTTACACAAAGAGTACAACAATGTGTTATAAACGCTGCTCACAAAAATAATAATGAAGAAAACATAAAAGCATGAGAAAAACCTTATTGAAGAACTTACCAGCTTTGTAAGAATTATATTCAAAGTACGGTGCGTTGTCATTTTCATCCGCGATAATGATTTTAACAACTTGAACGTTTTTCATAACTGCAATTTTGGAAAACAAAAACGAATTGGAAATGATGGCGACATCTTAAAATTTTTAACTATCAAATTACCCGAAAGAGATGGATCAATCAAGGTGGAAATAAATTCCTCAACTTTCTACAATGAAAAAAGACAAAAACGTACACGACAATTCCATGCAAATAAAATAAAGGTAGAAATCATTTAAGTATTTAAGTAGTTAGTACCTTTTCATTGAAGACAGCGACATAAATATGGAACGTACTGTTTTGTTCACGATCCTAAATTCATAAAAAATCCATAGAGGAACATACGTAAATATTTTCATAATTGCCAAAAGAGAGGCGAAAATGATTTAAAACGTACGAGAGATTTTGTCGTTGTGATAGTACCACTTGTTTCACCAATGGCAAAAATATTTGCCCCATTTCCTCCTAAAAAATAAGACGTTTGATTTTTAGTTCATGCACGTATGAGATGTTTTTGTTCTTGGTTTCATTGTTTACATAAAGAAAACCAATCGTAATAACTGATGATACTTTTTACATAAAAGACGTGAATATCGACAAATCTTTCAACCCAAACAAGTTACGTATGGCATACTTTTGTCATGTTTAATGGAAAATTAATGAAATATTTACAAACAAGATAATTTATAACGATAGGTTTAAACATTATTTTGTTTAAGATTTGTCAGTAGGACCAGCTTTCCTAGAAAATATTATTTATTATAAGATGAATTTCTTCGCGCTCATTGTGTGATTGAGGTAAGCCAATCACATCTAGTAACTTACCAATAATGTAATAGAAGATAGTGTCTGTCGGATCCAGATCCAATGCAGTCAAATTACCTACAAATGAACCGGGTGCCTTGTTTTCAAAGACACTTAAGGTAACACTTTTCTAAAAAATAAGAACAAATCGAATAGGTTTATCGTCAAATTGTGCTAAAGTATAGATAATTGACTGACTAATGTATCACTACATATAATGTGATTAAATTGTGCATAATTAAGCTGCAACCTCTGACTTATAGTATGTTTCTAGCTAAATGATGGTGGACACGAAGTACCTGAAAGAAAAATGGACGATTGTCATTTACATCCCGGATGTTGATTGTGATGACTTGAATATCGGACTGAAGACTCGGCGAGCCAAAGTCGTAGGCCTGGACACCAATCTATATGTCAACGACACAAACATCTCTGCGTAACCAAACTTTTAGAAAAGATGAAATAATCATAAATTTAATAAACCTGATATTGTTGTAAAGATTCATGATCCATTGTTTTGACGGTGAACACTATTCCAGTTTTGTTATTGATTTCAAAAACTCCATCATCATTTCCACTGACAATTCTATAACCTATCTTAGCATTTTCACTTAAATCAGCGTCAGTAGCATAAACACGAGTTACGATGCTTCCTATCGTTGCATTCTATAATCAACAAAAATTATGAACTACTATAATCTACAGTAAGCAGGAACAATTTTTTCTTGGGGTTTCAACCACTCATATAAAGCTCAATCGAAGGAATGCACAATTAAAAACTTAAAAACTGAATTTCATATTTCAAGATGTTCTTGGGTAGCCTAAGTTCATAATCTTTATAAGTGAGTAACAACAGCAAGAACACAAGGTGAAAGCGTATATATATACTTATGCAAAATTAAATCATTCCTGTACTTTACCTCTAGTATTTCAAGTATCTTATTGTCGATTACAAGTACAGGATTCTGATCGTTTGTATCAGTGACAATGACGTCAACAGTCACGTTACTCGACAAAGATGGAGTCCCATGATCCTTGGCGTTCACAATGAGTTGATGTTTATGTTTTGTCTCTCTATCAAGCTTCATTCCAATGGTTATAACTCCGGTCGTTTTATTTATAATGAAGATTCCTTAATAAAGAATAATGCTTGTCTTGTTATACATATAAGTTTGCGCTTTCCGCACATTCTATTTCAAAATAACATAGACTCATTTCTAAATATCATTTCATTATTTTCAGTGATTAAAACAGATTAATTTCATACAAAGCACAGTATTATAAAACAACACGAAATTTGCAAACAAAATCATTTCAAAGAAAAACAATTTCGGTTTTCATGTTTTGTTGAAAACACCGAAAAGGTTCTTCAAAAAAGACCGTTAATATTACTGTAGAAAAAGACATCTTTACTGTAGAAAAATACAAAAACTAAATTTGGACGACTACAGGACACATCTCAACTCTAGAATTAGTTATATGCAGCTATGTAATCAGAAAAAACGCAAATGACAAAACATTGATGATGTTTATACCAACACACCGTCAACATTTCCATCCACAATAAAATACGAGATTCTTTCGTTTTCTTCAATATCTGCATCACTGCTGATACGGTGAGAATTTCTTCATTAAGTTCAAAACTCTCTGGAATTTTTTTTCTGTAAGTGTTTTGTCGAAATACTGGTGCGTTGTCGTTGTAATCCAACACGACAATGGTTAACTGAAATACAAAATGGCATTAATTTCAATGGAGTACAAAAGTAATCTCATGAAGTACAATGCAATCTCATGGAGAACAATGCAATCTCACGAAGTACAATATAATCCTCGAGAAAAAAGCCAAAATCATGATAATTTACTCAAATTACCTTAGCACTGGTTTCCTGAACAGTTTTATTCATAAATTTGTTTAAAGTTCGAGCGACGACAGTCAACTCATATTTATCCTTTCTTTCTCGATCCAGGTTTTTTGTATTAGCAACGTAAACGCTGCCATTCTCGAACCCAATCCCAAACACTTCGTCTTCGTTTCCATCAGTAATAAAATAATAAATTTTTCGATGATGGAGTTCAAAGTCATCATCCGTTGCAATTATTTGAGTGATGTTAACACCAAGTGAAACATTCTCATTCACTGTCGCTGACCATGTATCCTGAGCAAACGCAGGAGCATTGTCATCAGTGTCTGTGATCGTGACGTATAAGGAGACATTACTACATAGTCGTGGAACTCCATTGTCACATGCAGTGACAGTTACTGTGAAATTACGACGTTTCTCAAAGTTTAAAGATGTTGCCGTTTTAACCTCTCCTGTAATGGCTAAATTATGGCAAGGGAAATATTAAAATACGAACACGTTCATTCTAATTTCGAAAAAAAACTTATTTAAAAACTTACATCCAATAGAAAAGACATGATTTCCATCTTCAATGTTTCCTTCTGACTCCAATTCATAAGTCACCGCACCTGCAGGTCCATCGTCCATATCCACGGCTTGCACGATACAATCAATCTTACAATGTTGCATGGAAAAATACGTAAATTAAGTAGATTAAAATCAACGACGTTCCAATTCCTTCAATATACACAGCTAAGTAAGAATGGTTACATACAGATGTTCCTTTTGTTGTATCCTCGGGAACTGAAGCAGAATAAGACGATTTATTAAAGTTTGGTATAACATCATTAACATCCAGAACATTAATAGTGACATTTGTTCTTCCTTGTAACGAAGGTTTTCCATGATCAATAGCCTTAACATAACAAACATAAGATAATAAGTAAATATTATTAACGATACTTAAAACTGACAATATCTTTCTCGAAGTATTATGTTGTGCGTAAATAAATGTAAGTTTACCTTAACTGTTAAGAAATACTGCGAAACTTTTTCACGATCTAAGGGTCGAGAGGTTGAAATTTCTCCAGTTTCATTGTTGATGACTAAAGCGAAGCCTGAACATAAAAATACAGTTTATCAAATTTATCAATTCTCCACAAGATCATTCGATAAAAAATTTCAAGAGTCTACAAAACAGTATTGAACAAAACCATGAAAAGGCATTGACTGACGAATTGTTATATAAAACCATTTCAAAAATTGATAGTTTCACAAACCAATATTTCCATTAGAAAATGAATAAGTAATCAATTTGTTTTTTTCGCTATCTCTGTCATCAGCACGAAGATAAACGATGTGAGTTCCTGGAGGACGATTCTATACGTAGCAATTAAAAACATTGAGCATTCTTAAATTCAATGATTAAGTTCTATACGTAGCAATTAAAAACATTGAGCATTCTTAAATTCAATGATTAAGTTCTATACGTAGCAATTAAAAACATTGAGCATTCTTAACTTCAATGATTAAGTTCTAATAGCAATTAAAACATTGAGCATTCTTAACTTCAATGAAGTAGCAATTAAAAACATTGAGCATTCTTAAATTCAATGAACATACATTAAGATAACATCGAAAAGTGTTTATTGGCAGTTCGCAAAAAACTTTGTGTCTTAAAATTGAAATAAAATTTCACCTCAGTAACGGTAAAACTATATTCTGGTTGGCCAAATCTTGGACTGTTATCGTTTATATCTAGTAATTCCACAACAAGTTGATATTCTCTGCAAAAAAATGACAATTTGTAAACATGTGAATTTTTTGAACATTTACAGTAAACCCATACACAGCAAACGGCAACAATGTCATAGCCAAGTGTGGAATAAATAACCATGTATAACACCATAGCCACCATCACAACATACCCAGATAACATACGGGGTGTCCCTTTGTCTGTGGCAACGATTTTTAACGAGTATAATCGAACTGTTTCGAAATCTAATTCTTTAGCAACGCTAATTTCACCAGTATGCGAATCAATGTGAAATTTCCCCTGTAAAAAAGACAGATTATCTTTACATTTTACAATGACATAACTAAAACGATTTCATTTATTGATGAACTTACCTCACTGTTACCATCTGCAATCGTGTACTCAACAGTCCCATTCAATCCCAAGTCATTATCTACGGCGGTATTATTGACGACTGTAGAATTGATTGTACTTGGTCCTTCTTTTATTTGGATTTTATCAACGACTAACAAGAAAACATGATTTAAATTTATGGTATTTAGTGATCACATAACTTATAATCTAATACTTGATGATTAGAAAAATCACAATCATTTTTCATTAAAGATATTCTTCCAAAAATCATAAGTTTGTACTGAAATATATAAAATATATTAGCTTAGCATGTGATGCACTCACTCATAGAAAATTCTGGAGTGTTATCATTTTCATCCAATATTTGAACAATAAGCTATAGTATAAAGATGAAAGAAACAAAAATCTTGAGAATGAAAAATTAAAATAAAAAATTTGACACAAAAAAACGTCAAAAAATACTCACAGTTGTATAAGCAAACATTTTTGGGTCTCCGCTGTCGGAAACAGACACCTAGAAAATAGATTGACAGTCTAATAAAAGGGAAAAAAACAATTCTCAATTCTTGTCTTACAACAATTCTGCAGATAATTTTACAAGAATGGTTTTTTAAACATAAAATGAGAACAGAACATTATCATGTACTTCGAGATCATTAAACCTCACATTTTTTACATTTTTCTGATGTTACATCAACCAAGAATAACATACATTCAATATGTAGAACGATGTTTTTTCTCTGTTGGGCGAGCTTCTAGTAAGGACAAGACCGTCTATGTTGATGGTAAACATCTTTTCATTATTCCCATCAACAATTGTGTAGACAAGCTCCGCATTCAATCCATTATCCTTGTCAAAAGCATGAAGTTGAACCAGTGGAAAGTCAATACCAACATTTTCAACCAATGATAAGTTGTAAAATGTTTGATTAAAATACGGTGTGTTATCATTTTTATCCTAGAAAGAACAAAAGAGTTTGTTCGCCTATTCAAATACAACACATTGAAACCATCTTTTTTATTGTAAGCAGAACAACACTAAAGACTTTCGGCCTTAGCGCAAGATAATGCAATACTTTGATAATTTTATAGGACAAACCTTTACAAATATGACGATACTTTTAGTTGAGTTTAAAGGTGGTATTCCCTGATCTTTAGCCATAACGACGAGCGTGAACTCAGACTTCGTTTCATAGTCAATAATACCAGAGTTGGTGATGTTTCCTGTTATGTTGTTGATTGTAAAGTTTTTAAGAAGATTGCCATTCATTATGTAGTATCTTATATCCGAATTAGAACCACTGTCTGCATCTGTTGCCTGATAAAAATACATGGATAAGACTGTTAGCTTTTCATTTTTTTATCTAGAAGATTAGAATAAACCAGCAGCTGTAAACTGCTTTCACCAACTGTATGATTTTTACAATTAAAGAAAATTAGTTATGTCACCTGAACTGTAAAATAAAATCCATGTCTTTCATTTTCCTCAATGAATGCAATTTTGGTGTGGATGGATTAAATATTGGTGGATTATCGTTATTATCAATGATGGATATAATCAACGTGACTTCAGTGATCTTGTTACCACCATCCTTTGCTTGAAGTCCAATATAAAACAATGTTCGTGATTCATAATCTAAACTTCTCGCAACAGATATTGTTCCATTCTCCTTATCAACCAAAAACCTTCATTACAATTACAAAAAACGTTTAAAGTTTGATCTCCTGATCAATTCAAATTCACTCACATATCAGCTCCATTTCCAATCAAAGAATACGTGACGTCACCATAGTAACCAGCATCATTATCACTTGCCTCAATAAAATAAGAATTGGAAAAACTAAAGCTACAATACATAAGATATTATGCTTAATGGGAACGATAAATACACTCATAAAGTGTACGAGCACAAATACTTTATTCTGTGTGAATAGAAACTGAAATATCGAAGGTAATACACGAACTATACCATTATCTGTCCGATATTTGTCCCAACAACATCTCCTTCGTTGACACTTAAATTATACTGACTTTGATTGAAAACAGGATTGTTGTCGTTGATGTTCGTTATTATCACAAAGACTGTTTGATTTGAAGAGTATTTTTCAACCGAATCGGTTTCCGTAGCAATGACCTAAGATTTCAATTTAACAATCTGTAACTCAAGCTCTAGTATCATAAAGCAAAGTTGGACTCGTTTTGGGGTGTAGCAAAGCTCAATATACTACTATTTTTGCAACAAAACAAACTCTTACCAGAATAGTGTAATTTTTCTTCATTTCATAATCAACAGACTTGTTTAAAGCAATCCTTCCAATAATTGGGTCAATCGTAAATGTGCCATTATGGTCACATAACATGGAGTATTGAAACTTTGCATTCCTTGCCTATTGCAGAGATTAAGATCATTTCATTTTTTATAGCTACAACTGATTAAAACTGTACAGAATATCTCGATCAGTTTTTAGCAATAAATTTAGATGTCATCTTCAAATAATTGAAGAGTTAATAATGCAAACTTTAACACGAATATATTTATGACATCTTAATGTTCAAGTGCTTCAAACAAGTATCACAAGTAAATTCACTTTATTTCTACCATAAATTTTCTATATGAATTTATGAATCTAAATTATTGTTTATTTTAGTTGAAACAGGAATACAGAAACATATCACCTCTCTGTCGTTATCATAGGCGCCCATTCGGAAAAAGATAGTCGTTCCTATAGGAGTATTTTCAGGAATATTTGTTGAGTATAAAAATCCCTCTGTTGGAAATGTTGGCTTGTTGTCATTCAGATCTCTTATTGTTACAAAAACAACAGCATCACCAGTTGTTTTATCAGGTATTTCTGTAGCCTAAAGAAAACATGTATAAGAAACAGCAATCATTACATAACATGTCACTGCTCGAACAGTTGAAATTAAAGTAGTCAAAGTAAAATAATAGCCAGGTTTGATCGTTACAAAATGATTCATCAAATTCACCAAAAAAAACCAATATAATGAAAAGCATATTTCAAGAGAAGTTGAAAAAAAAACTGGAAGCTTAAAATTTAACCAACAATTACACAAGCGTCGCTTCAAACCAAAAAGATGCAAGGTAAATAAAATCAAGATAAAATTATTACTTATCCACAATGAATACCTCAACAGTCAATTCAAAATAGTCATCGCCATTATCACGGTCAATCGATGAATTCACATAAATTTTTCCTGAAGAATTATCAATCCTGAAGTGGTAATTATGATTTCCTGAAAAAAATGATTGACATTCATCGTTAAACAATGACATATCATTGATATAAGTCGGGCAAATTAATTTACCTGCAACGATGGAGTAAATAACCGGATTCTTAATTCCTCTATCACCGTCAAACGCTCTAGTTTGAATGACAACACTGTCCTAAAAATTTGAGATAAAAGTAAAAATTTCCAAGTACTACACAATATTCAAAGCTCGACAGTAGATATTGCTTCAAATAGCGTCTTTCACACAATTTAAATTAAAAACCAAACTTAAGACAATCTCCAGGGAGGGATCCTAACGTTTAACGAGACATTAGTTTCCTTTTATCTTTAATCAAAGATTTAGCGAGCAGATTATCCAATAACACAATACTAAATCCAAGATAAAGAAATCAAGCATGGGAACAATTACCAAGGATTACAAAATGCATAAAATCATACTCAACCGTCCACTCCAAAAGATTGAAGGTAAATTTTGAAACAACAAATCACGGAAAACAAAATAAATTTTTACTCGAAAGAGCAGCTGGTTTACGAGGGAACCAAGTATAGAAGACTTTTCAAAACATTGCTAACTAATGTCCTACAAACACACCTTGGCAATATTTTCATCAATATCAGCGCGATATGATGATTTTTCAAACACAGGAGGTTGGTCACTTTGATCTTTGACTTCAATCACTAAATTTGTGGTAGAATTCAAAGACGGGACACCATGATCCTAATGAAAATGATAAAACAAAGAAACTCCAAGTCCAAGGAAATCCATACTACTCTGCAACAGTTAAATGACTATAGTGGGGATTCTTTTGGTCAAAATTAAAAAGGAATTTGTGCACTTTACATGTGAACTCGTCATGACATTTCACTAAAGATATGACATCAAATGTTGCAGACTGAGTATTAATACACTAATAGAAAAAATTACAAAAATTTAGTATTTTACCTTTACGAGAATGCCAAGATTATAATGATTTCTTTTTTCGTAATCCAACGTTTCATTGGTCTTTAACTTAACATGACCAGTCGCTGCATTTATGTCAAAAAACTACCAAAATAACAAAATATCAATTTTGAGTTGGACCAGTTGTATAGAAATGATGTTGATTTCCAAAACAAGCCGTTTGCATTGTTATAAATTATAAAATATATTCTTCAGTTATTTCTTCTTTTCGACAGACAATAATATTAATTAGAATACAATTTAATGCAAACAGGCAGTCACTGCTGTATTCAATTCACCTTTCTGACGGTAAACACACGTGTCAAAAAAGACGAGATCAAATTACAAAATTTGGACAATCAAATAGTCGGACATAGTATTGTACTTGTAGAAGAGTAGCAATAAAATAGAAAGAAGATACTTTTGGGGCATTTGTAAATGTTATTTTATTCTTAGGTGATCTCGGGGTCTGGTGGGCGGAAGCTTGCTACGTATTGGCATCTATCTCCCAAGTAGGATAGCGTGGAGGGGCCGAAATCTCTTACCGAAACGTTAACATGCGGCGTTCTAGTGCCTTAAGATTAACAAGGTATCGGGAAGCATGGCCCGAAAACGGGGTTTTTTGCTTTCGAATTTTATCTTTTTGTTTATTTTGCAAGACTTCTTCTCATAAAATAAACCAAGCAATGTTTCAATTAACCTCTTACACTGTGCCTTTTTTTGACACGTAAAATTTAAGACTACCTTAAACATGTTGTATACAATTTTTATTGGTTCATTTCTATCTCTTAACTCACTCATTTACTGTTTCTCATGTATAACGAGCAAACTATTCAAGGGATTCATGGCAAACAAGGATTATGTGGTTCACTTAATTAACATTGCTCTAGTGCTCAACTATCTCGGGGTATCAGGAGGCATGGACCAAAAACGATATTTTTTGTTTTCAAAATTTCAGATTCAAAAATGCCCAAAACCTCAAAAGCATCTCCTAACCATTTTATTGCCGCTATTCTACATAAACTATACTAAGCCCGATCATTTGATGGTCCGAATTTTGCAATTTGATTTCGTATTTTTGACACGTGTGCTTACCGTCGGAAAGGTGGATTGAAAATGGTAAGACAGAGGGTGCTCAATACCTGACAATCATCTAGTTTACATTCGTCTGTAAAGAAAAAGGAAAACTTTCCTGACGTTCCAATATCAGCATCGCTTGCAGAAATATTGTACAAATCGTTGCTTGGCGAGTTCTGTTCAATAACAAATATAGATTCAAGCAAATTTCGAAATAATTTCCTGCGTTGATTGATTGACTTCACTTTTTAAAAAAATTAAAGCCCAAACACTCTTCCAATTTCAAGTTCTATGAGGACAATTCAGGAGTTTTGGTACCTCAAAAATACTTCTGAAGTAAGGTGTCTTGAGAAATATTGGTTTATTGTCATTTTCATCTTCCACATAAAGTTTAACATGGTGTTTTGACTGCAAAAAGGTAACAAAATGATTAAAAAAGTCCACAAAAACAGCTCATTCTTCCTTTCCATACTATCATTTAATTACCTCTCTTGCAGTTGACATGACGTAGTCTTTAACCCCAATATAAAACGCGTACTCGCCATGTGCCTAAATAATGTAATTTAATACAATTTAAATGATGATTTGAAATCGACAAGAAGAGCAATCTTTATAAACAAATGTTCGAGAAGAAAAGTAAACTAATATTTTAGCAAGACAAGAAAAAATATGAAATTCTTGAATCTACAAATGGTTCCATAGACGTAACAGAAATTGATTTTAAAGATTTGAAATGCCAACTTTAACAACAAGTAAAAAGCTAATACATAAAATGAATAGTGAATAAATACATTATGCACGTGACCAAAACTTACTTAATCACATGCTGAATTGAATATAAATTCAAAACAACATATTCTGCAATGCATCAAAAATACACCATGAAAAAGAAGTTACCTCACGATCAAGAGGTTTTTTAAGTCGTAATTTTCGCATCAGAGGACTGAATCCTGTTGCATTATCATTGCCAAAATTGTCGACAATTTCGAATAAATCCTCTCCAACACTATCCAAAAACATCGTGATTTTCTCAGTTTCGGGACCAACTGCCTCGAAATCAAACAATGAACCTATATAAACAAGAAACATGCTGCTTTTAATTAAAACTACCAAAATTGTGCTCATTTCATAAAACAAACACATTTGGCTACCTTTCATGTTTTCTTTAGTTCGCAAAGTTCTGGGAGGATTTTTAAAGTACGGCAACTCATTTCTAGAAGCTTGAGCCCTTACGTCTAAAACAATGTCAAAAAAAAACACTAATATCAAGAACGACTGTATCGGAGAAATATATATTTTATGCATGTAGTATACATATGATAAAACTGTTTACATAAAATTATCATGGAACCACTTGTATACTCTGATATTGTAAGGATCGATTTTTTTTGCCTCAGTCGTTTATGAGTATTCAGTAATAAAAATTTCATATAGATATGGAAACACCATAATGACCACAATACAAGAATTCAAGTGAATGGTTTGAACCCGGGAATATTGTCACATGTTTGTAGATGTAGATCGTCCAACATGAAAATAACTGTTGGTGTTGATGTTATCCGATGTTTTGTCAACCTTAGCGGTAGCAATCTTCAGAGTTACTTTTCTGACGATGACTACCGCTAACACCAACAGTCCTTCTCAGTACTTTACTATCGTGGACGATTTACATCTGCAAACATGAATACAAGAATTACTTTACACATACGTTTCATGAGTCATATTTTTATTGATAATGAAACTACATACTTGAATTGAACCTGAGAAAATAAGCCGTGAGAAAAAACCAAAGATGAAGTTGAACATACTACTTCTTTTCATCTAAAGAAACACAAGAAAATGGAAAGACCATAAACATACACAGGCTTTAAAGAAAATCTATCGACTTCACAAACAAATTATTCCATGTCAATATTCGATTCGTAGACTGTTTTGACCCACAATAAAAAGCTGTTTAATTGTTAATTTCAAGTATTTGAAGAAAAACTTGAATGTTTAGTAAAGTGACCATAAGACTCACAAAAACTCACCAAATAATAATTTGCAGCAATGAAATATACAATCTTAAAATTCTTGATTTTTCAACATTAACCCCTTTGCTCGTTTGAGACGACAAGTTTAGTTTAAAAAGACAGCAATAATTACAAAAATTATAGGTTTATTAACATCAAACTGTAACATCATTTATAAAATGGCAAGAACAATCGAACTTAGAAACGCTATAGATAGACATTAATCTTGCAATGACATAGTGTTGACGATTTTTCCAATTTAAATCCCTTTGAGGAGAATTCCATGGGAATACTTTTTATGTCAATCCACTATAATCCAACACAAAGTACTGTTAGATGATATATTTTACATACAATATTGTTCTTTTTGAAAATAGGTCTAGACTTGCCTTTTAAGTCAAAATCTCCAAAATATAGTTGTTTAAAAAGCCTCTAAAGTGAACGGATATCAAATGGTGTAATCACAGATAAGATGAAGTCAAACTTCAAGCAACAAAAATATGCGGGTGCGCGTCTAACATTTTAATCCTCGTTAAATATTTACACAAAAGAAACTAGAAATATCGGAAATAAAATAAGAATATTAAAAGCGATAAAACCGAGGATAAAGCTATTTGTCTATTTTTCGCAAAATAAAAGTCCGGAATATGTTCTTTTGGTTTGATAAAGAAACATTAAAGTGAACAACATTTGAAACTTAACTAAAATGCAAATATGCTGATGTCATAAACCATAAACTCACCATGACAACTATACACGCCATATCTGGCAAAATTGTGCCACTGCTAAGTAGACTAGGACGAGTGTTTGTGACATTTAGTGTTACGGAGAAAGACCAGACAATATCTATAAAAATATTCAAGGTGTATAAAAAAGAAGAGCTTTAGAAATGAAACTATTGTCATAATTTCACTGTTCCATCTATTTGCTATAAGCCTATGAAGTAAAATATTGCTAGCTACGTGCATAAATTATCGCTAGCTACGTGCATAAATTATATATATTTATTTTCGTCACAAGCACAAAAGCTTTTCTGCTTCCAGTGACTTCTAACAGGAAAATTTGCACGTAACTACACTTGAGAGTTAAGCATAGAGATCAAACGGTTTCTAAAGCTTTCCTTTTTTCACGCACCCTTTACGCATATAAGAAAATATATATGGTTTTAATATAGCAATAAAATTTATGGTAATGTGTACATTAAAATATCTTACCAGTTGGCCACCAGTAGCTGCTCTCACGTGAAAATGGTTTGACGACAACCTAACAAGAAAGATAACAACTTTACGCACAATTCGAATCGTAAAACAGTCAATCGAAGTCATAAAGATTCAAAAAATTAAGAATTTAAGAATTTGCTTTGTGTGAAGGTCGATAAGCAAAAATTGCCCAACGGTAAGTTTTAAAATGCTCTTGTTCAAAATATTTTCCCCATCGTGAGAAATTACATCTTTTTGACAGTTGTTGAATGACATCAGTAGAGGTTTAAAGACAAGAATAATGTGTGATATATGCTTACCAATTTTATTCTAGGTTTTTCAATTCATTTAAAATATATGGAAACCTTTTTAAAAGCACAACGTTTCGTATTTTCCACGCTTCTGCTCTGTTTAGAATTGATTTCGAAATTTGATGTCGCAGTTTACATTTGCAACAAAATAACGGAGTAAATGCAGTTTTCCTACACCCCTCATTCATCCAACTTTTCTGCTTTCTCAATAACTGCATAAATAGGAGTCGCATTTATTTTAAAAGTTAAAACTTAAAATAATAATTAATCCAGTAAAAATTTGATATTTGCTTTTAATCAAATGATATTTTTATAGAAACCGTTATTAAGACATATAAATCAATCCACAATCATGACAGTCGAAATAAAAACAAGTCATTTTTGGCGCGGTACATTTGGCGAATTTCTAGGAACTATGTTTTATGTCTTTGTTTCATGTGGAGCGACATTGTCACAGGAGAAGAATGTTGCAATTTCTGATCAATCATGGACTTTTGGTTTAGTAATGATGACTATAGTTCAATGTGTAGGATACAGTAGTGGAGGTCACATAAATCCTGCAGTAAGTGCAGGATTTGTATTCACAGGAAAAATAACTTGGTTAAGAGCAACAGTTTACATCATAGCTCAAATAACAGGAGGTAAGATACAAAATTACAAACTGGTGACGACATGATATAAAATTTTACCTTTACACGACGTTACAGGTACCTTGTTTTTAATATAGGTATCGCTGGCGCAGGCATCTTGTACGGGGTGACGCCTAAAAAATGGAGAGGAAACCTGGGGTTAAATATTAAAGATGACGACATCAGTGTTGAACAAGCCTTGGGTGTAGAAGCAATGTTAACATTTTTGCTTGTGTTGACAGTATATTCAGCTTACGATACAAACAGAAAAATCAATGATTATGGGCTGAGTCCAATATTTATAGGAGCTGCTTATATCTCAGTACATTTCATGGGTGTGAGTGTTTAAATGAAATTTTAACTAAACTAACTTAACACCATTTATGCTTTTATATTTGTCTGATTTTCTTTACAGATTCGCTATACAGGATGTTCTGTCAATCCAGCACGATCTTTTGGTCCAGCTGTTATCATGAACGAGTTCACGCATCAATGGGTAAAATGATCACGTGAACAGTAATTATAAATGAATTGTTACCAAATTTAAATATCAATTTTACTTGTTTCATCAAATGTTTAGATATATTGGGCTGCTCCTATGTTAGCAGGAATTCTTGCTGCTCTGGTCTATGAATCTTTACTTCGAACCACCATTGATGAACGTGCGTACGAACTTCCTCCACGAGTCTGCAATTTAAACTGTTGTAGCATTGCCTCGCATCGAAACGTTAAAGAAGACGTAATAATCGAGGGAAATTACCCGTCTGGTGGTTTTGCTAGCGCTAAATATCGCAAGACAAACTACGAATTTTAAAATAATTCAATAAGCCAGAGAACAGTTGGATTGTGAGGATTTTTTGTCGAATGTTCTTTATCAGAAAAAGTTTATCAGTTTGTTTAAAGTAAAAATTGCTATTAGATAAGGAATTTGAAACTTGATTATTTGCAATTCCAGTTCTAAATAAATCAGTAAAATGCGATATTTAGACTTGCTTTCCCAGGAAATCCGTCCCACAGTATCATCTACCAAGGTGGATTGCATCAGGGAACAGTTTGCTCCTCTTAAAGGTGGCGAATTTCCTGGATGGACCTTTTCTAATATCAAAATATTCCACTGGCCACAGGAAAAAAATAAAGATAATGTTAAAATATTAGCAAATAATTTAATTTTCATTTTAGAAAACACCTGACCTAGTTTACATGCCATACAATGACATACTCTTTTCTTTGAAATCTTCATACTTTACTATAGTTACACCTCAAAAATTTACATAAAGTCAATGATCCCCAAGTAGCAAGAGATGTAATATATTACTCCTTATTGTACCATACTAGTGGTACTAAATAATATTGTTTTAAAAACATATAAAGTAAAAATCGTAAAATTTTCAAAAGTGTACCATGAAATGATTTTTTGAGAATAATGAAAAAACATTGACCTCAATTAAATTATCATAACTTAAATTCCAGACAAAGAATTCAATTCAAACTGTATTCAAGGGATATAATCACGTGAAACTTGTTATCCAATTTCTTGCCAATTGAAACATCATCTACGCTGTTCTATAATAATAAAAAGTATATTTGCTTATTTATACATACAAAAACATGATGATGAACACAGAGAATCAAAAAATAAATGAAAATTCATCAACATAATAGCAAATAAAAATGCTAAGCTGTAGAGATTTTATTTGATCTGTCAAGTGTCACAACTATATAAGGAATCTCAACTAGGAATCTAAGGATAGTGCAAATTTTAAAGCATTTTGAATAATAATTTGAAGAAACCATAAATTTGTTTCATACATTAATTCCATTTTACTTACAGTGGCTGCATTTGTAGTCGAGAAGATTTTGAAGGAGGTTCATAGGCTGAGTGAGAATTAAAGCCACCAATGAAGTCAACTGTTAGACCAAATACGAAATATTGATTATTCTCAAGGTTATGCCAATTGAAAGACAATAGTCAAAACATACTACTTACATCTGTCATCTTCTTCATGCAAATTCTTTGCAAGGAAAAATGCCAATGGAAATACCAGAATCTACAAAGAAATTCAATGAAGTTTTATCATAAAAACATCAGTAAGAGAAGAGAAATGTTTTTTATAAATGTAACAACTACAAAACAATTTACTTACGGACAACATACATTGAACACCAGCATGAATTGTCTCAATGTACTATAAATAAAATCATCAACAACTACTTCATAACAAAACAGTGTTAAGAAAGCAAAAAAATATGAGAAAAAGCTACCTCAAAGTCAAGAAGACAACCAGATGATGTAGAAGAATAATTTAGTCCATTTGTACTGTTTCCTTTAGTGCCTTCATGCCGTGTGGTGCAGCCAAATCCATTTTCCTTAAACCAACTCAGATGATTTGTTTTGAAGCTTAACCAATCATTGGTCTATGAAATGAAACAAAAATGTGCAAACACAAACTGACTTTTTGATGTCTAATGAGTTGCATCTTATATCCTAGATAAAATAATTTGAACATCTGATCAAAAATAGGCAAGGGGGACTTGTCTACGAATAAAACTTTGAGAACTATGTGAATTGGGATGTTTAGTAAAACCAAATAGACAACACCAATCAAATAGCACAATGTGATTTGGACAAAGAGTAAAATTTCTGTCTCTTTTTAACTTGTTGTTTTAATATTCATAAATATTCAGTGATACGCACATAAGTGACAGCTCCTATTTCCAAATACAGTGAAATGACAAAGAGATTTAATCCAAGCCATACCAAACACCAGACACCATACTATTCAAATAAAAAGATATAAGAAAAAATCAATAAAAAATGTCGGATGTGTGTGATGGACAGAATAACGAATGACTTTTTTTAACGCTAAACAAAAATGTTTGTCGTCAACGTCCGGCTGTCATGTTGTTAGAATGTAAATATTAGCATAGAAAAATTAATGTAATACACGTCACAAAGGAAGAGCTTTGTGAATGTTTAAACAGTAAATATTTGGCAGTTTTTCCACACGATAGCCATTGGTCGATGGTAAAAAATATTTATATATGAGATTATATATACCAGCTATATTATCTGCGTGTTTTATTGCAGACATGCTGTCGTGCATCTTTCACAATACTTTTAGGAAAGAGAACAGTTTAATAATTTTTAATAGCAATGAAAACACATAGACAGACAATTCGCCATAGAGAGATGGTATTGTTTACGTAAATTTGACACTCCCTTCCATCAGTTCATGAATTCTGATGCAGTTGCAGCATTGTAACTAAGTACTGAAGACAGGAATAAAAATACCAAGTGGACCTGAACTATCACTCAGTTCATCATTAAATGGAAAAAAGAAATTTAAATTTGTCACACAACAACACAAAGATATAAATAGATTTAAAACAATGCATTCACAAGTATTTTCTTGTCCCGGTAAATTTTTTTTCTTACCGTAATAACGTACTTTGAACGATATTGTACGACCCCAAAGAGTCCAACCACAACAAAACACAAATGAATAAAATTTCCCAGAATTGGCGCCCACATAAACCCGAGAAAGTCAAAGACTTGTCTTTCCACAGTTGATATCTGAAAATGAAATAAACCAATATCATGTTAAATTTAGTTTGAATACAAATCAGGAATAGCTGTGGAAGGCTTTTGTAATGGACAGCGTTGTCGTAAAATTCTGCTATTGCTGACACTGTAATTCCGGAGGAAATAATATTTACAAAGTTATATAACTGCAAAATATCTGAGACAAAAATCAAATATTGTTGCTAAATATATCGTTTATCTATCGTTAGTAATAATGCCACCAGCCATATTAAACATGGAAAGAAAGAGTTGATCATTCGTACTTACAATTTGTAAAACCTGTATAACGCCAATAACCTTTCTTACAGAACAGCAACCCATAGCTGAAGGTTTTCATCAAAGATATTACGCAGGATATGTACAATGATCAATTCAACACAACACCAGCCGCCTTCTATCGCAGCAGCTTTACCTTTAGCCATATATGGAGAGTCCTACCACATAAGGGCAAGAACCGGAAGTATATGGAGAGTGTAAAATTTGTGCTCTTCAAAACTTGCCAAGCATAACGATTTTTAACAGTTTTTATTGTAATTTTGAATGTCAAAGTACTTTTAATGATAAACAGGCGTTTAAAACACACCAGTGACAGGAGAACAATATCAACGTAATTACAAATTACTTATTAATTAAAAAGAAATTATTTTAATTTTTTAAAAAAGCTGAATTAGCACTTGCGGTTAGTGCCTGAAGGGAATCTGATGCAGTGGTGCTCAGGTAGTCTCTGTTTCAAAAAAGTCTTGCGTGATTAAAATAATCATCCAAACACAGTGTAAACTTTATTCATATAACTTTCGGATATGTCTGCGATTGAGATATAAAATTGTCCGTTGTCGGGAGAGAGAAGAGGGTTACACTCTTTCTAAAGCATGTGTTCATCATTCTAACAAACAGAAATCTTCATGTCAGCAATAATGAATATGAATTTCCTTGACTACAAAAGCAAAGAGTTTTGATATCTTAAGTACTTATAAAGAACTTTTATTGTTTGCTGAAGTAGGAAAGCTGGACTTGTTTGAAGAGGAGTCATACTTTAGGCGAGACTTGAGGAGCAATAGAATAAAAAAAACTTGTATAAAAGGGAAATGAAACTGCAATAGTTACAATAATGGCTAACGCTGTGATGATAGTAATGATCAACAAAAGAGCGACCATTCGTTTGAAATGAGAACAGCGTTCAATGTCGCTCAAATCCTGTACGGAGGTAGATATTTCGAAGAGTATACCTCCCAATGTGCCGCCCAAGATAGGAGCTGTCCAATATAACTAAAAAAGAGAAAAGATAATTTTGAAGACAAGAGATTAAAGGTAAAAAAATATGACATATGCAGAAAATTTATTAGGAAAAGAACATAAATATACCTAATAAAGATTGCCATTATATTTCCCCCAAGTTTTCTGAACAAAGGCTTGAGAAAAGATAATGGATGGATTCAAACTTCCCTTGGTGTAAAATAGCTGCGAATGGAGGCTATCAAAACCTCACAATTCCCTCGTTATACGAGTCATGATTTTCATTTTCTCTTCAAAATCTGCAACAAGAGATAATCCTCGCTAGTGGTTACTAGATGACCAGTTTAAAAATGAATAGAACCATAGAACCATATAGAACTGCAGTGTTAAATAAGTTTTGTCGACTTATGTGTACCTATGACTTTACTTATATCAATCATGGTGCAAAAAGTGTAAACACGTCCTATTTTTGAAAGACTTTCCACGTTTCCACTGGCAACATGGCAACCATCTAGGAAACGAAATGGTAAACAAAGCAAAAACGAAAAAAACTGACAGAGTAAATTTGAGGACAAATATTTCAATGTGTTCCAAGTCACCATCAAAACGAAGACTGATGACGCGATAGAAAACAGCGCGAGCGAGTCCTGGAAAACGTTCAGATTAAAAAGTTAACATGATTTCAATTTGTTAATTTTTGTGGTAAGCCAAAATGCTCACGTTCTCCGTTCTCTAATATTATTGTTTTTTTCTCTCAAGAAATTCATTTTCTCGAGTTTCTACGATATTCATATTCTCTGTGTTCCCGAGAGATATTCATGTTTTCTGTTTCCTAAGGTATTCATGTTCTCTGTTTCCTAAGAGACGTTCATGTTTTCTGTTTCCTAAGGTATTCAAGCTCTTTGCTTCTAAAAGTACAATTTATTGTTCTCTGCTTCCAAAGGTGTTTATGTTCTCTGTTTCCTAAAATATTTCAGTTTCTTGTTTACAGTTCTTGTTAATTTAAATTTATTCATTACATCTGAAATTAAATCATAATTCCAAGTATAAAGAATTAGAAAAAACACGCAAGCCTCCAACGATTTCAGAAAAAAATTAGAAGAGAAAACGGAGTCTTTCAAATCGTTGGGTAACATAGAATGCCACAGTCACAACAGGATTCGCATAAGTACTGGTCAATTCACGTGAGCAATACTTAAATGGCAAAAGCAAGTCCCAATAATACAGCTTTGAATAAAACTGACGATTCATTATGTTCTGACCAAAGGTTTTTTGCAACACATGAACAAAATACGAAGTAAAAGGAGACGACAAGTTCAACGAATATCGACGCTATGATGCTCTCACTAAACCGAGAGATGTCCATCGACCTGATAAGAATTATTCACAAAAATTTAATACAATACTTTGAAAGTTTGTGAAACAGACAAACAGAGTATTTTTTATCAAACAATTGAAATCAGTTCCCAACCACTTTAAATGGTTTATCGTTTGCGTTGCTTGAGTTTTAATTGTCAAACTTCGATAGAACATGTAATTAGTCTAACCTGAATTTCAAATAATTAGCAATGTTGTTAAGAGACTTTAAAATATGTATTCATTTAAAATAAAACAGCCCATTTTAATCAAATTTTTCGTTACAGTTATTTAAGTTTAGCTATACTAGTTATATAAATTTTATACTTTACAATGATCTATGATTATTCAAAATTGCTCTGTGGCAAAATGGATAAATATCCAATACCAAGTAAACAAAGAACTGAAATGTTTTAATAAACGGTTTTGACTATTAAACAAACAACAAAGACTAAGAACGTTACAAAACATTAAAGTTTACGTTGCGACAAATCTCCGTACAAAAGTACAAATTTTTGATGAGGCAGGGTGACGATTTGTAATGATATCATCTTGTACAATGATGTAAAAAATATTTTTCAACTTATAGAAAAGACGAGTGAAATGAAAAACTCTTCCATGGTGTCAACACTATTCAACAGTTTATTTTATTTAACTTGAAGATCGTACTTGCAAAATTTTACAATTTTACTTAAAGTTAGTTTAAAAAACTTTTACGATGAGAATTTTTAATTCTACAGTCACTAAATTTAAACGTTAACAATTTTCTCAGAAATCATTTTAAAACTAATAAAGCTAAAGAAATAATACACTATGTGCAAAAATTCAATTGAACAAACATTATGATTCATCATACAATGAACATCATTTCCTTATTTCTTTACGTTTTTCAAGGTCATGTCAGAAACATCTTGGCTTACAGCATTAATGCCAGCGTTAGCACTTTGCGAGCTGGAGAAATCTATGGAGAAATGAGGCTCAAACGTCCAGTCCAAGATGACAATTCTTGCGTCCTAAAAACGATAAATAAAGATACTTTGCTCGCTTATCTCTATCACTAAAAACAAAAAAATAAATATAATATTTTAACATACAAATTTTATATAATAAAATTATAGAAAGACAACCTTCCGTATTTCTATAAAAATACATGAATAGTATATACTTACAAAGTTGAAGACTTTCGTAACTTTGCTTAGTTGCATGTCAAATTTCACATACTGAATATCAATAAGACTTAAAGCTGCATTCACTAATTGTTGTAAAACGTCGGCACCGACCTACAAATAAGATGTGAATAAATATTGAAAATGTGTATTATACAAGAAAGATATTGATGGAAAATAGCGTAAAGATTAAAAAACGTTTCCTTACTAGAAACAGTATAAGCAAGACAATGTTAAAAAACAATGTTAAGAATGACATTTAACATTATTTGTGAAAGTTCAAAAAAACGAATAAAAATGAGTGCAGTCACTAAAACTGAATGAAATTTGTAAATGAAAAGAAAGTTTGGAAAAAAAATTCAACAATCTTCGTGAAAAAGTAAAATTGAAATTTGGGCACCGTCATAGTTAGGGCAGATAGTTGGTTTAGGAACATCATCAGAAAAAATGGATTTCAAATAGAAATACAAGAAAATTTTAAACTGGGAAGCATGAAATGCGACGTAAAAAACTATTTTATCAAGAAATGATACCTTAATGATAGCTTGAACTCCTTTTAAGAAATATTTTGCTGCCTCCAAGACACCTATAGCTGCTTTATGTGCGAGCCATAAAGTACCCATTACTGTACCATGATAAACAACCTTCGCAGCTGTTCCTATGCAAATGTATTTTTTATACCATGGAGCTTGACTACATTCATGTTTTGCTTCTTCGATCTTTCTCCGATGGTAACTGCAATGTTGTAAAGGTTTAGTTTAGTAGTTATTCTAGATTCAAATTCGTCCATTCATCGTTCAATCAAAAAGGCCTTGACAGTATATATTGAACGAGACTTTCTTTTGTGAAAAACACAAAAGAGATGAGGGAAAGTTAAAGCTGTATTTATGTTGGTTACCACAAATATTTACGTACAACATTTTCACTCAGCTAATGACCAATATATTCTCCATTTTTTCCACAATACTTACTCAATGAGATTTTCCAGATTGTTAACTTCGTGTTTTGCATTATCGATCTTTCCAATGGCACCTTGGATTTTCTCGGAGATTAAGAGGGCGCCTTTTTGAATGCCTTGTGCGGCTTTTTGCTTGATTTTAGCAAAGAAATCATTTTGCATCTCGCCGACAACATGAAGAGATGGCGATGTAGCCGTCAACGATATGTCTACTAAAATACGAACTTGGAACAAATTCCAAAGATTAAGACGTCCCTCAAAGAAAAACTTGTGCATGTTGATTTGAAGATTTATAGAAATCATTGCTCCAAATATTTCAACCTAAACGTTGACAAAAAAAATCAAACTAATAAGTCAAGGAGAGAGCTGGCACGGCATTTTACACAATAAACTTACTCGACAAGAGCCGTATATTTCTAAATCTTTTAATGATTGAGAAAGACGCATTCTTAAATGTGCGCCCTCAGTATCAGTATCCGCGTTGACGATTTTCATTAAACCATCGAGATATATTATTGGATCAAGTTGAAGATCAGCGTCCAATAGAAAATTCGGTTGTAGATTAATACTGAGATGAATTCGTGCACGAATAGAAAGGAATGGAATTTGAAAGGTGCCGCGTATTTCAACGCCAGGATCATAACTAAAAAAATTTTCTTTTTTACAAACACTTGCATGAATATGAATGAAACGTTGACTTAGATATAAAATGATATATTGACAAAATTTGTTCATTGTTATATTAACTTTTCCTAGCTTTAAATAAACCTTTTTGTTATTTCTCACGACTTGTTAAGCTGACAAACCTTTTACCAAAACAGGAAGGATTACCACCAGGTGAAACATAAATTCTTACTTCATCAGGGAAGCCAACGTCGGCTAAATTCTTCGGTAACTTTATCTCCTTTCCAGCAAAGATATTAATAAGATCACTCAGAAGGAGTCGAGTGAAATGTAAATCAAACACGGTATTGTAGGGAGACGAAGGATCGATACACAAACTTAAGCCAACGTTGATTGACGTAGCACTTGGAATATCCACCTTCATTGAACCAGTGATGCCAAAACTCGGTAAAAGACTAGCGATGTTTATACCAAGAGACAAACCCATACGACGAATGGTAAAACTTTTACTAATACCTAAAGGATTATTCCAACTTCCTTCCCATAACATAGATATAGTCACTGTTCCACTAAATGTAAGCTAAAAGTAAAATATATCATGTATGAATGCAACACGTGCTAGGCTTAAGAAAATATAATTTGCCCATAAATAACAGAAATTATAATCTTACCGAAACCTCGCCAGTAAATACAGAGGGACTCTTTTCATTATCCAAGTTAACTTTACATTGCAAAGACAAACCAATAAGACGTTTACTTATGATTAGTTTCATGTATGTAAACTTCCAGCCGGAGATAGAACCGATTTGAAGACCTTCATCACCAAGATCAACTTCCAACTCAAAAATAAAATTTGGATAAGATATCTTTACGATTATGGCAACATTGTTACCATACGCAGGCTTGAGTGAAGGATCTTTGTAGGCACCTTAATAATAAAGCAATAGACTGCAAAACAATGATCAAAGTAGATTTTTAACACTTCAAACACTAATTCATGATGAGCAAAGCAAACTTTAAAACCGCAAAGTTTACAACATGCTCATTTTTTATGTAAAATAAGACGAAAATGTTTTCGAAAAAGTAATGCAACAAAACCAGCAAGAGTGGGTTGTATTAACGTATTGGGTGGAGAAATCATGCAGTATTACATCATGGCCTATATAACAAGGACGCAGAATATAATAAAATAAACAAAAGTGACAAGCTGCCCAAAGACAACTATATATAAAACATACCTTCATGTAAAATTTTCCCTAGCATATTGTTGGGATTTGGCTCGAAGCTACCGTAAATAGTGATGCCAGTAGATTCTGGTGTTGGTGTAATATATTTCGTAAACACAGGATTGAGGAAAGTATACGGAGCGATAGATATTTTTCTGCTGACATAAACAACAGCGACATTTTTAAGACCTAATGAACTGAGAAAACTAATTTCTGATATAGCATTAGCCTCTACAGCAAAGCCAGCTACGATAGCCGATTGTTGCTCATGACGGATGACAGCCAATTCAATCTATAAAGGTAAAGTAACAACATATAATTTTTTAAATTTGATCTTAATAAAATTTCGAAGAAAATATAGTCACTGACCTCACTTTGATGAAAGACGTTAGTCGTAGCAGAAAAAGCGAGGGATTTACTGCCTTTATTATCTCCACTACGTTGCCACTCAAGTTTAAGTCGTGGATTAAAGATACTAAAGCCTGCAATGATAGAAGGAAGCTCAATGCCGTTCATGTTTGCTTTTTCTAAAATATCTGCGATGGATGCAGAGCAGTCTTCGCCATTTGCATCGAAACTCAAACGATCAGTTCCAAACTCAGCTTGCACACCGATAGTACAACTTGCAAATACAAAATCTCCCTGCAGAAGGATGCGCCATGTTGCACCACCTACTAAAACAAAGACATTTATACGCATAAACTCAAACTACATGTTTGGAGATGTAGATCGTCCAGGTTAGTAGAGTCCTGAGACGGACTGTTGGTGTTGATGTTGACTGACGTTTCGAAACCTTAGCCACTTGAATCTAGAAGATCTACATCTACATGCAACGATACTCCCAGTTTTAAAACATTAATAAACTCAAACTAATAACTCATTCAATTACTTGTAGAGCCAAAGGAGGATTTAAGTCAGCTGGAAAAAACTTAGAGGTCACAGAAAATTTTGGCACGCATATAACAAGGAGGATTGTGGTACACATGTAACAAAAAGCATTGTCGTATACATAGCACAAAAACTTTATTATCCTGGACTAGACGACAATTTCATAAAATATAAAACTAATCATAATCCGATTAAGATATTTTATAAACTCAAATTTAAGTTATAACCAAGACAATTTAAACTTTAATATTTCGGTTTATTTCTGTCTGATGACGGTTTTGAAATAACAGTTTAAATTGTCATACGAAAGAATGTGTGACTCATCCCGTTGAGTCACCTGAATTTTTCAGGTTCATGAGACAATTGCTTAAATTGTCCAACAAAGTGCGAAGATCATATCTACATTTATAAGTTTAAATTGTCTTGGTTAAAACTTAAATTTGAGTTTACAAACTTTATTGATACGAGGAACAAATGGAAGCAATAACTGTAGTATACAATCAGATATACACTACCTTCATCATTGTGTTTTTCATAGAGAAAATGTATTTCAACATTACCAATTGAGAAACTACCAAAAACAGTCCAAAGTCCAGCTATACTTGCGTCAATAGAGACTTTTGAAAACGAACTCTTTTTGTCAAAACCTATTGCAATTTTATCCAGTTGTATTTGTTCAAATAACTCAGGAAAGTCGACAGGGAATGTCACTTGGGAGCCAGCCAAAGCATTTACGATATTCTTAACACTAAAATCGGTGAATGTGAACGATATTTCCTCATTAGCAAAAGGAAAAGGAATTCTAATATCGACACAAGGAATTGAACAACTTTGTTCACCAATACAAACTTTACCGGAGACAACACCAAATAATGCATTAGTTTCACACTTTGACTTGTCGTAGTTCAATTCTAACTCAAGATCATTTATACGAAGTCTTCCACTTAGCCAACTAATTTCATGAAGTATCTTTAAATTCATGTTCATTTTTGTCAAAGTCCAAGAATTTTGTGGTTTTGCAGCCTCGAGATGAAATGAGAGCAAAGCCATGGTAAGAGGATCGGGCAAAAACGAAGGCCAAGATTTTAAGGTCGTCATGTCATCGGTGGTTTCCGTAAAACTGTTTTCTGGTAAAAACTCTTGAATAACGTTACCAAGAGTAAGTTCGCCATTTTGAGATATGGTACAACTGATCTCATTCGGTGAGATGAATAGGAATGAAGACACATAGATTTCGGCAATGGGGATTTCAAAAGAAATCTAGAAAATAGCAAAAGAGAAATAAACGTCACATGTAGATTTAAAAATTGCTCTCGGTCATCAATCATCGGTCATCAATCTGTTCTTCGGTCATCATCATCAACTTTCTCTGAATTTCTCACCTTTAATCCTTTCTGGTATGGTATATCAAAAATATCTTCAGAACCAATTTCCAAAACTGTCAGGGGGGTTGGAACATCGCCCGTCGAAAGGGAGAATGCCATATTCCTCACTTCGACACTACCAAGGACGGGTACATCCGATACATCAATCTCAAATAAATCCTTTAACACGGTTGCTATGGAGAATGATGACGTGTACACGGCAATGGTGACGGTTGTTTCAAGATCGTTTGGTTTATTAATAAGAACATTCACGTTAAAAGGTGCCCATGACAGGAATTGGACAGAGCCCTCTACAAGGAATCCAAAGCCGTCAGCAAACGTTGCCTTTATCCGTGGACTGATGATGTTGAATTTATCAAAACCAGCACGTTTGAGTTGAGTTGTGTGGCAATTTTTAGGAAGAAATGAACATTCTTGTTTAAATAAACGACTTAAAGACGTCGCTGTGATGTTGGAAAGAGCATGACCACTGAGATAGTAACCTGGAGAACAAAAGAAAGTGATTTAAAGATTTCAGGAACAGCATCAGTGAAAAACACTTATGATTTTAACGCACCCTGTTCGTTTCGAATGACTCTTATATCAACAGGAGTACTCCCAACAGAAAAACTCCCAGCCATATTGAATTCAACTTTCTCCCATCGTGTCCATAAAAATGAAAACTCTACGCGAATGTTTGAAATGGTAAGAATGTCATCAATAAGGGTCACAGTGTCCGTATATCCTGCAGATATACGAACTTCTTTGTTTGAAATATCCAAAGAAAAAGATCGTATAACGATATTTTCCAATGTCATAAATGTTGTTGATTCGAAATCTACTTTACTATTTGGTAAAACCTTTGCAAGAAGCATAGCAAGATTAACACAGTCAAGGGGACTGGAAGTGAATTGATAGAGGTTTTCCGTTTTACTTGACATCACGGAACAGTCGTCGGTTATTCTAAATGTTGTGTCTATAGTTATATCGCCCACCTGGAGTTCTTCAAAACTTGGGAGATCTGGAAAGACTAAAATAAAAATACATTTCTAAAACATATATAATTTACTGAAATCATACAACCGAAGAAGTTTTGCCATCATTGTACAAACTAGAGATCGTCTATGATCACTTGTTGGATAAAATAATACATCAGTAAGACAACTTACATAAAGTTTTGTACAATGGATTAATTAATTAGCTTCAAGTCAATGTCATGAAATCAATTCTGGGTATAATGTACCTTTGCCAGAATCCTCATCATGATGATTACATTCTCGAATAGGTTTGCCACTAGATCTCGATTTAAGATTAGGATAAGAATTTGGATTTTGGTCTGGCCTTTGTTTTTCAATTGGTCGTTTTCTATGTCTGTTGAAATCATCATTTGACAGTTTGATGACAACCTTACGAGAATGATTTCCCATTGCAGCAAACTGAACCTCATTGGAATGTCGACGTCTTTTCTTCGGTGCATAATTTTTGACGGGTACAGTGACTCTTTGGATGTTCTTAGAATTTCTGTCTATCCAAATAGCACGATTTCCTTCTAAAGCTAAATCTTTCTTCTTTCTGGGATGTCCATGATAAAAAAATGTCGAAAAATCTTGTTGTTGTAAATGACTTTGAACTACATGATTAAGTCGACCCAAAAAAACATTTTGCTTATGTTTGGCGTTTGATCGGCCGTGGACATCGCCAAGCAATGTAATCAATAGCAATATAAAAGCTTTCAAAATTAACATAATTTCTGGTTCAAACCACTGGAAGTTAACAGCAGTAACTTTTATCGTTTATAATTAGCATAAGTAGCACGCAGGCCAAATGTAAAAGTGCCAAATTTTACAAGACATGTGGTCATTCTATGTTTTTCTGGTTGTATTTTCATCGTAAGCACGCTTTTTTTCAAATCAGTTGTCCCTTTAAAGAATGTAGGTCACCAAAGTAAAAGTATTGGTCAAGTGAAGATTTTATTTTTTCAATCTTTCCTTTGTTTTTGAAATGCTTTTAAATGTGCATGATTTCAGTTATAATAAACTGCATGTGTCAATTTACTATAATGATGAACTATTTACTACAATATTTTCAGAAGTATAGTTTGATAAAAAAATTCAAAATCATCAACATTTACATGACTTCTTGCATTCTACGTCCTCAATTCGCCCATCAAACGCATCAATAGATATTGCGTAGACGCAAATTAATAACCTGTCAAATTACTTATTTACAAATACTTAAAATAAATAAAGACATTTTAAACTGACATAAGTCCAAGGGGATTAGACTGTTCTTTTGTTCGTTCATTACAGCCTGACATTGTCACACACGCCATTAAGTTTATATTTTAGGTAGTGTAAAAACTGTTCTCATTCTCTATTGTTCATTCATCACTACCCACACTGACATACGTTATCTTAGTTAATATTTTAGATAGTGCAAAGACTGTTCTCGCTCTCTGTTGTTCATTTATCACTACCCACACAGACAGACGCTATCTTAGTTTATATTTATGTAGTGTGAAGACTGTTCTCATTCTCTGTTGTTCATTCATCACTACCTACACTGACACACGTTATCTTAGTTTATATATTTAAATAGTGTAAAATGTTCTACATTCATCATCGAAAATATACAGCACAAGTCAAAAAGCCAGAAGCTCAGAAAGCTGAAATGTTAAAAAGTGAAGATTTTCTTTCAACGAAATAAAATATAAACTAACGATGGTTGATGAGTAAAGTCAGTGAAGATTATTCAAAAATTTGAGGAATGTAGCCGCATTTCTATAGGGTACATGAAAAATGTAAATATCCGGACAAAAAAGAGGGGCCTTTAGGATATTCATAGGGTAGATGAAAAGTATATTGAATTCTTTTACGCATGTTTCAGTTTATTTTTCAGTATAACAACAAGGTTATTTGTAACTCGTAAGGTAAATGAAAAATATGAGCATACGGGCAATAAAAGAGGAGGGTTGAGGTAAAGGTCAAGGATGCTACTAAGTCATCTTAATATTACCTAATGGCCACAATCCAACAGTAAATTAATCACACAATGTATATAAAGTAAAAATTTAATATAAATTTTTTAAGAATATGCTTTGCAAATGCAAAATATACAAATCTATTATATAAACATCGTTATAATACATAATGCATATGTTCGATATTTTCGTATAGAAAATATATAAAAAACATTTTCCTTCCAAACACTAAACAATTTTCGTCTGTTATTATTGAAATTAAAACATAATTGTTCGATTTAACAATTTATCATTGATAATTATGTAAAAAAATGTATACAAATATATTCTTCATAAAATCATACTTTATATTTAACACATAGCTATAATCTGTTCACATATACATTTTCCAATAGTTATATCCAACGAACAAATTGACGACAAAGACCAGTTTGTACGTCGATAAGTTTATCCACAGTTTTAAAACCAAGTTTAGCGCTGTCTAGTGGAGCCGATTTTGCCGACTTCATATACTTAATGTTATGTTCGACTTTACTCAGGACATCAACATTATTTACAGTTTCTAACTCCGAGAAAGAGCGTGATCGTATTCTATTTGATACGGTCTTAACTGCTTCTGTTTTATTAAGAGAATTCCATTTGTTATCGCCTGTAACGACATTGAACAGCGGGGTGTCATCAACAGGATTCTTAGTCTGTTTTATATCAACTTTGCAGTGTACTTTCTCTTCAATATTTTTATTGCTTTCAGTTACAGGTTTTGTTAAATTCTTTTGACAATCTTCTATAGCCTTCATCCATTCTTTGGAATCTTCCAATGAAGTGCAATACAGATGTAGAACATGTTCACCACTTGTAACTATCCAAGGAAATCTACTCGTGATGTTGTTGTTACAATCAATGTCTCCAGCAAAACAGCCACAATCATCCATTTGGATCGATAACTCTTCTAGTCTTAACAAACACAATGGTGTATGTCTTTTATGTGCTTTCCTTCGATGAAAGCTCAAGCTGTTCGGTTTCAAAACGCAGTACAAACTGTCGACTTGGCCATAGCCTTTATCCTCACGATAGACATAGCCTTCACGAAGAACAATTTTTGTTTTATCCATATCGACGCTAAAAATCTTTGAGACGCAAGAGTCTCGTAGCGAATGTATTAAGCAATAAGTTGACCGTGTGAAGATCTATTTGTTTTTGATCTGTTCGAACAGGCAAAATGAAAAAATGGATAATGTTTAATGAATACTTCCTTATCGTCGTAATACAGATACTTGTGAGATGCAATCTCGTCGGATCTGGAAATCATAACCTCATTTCATAACAAGTTACCGTCAGTAAAAATGCAATACATAAGCCAACAAATGACGCTCAAAATACTGCTCGAATGTTCTACATTTTTGTTTCATTCGCCACAATTTCAAATTCCTATTCTGAAGCCACGGTTAGCTGATTGTGAGGAAAATGCAAATGTCATCGCTCTGCTCAAGATGCGCAGCAGGATAGCACAGAATAATAACAATAATAAAATCTAATCAACCAATGGATGACAGGCAGGGTAAATATCCTTACATCCTCCGACAAAAAACGCAACTAAGTGAGAGCGTACGTATACAAAACAAGACTATGTAAAGAATGACAAATGTCTAGTTGAGAGAATGCTAATGTTGTACTTATCATTGACGCCTTTAGTTTCCTTTTCCGTTTGTAATTTATAAACGCACAAAAGTAGGGAAAACGTTTGTATGCTAGAAGCCTCCTTCAATGATAAAATTCAGAGGGAAAGAGACACATGTGGTTAAACAAATTGCTTAATATTACCACACTTTATATTGATTTACGAGACCAATATAAAAGGAAAAATGGTGTCCAAATTATTACCCAAGGAAGATAATAAACCTTTTTCCTTAAAGCATGTAAATTTTGGTATTTTCATTTCACGGGTGATGAACGTGCTCACGTGATAAACATTATCATAAAAATTGCCCGAATTCCTTTTACAACTTTACGATAAAGAAGATAAGACCGTCAAGTATGTCTACTACAGTTGTACGAGATTAAAATGAAATTCGCCACACACGAATTGGTGTTATACAGGTGGAACGAACGTGTGTGTGGCTGTGAACGAAATGTCTCACTTTGGATTGAGGTGGAACGTCTTCTATATTGACGCAAATTATTTATGAAAACTAAGTTCACGAGTAGTGTGAAACACTGCTATTTAAAAACAAATGAAAATCAGTTCAACTTATAATAATCATTCACGTCATAAAAGCAAATCATTCACCTAAGTTAGCGTTGCCTAATTATTCTATAATATGATTTAACTTACTCTCTACATGTAAACTACTTTATCCACCTACTGTAAATGCTTTCGCACTTCTTTAAGCAAATAATTATCTACTCAATTAAGTCTTACTAATCCCGAGACTAATCCTATCATTTCAGTCGATGAAGCTCACGGAAACATAGCAAAATTATTGCACAAAGAACTCATAGGACATGACTTCAAGCCAAGACTCATACAGGAAATCGCTAATAAATAATTAATTTTACTAAAAATAACTAATTAATGCCCCTAACTATAATATTTAAAATGACGTGGAGAGTAAAAGTAAAAATTTATTTTAAATAAATCATAAATAATATCGATTTACACTAAATAATTTCAAAAAGGCATGAATGCCGACAATTCTTCTCTCTGTACAAATTACACTGGTAAGAAAATTACAATATTTTCCCTTCTTAATCTTTAAAAGAAAGAAGGAATGGTATCAACTAAAACATACAAACAGTTTGCATCCACGTTTTCACTTCACGCACACGGGATGATCTTAGAAAAGAAGTCATCCATTTTGTCTTTCCATGTGTATAAACAAAGCAACTTTTGATGTAAATTTGGCCAAAAGTCTAGCCACTCAATATCATAATATCGAAAAGGAAATACTTTGTTAATGTCATGAAAAGCAAATTTTACAATGTGGAGTAATAACTTATGACAATTATATTTAACTTAACACTTTTTTACAATTTTTATCAATTCGCAAAAACTTAATACAGCACTCCTAAATCTTTAAACTCCCAGTACGATTCATTTGAGAATTTCTTCTTCGTAAAACATCCCAGCTTGACTTGAAAAATCGCTTGGCTTGACCTGTATTTTCATTCTTTGGTTCTGGTGAGAGAATTTTATAGCCTTCCGTGTCCGCTTCATCATTAAAAACATCAGAACTTGAAGAGCTCGCGTATAAATTCTCGCCTAAACCAAGTTGGGAATCACGAGCGGATTTACGAGATCTCAATGATCCAAATGTCTTGCGAAAGGATCGGCTAAATCCATTTCTGGCTAATCTTGAACTACTAGTTGAGCCTGACTTTACAGGTCGATTAGGACGAAGAGTAGATGTTGTAGATCCATAGCGTATTTTAGCACACAAATCGTTTCTTGAACATGGCTTACCGGATATCTTGAACTGAGCAATAGCAGTGAGAATTGCTATAACCCAATAGTCACGATCCTCCCAACTATCAAAACATAATAATCGATACTTTCGTTTGTCTCCCACTCGCAGACAATACACGTCAGTTTTATCGCTTCTGTAAGACGCACCAGCAAGTCTTGACGTGTCGTCACTTAATTTTTCAACTCGTACAAACATGGACTCAAATTCAATTACACTTTTGGAAGAAGGTCCTTCATCTTCACGGCTTAACTTTCGGTTTGAGTAGTAAAGTCCTGTGGATCTCAAGGAAAACCATACATACTTTGGTAAACTGAACATATTTTGCCCAAGAGTGACGACAAACCCTTCTTTGAGAATTTCGTCTTTACTATTCAACATCATTTTTGATTTTTCAGTGAAATTCATCAGATCTGTAGTAAAAAAGTTCCATTACAAAACTTCAACATAAATATCTAAATACATAACTTTTAGATCGTGAATTATAGAGCAATAAATTGGTAAAATTACCAAAATTTCTTCCTTCACGTTACTTCCTTCACGTCAGTAAAGTTCACGCTCGAGAAGTAAGACAAAGACAATTTTATCTTAACAAGAAACTGCGAAATTCTGGTTTTGAAAAATCTTATTTCGAACAGACACGAAGAAATGGACAATTCCTAATAACTCCTGTGTTACCTAGAACAAAACATCGCTCTCAACGCAAGCTACCACACGATGGCGACGACAAAGACACAATTTATGACTGATAAACTCTACAGATTCTCACATTTTTACAAAGAGACGTGACAATCATAGCTATATATTATGTAACCTACAACTTTTTTAATGTCATACATACAGCAGATAATCCCACGCATATAAACACATACAAGAGACTTGTTGTCAACCTGTAAAGCTTTACTTACCCCCTTGCTGTCGTAATTCCCACGTATAATAAACTTTTTGAAATGCTGTGATGCAGTCTTCACGATGAATAAATCTTTATATTCCACAACATTCACACGATATATCTACTTTCACAATCAAAAACTTTGATCTCACTCAAATCCTGTTGTCTTTTCTTTCTGTGAAAGATTTTCTCTCTATCCAATGTAAAATTTCATATTTCAAGGATATTTAGTCAACTTCTACGATCATGAAAATAATTGAAAAGCAAGACAACGAAATCTTCTCTTTAAAACCCAACTACGGCTGATATCGACAAAATCTTTGACGATAATTCTCAAGAAGAGAGAGTAAGTAAAAAGTTGCCGAGTTCGCAAGTTTTGCTCACGACCACTGATCAATAATGAATGATGAACTTACTACGTGGTTACAAAGTTGTCGATATGAATACATAACGTGTTGAATAATTGCTTATTCGTGATGTTTGTTGAATTTACAACTTTCTAACAAAGCTACGACAAAAAAATACCCGTAGGGCGTACTTAGCTTTTGGGATTTCCCGATCAACTCAACGTTTACTTCCTGAGTATTGGTTCACGAATGTCAAGTATCCTTCTGGTTCAAATCAACATATGTTACACACTATAATATATATCTACCAAGGGAACATTTCTCACGATAACTGTGGCCGTTTTTAAATAAATGTACATGTCATAAATAAAATAAAAAACTATACTTAATAACAACAATTGTCCCTGGCTTTGAAGTCGTGTATAAGATAGATCTTATTTCATTATAAAAGGTGAAAATTAAAAAGCTATACGTAAATGTTTTGTCTGCATAATAAGGCAAATAGCAAAGCGCTAAAATAATAAATAAAAAGAAGATATGTTTGTACAATTTCTAAAGTAGTTTTTGGCGAAAAATTTGAACGTGAATAATCAGTCAATATTGGCTTCAGACAGCAATAAAATGACGTCAGTGTATAAAAAATTGTGCTGTTTGCATTATGATAACAGTTCACATAGCAGGTATATAATGAAAAATGTGTGTTTCTAAAGAAGAAATAAACAAGCCTTTTCCCTCGTCATTAAGACAAGTGGGTAAATAGTTGCCAATTGTAATGAACAGTGAATTATAGATGTTGCTCAGTTTTAAAACAATTTTTAACAATCTATCGACGCAGAAGTACCTTCCCTTCAAAAAAAAAAACTATGACAGAGTCCACGATGTGGCGGAAACACAAAACTTTAAACAAGAAACGACCGTTAAGCAATTGCGTTTAGACATCTAGTGAAAATTAAGGTCTACATTTTGATGTTATTGATCTAAGTAAAAGTTTTTAAACGTCGAACGCTTAGGATGACGTGTAAATAAATACACAGAAAACAGGTTTTTTCTACCATTATATAAATTATGTATTTATTTTATGGGATGATATTTTTGACATCCTTATGTCTCATCATAAATCATTCAAAATATATTTGTTCATGGTATATACTATAAGCCCACTACATGGCAGGTCATAAATTTCTTATTCTGAATAAAATTATTGTGTTGTTTTCCTGATACAAGGCAGTTGATTAATATTTATTATTTGCTTTAAAAGTGAAATCTACATGGATTCACGAACGGTTTTCTTTCATTATATCACACTTTTCTCTTCTAAATTCACAATCACTAAGGCTTTCAACTTACTTATAAAAAATTGTTCACATTCATTGCAGTTTTGAAAATGTCTTAACTAAAAACATATAAAACTATTTTCGGAGGTAAGGAAATAACTAAAGTAAAACTAATAACGAGAAAATATAGAAAAAATGTAATGAGAACACAAACAGTAATAGATGTAAAGTTGCTCTGAAACGAAAATATCTCAAAGACTTGTTCAAATATTTGAACTTTCCACTTGTCTTTGTGGTTAAAATATTGGACCAGCTTCCGAAAACGAGCGCTTATAGATATGAAAAAATCATGGCAACAACCAACTGTGTGTACTGGTGCCGATTATAGAGTAATTAGCCCGCTCAGTCACAAATTTTCAGATAAATCATCAGCGCATGCGCAGTCTGTTTGAGCATGCGCAGTCGACTTTACCAGTGGCCCAAGTTTATGGTCACGGCAACGACCAATTGCATCTACTAGCGCCAATTTTGAAGTAAATATCATGCTTAGTAACAATTTAGTGGAGAAAGCATCTGCGCATGCGCAGTCCACTCGACTTATTGTTCATAGTCATGGCAACGACTAACTATATGTACTTGCACTACTTTCGTGGCAATTAGCTCACTTAGTCGCAAATTATCAAAGAAATCCTCGGAGCATGCGAAGTAGTTACTGTAATAATACCATAACTTTCGTAAGCCTTTGAATTTGTATATATATATAAAGCTAAAACTTCATATAGTAGATGTCAACTAGCAGAGGACGCTGGGTGCGATATGTATGCAGTGGCTTAGGGTCCAGACATTTCGGGTCGCGACCGCACTCTCCCTGCGTACCCCGAGCAAAGCCTATCGCAGGTGATCTCGGGGTTTGATGGGCGGAAGCCTGCTTTGGCATCTCCCAAGTAGGATAGCGTGGAGGGGCCGAAATCTCCTACCGAAACGTTAACATGCGGCGTTCTAGTGCCTTAAGATTAACAAGGTATCGGGAAGCATGGCCCGAAAACGGGGTACTTTTGCTTTCAAATTTTATTTTCTTTGTGTATTATACAAGAGTTCTTCTCATAAAATAAAGCAAGCAATGTTTCAATTAACTTCTGACACTTCTTCTGTCTTAAGACAACCTTCAACATGTTTTATCCAATTTGTATTGGTTTACATCTTTCTGATTTAACTCTCTCATTTACTGTTTCTCGTGTATCACGAGCAAACCATCCATGGGCTTCATGGCAAACAAGGATTATCTGTTTCCATTAACATGCGACGCTCTAGTGCTCAACTATCTCGGGGGTACCGGGAGGTATGGACCGAAAACGATATTTTTTGTTTTCAAATTTCATATTGAAAAATGTCCCAAACCTCAAAAGCATCTCCTAACCATTTTATTGCCACTATTCTACATAAACAATACCATGTCCGACCATTTGATTGTCCGAATTTTGTAAATTGATCACGTATTTTTGAGACGTATGTCTACCGTCGGAAAGGTGGATTAAATTTACCTCTCAAGCGCAGTGTGGTCACTATAGATGAATTAGAAATCTAACGTACACGACAAGTCACCATTGTCGAGAATAATCTTTCTTGTCAAGATTTTAAGTAAATCATCTTGTTTAGAATGTTTGTAAGCAAATACTAAATAATAAATCCCTTCAAAATCCGATCTTGGTCGAAAGCTGTTGGCATATCGCGTATGCAAAAAAATAATGCAGAAAAGTATCGCCATGTTTTTTTGGTATTCTACAATCCTGCGAATACCGTAAAACACTTCTAGCAATCATTTATAAAAAAGAATTCTCAGTCAAAACAGTTTAGTCGCAAGAAAAATTATATTCATGTTCGAGCAACAGACGTGCATTGGGAATTAGTCAAATTCTAAATTTCTACAAGTTTTTATTTCGACTTAGCTTTTTTGAAGGCCTCCAAAAGACTTTTATAAACTTCTTCAGGAGATTTTGCAGCGTCGATCTTGTAATGAAGATTTTTCTTTTGATAATAATTGATTAACGGTGACGTCTGCTTATGATAAGATTCCAAACGCTTTTTTAAAGTCTCGGCATTATCATCAGAACGGCGGATTAAAGGCTCACCAGTTACCTTATAAAGATAAGATAAAAATACAAATAAATGACTTAAATTCATGATTGAGATATGTTATCTTTGCATTTGTATGTGTTCCCTAGCATTTATCAAGTATTGAAATATAATTAAACAATCTCTATATTCCTACATCATCTTTCATGGCAACTTTGGGAGGATTAAATTCTTCATGATAAGAACGACCACTTGGCTTGTGGAACAATCTAGAAAATCAAATAAACGGATCATTAAATCAGATAAAAGTAATTCGGGGTGAACTAATAAAGATTAAAAAATGTTCATCATAATCCAATATAAATTTACATTCACTCAATCAACATGCCTCACATGCAGTCCTAATGCTCTCAATCCTATCAATAAAAATGATAGATATCAATAAAAATAATTCTCTCCCAAATTCTTATGAAGACACAAAATTTACACTGTTGAAAAGCAAGTTTTTACAAATATCCCTATCATCCTAAAGTACCCATGTTCACCATGCAAGTATCCATTACTATCCTCCCCACCATCCTAAAGTATCATCACCACCAATAAAGTATCCATGACTCTCCCTACCATCCTAAAGTAACCATGTTCATCATGAAAGTATCCATGACTATCCCTACCATCCTAAAGTACCCATGTTCATCATGAAAGTATCCATGACTATCCCTACCATCCTAAAGCAACCATGTTCATCATGAAAGTATCCATGACTATCCCTACCATCCTAAAGCAACCATGTTCATCATGAAAGTATCCACAACTATCCCTACCATCCTAAAGTACCCATGTTCATCATGAAAGTATCCATGACTATCCATACCATTCTAAAGTACCCATGTTCATCATGAAAGTATCCATGACTACCCCTACCATCCTTATGTACCCATGTTCATCATGCAAGTACCCATGACTATCCCTACAGTAGTAAAGGTTCATCATCAATAGTTGCCATAAAGCTAAAAAATATAAATACCTTCCAGTAATTCTTCTTACAAGCAATGAGTCATCAATAGCAAACTCAACAACAGCATCTAATTTGGCATTTCGTTTTTCCAAAAGTCCATCTAACTGTTGTGAATGAAGGCTTGAAGAAATTCAAATGTTATTGATTGTGTTTAAAAGATATGACTTTGGTACCTTTTCTGCCTGTACAACTGTTCTTGGGAAACCATCAAGAAGAAATCCATTTTTACATTCTGGTTTATTCAAATTATCTTCAATCAATTCAACAACAAGTTCATCACTGACAAGCTAAAAATCATAAAACATTAATGTTAATACAGTTGGAAATAAAAAACACCTAAAACACCTGCTAATACACGAGTATGTAGGACATATTTCCTCTAATCTTCTATATTACCTGACCACTATCCATAACTCCTTTTACTTTCTTTCCAAGTTCAGAACCAGATGCAACAACTGCACGCAACATGTCACCTAAATTGTAAAATATCCAGTAAATAATCAAATCTAATACACATTATTTTCAATAAAACGATAGGAATACATAAGTAAATATCTCAATACTGCTTTAATTTTATTATAATACATCCAAATTACTTCTTGTTGAAAAAACAACATGAAACTTGTTTTAAATTTATAAGGAAAGAGCTATATTATTAGCATCAAAAATCTACATAAAGAGTACAACAATCTCATAAAGCAACATACTAATATTGACAAAGTCTACCAGACAAACACATCAAGTCCCCGCCCAATGAACATCAATCAAAATAATTGAAAATACAATGACATTATTTTTCTAAAAACAAACCTGTAGCAAGGTGACAAACACAAAACTTTTCTGCAAGCTTTGGAGCCTTTGGGGAAAAAACAACATCAATAATAGAATGTTATATAACCACAAGAACTTAATATATCACAAGAAGAATATACAAAAACTTCTAATAGTAACACCTGTGTGCCCTTTCCACAAGCTGGAGGACCTAGAAGTATGGCCTTTATACCACAATCCTCTGACATTGTACAACACAATTCAAACAAAATTTGCAATAAGGAATTTATGAAATATTGTTCTGTTTTTTCTTAACAGACACTTATATAAGTGACAGCTTCGTTTAAACCATATCATCTGACAACGACGGTATATATCAACTATCGGAACACGTTCGTTGCTCTCTCGGCAAGCGCTCGGACGTTACAATGATACAATCACATGTGGTGGTTTCATGACTCCACGAGTAAAATACCGGCAAAATTTGTAAACATACACAACTCGACTCAGAACTCGCTGCATAAGTTTATGAACGTATTAATCGTCTCGTTTCAAGAAAAGATAGATTGTTCTTTACATAAACACTAGATAATTTGTATCTTTAGTAATTAGAATCACGCCTTTAATACTCCTTACCTGGGTGCCTTTGCCTGCTCCAGGTGGCCCCATAAGAATTGCCTTTGTGCCGCTCTCACATGAGGTAGTAGACAGACCACTTTTCCTAATTAAATCCTCGACAAGAGGTGCTTCTTTTTTACCTCTTCCTGGATCAAATTTAACAAAAACTTTGCCCAACCAGCTATTTTGCCAACCATTCGGAACCGCCATGTTGCTTTCTAATGAGTAATGACGTCATATTTCATTGGAGGTCTGGCACTGGCTGGTCCATTGGGTTCAAAGTCCAGATAACGACGCACCGTATTCAAATGAAGCGCAAACCAATGCACGATTTCATTTGTACGAATTTCATCTAACACAAAGATAATTTCAAAATTTTTTCAAATCATACACAAGTCAAATGAAATTGTGAAATTTACAAATTATCTTCTAGCAATATCAGTTGTCACTCGTCACTACTATCACCCATAAATTAAGTCTTAAAAAAACGTTTCTATGACGTCATATCGAAATAAAGTAAAATATTCATGCTGAAATTAAAGCATTTTTGTGATTGAATACGTTGATTACTGTGAATCAAAGGAATATACAATAAAAAACCTAAGCAAAGACGTCAACAGAGAAAGAGCACATCCCAGTTTCAATTTTCTTATTTTTATGCGAAATGCATCTCATATTTATGTTGAAAAAAACGATATCATTCTAACAATTTTTCTCCTAACAAAATACCAAAACAAAAACACAAAACAAATGACACAAAAATAATATATTTAAAGTGGTTCAATTTTCTTTGTCGGAATTTTTATTAAAAACACATATCTATTTATTATTAACGAAGATTTGGCTAAAAATAATTTAATGAGTATTTCAGACAAACAGCGCAGGGCTGTTTCATAATTTATTTGCAAACGTTGGCAAAAACACGCGTCTTCGACCACTAAGCAATATTTACTTAGCCTTCATTAGACAACGAACATCTGTTCGCTTTCAAGAAGAATTTTCAAGAAAAACGGTTTTCAGAAACTGTTTTTGCTTTTAAAAAATACTTCCTTCCATGGTACTGAACTTTAAAATACGAATCAAGGTATCATTTGATCTACATTAAAACAGCCAAACAACGTGGATAAAGTCCCTCGCTTTTTTAAAACTGAGCGAAGAAGAAGATAACAAAGAATGAACTCTTCAAAGAATAATCGACAATGTAAAAGGCATTCTTATCCGGTCATGTTAACTTACAAAGAAACATTAAATGTTCTCATTAAACATCAAAGTGAGTACAACCAAACAGAGTCAACAAAGAGAGCAAGAACACCAGTATTGAATCAAAGTGGAAGTGAGAAAGAGCGACGAGAAGAACTAGAGGCAGCAATTTGTTGGCTTGGTCAAGAATTAGTAAGTCTCCATTAACATTATCACGATGTAAATTAATCAAGTAAAGGAAGTTCAAAATAATGACAATATCGGCGTTTATTGTTTTGCATCGATTTTTAACGGGATTTTACAGATATTTCATTGTCAGTCAAAATAAAACAAAAACACATGAAGTGCACGTGATTAGAAAGAAATTTAACAAAAATAATTCGTCGTAATTTTACGATAGTACCATGAGCAAGAAAAGAGTCTTTTTCCTTCATTTTGTCGTACAAAAAAAATAAATGAATGATGTATTTTATTGCCAAAGATCATCCTCATTGTTGCGGTTTGAAAATCTTTCAGCAAACAACAACAGGTGAAAATGTAAATCGATGGAGTTTCACGTGGCTTAAAAATTGTAATTTAATGCTGACGTTGAAAGTTTCTCCATTCGAGTAAATCATTTGTACCCATAATAAATACATAAACACTGTAACATTTCCTTTCAGAGAGATATTCACCATCAGGATAAATTTTTACTTCGTCAATTTAATCATTTAAAAGAAAGCATTCAAGAACTAAGCAGTGAACCCGATATCAAGGACAATTGCAAGGTAAGTGCTGATGTTCTTATAGTGGCTGTGCGATTAAATACACCAATCATGAGAAGAAAATGTAAATTGAAAAGTTTGCAGATGTTGACCGTCCTGGTTAGTGCAGTGCTGAAACATGCTTTTAATGTTAATGTTGACATTACGACGCAAAAAGTAATTCACAAAATTTACGATTCCTTGATTATTCAATAATTGACATAAAGCTATATGTAATGACTTTTACTTCTGCAAGATTAACTCCAGACGTCAATTAGTTCACTCTGTTTTAGGCAGAATCAAAGAAGGAAAAACTTCAAAAAAATCAAAAAACAATGTTTGAAGAAGAGGTTGCAGAGGAGAAAAAAGATGTTTCGCAGAAAAAAGGCGACGAAAAACTTATATTTCGTGGAGAATTTCAACTGGAGGATTTGGGATTAGCTCAAATGAAACAAGCACAGAAACGTCAAAATGAAGTGCTGGAAAAAAATCAACAACTTGAGGACGAAAAAAATCGAGAGAAAAAGAGTGTAGAAAAAGAACAAGACAAAAGAAAACAAGACAAGAGGTCACTACCCAGTGATAATGACTCGGATTATGGATCAGATCAGAGCGTTGATAAATTTGAGGTTGAATCGATTCAAATGCAGAAAGTTAACACCTTTATGAACAATCAAAGTCTGAAAGTGTGCACTAAACAACGTTCGAAGCGCTGGTCGTGGTGGAAATAAGTCACTTATGTGAATACGAAATGATTCTGCATAAATTATCATACAATATATATAATTTATTTCCATCTATTTATGTGAAAATATGAATTGTTGCGCACAATAATCGAACTTAAATAGTTTAAGTACAGTAAAAGAACTCAAATCTTAGCTCGTATTGAGTAACTTTGGGTAGGTTGTTTTCAATAAATATGAAAATATAACCGATGACAGTAAACAACCAATTCCTTCAAGTCAGCCAGCAGATTTTAGTAATGTTATGTAAATTTCAGAACATTGTCAACACTCATTTCTTAAAAAATCTGTTGTTTTCGCACTCAATAACATGGTGTGGAAAACATGGTTGTTTTCCACACTATGAATAAATAAGCATGCTGGCTAAAAGGTGCAATAACTGAAAAAATATCTGTAACCGACTCAAATTATCAATAAAATAAATAATTTGTGCACAGCGGTTTAAAAAAGATTTAAAAAAAAACCTTATGAAACGAATATTTGTATCCATAGCCTTCTTTAACAAATGAACACAACGACAATACATTCTGATACACTAGAAATTTAACAAGCTACTGACTATCTTTTTTTACCTTCTTTTCAACTTTTTTTAAAGAATGACGTAATATCCGGTACATTAACGACTTGCTGTTTGCGTTGGTTCCTTCTTCGTCTGTCGCGCTGCTCGGCTGTGACTTGACGATGACAAGGAACACAAAGTGTCCTGTAGTTCTCCAGATCACACTCTCCACCCCCGTCTACCACTGCAAGTACATGATCAGCTTCCCAGAACTGAATATTAAAACATAACTTGTTAAAGTATGCATGTAGATGAATGAACAACAGAGAATGAGAACAGTCTTTACGTTATCTAAAATATGAACTAAGATAACGTGTGTCAGTGTAGGTAGTGATGAATGAACAACAGAGAATAAGAACAGTCTTTACATTATCTAAAATATGAACTAAGATAACGTATGTCAGTGTAGGTAGTGATGAATGAACAACAGAGAACAAGAACAGTTTTTACACTAACTAAAATATAAATGACCATAACGTGTGTATTAAACAAAGTAAATGGTTTGAACCCGGGAGTATCGTTTCATTTTGTAAATGTAGATCGTCCAGGTTGGTATAGTCCTGAGAAGGACTGTTTTTGTTGTTGTTGACTGACGTTTCGACAACCTTAGCGGTAGTCATCTTCAGAGTCAAATGAGGAGTAAACGTCAGGTTAGCTAAGGTTGTCGAAACGTCAGTCAACAACAACAAAAACAGTCCTTCTCAGGACTATACCTACCTGGACGATCGACATTTACAAACATGTAACGTGTGTATTGTTGTCTCACCATTCCTTCCTTGGGATCGATTATGATTCTATTTAACATAGCCACAGGTAACGAGATAAATGGAGACTGCTTGAGATAAGATCGCCTATCAGCTTTAGTCATCAGTTTTATAGTACAGTAAAGCTTGTGCGCATCAAATCCACATTTCTGACAAACACCTTTCTCATCTTCAAACAATTGTTGGCGTACTCGAGTGCCACTCACACGACACTCAAAACGAGAAAGCAAGTGATAACTTTTTCCATTAAATATTGCACAAATCTTTTTGTAAGCCAAAATATTATTGCATAAACTTTTAAAATTAATGTATTAAGGGAACTATACCTGATATTTCTCCTTGCATTGGTGAGAGCAAAATCTTTCATCCCACAAGGAATTCGCATTCTTTGTGTCGACAATTCCCTTACAGAATATGCACAATGGTCGACCTTCGTCGTCCAGCGCTTGAAACCAAATTTTTTGTTTCCGTCATCATTTAAATCGTTCATTTCTGCAAAAGAAAAGAAGAGTAATGTATAAGAAGTACAAGATGTTTCTTAGTAATTATTTACCGTTTTCTCTAACAACAACAGCATCAATCCTTTTTCCATTAGATAAAACAAATTGTCTTATTCCTCCATTCTTTGCCTCCGCAGTTTCAATAATTTCTGCTCGAAGTTGTTTCTGATCATAAAAAGAAAGGAGCACACATAAAAATATTTCTGACGCAAAGTTAGTATAATAAAGGAACTCGACGATGTAGTTTAATGGGAGTTCAATGGCACATTTGTTAAAGTTTGCATGCTCAATCTTTTAATGTACATCTAAAGTTGTTGCTATATTCAGAAACCCGGATGCCACGAAAAGAGTTATCAACTTTGCTACGATTTGGGGTATTCTCGTTAGGAATAAGTTTTGTTTAAGATAACAATGTGTAGGCACGATGAATATAAAGTAAATGTATAACATAAAACTACTTATGTTGGTATATACGTGAGAATAGGATGATCATATGTTATACAACTATGGTAAATTTATACGCGTCCATATTAAATTTATTACTTTTGAAGGAAAACGGTTTGTACAAAGTTTTCTTTGAAGAGCCTGTAGAGAAAAAGAAAAACGTCAAAAAACAGAACAAAAGAAAAACAATTATAAGTTGTTTTTATAACATTCAGTATACTCAAATACTTTAGCACCTCGGAAAGATAACTCAGTCCAGGTTTCAGAGAGTGTCAACTATGATAAATGCGGACCCACAGTGCATCCAAGTGTCACCCCCAGTCACCTTAGTGTGACGCTACATTGTTAACCCACAGTGTACCCAAATGCTACCAATCCCCCTGTTATCTTAATGTGATGCTATATTTTCATGTAAAAAACAATATATTACCATACCATTTTTATTTCTTTAACTGCTTCATAAGGATCGCTAAAGACTATTTCAGATTTTCTGATCATTCTTTTGTGATTTTTACTGAGATTTTTCCATTTACTGGCAAATTTTAAAACTTGCTTTTTGTTTTCCATGTTCGTAAGAATTGGAAGGTTTTCTTCATTTGATTCATCAATCTCAATAATATTAACATTACAGTTGAGGGGTTCTCCAAACTAAAATAGAATTCATAAACAGAAAAAACAAAGTTGTAAAAGTCTAAGCAATTTCTTGTAGTAAAACTGGATCTTGAATGAACAGTTTTAAGCTTTCGAGGGTATAGCATACAAAAAAAGTTAGTTTAGTCGAGGTTTTTGGGTAGTAAAATAGATTATAAAAAAAAATACAAAACGTGCGCTGATTGGTCTAAAGCTGAGTTTGCATTAGCCTGTACAAAACGATCTGGAGCTCAATAAATGAAATAAATAAAGAGACTTTGCACATAAATCATCAAAAAATTCCAAACGTCTCCTCCGTCTGCCAAAGCCTCTGTACAAACACAGTGCAAATCTTTTATTTCTTAAGAAATTACTAACAATCCTTACTCAGTATAACTGGTTAAAAATGATTCTGACTGAGCATAAAAAGGTTAGAAAAGATCCATACTGAGTATGAAAAGACTAGAAATGATCCTACAGCTATTCATTCAATTTAAATAAAGATTTACATATGTTTTACTAGAGTAGCTAATATTTTTTCATCAACAAGAGATTATTGCTAATGAGTGATAACAATGAATATGTTATCCAGTTATAACACAGGTAATTGAAAACATACCTCATTGTATAGATAAACACGATCAGTGTAACGGCTAAGCCGAAACATTATTTTCTCAACGACTTCCATCTTTCCACCAAAAACTTCTATCTCATCAGATTCCTCAATATCTACTAAAAGATGACTTAAACTCTTGTAAATCTCAGCTAATGGTTTTCGTTTCTGCTTGTCTTTTTGTCTGCAAGTTTCACATTTCCGCAAGACAGCATCGCCAAAACTAAACTCACCACAATCCTCGCACTGCCAACAGTCTCCATCATCTTCAAGGCCAGACACTAATTCATGGAAATTTCTCTCAATTTTGCTGAGCCCGCACGATGAACACATGTTAAGATTATTGTCAAAATTGTAGTTCTTGCAAGACAAGCAGACCCCCCCTTTATTATTAACGATATCATCAAATCCGTGCTTAGTCCCCATAAGACCTTCTTTTAAGGTATCCGTATCATACGATGATATAATGTCACTTTCATTTGGTGACTCAATCTTGCGTTTCGTTGGCTTCAACTGAAATATATCTATGTCACTTGGGGGACAATCACGGGATATGACAGGTTTATCAAGTACATCCGAATCACCAGATTTATCTGCAACTTCAGGATTCTTAGAAAGCGCACATAGCTTGGGTTCATGCTCTTGTATTTTGTCCAAATCGCAATTTTCACTTGCTGACGAACATGCTCCATTATCATCCATTGTTATCGTCGATGATAAATTGCTAAAATTATTTTTACCACATTTTTTTTGACAGAATTTTGTTTTATCATTTTCAGAATTTTTTTTAAAAATTTCTTGTTGTTTTCGTGCCACAACGTTATCAGTGGACCACTTGACATTTGTAAGCTTCCGTAGGTTTCTGTAACGCGGTGTCTCACACATTTCACACACAGGAGAAAAGCGTTATTTTTGAAAGAACAAAGTGAACAATACCAAGATTTAAAGTCATCCACATCTTCCGCTCTACTAGAGACAACAGATGCAGCTTTAGATATTGAATTTTTGCTCATTTCTTCCTCTGGTTTATTCTGCTTTCTTTTACAATTTTGCTCAAAACCTTCAGCAGTTGTTTCATAACTTCCATTGTTTACGACTGAACTATCTCTTTTGATATTCGAACATAAGTTTACTGTTTCATTATCAGTTTTGCTAACGTCGAGATTTCCTTGTGCGTATCTATTACAGTGATCTGTTTTAAGTGAATCTTCATGTTCAACAATTGTATCAACTATATCTTCAACCCCATTTCTTTCGGAGGATAAAGATTGATGAAAGTTACTCGATGTTTTCCTCTTCTTGACATTTTCTTTTTCGTCTTGCCTCGAAGTCTTCAAGAGTTTTGTATATGAAGACAGTATATTTTCAACATGAGCGCTAGCAGGCTCAGATATGCTCGTATCATTAACGGCAATTTCACGAGCAAATTCCCATGCTATTTCCTGGCTTTCACTATCCATAAAATTTGATACACGAGGTTCGCTTACAGGAATCTTCCGCTTACAAATTTTGTATTTTTTCATTGTTGCTTTTGTTGATTTGATGTCACTGACACTGTCGACATTCATTTCCTTTGATCCGTTATCTATATTCTCACATTTTCTATTTACTTCATCATCCTCATCACGCATTCGCTTATCCTACGTATATAAAATTTTGGTTAATTAAATTTTCTTAGTCAAAATTACACGGTAGCAATTTAATATATTAAATACAATAATAACGAGAAATCTGCTCGGAAATTCTGATCCATGTATATAATCAAGTACTTTTCCTTTCAAATTTTCAAAAAAAGCAAACAAGCAAACACATCTTAACTCACCAAAACGTTTGTGGAAGACTTTCCATTCACATTTAAATCTTCGCAACTTTTCGCTTTTCCACATTTTCTTGGAGTCGAACGAGAATCAAAAAATTCCATCAAAGATCTTTGAAGATTGTCTTGTTTCTTATTTTCGTGATTCTAGAGAAAGAAACACTCATCATATTGATCGTAATTCTCACAAGAAATCTGCGCCAACATGTACAATCTACAGAGTCACTTGTTATACGTACGTAAAAAGACAACAAATAAACTCACAAAGGTAAAAAGAAAATCTTTATCTAACATTTCATCATCGTCGTCCTTTTCATGGCTAATGACCCAAGATGAAAACGCCTCGAGAAGTTTGCATTGTTTTTCGCTAGCTTCCTCAACATCAAGACCTTCTAACTTCCCATTTAATGTTGTTGTCGTTACGTACACCTTTAAACAGTAATGTACATTATTTTCAAAATACATACTTGATTTGTAGGAAAACATTACTCCGTATCATTGACATGAAAAGTATCTTCACATGAATATAAAGTACTAATCTAATTTTAGAGTAAAAACCAGATGAAATAATAAATGGTGGGGTGTTCTAGTTTGGATTAGATTTCGGTCGCTACTATAGTTAACATGTCAAAAATTTTATATTATGATTAGGAGATTTTTAAAAGTGTGCTCCATCAAATACTAATCACAATTGCTTTTGCTTAATTATTTGGTATTTTATATTTAGTAGAGAAATTGACATCCCTCGTGCACCCCATCTATCCAAGGTTAGAAGGAGTTCACACCACTCCTCACCCCTCCTACACCCCATCTATCCAAGGCTTGGAGGAATGAACACCACTGCTCACCCCTCCCCATTTATCCATCCTAAATTTATCCTAGTTCCAGTATTTGTCATTTCAAAACTTAGTTGTGGTAGTGCTTCAAAAGATCAACAGTAGTTGTTTTAGTATGTACTACTTACTTTAGTGCAGAGTTTTTGCCATAGCACTTCATCAATGGTTCCTCGGGCAACAAGATATTGGACGAGCACAGAGTTCTTTTGACCGATTCGGTGCACGCGATCCTCTGCCTGCTGCATCACACCTGGCGTCCAATGAAGCTCGCTGAAAATGATGTGGTCAGCGGCAGTCAAAGTAATTCCCTAGAAATATTCACAGAAGAGAATCCAGATTTCATGTCATGGAAGTCAAACTCTACACCAGGAAATCACGAGTTAGTTATGCCATAGGTGTACATAATCCAACATCACGGTGTAGGGATGATATTATAAACCACAATCCTTTCGCACGCTGGTAAAACAGCCAATTTTATACAAGTAAACATACGTACCATAGATGCAGCAAGGATGCTCAAAATTGCAACACGAGTTGAAGGATCACTTTGAAACTGTTGAACTAGACTCTAAAAAGTACATTAAAGATAATATGGTAGCTAGCCTACATGTTTTAACTCGTTTAAAGAAATATCCACTAACACATACAACCATTTGTTTCGTACAAAATGATCATTGGATAGATAAGAAAGCATCTTCAATTAATTGAGTACGGAAACACATTTCTAACAATTATTGTATAGTAGCCTAGCTCAATACAACCTTCTTACCGTTCTGAATCCTGATGGGACATCCCCAGCGATCTTTATGTACTTTACTCGTTTCTTTATAATCTCCTGTTCTATAGCGTTCATAACTTCAGTATGGTACGCAAAAACAAGAAATTTTTTGTCGGAGTTCTCTAAGATGTCAGCAATATACTGACGAATGACAGATATCTATACAGGAAAAAATATATTTATGAATTGACGTTGAGTATAAATTATCAAGTTAAACTTCGAGCTATTTCTCCTACAGTGGAATCATCAAATGGTCTACACTACTTATGTGGACCACTCATGCCAAATGTACATTGAAAAAATACTCAACACGAGAAGAAAAGGAAGATGGTAGGGAATAGAGTAGTAAAATTTCAATCATAAGTTGATGTCAATGATCATTAATTCACCTTTGCAACCCCACTTTCTTTGTAAAGCATTGTGGCCAAATGATTAACTTTACCCAAAGTCACATCGTCGTTAATTCTTTTCTCTTGACTTAATGATGAACTGGGAAGTTTCAAATTCTTGCACACATCACGAAACTCCTTAATTACTTTGTCCAGTTGCTAGAAAAACGAACATGTTATGTCCAATACAACAGAATAATATAAGAAATAGGAAAGAAACAAGAAAACACACATTTTGTGAGAATTACGATCCTATACCTTTTTTGATTCAGATTCGGTGAGGTTAAAGGTAATTCTTTGCCGTCTCTTTTCAGGCAATTGAGTTAAAACCTACGTATTGCACATATAGTTAAAATAATAAGAACACTTTCGATATCGAGTTTATAAATTGAAAATCGGAAGTTTTTCTTCATGCAAATTTTGAAATTTAAAATATATAGATAGATATCCACACACATTTTCTTTAAGACGTCGAATCATAACATTACTAATCAATAAATGATGAAGTTCTTCAAGATTAGATGCTCCTCTAGAACAAATGAAGATAAATATGAATCACAAAGCAATGATGTAAATAAAACCAAACACTGAGATACAAACTGAGTATTCCATTTTTTAAATCTTCCACCACACATAACTTCCGTGTGAGCATCACAGTAACGTCTTGCAAATCTTGAAAATGATCCGAAAAACTTCGGTTTAAGAACGTCAATTTGTACGTATAACTATAAGGAGGAGATTTTGAGAATTAGAAATGTTTGCGAAAAACTTCGGTTTAAGAACGTCAATCTGTACGTATAACTATAAGGAGGAGATTTTGATAATTAGAAATGTTTGCTCGAGTCAAAATTAAAATTCCTAAGATATTTAAGATAAGCAACATGACCTTACTAAGATAAGAAGTTGTTTATGAAGAAGTCATACATAAAGATATCTTGTACAAAGATGTTGTGTATGAAGATACCACGTTGTTTATGAAGATAAGTTGTGTATATGTAAGATATTAAAAACTTTTTTTCAATCACGACAAAGCAAAAATGAATATTATTGTTACTACAATTGAAAACCAAAAATTTTCGTATATTTTAGGCCAGTGATGCAAAGGAAGACTCAATGCCATTATATATTTTTTATCACTCAAACTTGCCTCTTCTGGTCTTGCCAGTGCAGGTGTTCCTGTCAGAAGAACAGCTCTTTTAGCTTCTTTGATGATTGAAACAAGTGCTTTAGTCCTTGCTGCTTTCCAATTTTTCAAATAATGAGATTCATCAACAATGACAACACCAAATTTCATGCTTCTTAAGTTATTAATGAGAAGTTGCGAAGAACTACAACTCAGGATACCATAACCAACAACTGAAATTTTGCTGGTTTTTAAGTTGCTGTTGAAAGAGAATAAATTTTTATGACAAATAAATGAAGTCAAATATTTCAATGTTCTTATTGGGCTCTCAAATGTATCAATGTTGTTATATGGCTCTCACATGTATCAATGTTGTTATATGGCTCTCAAATGTATCAATGTTGTTATATGGCTCTCACATGTATCAATGTTGTTATATGGCTCTCACATGATAAATTTTGTTATATGGCTCTCAAATGTATCAATGTTGTTATATGGCTCTCACATGTATCAATGTTGTTATATGGCTCTCACATGATAAATTTTGTTATATGGCTCTCAAATGTATCAATGTTGTTATATGGCTCTCACATGTATCAATGTTGTTATATGGCTCTCACATGATCAATGTTGTTATATGGCTCTCACATGATCAATTTTGTTATATGGCTCTCAAATGTATCAATGTTGTTATATGGCTCTCAAATGTATCAATGTTGTTATATGGCTCTCACATGTATCAATGTTGTTATATGGCTCTCACATGATCAATGTTGTTATATGGCTCTCAAATGTATCAATGTTGTTATATGGCTCTCAAATGTATCAATGTTGTTATATGGCTCTCAAATGTATCAATGTTGTTATATGGCTCTCACATGTATCAATGTTGTTATATGGCTCTCAAATGTATCAATGTTGTTATATGGCTCTCACATGTATCAATGTTGTTATATGGCTCTCACATGATCAATGTTGTTACATTGAAATGCAAATTGAATAGTTTGCAATTACTTCTAAAAGTTTCAATCATGAGCATTGATGTGAAGAAAATTATACACATGCATGGTTTTGCTTTATTGTACCTAACATCAATTCCAGATTTGACAAGATTGATTTGATGTGGTTCAATATCTGGTAGCCATTTCTCGATTTCTTCAATCCAAAGGAGGCATATCGAGGATGGACAAGCAATTAGCAATGGCCATTCGTTCTTGTAGTAATATGCAATGGCTAGAGCCTGGATTGTCTTTCCTAATCCCATCTAACAAATACAGAGCAATTAAACATTACTATATTGAATAAACTAAACAGATTAAAATTGAAACTTGCTTTCCATGAACAAACTATTAAAAATAAAGTATTTTACTCTCAAATAAATATAAACACGATTACCTCGTCAGCTATAAGACATCTATAATAAAAAACAGTTAGGATGCGGGTTAATGCAAATGAACAATCATCAAAACAAAACAAGAACGATATGCAATAATGAAACTGGCAAGAACACGGATGAGAAAACTTCGAAGCAATAGGTATAAGAATGAAGTCTTTTTGTAGTACCTTCCGCTTTTAGAAATCCCAAAAAGCACACCTTCTGTTTGAAACTCAAGTATAGTTTTTGCCAAAGCACTTGGTAAAAAATTTAATCTTGGCGCCATGTTGCGCGAGCAACAACAACTCAGCAACTGGAGTTCAGGCCCCCGACCATTTGTTGTGCTGGTACTTTTTGGTAGTTCTATAGCAATTTTTTATTTAAAGGTAGATAACATTTACTCGCGTTGAGTCCAATATCAGTGATATGCAGTTTTTGTATAACAGTTGGTTGCCTTTGTTGGACATTCAATAGAATAATTTTACCCGTAGAATCCCAGAGATGGAAACATGCTAAGTCGTTAATGACGTCACAGACCTTATTACCTCATTAACGTACTCCGCGTCGACGCGCAGCCAAACAGCCCCGTCTGGTCATGTTACATGTGTTAGAAAGGTTTTCAGCTAATTTTTTCTACTTGGTACGCAGTTTATATGTAATGATGTATTCCTCAAGTCCTTTTCAGGTGTACGAAAACAAAGATTCGTAAGTAGAAGATAAACATCGAACAATTTTCCAAGCTGATTCGAAAAAGAAAAGCAATGTATACTGTTCCTTTTTAGTCGTAACAAAAATGAAGAAATTTCTAAACCAAACTCAGGAGAAGTGAGAAAAGATAGCTTAAAAAGGAAAAAAATAACACCGAAAAAAAGGCAGATAGCAACACACGATGATGACTTTGACGAATATTTCCAACGGCTGTTTAACAACAAGAGATACGAAGATAAAAAACAGGTATGATGCGTTATGAGGATCATTGCGTTTCAAGTAGAAAAATAAACTGTTATTTGCTACCTTCAATAGAATGACGTGGAATTAAACAGAGCAAAAATTCCCAAATTGCAACATCAAATAAAAGACAACGAAATAATGACGAGAGAGAGCAGAATATCCATGAATGAAATAAAGGTAAGAAATAATAAAAGTTTTGACGACTTGAGACCGATACCATATCAATAAAATCACGTATGTTGATTTACAAAGGGTCAATTAAAGAAAAGAAAAATACCACTTCGAAGATGTAAATCACATGTTTTAAGGATTCAAAGACGAGATAAAATCCCAAAGGTACATGAAAATTCTCGCAGTGTATAAAGCATTTTATAACCAATTCTTCGAACACGTTTAGCAAATATGTTCAGTTATAATGAACTTAACTTTTTTTTATCTTTTAATAGGGCATTCTAAAGCACGCCAAAACACAAAAAAGAGAGCTGAACTCAGATACAAACGTCAGAAGATCGTTAAGGGTAAAATATTCAAATCAATTGCGATTTCCGTGGTATCCAAGCAAATGTATAATACATTAGATTTTCATAACTGAAAACAGTTAATTTATTGAAAATATGATGTTTTCAATAACACTGAATGGTAATTTTACATTTAACATTCGATTAAAGCAAATACTACTTCAAATATTTTTCATCTTATTCATCATTCTTTCAATCCACTAAGTTAATCACATTATGATAGTAGTTGGATAAACAATCCCTCTCAAATACCTAAATTCTAATCTATCATCTTATTATTTACAGTTGACACGATCTTCATTGTCTTTGCCAAATGGGTCGCGTGAGGCCAGAAGAAGAACAAGTGCGACGTCATTATTACGTAGAGCCATGCCTCTGAGAGGCACAAGAAGTGCGCACAGACAATGGACATTGGAAAAACTAGATGAAACCGTAAACGAGTTACATAGAACAAAATCAGGGCGCATTGTGCGAAAACCATCAAGACTTGGGTCTTAAGATAAATACGTTTCATTATTTGAAACAAGAGTCTTGTATAAAAGCCATTTTTAAACGTGTTTTATGAATGAAAAAAAAGTCAAAACGTGTATGACTTTTTATTATCATCCAACAACAAGCTCAGAATTATTCATATTGTGGCTTTCGGTTTATTAACATTTTCAAGCATGCTATACACTCACCTACAGTATGGTTGTTCTTCACGATAAAATGACTAAATTCATCAATATTATCTTCGAATGATCGAAGAATTTACTCTGGATCTAAAAAATTTTTAAGCACTTTAGTATTGTCTACAACTGACACACGAGGTTGCTTTTATTGTTACGTGATGTGGTATACCTGTGCATATTTCCCATCTGTTTAACTTTTTTCATCAATGTAGTTGTTTGTTCTATAGTCGGTTAGACAGGTAAATCGAAACTTTACCAATTTCAAAAGAAGACAAAATGGAAAGACTTTAAAATGAATAATAATCACAGCGGATAAACTTACTTCGTTTTTTTGGTGATACAACAACTGCCGAAGTTGAAGAAATACGTGATGACGAAGATGATACAGGTCGAATGACAGATGTGCCGTGTTTAGCCTGCTTCGCCTGACCTGAGGGGGAGCCTTAGCCTCAACATGAACATACGCTAGTTTCATTTGACGACCTAATTCATTTATGAAAAGGATTTATTTATAAACAAAATATCACCACATTTGTCTCACCTCACTTTGAAAGCGTTCTATAAACTAATGTAATAATTACTACATAGCTGTTGCTAACTGTATCATTTCTTAACTGTTCCTATGTAAGACATATTTATGATGGACTATTACTGCACTAATTATATAGAAAATCTACATTATACTAACTTTAATCTAGGACACAAATACCGTACTAATCTGCCGTTAAATAAAAAACTGGATAACTTCATAAAGTTTGACCTCTTCATTTTAGAGATTGAGTAAAATGTCTGTGATATCTAGTATGGTGTAAGTGAAAGTCTGAACTAAATTTAAAACTTTACTCATTGTAACATAAACTCTTCAGTTATTAATTTTTGAATTTAAAATCTACCTTGTTGTTTAGCAGCCTGAGAAGCTTTGATTTTAGCATCAATTGACTTTAATTTATCTTCTCTTTCTTCGTGTTTTTTCTGTAAAATATAAAATATACACGTCTATATTTATTGTACATAAATCCACTCACCTACGTCAGATTATTACGTCACACCATTACGACACACAGATCAAAGGTAGCCTTACGTAGGATAATATTTATTGAAGAAAGCTCTTTAAAATCTTACCAAGTAGAACGTTCTCCAATCATCTTGTTTCATTCCCCAAGTCTCTTTGAAATCTCGCTGACAATGAGTCTTCCATAATGGGCCAGTATCCTCCAGAAAATACTATGATATATAAAATTCCTTATCAGGTGAACGTATATCTTTGATTTCTATTTAAAGAAGAGATCGTGTAACAAACCGGATTATACTCTTCCAAATTCCACAGCTGAGCAGGTGTGCACCTAAGAAAAAAGACACCATGAAATCCTTATCTTTGAAAACACAAAAAAGCTAAAGTTGTTTCAATGTCATAACAAGTATTTCAAAGTATATAAGGGTATCCTATATCAGAGTATATTGCTGTTCCATTTCTGTTTAAGGTAAGGGTTATGTAAAGATATTTCTACGCAAATTCAAATGATATTGCAGTGAGCTTACGTACTTTGCTAGAACAGGTTCTAGAATATCGTATGGAACACCACCAGTATCGAATAATGCTACAATGCAAAGTTTTGTTTAACAAATCGACAGTTTTTGATTGACATGTTTAATATGACACCTTCTAAATATATGAAGTGACATTTAGGTGACTGGTACATGACTTAGAAACTTATTGAATTTTACGTGTAATCCTACGAAAATTTTAAAATGAACGCAGGAGTAAACACTGATTACATGCACTCAATGATTACCTTCAATATTATCAACTAAAACTTTGATGCACATCTCATGTAATGAAGTAACAACTAAACAAAACAACAAAACATACATTAGGTATATGGAATGAAGGCCAATGAAAATATGATACAATATGAATATATTTGAAACTTTTCTTCATTTAACTGGACAAACTTCAAGTTATGACCTTCCATCAACTTATCAATTAAAAAAGTCTGCTCTAAATCAAATACCTCCACATCTATTGGCGTTTCGTCTGCCAGAGAACACTTGAGTCTTTGATTTTCTTGATGATAACAAGTCAAGTGGAATATCAGTTGAAAGAGCTGAAAAAACAGAAATATATTATTAGTTTTAGAAACTGCATCTACAATATGAAGCTTACAACTTATTTTTATTACCATAATATTTGACATGTTTTCTGGTGAAATCAAAAAGATTTGTATGAGAACTGACATTGAAGGGTCAAAAACTTTGAATAAGCTGTTTCCTCTAAAATTTCTTTAATACATATAGTCAATATTTTGAGAAGTATGTATGAACCATAAATATTTCATGATTCAAAAAGTCAAATTTCCCTTTCAAAATATCTTGAATTAACTTCCAATGCCAAGTACAGAACTCTTCTGATTAATTTACAAGTGATTGCATGTAAATGTAATGATAGGATACGTAAATTAAGAAAAGTTCAAATGTTCATGGAGTTTTCTTCATGATACAGGTATCTAAAATGATGGTATCCTACATCTGCATGTGACTAAAATCACAATACTTGCACAAACTAAATATATTAATGTTCTCCTGACAAGAATATGAAAAACAGAATATTACCTTTACGTTTCTGGGGAGAATTTTCAACATAAGTAGGTTGTTTTTGTGGCACATAGTTTGGTTGAATGTCTGGAAGTAAAGATTGCCCAATTTCTTTCGCACTTGGTAGAGTTGAAGTTTGAAGACTTAAACTTGGAGACATAGTTACCAGCTGAGCATTCCTAGTCTTTTGTTTCTTTTTTGGACTTGGACTCAGTTCCTCCGAGACAAAACTCAAATCACACAGTTGCATTGATGCAGCCTATAAAATATCATCAAGTAAGGCAAAGCTAGCATTTTTAATTATTGATCAAAATGGTGACTTGTTTTTATCAATGACCCACATTAAAATTTCCTAAGCATGAATCAAATGGCAGCATGCATAGTGAAGCAAAGTCTAAACATGATAAATATAAAAATTTGGTAATAACCTTTTGTTGGGAGTAAGTCTTCTTTTCTGTTCGGCTAGATTTTTCATGCAGTCTTTTCTCAACAGATTTAGAGCCAATTTTCTCAACACTATGACTCTGTGATACATTTTTCTTAGTCAGAACATCTGAGCTATTCAGAAGAGACGTCTTTTGGAGATTATCACAATCATCTGTTGTTAATAAACTTTTCCATTTCTTTACTAATGCCTTTGAAAGAAGCGCAATGCTGCCACCTTGTCTTTTCAGGTTGTTCACTGACTTGCCAATCCCAGTGGACTATTAAATTTAGGAATAAAGGATTTCTATTTTAGATCATTATCTGCAAAATTAAGATAAGAAAATACGCATCCACATTGAACATTCCATTCACAAGTATACCTTCAGAATTTCAACATTGATGTTGATTTCATCCAAACCTTGAAGATACTTCAATATCTAAAGTGATTTTCTTCAAGTTAATGACTACTCATCACAGTTGTAAGCATATGTTACAATTAAGCAAGAAACAAATATGGAGATTGTTGGCAACGATACATCAGTATATTGCTGAAGACATTTATGATTTTTTTAGGCCAATTTGATGATGATTACCCAATTCGTTATTATCAAAATTCGGTTTTCTAACACTCATTTCATATTGCCTTGTGCAATCTTGCCGAGCAAAATCAAGAGAATAAAAAGTAGTCACGTTGATAAATTTAATAAATTGGGATGAAGAAAATATATTACGGCATATAAATAATTAAGTTTAAATGCCTTAACATAAACATACGTAAGATTGAATGAAGTATAAATCAAACAATGCAAATATACGAGTTTGCTAAAAAAATCGGTAAGTTAAACGATATTAGAAACATGCAAGCCTTCACCTTGTCTTCTTTTAAAGTATCAGAATCCAGCTTTTCCTTGACTTTAAGAATAGTGGATAACGAAACATCCATTTTGCTTTAAATCAATACCAACACAATCATTTTATAATGATCAAATTAAATATAACTAGTCACTTATCATTCATTTTTATATCTCCGACCAAGTCACAGAGCTAGTTAGTAATTTACCAATTGACATCCGGTTCACATCGTTACTTCCGTTTGGCATTTAAACATAAATAATAAGATGCGCGGACGAAACCAAAACATATGAAATGGGTACCTACCTACATTTACGCCATTAAGGGTGTTTGGTTGTGAAAGGCACAAAATTGAGGGCTAACCAAGCTCACATAACAATGGGATGGGGTTAGAGTTAGTGGTTACCAACTATCAGACTTTATCATCGAAGGATATTGATTTTTGCGCAAATTATGACAAATTTACAATAATATCGTAAATGAGAGACATTCTGTCCAACAACTACTTCTTTAAGTTAAGGAGTAACTATCAGAAATGACAATGAATTATCAACAGATATTAATTAATCGTTTTTTATACTAATGATAATAATATATTAAAAATCTGGATTGCATTAAGTGCTAAGAAAAAGGCCAGCTCAATTTGTTCAGCCTAAAACGTTCAAACTCCAATTTATACTTCACTTTATAATCATCTGTTTCAATATTCTAGGTTCTGTCGTGGAAATACTACGCTCGACTTTAAGATTGAAAATTCTTAGGAAGAATCTTAGCAGAAACTTTGGGTAGAAATCTTACATAAATTTTTACGTAGAACTCTAAGTAGAAAATCTTACGTAGCCCTTCGTGACGTCTAGTTAAAAATTCTATTTTAAAATTCTATAAATTCTTTATAAACGTGGGATCCATATCGACTAATTTTGCCGAGTAAAAAGCCAACAGAGCCAACATTACTTCGCGTATATTAGTAAACTTGATCACCTACAATGAAAGCAGAAAAAAATAGATATCCATGACAGTGTAGCGATATTATAGAGTATTTAATGTAATTGACATTGTAATAAAGCTTACAAATAAAATACCATATGGTCTTTTTAAAAAATGCGATAGTAACATTATATGGGAATATTTCACAAGAACGATAAAACAGATCAATACAATACAATACAATACTGATTTGTGAACTTCAATAAGTTATTCAGCAACTTACAATTTCTTGCAAGTCTCCATCCTGTTGCTGTAATTTCAACGTTAGTTTATCATTACCATCATCAGAGGAGCTTCGAAGTTGTGAGAATTTGTAGCTCCATATTAATGTCTAGGGAAAAATTTCGAAGAATGAAAGGATTTCGTAGTTGGATTCATAAAATTATTTTCATCATTGACAAAAATAAAAAAGGAAGAGTAAAGTGTGAAGTACCTTGTCGTTTCCCGTGTATAATTTTAATCCATCTTCTATATCTAAGTGTAACCAAACTTGTGTCCCACTCCACGAACCATGGTAGATTTTTTCCTGAACATAATAAATTAGACTTGCCAGAGACTTGTTCTCCAGCAACACTTTCGATTTTCCTTATTGTGAATTCCATGTTTTAATTTGTATAATATTGCTTTTGATAACTTGAGTTCATATAACTTGAACTGGATTAGAGATTTAACATCATACAGTGATGATTACATGTTACATATTTCAATCCAAAAATTTAAATAACACATCTTCCCAACAAACCTTTACAGATAAAACAGCCAACTGTACAGATTTAGTTATCTTGGTTGTCCAGTCCAAAAGATCTGCACGCATGTCAACACTTAAATAATGTTTTCTTTTCTGTACAGTCTCAATTCTAAAGCAATTTCGTCGTTTGTCCAACAAGTCATCTGGCTAAATTATTGAAAGTAAAAATTGACGGATGACAAATAGTAAAGATAAAGGAGATATCTTATTCTTACTTTACAAACATTGTGCTCAATTTCGATGAGATAATATGAGAAATAAGGTGCCAACCAATCACGCATCGAATTCTAAAATATATAAAGACAATGATTTTGCCAATAGATGATTCAGTCTTTCTCGTACAACAACAAAACAATTGCTTTAACTCACTGGAAAACGATCAAACAACAAAATGTCATTTCCTTTAAGAACGAGTAGTTTTCTTGACCATGTTTGCCTTTGTCCCCTTTTTTGACACCGTTCCCAAACCCAATTCATAAACACTATCTGGGAAACAGGATACCATCGAATCAATAACTTGTAAAATTTAGTGAATACTGAACAAGGAAAATATAGGGAAGATTACTGAGTTACCTTCTCTTCATCAGGAAGATTGGAGTTCAGCGACCTTATCTAGAAATATAATTGCTCAATGAAAACTCTTAAAGAGTTATGTTACGTTAAAACTTAAATCTTCACATTGTACAATATCGTGTCTTCATACCAATAACTCCATGCATTTTAGAAATATATTTTTAATCGTACTACCGTTTGTCTCAGAGATATGATTATGTTGTTCTTTACAGCTTTGTACCAAACAGAAAGATCTTCAGGTTGATTACTATACAGAGTCACAGAAACTTTTTCATCCTTTGAAATCACTTCGAAACCATCTCTGGCAAGAATACAATAATTTCATATAAATATTGAAGATAAGGTACCTTTACTTCCCTGAAATCATAATCTGGTTATCGGTGAGCAGCTATTTTTTTAATTCTAAATTTTAGCCAATCAATTTCTTTAATTCCCATGTAATGGCAAAAAGTGCAGGTTCACCTATAACAGTGAAAATAAGGGTGATAAAGGAACAACCATGTACCTTAAGGTATCTTCACCAGTCTTATACTGCGACAATGAGGCCATATCTAGTGGAACATTAATTTCTTCGACTTGAGTTTCGTTTATTGAAGACGATGATCGAGCTGAAGATGTTTCTGGAGACTGGGAGAGAAAAAACCCGCAAAAAAAACAACGATATCGACAATCATGAGTTAATTAAAGGAAAATAAGGAACGTCTTCTGTGTGAAAAGGGAAGAAATAAAAAAAATTATGATGAAAAACCCAAACTCGATGAGGATGAAGATCGTAAAATATATATGCATGACAGTATGAACGTAGACAAAACATAGATGTATTTCTTTCCATATTGAAGGATAACCTCATTCATTTATGCTCTCGTTAACTACCTTATCAGATGATTCCATCTCACTAGGTTCTTGTGGCTCATCGCTCCCTATGTATATACAACGTAAGATGAGCTTAAAGAATTTTATCACCAACGACAAATAACTAACTTAGCAACTTTCAAAACAATAAATTCACCAAACAATACCTACTGATGTTGCTTGTCGTAAATATGGTGTTACTGGAAAAAATAAATTGAACGGCAATTATTTGTTACTCAGCATTTATTTCAATTAAATATATCTAAAGTCAATCCTTCAAGGATGAAACCATAATATCTTCTTCTAAGTATTTATGAGAGATTTACGTATGTAACAAAGACAAGAAAAGTTTTAGGTAATGCTGAAAAATAGTAAAATCTATGAATTCAGACGCCATGACGTTGTTAGTTCCAGTCCCTTTGCTCTCACAGTAACATTTTTTAAAAATGAGAAACTTTACTTCTAGTTTAGAGAACTGGACACTGGTCAAATCATGAGTTATGGGTTGCACATAAATAGATTAAGGTCATTTTACCTGCTTTCAAATGTCGTACCACTAAAGTAACATAGTCTCTACCATTCTTTAGAGCTTCAACCTTTAAAGGCATATGAAATAAAACATTTGGCTAGTTGCAAGAAACATACATAAATATCTATACTTACAACATCATCGTGTGTACCGTTACGCATGTCTTTTCCATCAACCTGTGTGAAAAAATCATAATAAAAAACAGTGTTGACTGGGTAAGTTCCATAAACAGACTCTTAAATTGCTTTAAATATTTTGAAAATCTTATAGTTTTGACTTCTTTTCACTAAATTCCAGGTTAAACAGCTTCAGACCTTTAGAATGATGTCACCAATCTTCAGTTTTCCAGTTTTGTCCGCTAAAAAAAAGACACTTCATCAATGAACTATAGGAGATCTAATTTTTGAATTAAAAATTGCTAAAATTCATTTTTACAAGGTAACGCTGGATCTATCAATCACCTCACATATATTATTGATAACTTGTGCATATAAAGTAATAAATTACAGTATAAAATGAAAAATCATTTTCTACCTGCTTGACCCTTATATATTTTCGATATCAGTACTGGAATTTTATTCTCTGAACCACCCTAATAAAGACAATATGAATAAACATGTCACTAAGTAAGGTAAATCATTGCAAACTATTGGTAAGTATAAATCAGTGGAAGTAATCTTAATTTATCTCATGAGGCAATAAGTTTTTAGGGCAAATCAATATAATTCAACAAAAATCAGTAAAGTTTACAGAGGTAACTAGATTATCAAATGTTAATGCACAGAATTAAAATGTTAATTCTTGTACATAATGATTGTTTGACACATTGTTAAAGACTTTTCCCTGAATATAAATTATGCAAGACATTAACATTAATATACTATATAAATTATGCAAGAAATTAACATTAATATCCTATATAGTAATACAACACATACTTTTACGCTTATCCCAAGACCACTGCTTTCACGTTTTAAGACAACAGTTCTTTCCTATTAATTCAAATAAGAAATCAAATTTATAGATGTAAAAATTTAAGGATGAATATCATATTTTAACTAACATTGGTAAATCTTGGTGAGTACTAGGAAATGATTTTGAGGTGAAAGTAAGTTTTTTGGGGATTGAAAGATTGTTTACCGATTAGAAAATTCAAAGGTTGAAACACACACAAACCTTTTCCAATGCATCTTTACCAATGAGGCTATGTGAAGTACCCTGAAACAGAATCAAAATGAAACATGACAACATTTATCATACATCACAATCAACCATTGTACCATTGATTAACCAACAAAAAAATTGTACATAACAAAGACTAGTGGATGACATGGTATACAGTCAAGCTTCTCCTAAGCATACACAGATATGTGACCATGACCTGGAGTCTGTTTAGATGAGGTATTTTCTTATGAAAGGAGTTTGTAAGGGGAGGTTTGACAGTAATTTAAGTCAGTTTTGTACCTTCTTCACTAGAAGTGTTACTGCACTTACGCTTTAGTGATTCTTATGATGCTTGCAACTAAATACTTAAGTGTTTTCACTGCTAGGTTGTCAATACTGTTCAAGTGTCACTAATGTTTGGATGGTTGCTTTTTCTCAGGCCTGTCGAGAACAGGGGGGGAGTGAACAGGATGCAACTCCCTAATAGTTTACTGTAATTATTTAAAAATAAAATGTACCACAATAAACTTTGATTACAGATTTGAATCACACCCTTCCCAATCTCAATTGCTTCCAGGGTATCACTGCTACAGGAATTTCCTTCTATTAGGGTGACCTGTACTACATATCTCCATATAAATAATATTTAGCCAAGAGTGAACTTATAACAAGCAGAAATTATCTTATGGTGTTTGAATGTTATCTGCTCTTATTCATTAAAATAGAAGACTTTCACATGGGCAAACAACAAAACAAATTTACAAGGTAATTAATGAATCTGAACTTGGTTTATTCATTTGAAATCAACACCAGATTTCCATGGCAGTTGTGTTCAAAGATGAAAGAATGCGAATCTGGTGGATGCCTGCTTTACATGTTTTGATCTTGGAGTCACTTGAAATGATCGTAGAAATATGACCGTGATTGTATCATACAAATTTAATGTTTAAAATTTGAGTGCATTAATATCAGATTATGTTGCGATTTTTCAGATACAAATAAACCTGGCTTACGATAGAGCAAAAAGATAACGTTTACATCAAATTCACAGTTAGATAACAAGGTAGCGGTATTCAAACTCATTGGACATCTACCATAAATCATGGTATATCACAAACTTGTGTGGTCCAATCAATCTTAAAAAATGTTCAATACACTCAAATTTCTTTGATGATTTAACGAGATTTAAATACATTATCCGATAGACAATATATCTTCAGAACTTCCTACTCATTAAAGACAATGGTTACAAACAGCAAAACAAATTACAACACGTCCGTTTCAAATTAAAGTAGATTTGAGCAGGATTTCAGTAAGTCAACACTTCCAAATTTGCTCAATAAATAGGATATGTCATTAAACGAAGAATCCCGGTGAACAAATAAACATTAAAGGTTTAAGCACATACGTTTTTCACAGTTCTATTTCCACCACGACGGCTAGCATCGCGTCGCACAATAAGCTCTGAGTGATGCAACTCAACGCGAACTGATTCATAATCATTTGAATGATCATTTTCAAGCAGTAGCATGTACCCAAGACGACTCTATATTTCAGGTAAGATCATAGAAATTACAATGTATTCATATTAAAAACGTAACATGTTTGTTATGTACCTATGACACATTCAAAATTTTCATTACCTCTGCCATTTTTATGACTTGATTAAATTGCTAATTTAATCATAAATCAGTCAATCAGTGGTATTTGGCGCAAATTCTATCCATTTCTACAGGCTTAAAAGTAGTGAACACAAATAAAAGGCTGTTCTAATCCAAAATCGCACCGGGACATATAGCAAGTAGTAATTTGTTATAGAGTTGTCATATTTACATTTAAATAACTTCTTTATTCTGATTGGCTGAATAGATTTCGTAGCCCAAAGTTGCATTCTAACTTTCACTTTCATGTCCATTTTTCGAGTTAAGGTGGTAAAGGTTTAGTTAGTAGAGCTGTGGACTGTGGAGAATTTATAGTAGGGAAGTATGAGTTTAAAATTAGTTTGGAGAAACAATTGATACATTCCTTCTCATCTTTTGTCACAAAAGACAACGACTTGCATAGAGAGTATTTAATACAAATTTATTTACACAGATAACTTTTTTTTACATAAGGAAGTTGATACATGGTAATTTTAACAAAATAACAAAAGTGTGTTGACTTTTCCCATTGTATATATAGATATTATATGTCGATTCTGACACAATGTTTCCACAAATTGTCAATTCTTTTTGTCATAGATTTATCAAAGTAATTTTCTTCATTCTAAATGTCAATGATTGACTGTCACCTGCTCGTCCGAGGAGATGTATTATCTGTACAGTTAGAGGAGTTCAAAGGATGAAAGAATGCATGCTCTAAAGCTTGTGCTGCAGTTATTCTGCTATCAGGCTTGAATGTTAACATGCATTCCAGCAAATCAAAGAATGCTGGTGAGATTCCTCTTTACTGACCACATATTTCTGGATGAAAAAGAAGTTAAAGTTACATGTAGGACACAGATAAAAAGTTTTTCCATTGCCTAAAATACTAAGGATAATGTGCCATTATGTTGGTAACAAAAAAGAAAGCAGAATTTAGCAATGAATCATCAACAAAAAGGAAACTCAAAATTTGAGATCTTGTTAATATACAAACTTACTCTTAGTGGTTTACAGTTATCTCTAACATATTTTCCATCTGAGCTTCGTTCATCCCAATCCAATCTTCCTTCATAGAAATATTTCATTTTCCTAGCAAAAAAAGACAAACATTACAAAATAAACATGCAACAAAACAACACAAAAAGTACATGTTCTTATGTTTGATAACTAGGTACAAATTTACTTTGATTTCCAACACATAGTTGAAGGCAAAGTTCCAAGAATGCGTTCCATCATTGCAAGATGTTCCAAATTTTCATGGGTCTAAATAGGAAGCAAAAAATTTAATAGGACAAGTACAAACATACCTTCTACACTATTGCATAAATATTGTATTAACTATTGCTGTATAAATGCTTAAATTGATTTAAATTTCCTGGGCAACCTATGTCGCTACCAAGACATAACCAACATGATGTAATTAATCATCAATAATGGAGATATCAGAATAAGAAAAAAACCCAGGAAAAGAATTTCCAAACACTGGCCCTCAACTAAAAGTTAATATCTATACAGTTTAAAAGCTACATTTTTCATCTACATGCAACAAGAAGCTATTGCAGTTCTCGTTATGACATATAACTACAAGTTCAATATCGAACCTGAAACAAAGTGAAGCCTGTGTATAACTCAAATAAGATACAACCAATGCTCCAGACATCACAGGGATAACTCCATCCAAGTTCTAAACAAAGGAGAATGTGTAGCTAATGATCAGTGACAGGTGGAAGGGTTCACAAACACCTTAAGTTTGGCATAAAAAATGCAGGATGTGAATTTGATGAAAAAGGAGCAAAACTTAAGGGATAAAGTGTTTAACTTTTAGTGCAGATCGCTACTTCCTATAATTTGTTTCAATTTAATGCTGATGGCTGCCATAGCAAAAGGATCTTATCTCACCTAAAACGACCTCTGGAGCGCGGTAATGTCGTGTAGACACAGTTCTGCTATGATGTTCATCTTCAAATGTTGCTGATCCAAAATCAATTACTTTAATATCTGATTTATGAAGAATTTTATCATGACTTTTCTGGAAATTAAAACATAAAAAAAATTACAACATTTAATGTGAAATGATTAGAATTTATTAAAAGAATAAATACCATTCTTGAATTGTAGAAAAGATCATAGGAAGAATCCACGAATAACATATTTTCTGGCTTTAAATCAGTATGACAGAGGGACATGCCATGAAGAACTAAATGAAAAGAACAAAACATTGAACACTGAAGTCAATTAAATAATCAAACAATACAGTGTGCGAATTAACGGTGTGCAATGTGCAATTTGCACATCGTTTTAGCTAAAATAAAAACAATTGCACATCACTTTTTCAAATGATGTGCAAAAATCAGCAGTTTTAACGAAAAACACTGTTGTAAATCATATGAATTTGTTCAGGTTTAAAAATATTAATTTAACAATTAGCGCTATATAATAATTAACGTAATATCGATTTGATTATGCTTCTAAAGAAACACTTTTGTCAAAAAAATTGCACATCGTTTTTTCTAAACTAATTCGCACACTGAACAACATGATGAACTCAAGCTACAGTTAATTACAGTTCATTAGTATAGTTTTACAAATTTCATTTTTGTAACAGCAAATTTAATTTACACTTGATTGCTCCAATAAGTTGATATGCAATATTGCGAACATGATCCATAGGATATCCTTGATAATTATTTTCTTTCTATACAAAACAATAACAATGTTCATTAACACGAGAACTTGTTAGCACTAGTTAGCAAATATCAATGTGAAGAATATTTGGAATGATCATTTATACACAGCCGAATTTTCTTGTATATATTTACCAGGATATCATGTTTTGCTTGCAAAAAATACACTAATTGTTTTTATTGAGATTGATTTTAAATCACCAAGTAATATTACTATACACTTTCAAATTCACATTTACTCTCTCAAACAGTTAAACCTTTGCTAAAAATTTAACTAAAACAGTTTACAGCTCATTAACAACAAATTTAGTGTTGGTATGTATAACATGCTGGTTGTAATACATAACATATACTGGTAAAAACAACTTTGGATATATAAGAATTTTCATAATTCTAACTCATCATTCTAATAAATTTTCTTTTACAAGCACATGTCAAAATAAAATACAGTTAACTTCTGTTAAACATTGATACTGATTTTCTATAAAATCCAATTGAGATCTTACATACAAACAACAAAGTTATCAGAGCAAAAACACCCACCATAAACTCAAAGACACTCAGACCCAATTTTTCAAAAATTAGACAAATATGACCATGATAGTTGAACCAGTCAATGAGCATGATACACAAACTGAAGAAGAAAAGATGCAATCATTAAAGTACAAAGACAAAATAAATCAAATGTTGTGAAAATTTTCACTCACTTTTTATCATTTGATTTTTTCTGACGAATCTTTTCAAGTACTTTTATTTCAATTTTTGCAGCATCCCTTTATGAAAAATTACAAAGTTTCCTTTCCATATGTAGCAATTTACAAAATGCACAAAATTGTCAAAATCATTCATTAGACCTGTATCTATCCACATTTTTTATGACTTTGACAGCTACTGTTTCATTTGTAGATCTAAAATAATTGTATTATTACATCACATGTATATCATATAATTTCCACATTTCTAAATATATAAATATTTGTCCCATGCCCTTTAAACATCAACAACACTTATACTAAGATATGTGTTTTGATTTATGCATGAAAAAAACATTACATACCTATCAATACATTCCAAACATTTAGCAAAAGTACCTTCTCCTAACATTCTGCAAATTTCATCTAAATAAAAACAAAATATATTCACACTAAATTTTTTCCTTTGAAAGTGATTTATTTTATTTAAAGTTCAAAGAAAACTTAACATTTATAATGTTCCACTTATATGTTCAGATGCCTTCTAAAGGCATTACAAAATATGACATGCAAAAAATAAAAGCTTGGTTGCCTTGTAAATGCATTTGTAATGAATACTAGTCTCAATGTGTCATTGTAGCAGATTTCAAGATCTTAAGATACTCCAATAAAATGTACATTGAGATGCCAAAGCAAATAAATCCACAAATCATTCATCAAAAGCTCTCAGATCAACATGTTTTTCTATGTTTAAACACCAGATGCCCATAAAATGATTTAGATTGCCATAAAAAATATCTTTTATTCCATCTTATCTTTTATTTCCTCCAGTGAAGAGGTAGAGAAAAATAGATGTATCGTGTCGATGAAAAATGAAATTTTTTTGATTTTCAATCCATGACATAGGCTTGAAGACAGCCTTGTGATCAGGATGAAATATACGGAATGACCTAAGCCACTCAACATGATTGAACTATCTAAAATTACCACAATTATGAGAGCAAAAATATATTAATACATCTTGAATTTAACCAGTCGCCTCGCTTGTACTTTAGATGACCATCCTTATCATCTTCCACTGTTTGACTTGTTCCTTCCTGCTTCATCTTCCTATCTTCACTGTCTCGCCTCCTTTCCTTCTTTCCGTGCATAAGTTTGTATGTGTATTTGAAAAGGGCCAACGCATCAGCGATTATTTGACATTCATTGAAATTTGTTTCAACATCCACATTTCATCGAATTAATTCATCATTTCATTTCATTCACAATTTCCGATATAGAAAGATAGCAAATACACACAAGCAAGCCAAATAAGAATTTGTTCCGGAACGAAAACACACAATGCAGGGAAGATATAATTTATCAATTATTTGTGTAAACATTTCTAAGCACTGTATATTTCGGTTTTTCGAATTCATAAATTCTGTGTAAAAATCAAACCATGGAAGACTCACCTGACAGTGACAAACATATAAAACAACTTAATCATTTAAGCAAATATTCTATAAAATTATGCGTGCTATCGTTAAAAATTGAAAACTCAATTTCATTTGTATTGACTTTGCGTTATTTTCAAATCTCTGTTTGTGGACAAATATTGAATTTTATATTTCATTTAAATTTTACCCATTAAAAATTAAGAAATATTATTGACTTACAGAATGTCTGGACACATCTCGATCCTCTCTTCTTCTCCTTCGTCTTCGATCACTACGACTACGGCTTCTACGTCTTTTTCTGCGACTTCGACCACTACTTTCGCTATCCTCATACAAACGTCGACTGTGGTATATTCTTCTACTCGAGACAGAGCTGCGACGATGTTTTTGCGCCTGTAACTGGAAACACTTTCCTCTTCTGAACTATCACGTCTTCTCCGGGAAGGAGACATGTTTTGCCTAAGTAAAAAACCTTCCCTAAAATAAACGACACGTTGAATGACGAACAATGGTCAATGGAGGAGGCTCTTTCGATCAGGATCAGACAATGGGATCAGAATCAGATTAGGTTTTCAGTCATATGAAAACAATTCTGATTGGTCCTTTCTTATCGACGAATCATAACAAAGGTATTATCACCGACAGTGATATAATATCGGCTGGATAACGCTATCTTTATTTGAGCTTTGAAACATTCGAATGACTGATACCAATGGGTCAGTTTGTGTTGTTTAGTTTCATGGAAAACGCTATTTATTTGGTTAGTAAATGCTTTGAAAAAGAAAAGCCATGACCATTGTTCATATCATAAAATGTTTCATCTTCAAACATGAGTACAGCCCACACCCCCCGTGCAACATGTAATTTGAAAACAAAATGGCTACCACCAAGAGATTGAATTTAAAACTAGTTTCAAAAATCCTAGTTGTTTTCAATCCATTTGAATGGAAAACCGCGTCAGCAAGGTCTCGCGATTTATCAAGCAAGTTATCATGAAAATAAAGTTATTAAAACAATTAAGAACGTAGAAAGTATTTCTCATTGAATAATATTTTAATGCACTATACAAATAATGCAATAGGTCAATAGCTTCAGTACTAACATTTTCAATTATTTTTAAACTACAGAGAATTTCTGCGAATAGTTGACACGCAAGCAGTAAGAGCCTCTAATCCAAAATGCCTCATTCAGTCAGAAATAAGTAAAAAGGTTGAACCAAAAATTGAAATTCATTTTGGTAAGTAAAAGTTATCTTTCATTCTTTCTTGAGTAAATTCCACAAATATGAAACTTGTTTTTGTGTTAAAGAAACTAGTTTGACGTAGGATATTTTCTGTAGCTGACAAAGATAGCTTGGTTTTTGAAACAAGCAAAGTGAAAGTGAGAGAAATTCTGTCACAGTTCATGAAGAAGAATACAGAAAAAGAAAATATCATTTCAACTTGATTTTCAATCAACCCCCTCCTGAAGATGTCATTCTAACTTGAAATGATTTCACTGAAATCATGCAACATTAAAACATCTGGCCTTAGGTCAACAATGAAATTAAGACCACCGTGAAGAATTGCTTTTTTGTCAAAGAATAATGAAAGGTCAATATATTTATGTATTTATGTTATTCAAATTGATGTAGTTGAAACACAATTATACCAAACATTTAACTGTTGATCTCCTGGGACAGTGTTGCCATTTATGAATTCTTAGCATCAAAGTAACATGAATAATTCAAAACCTAAAAAAATCCAACAGCCATTACATTTTAAGAAATCATCAATGTGATAAAGATTTTCATCACCTATCCCTACTCCTCCCCCTCCTCCTCTAAATTCAACTTTACATTACCTCCTTTGATACTCTGTTTTAATTCCCTCTGGTTTTTCCTGGTTTCCATTGTTTCCATCATCATTTTCTTGTGACATATTGAAGGATTTACCAAGTTTTTGTCGTAATGAAAGAATGGTTTCCTTAGGAAATTCATCAGAATTTGCTTCCAAATACTTCAGAACGTACTCGTCCGCATCCGTGATGATGAAACGGTGCTTAAACACGTGGATCTTGGCACCGATGTAAAAATCTCCCGGCGAGTAAAACTCCGGGTTATCTGTGGGGGTGCCCGGTTTTTGTACACGGGTACGTTGTAAAAACTTACCGCAAAGTATACCTGCGTTGCGTACAGGCGGTTCATAGATGGTTATCATGTCATCTGCGAGACGATAGATGATTATAAATTTACGATCTTTATCCTCTGGTCGAACAGATTCCTGGGAAGACAAGAATGCAACTATATGTTCATTGGGCAGAATATTTTATTTTAAGCACATTTAAGCACTATGTCCGACGCACTATGCATCAGTTCCGAAGAACTGAGAGGATCATTAAAACTATCAGAGAAATACATTCCTCCGCACGACACATTGCAGTAAAAGTTTCGGCAAAAAACATACATAACATGAATATTGTTCAATATTTTGGCACAATCGTAATTTTTAGTGATGACAAAAGTACATTTACTCAAAAGTTGACCTGCACGAGTTTAATTTATGAGCAATAAATCATAAATTCGAAAAACTCATAAAGATTTCAAACTTCAATGTTTGTGATAAGTTAAAAGAAAATTTTGAGCACTCACCATGATGGCCGAATATCGCAGGACTTTATTGCCATTTTCTAACATACGAATAAAATCTTTCTTTGGGGGTTGTGGAATTAAAGATAAACATGATTGTAGCGAATCATCTAGGGAACCGAATCCATTATATGGAGGAATTACCTAAACAGAAAAAAGCCTTTATAACATTTCTTGAAATTGTGATAAAAAATGTATTATAAAGATCTTCTTCTCTGTTGCTCGTTCATTACTATCTACACTGACAAATGCTATCTTAGTTTATATTTTACGTAGTGTAAAGACTGTTCTCATTCTCTTTTGTTCATTCATCACTACCTACACTGACACACGTTATCTTAGTTTATACTTAAGATAGTGTAAAGACTGTTCTCATTCTCTTTTGTTCATTCATCACTACCTACACTGACACACGTTATCTTAGTTTATACTTAAGATAGTGTAAAGACTGTTCTCATTCTCTTTTGTTCATTCATCACTACCTACACTGACACACGTTATTTTAGTTTATATTTTAGCAGTTTAAAGACTGTTCTCATTCTCTGTTGTTCATTCATCATTACCTACACTGACACACGTTATCTTACTTTATATTTTAGCAGTGTAAAGACTGTTCTCATTCTCTGTTGTTCATTCATCATTACCTACACTGACACACGTTATCTTACTTTATGATTTAGATAGTGTAAAGATTGTACTCATTTTCTGTCGTTCATTCATCACTACCTACACTGACACACATTATCTTAGTTTATATTTTAGATAGCGTAAAGACTTTTCTCATTCTCTGTTGTTCATTCATCATTACCTACACTGACACTCGTTATCTTACTTTATGATTTAGATAGTGTAAATACTTTTCTCATTCTCTGTTGTCCATTCATCATCACCTACACTGACACACGTTATCTTAGTTTATATTTTAGATAGTGTAAAGACTGTTCTCATTCTCTGTTGTTCATTCATCACTACCTACATTGACACAGGTTATCTTAGTTTATATTTTAGATAGTGTAAAGACTGTTCTCATTCTCTGTTGTCCATTCATCTTTACCTACATTGACACGTTATTTTAGACGACTGTTCTTGTAGCACTACACGTATATCAACTGCACTAACAAATGTTATGTTATTGCAATCTCTTCCACAAACATTTAATTCTTACGTGTTTCGGAGATTCCCCTTTCCGCTCAGCAACGTTGACAGAGGTAAAGTCAGAGACTCCGAATTTTTCAGCATAATATTCTTTAGTAAACTGATCACAATCATAAAGAAGGAATCTACGACCGAGCATTGTTACCGTTCGTCCAACCATTAAGTCAGAAGGTCTAAACCAATCGCTTATTTCATTTTCTGTTATCTCCAGGACGGCTCGTGGGAATGACGCTGGAAAAGAGAAAAAGATTTCACCATATGTTGCAAAATATGAGCACCATTAATTTTCTTGCGCATGAAGTAGCAAATTAAGAAAACAAAAAGGTGAGAGTTAAAACCTTCTTGATAAAATGATCACTGCAAAAAGTTTCTACGAACGTAAATTACACAACAACTGTAATTTTTATGGATCAGTTGGATCGAGGCAAAAAAATAGGTTATGTAGCATAATTAAAAAATGGTGTAACAAATTTAATCTTGAAATGTGAATCTATTGTAGATGTATCGGTGTATAATTTAACTTACATTTTGTCGCCTTCCTGTTTTTTGGGAGTTTTTGTCTTTGAATAAGAACTGGAAATGGATCTCTTCCGTCGTTAGCAGTATGGATTTCACGAACTTCCACGGTATCATCAACGAGATAATAATGAAGAATCTAAAATGAATTGTATCAAATGGTTCATGAAATAGGTATGCTTTAAAACAACACAATTTATAATACATCGTAGATAATCCTCTCGATGTTCACGTTGAATTCTTCATGATCACATGATCAAATGTTAAAAAGTTGAACAAGCAATTGATAACGTGTTTCTTTTCGCGGTCTTAAGTACTAATTTCAAGAAACAGTTGCATTGTACATTTCACCTTCTACATACGTATGGTCATCTCTCATAAGTAGACACTGCTTTGATTGCTATCTGGTTCTTACCAATAGATCTTCAATTTTCATAACACCACGCCTCCTGTAAGCAGACACCATGTCAAGGTTCTCAAGGGTATCCGCTTACAGGAGGTTCCACTCTACTTGTTTTGATGAAAATTTAATTTGATAGGATTATGGATGATTGTCATAATTCTTACATAAGGTCGCATTTCTCCAAACATAGAATCTCGATCATCCCAAACGCAGAAAAATCGAAGAACTTTACGGTCCATCACAAGGAATTGATTTAATTTATCAAAATCTGAAGGTGTATTGTACGTCCTGGGAGGCTGCTTTCGATTTTCTGTGTAAGGATCTTTAACAATTTCTTCAGGTGAATTCAGCAAGATGCCCTCGCTAGCCATGAATTCCTAGAAAATAAAATATATATATCGCCATGTTGAAACAAGGGTAAACAACTAAAATAACATTTATAAAAAAAAGATCGTATGAATTCTACATTTGATATCAAAGGATTGAAAAGACCCATAAAAGCCGTTACCTTCGTAAATTCATCACAATTACAAATGCGTATTACTTTTCCATAGAAAGTCAAGTTAATGCCTAGATTAAAATCTTTCCAATTCCAGCAGTTTCCTAGATCGTCTTTGGGAAGCCGCTGTCGTTTGATCAACTTTCCCTGTGGTATGCCACTAGTGTAATGAAGCAGTGTTGATTTTTAAAACATAGCTTGACAAATTAACTTCGCTCGTCAAACTTTGAAATACCATTAACTTTGAAATTAACTTCGAAATACCATTACCTATTCTCGACAACAGGTTCAACAACAGCAATTGAATCATCTTCGAGATAGTAATATACCCTCACAGGTCGAACTCTATAATACTCGGTAGCAGATTCATGAACTGTCTGCTTGAAATATCCAAAAAAAAGTAGTACTTTCTTGTCAAAGCCCACGTGGGCAGGTATAAATTCCCCTGGAGGCGCTCGAACTTTTTGACCGTACGTTAAAGAGGGTTTAAAGTTTGCCAATTCATCCAATTCTTCTCGTGTTAGCTTGCTAGTAACAATTGGCTCTCCTCCGATTGCCGTTTTCGGAGTAACGGGAAGAGCGTAGCCATTTTTCCATCCTAAGCTCTGGGAGCGATGAAATCGTGTTTTCTGCAAATATGACAATTTCCTTGTAAGTTGTTATCTATTGAAATAACGTCGATTATTTTTAAACTTACCGTCGGGTCGGTGAAATTATTACCAGGTAGGAAAGGCAGCGCCATATTTTGAACTATTTTATCAATCAAATTTAAGTTTTTGGAGAGTTTTGTGAAGATTTATCGCCGAAATCTAAGCCTACTTCTTCCTCAAATTTATTTTGATTTATAAAACGGCGTTCCGTTGCCATGCAACCAATTTTGTGAGTCACTGATCTATTGTTTACTGAAATGATATTTAAATCCATCATCAAATACAAATCGATCGGGATCAATGATCTGAACAGGACTTTAATCTTGTAGTCAGATTATTTGCAAAAAAAACGAAATGAAGACACCTATCTACAACAGTAGATTTAACATGATGTTAATTGACTCAAATTATAAAATTTTATGAATAAACGACTGTTTATATCATGCCAGATCCTGCAGTTGACACTTTGATGACGTTCGTTCGTACACGTACAGTAATTTGAAAAATATATACCTATTTCTATGTCAACACAAAGCCTATGATTAGTTCACATAAACAGTGATACAAATCACTCCAGGCGTTATGAAATATTTGATCGCCTACGATGCGAGCTATTGCCAGATTTTTTTGCCTCTTTAGCCATACTTCGCGTGTACACACGTTTATTGGATTTGGTTGCTGAGTGTCCGGGACCCAGTCCCACGCCGTTACTGCTGATATAATCATAAGATTTAGTACCCATGTTCATTGGATGATTGGCTAGAGCGCCAGTCCTTTCCTTGTCATAAGTGTCGGTGTTCTGGAAAATAAAACAATCTATGGTAAAAATATTAACTCCGGACTCTAAGGAGACAATCCTAAAATCTCTGATTAACCATTTCAATATTTTCGTAAAGTACTTTATTTCCATTTCCCATAATTTAAGTAGATTTCTTTGGAATGTCAATAGATTTCTTGACAACAGCTAAATTAACTAAAATATAAAGAATTTTAAACTCACTAAGTTACGGTTGATGACCATCAGACATACGATGATAAAACTAAACACCAGCTAAAAAAAAGAATTCAAAAAACTAATTTTGGTCAAAACCTTAAAACTCAAACATTTTATTAAAAAAGTAGACAAAAACCTGAGCCAAAAGCCACAACACTATATTCATTCTTTCTGTCTTTGCAAAAAGTTCCGTTCCAAATTTAATACATATTAACAGCTCCACCGTCGTGATGGCGCTACGAGGATATAAAAATAAAAGTTTTTAATGAAAGATGTACTAACAGTGGCAAAATATCAGAGTTAAGTAGAAAACTTACATGAAAACCCAACACTGGGTACCCATTCTTTTACTTCTACTATCTGTTATGTATATATAGTATTGTCTGAAAGTAAGATTGATTTAAATATTATAGCTATCTTTCCTCACGATTGACGACATTTAAAGTACAAAAAGATGATTAACATTCATTTTCAAGGTATTATGAGCAAAATAGCACAAGATACAAGAAAATAAACTACATCTATAACTTAAGTTTAACTAGAATGTGTAAAGATACGAACTAAAGTACCAGCACTTACGGTCTTACCTAATGGTAGGCGCTGAAATCAAGCTCAGCAACAGTAAACGGTATATATTTAAAGGATGAGCATTTGGTATGTGAAATATGTGTTTCAAGAAAAATGTGTTCAATTCAACAATCTAAAAGATGATAAAAGAAAAGAAAATACATTCACAAAACTCTGCTTTTATTTTAGGATTAAAATCAAACAAACCTGCCAAACAACACCAAGAAAATAAAGTGAAAAAAGTCGTTTGTACGATGAGTTTGAGTCCGTCCAGTTGACGACTGTCCAACTATAAAGTTCAATTTATGAGCTCTAATTCAGATTTAAATGAAAGAACTAACAGCATAAATAGTGAGTTTTAAATCATTAATGGACTGAACAAATGGTAGGTTAGACAGGAAACTAACGTCATATTAACCATTACTTTTGAAATAATAGCATGTCGAGTAGTATTAAATTATTTTTAAATAATCATATAGTTGACAAACTGACTTTACCTGACTGGAGTGAACTGCAGTATTGCACGTCGTAGTTTTCCTGTCGTTGATTGAATATTTCTGAAAAAATGAAAACACAACGACATAAACATACGCTATTTTTATGTAAAATAATCTATCGTTGATAACTCATTTACGTTTTAAAAAATGTATTTTAATGAAATTTTACCCCCAGATACAAGCAAAGTTGCCAACGAAACGTCAACATGTTTAAGAAAACTTGAACAGAACTGGCTTTGTATCAATATATTTAGTGACACTTACTTGATACTGTCCCAGTGGTACGTTCTCATTTCTAGCTTTTTACAAAGGTACAAACCAACACATATTCCCAATCCATTACACACGATAATATCAAGTAAAATTGCATCCCACCAGCATTCTTTAAAGTTTGGTAGAAGATGAGCAAAAAATATCTACCATGAAATGAGTGAAAGTAATCAAGCTAATATCTTAATAAATACACTACACTGGAGTATATAATCACTCAATTTTTGACATAGGCACTGGATTGAAGTATTTAAGGACTCAACTTTCAACATCAGATTACTCCTGATGAAGACACTAGACTGGAATATATCAGGACTCAACATTCAAAATCAGATTACTCCTGATGAAGACACTAGACTGGAATATATCAGGACTCAACATTCAAAATCAGATTACTCCTGATGAAGACACTAGACTGGAATATATCAGGATTCAACTTTCAAAATCAGATTACTTTGAAGACACTAGAAATATCAGGATTCAACTTTCAAAATCAGATTACCTGATGAAGACACTAGACTGAAGTATTTAAGGACTCAACTTTCAAAATCAGATTACTCCTGATGAAGACACTAGACTGGAATATATCAGGACTCAACTTTCAACATCAGATTACTCCTGATGAAGACACTAGACTGAAGTATTTAAGGACTCAACTTTCAAAATCAGATTACTCCTGATGAAGACACTAGACTGGAATATATCAGGACTCAACTTTCAACATCAGATCATTGTTGATTAAGTCCCTAGACTAAAGTATATAAAAACTCTAATTTCAAAACCTGACTATTTCCTTTAAGACATAATTCAACAGAGTTATACTGTTATGCTTCATTATCTCATCAAGTGAACAAAGACATCAGGACAATGGAAAACATTATTATAAAGAAAAATCTGTTTAAATACCTCTGTAACTTCCCAAGTGATGCTAACAGCCCAGCATAGGATGGTATGTCTAATGATTAATGACTTGCCAGCCCATCCAAGAAAATGTGAAAGTATAAATACATCCATACTGTCATAAAGCTTGGCCCATGTAAGACTGCAGTCTACAGCATATTCCTAAAGACGTCAACATAAGACCATCAGCTGTAGTCATACCTCCCCTAGATACGTAAATGCACATTGAAAATTTTATCTATGCTTGTAGATCACCTTGGTATCAGGTCCAGCATATTTGAGGTCATTGTCAATGAAGACAAGAATTTCCTTGATTTGTTTATAGCTTAGAAAGAGCAAAAACGTAAAAGCCAACAAGTAAACAACACTGATACCTAGCAAAATTAGAAAGAAAGAAGAACTAATATATTACTGTTAGAGGTTTAGTTTCTTCTGAGTTTCAACTTTTGATTCAAGTAGTAAAAATAAGTAAGCTGTTGTTATAGGGAAACAAATGAAAAGCAGCCATAACAGCAATGTTTAATATTTATTTTGAATCAATATAGTGAACATACCAAACACAACTCTCCACACCAATGGATGAGGCCTAGTAAATGGTCCTAAAACAAACCAAAAACATGCATGAAAAACCAAACAAAAATCAATAAAGAAAATGAAGGATTTTATTAATATAGCTCATGAAGATGAACAGCTTACCATTAGGAGCAACCAACATAGAAACAATTAGAAAGACGACAATAATGGCAACCAATCCTTTAAAAATATTCTTGCTCAAAGCAACTTCAGGATTACTATATACAAACGTGTTCAGTTTTATTTCATGTCATTCTAATTACTCTAATACCTTATTCTTCACTTCAATTGTATAAAAGTAATGAGAAATAAATAGCTGCAAAGGACGCTCATTTGTGCTATAAATCAGCCTCATATTCTTTGTACAATGTAAAAAATACTCACTGAGTAGATGCAAAATATATAAGGTACATTGATAAACAGCATAGTGCAGTAATTGTCCGAGGTTTATAGAAGAATTCAAGTGTTACATCCGAAACGATTTGTTCACTGATATCATGATGTTCATCATCAGTACTGACTGAGGAAGAGGAAAATTTTCTTTCTCTTTGTGCTACGGGGCGATTTTTCGCCATTTTTTTATAGACGTCAAGACAAATCAGTTGATTGCAAATTTATATTGGATCGGCCTGCAGAAGATTTTCACGTGTGTCACTGTTAATCTGGGCATCATAAATGCAAAATATATGAGATTGACAGTATGACACAGAATAAAATTATTTTCGACGCCTGTTTGCGGGTAATAAATTGTTATTCACAAATACAATTGTTGTTGCAATATAGAAAGCCCAGGTCATGTAGTAACGTCCACAAATCAACAGGTCACGAAGAAATAATTTACTTAGTTAAATTATGAAACATTGTTGAAAATCATTGAAGGAAAACTTTAGCATACTTTACACTCTGGAGAGTTCACGCATCCCGCTTGTCTATAACTTTACTCTTCACATTGTCACCATGCTGACGTCAAATTACCATGGGAACAACTTATGTTGACACGCTGTAATTTTTCCCATACAAGAATACCAAAGCACTGACCAAAGTTCATGACCAAAATTTTACGATTTGTACAAACTCACAAATTTATTTTTGCCTCGTTAATTACAGGCTCTAATTTGCTTAAATGAATCATGGGATAATGGAGTTCATTAATGTCTAGGTAACCATGAATAGATCAGAAAAAGACGATATTATGGAAGTACTGTCAACAGTAAATGATTCTCTTGACGAAGGTGAGACACTCTTGCACAATGAACAATCAATATTTTATTTTTATTACATAAAAATCACAATTGTTTCAGAATGTAACTAAATTATAAAATCAGAATCATATAATCAATTTTATGTGTGTTGTTTCATGCTAGTTATTTCTTGTAAAATTGTTAGTTTGTCATTTTCTTTGTGATTCTTTTTGTCTCAACCAAAAGTATTTTGATTTATCGTTCATCGATTTCATAAAATTTCCAGGAACCAACGAAACTGATAAAAAAGAAGAACAAAAAAATGATGATAAAAACGAAGTTGAAATGAGCGCTCGAGTTACCCATCCGTCCAATTTAGTAAATGATTTGACAACAGCTGCTTCTACTTTTGAAGAAAAACAGAAGCAACTCATGCTTGCTGATTGTCAGCGTCTGAAAAAGAAAATGAATGTTATTAAAAACAGCATCCAAAGACCACCTTTGTTAGCAGTTTAATATATTATACTCATAACTTAGTTATTATTTACGCTGACTAACAAAAAACTGCGCACGAAACAATCATCACAAAACCTAAAACACAAAGTTAACAAACATCAGTGTAGGCAGTGATGAATGAACAACAAAAAACGAGAACAGTCTTTACACTATCTCAAATATAAACTAAGATAACGTGTGTCAATGTAGGTAGTAATGAATGAACAACAGAGAATGAGAACAGTCTTTACACTATCTAAAATATAAACTAAGATAACGTGAGTCAGTAGAGGTAGTGATGAAATGAACAACAGAGAACGAGAACAGTCTTTACACTATCTAAAATATAAACTAAGATAACGTGAGTCAGTGTAGGTAGTGATGAATGAACAACAGAGAATGAGAACAGTCTTTACACTATCTAAAATATAAACTAAGATAACGTGTGTCAGTTTAGGCAGTGATGAATGAAAAACATAGAATGAAAACAGTCTTTACACTATCTAAAATATAGAATAAGATAACGTGTATCAGTGTAGGTAGTGATGAATCAGAGAATGAGAACAGTCTTTACACTATCTAAAATATAAACTAAGATAACGTGTGTCAGTGTAGGTAGTGATGAATGAACAACAGAGAATGAGAACAGTCTTTACACTATCTAAAATATAAACTAAGATAACGTGTGTCAGTGTAGTGATGAATGAACAACAGAGAATGAGAACAGTCTTTACACTATCTAAAATATAAACTAAGATAACGTGTCAGAATAGACAGTGATGAATGAACAACAGAGAACGAGAACAATCTTTACACTATCTAAAATATAAACTAAGATAACGTGTGTCAGTGTAGGTAGTGATGAATGAACAACAGAGAATGAGAACAGTCTTTACACTATCTAAAATATAAACTAAGATAATGTGTGTCAGTGTAGGTAGTGATGAATGAACAACAGAGAACAAGAACAGTCTTTACACTATCTAAAATATAGACTAAGATAACGTGTATCAGTGTAGGTAGTGATGAATGAACAATGGACAAGGATAACCATCTTTGCAATTTACGCTATGGAATCTTATTGCAGAAAACCTTTCACGCCATATTTGTTCAACAGTTTGGAGCCATACTACAATCAATACATTGTGAATTATGTTTTTAACGAACTTCAGGTTAAATTCTTTCTTTCATACTCCAGCACACATTGCTATCTGTTCTTTTATCATGCGGAATTTTTCATAGGAAGACGAGGAAAATAGACCAAAAACAAACTATGGACAGCGAGCTACATCCTTGGGGATAGTAGGTAAGTTAGGGGATAATGTTCAATTATTTACATCTTTCACACAATTTTTTTAACGATTTAGTGAATTGTAAGTTTGGAAAAAAAAGCAAACAGATTTACAATCGTTCTATTATCGTTATAATGCATCGTATTTTTTATTGTTTCTTCCATTAGATCCACAAGTTTCTTGGCGAATGGACAAGTATGTACATTATGCTGTAAAAGTTAACAAAGAAGTAAATTTGATTTGATTTTTATTGTTAGCGTTCCCGGACCTTTCAAAATTTCAAGACTTCATCAAAATATTTACACACAAAAGAAATGGTTAGAATCAGTTACCTTTGATAGAACTTAAAAAATCACTTTCTACTCAATTTCAACCTACCCTACAGGATTGGCACCCCTCAGAGAGACGCGTCATTAGGTAGTACCAGGCTTCCTCCGTTTCCTAAACCTTCCTTTCCTAAGATTGATATTCCTGAATACAGTGCATCTAAAATGGATTATTCAAAAGTTTTGAAGTTCAGGTAAATAATCTGGATATTGCATCAACAGACCCACTTGTCTATTTTCCCCTTTACTGACATCAGAAATAAAATAAAATAAACGTATATTTATCTAAAAATTCTAATTGTCACATACTTTGAAAGGATTGAATTGGAGAGAAAAATTGAAAATTTGAACAAGAAAAAAATTCAAATCGACTATGACCGCACTATGAAAGATTGGGAACGAATGAATTTAAATGAACTGAAGGAACTGCCACCATACTCGAGATATCACGTGGGTAAAGCAATAAAGACTTATTTTGGAACGTCAAAAGGAGCATCATTGGCTGTTAGCTCACTTAGTAAAAATTTGGTCTTACAAAAAATTGAATAATGAGAAAGATACTGAAACATACATTTGTTTGACTGATCTCATGAAAAAGCATTTGTGAATATTTTTTGATTAGAATGGTGTAGTATTGAAGGAAATGTCAGTTAAGTTAAATGTAAAACTCTACTTGAGACAACAAATGATGATAGCTATTTCACTAAACTTGTTTTATATTAACGTTTAGAAGTAATGAGTAAAGTCAAATATTTTGATACAAATGCTGTCACAATTCATATTGTAATGGTCCCATGTTTTGTATATCACTTCAAAACAACAATGAACACAAATTTTCAACTTTTACTTTTTGGTAAGATGAACTATAAACAAATTTTCACTTTAAAACGTCACTGTATCCAACATGGCGCCTAAACATTGAACAATGTTTGACGTCATCAGTGAATCAACAGACTCTTCGAGATGTCGTTTTGGATCCTGAAATTAGAAACATTCGCGATTTTGAACAAGTAAAATCATTATAATCTTTTCCATAATCGAGTACAGACTAGTTATTTTGCTGTATATTCAAACATGTTGGAACGTGAAGAATCAACGTTATTTTAATCGTCATAACTAGTCATTTAAATAGACCAATAATTTAAATGTAAGACGTGATGACCATCAATATAATTATTTTGTTAATTTTAAATAGTTTGATAAGACAATGTTTTGTTTCATTATTCATCTCCAACGGACATTCAATGAACTTATTGACGTTTTTAATCTCTACATTCAAAAGAAAATTTAAAAATATTCTTTTCAACATACTTGCTTTCCTACATTCTTTATTGCTAGTTGTTCCGGTGTCATTTTTTCTTCATCCTCTAACGCCTAAAACACACGATATATTGATTGCAAAAAGAACGTAGAAATAAAAAACCTTAAAACACTTTTATTAATAAACTATTGCTTTATTACTACTGCTATTTCCATAACCGTGCAACAAAAAAATGGCGAAAAGTGAAGAACTTGAGTCTAAAAAGCACAAAGAATTGAGTGTACTGTGATAACAATTGATAAACTCGATTGAGTGTATGTGAAAATTATCCCGAGCATTATTGTAATGTAAATGGTTTGAACAAAAGAGTATCGTTACATATTTGTAGATGAAGATCGTCCAGGTTAGTGGAGTCCAGAGAAGAACTGTTGGTGTTGATGTTTACTGACGTTTCCACATCCTTACCGATGAAAGTCATCTTGCATAGCCATCCATAGGTAGTCACTTCACTTTGAAGTGTTTATAAATAGCAACAGTCTATCGATGGTCAGTACTAGCCAGAACGATCTTCATTTATGAATGCAAACATGGGCACTATTATGCTATGATGAAACTACACCAAGATGTAAAAAAATAATAGTAAAACTAAAAAAACTAACATTAGAAGCTGATCTATACACACCTTATTATAATTCTTTGCAAGTTGAAGCATTTCCTATCAAAAAAAAAGGAACAACTAGATATGAAATACTTTTTTGATAGTCAAATATAGGAAAAATGCAGACACTTCATACTTTAACTGTTTTCTCATTTTCTGCGCAATGAGTGTTAAAATCTTGCAATGCTAAACCATCCATCCACGATTTCTTATGAAGATTTAGTAACATCTAAATTCAAGCAAATATCAATCAACATCATACACGAGGTAAAAAAATGATCACATTGTGCTGCTAAACAAATTAAAAGACTGTCCATTGAACCTTTTGTTCCAACTCATTTTTTCTATAGTTGATAGATATTGAATAATAATGTCTGTTTAAGCCATGAATAAGTGCCTAAGAAAAGATAAAAAAAAATATCAAAAAAATTTCTTCGCCATGATTATTTGACATAACAAGGTACATGAACAATGAATTTTAAAGCAGCTTTTCTTGTCACTGTTCACATCTAACAAACATACAGTGAGGTAGCCAATAATTAAGTTTTGTTGCAAATATGGAAATATTTCCGTGTTCACTAACTTTAACATCTGGATTTCTCATGAAACAATAAATCTAATGATCAAAAATTTACATGTGTGGCATGACAAAATTTGTGGACTGCCATTGTCACTGCTCACTTATAAAAAATGCACAGCATGTGAAATTACAAAACAAATAGAGTTGAGCATTTTCCTGTGTTTTCAAAATAAAACCCAACCATTGTACTATATATAAAGATCACACAGTTTACCTGTATTGAAGGTTTTTGAAGATGACCAAGATTTGATGTTGTCTGACGTGGTTCCTGTCCCAGCACCATCATATTAGGATTGATTAGTCGAAAAGCATCAATAACAACCTACATGAAAATAGCTTCACTGTCTAAAACTGTCAGGTGTTTGTCAGGTTGATAATGTTGCAACTGTCTCCTAAGTTTAACAGCAGCAGTTCAACAAGTCCCAACATTTTGATAAGTTAAAAATAGTGATAAGAAGAAACAACTCAAGAAGTCCAATGATGAATCTTAAAAGTAAGGAATAACTTTTTTAATGACTCCCATGTGATTTCCTTTCTTTACCATATCAAAAATTTTGCTCTTCTTCAAACTGTCATACCTTTCCTTTGACACTTTGTATTGGATCCACAACAACTGCCACAGCTCTTTCAGACAAAGCTTCAAAACTCTTCAAACGCAATGAAAATGACACATAACAAAATGAAAATTTTCAAAAAAAATAATTTTTAACAACTCAAAAAGACATAAAAAGACCTGTTGGGTATTTATATCCACACCAGAAAGCCAGCATCCAAAACCAGGATGAGAATGATACCAACCAACTACCATTTCTGGTCGACCGGTCTGTCTAAGCATGTCCAACATTTTTGCTTGAAATACAGGATCCACGGCCTCCACACTCACACCCTAGTTAAACATGAAAAAATATTGAATATCTCTTGATTAGTCACTATACTAATACCAACAAATAAAAACAAAAGTGATGACTAACAGTTCCACTTTGTGGCATAGCAAACACATCTATCACACGAACAGTATAATCATCAACAAACTCTCCCAACATCAAACCCATGACTTCCATTGGTACTCCAGCACGTCCTGAAATAATTAAATAAATAAATTTTCACAGTGAACCAGCAAATGAAGTATAGCAGACCAACAACATTACAATACTCAAACAACATTCACTATCATCATTAACATTGATTACTGACAATTTACCCATAATGCTTACCATGTTTTAACATCTGTGGTTCATATTGGTGCATAAAAGAAATAACAATGATCACTTATCTATTCAAGTCTCAAACACCAGGGAAATATTTACAATAAAACCATTATTCATATATAACCTTAAGTAGGGCCAAAGATGATATGTAAACTTGTTCTGCTGTATCAACGATAGGAGCATCCGTTGATGGAGCCTTGATTGAAAACAAGAGATGAAAGTATTGAAATAAAATTATGTACTAAAAAAGATGCATTAATCAAAAAAAGCATACTTGACCGACACCAGGTAAACCACCAGCTCCTAGCCGAAGTATTCTATCCATAATAAACGATAAAAAGAAAAATATATTGAGTTTTCGGTTTTGTAAAAATAAATCAATAAAACCGATTCGCAATTTCGCATGGAAGACCAACGACAAATTTCGCGTTTGTTTTTCGTTAACACACTGTACTATATATATGAACCAATCTGAATAGATATTTACTTGGCCCTTCCATATAGCCCTCTCCCCCCCGACTGGGGTGTCTATATTATATTTACAACATGTAACAACTGGTAACAAGGGTCATTAATACAAATTTCATTCATTTTATACAAAACCACAAAGACAATGTTTATATTTTTTAGATAGAAATAAATATATCACATTTACAATATAATTGCAATTTTAATCAATTGAAAAAATGTTACAAGTTTCATTCATCGTATTCATTCAAATGCTTTTCAGTTCTTCTGGAAGTGCAGCTTTAGAATGCTTGTTTTCAAAATGCTGTTTGTATGTTTTAGGGTCAGGCATCTGTGACTTACACACTTTACAAGTATAAATAAGTGCAGCCTTTGCTGCTTTCTTTTGGTCATGTCCCGTTTGTTTCTTCAATTTAGCCTGTTTCTCTGCATTCTTTTGTTGAGACTGAATTTTCTGTTGTCCTCGGGCCATGTCACTTTACCTATAAATATTTATTGAGAAATAAACGAAATTACCGATAAATTTAGTACTTGACGATTCTACTGATGGATACGTTCAGTCAAACAAAGGATGAAGATACAACTATACTGTATAAAGGGAAAATTCACAAAGTTTATGAACGACTAATTAAGAACGTTTTATTACGTTATGTTATGAAACAATATGAAGGAAAATCAAACTTTCAAATTATTGACTTGATGCTTATATCGAAAAACGTCTACAATGACAATCGCATAAACTCACCAAACTCAGAATAAGGAAATTATTTCGTCGATTTGTCTGTTGAAGAAAGCTTATGGCTTGGTGCCATACAAAATTTATAATAAATTGTGTAGCATTCCGGTTGATCTACTCAAGTCTCTAGCAGCTTGCACTCTTCATGTCAGTTTCGTTACTAGTCCTTAAAAGTCAATTTTCGCTCATACTATTACTAACTTCCGGTGTCACAGAAGTTGGCAAAAAACTGGCTCATTTTTGTTGAAATTTTAGAATAATTGAATTTGATCCATCTGACAACCCTGGTCCAGTGACGCAGGACAAACACAGAAAACCACTTGTTACATAGGATTACCAATATCAGCAGACAACCAGGGAGAACTTGTTATCAGGTTGTTACCAGTGTGGCTGAATGTCGAAAGTAAGTGGTTTAATATAGATTAAATTGTTAAAAAAAGTTTGATCTATGCGATTGAGTTGCAATCAACATTATGTGCATTGAATTTAATGAAAAGCTCAAAGCTGATGGTGTGAATACAAAATTATTATTTATTGAAGGATAGCCAAATAACGTACGTTACTATGGATGCATTTTTAATTGACATCGTTGACAACCAGTGGCGAAAAGATCAATTACCTGCTGATGGTAAATTATTAACATTTAATGAATGTGAGAGTTACTAACTTATACTTAAGCAAAAAATGATTCAGTGTAATATCAAGTTGTGTGTTGGTTTTACAGTTGTTACAATTGTCTGGTAGTTGTTTTTGTGAAATCCCATTGAAACAAAACATGAATTTCATATTTGCTTTGTTAGATGTAGTTGTACCTGAGAAAGAATTGCCCCCAACCGATGACACAGACAGTGAGAATTTTTGTGCTTTTTTTACATATATTTTTACTACATGCTTGATGGCTTTGATGTTTGGCTTTATGTAATGCAGCTACGTCTGGTGTATAACTCTAGTTGCAGCTCTAGATGAATTATGCACAAACATTTGTATATTAGAAATTTTTTTGGTAGTATGATTGCTTTTATGAAGTGTTTTATTACTACAACATAGCCAAAATATACATGTTTATATGTGTGAAAGCACACTGGCATGAGAAATTACCCATGATTGAAATTTATCCAGCACATTTGCTTGTAATTGACAAGTTTGTTTACTTTTGTAACCAATTGCTTGCAGAGGATCAAGATGGAGACGAAATTTATTATTTTAACCAATGTCTTTTTTTGTTTATCATTTGGATGGTATCTCTTAGATCAGTATCAAATTTCAACAAATTGGTTCAATAAGTTGTCTTTGTTTTCTAGATATTGATGTTTCAGAAACATTAAGGGAACAAGAGGAAAAATGGACTGATCTTGGATTGCAAGATTTCCAACAATCTCCACGAAACAATTGAATTGATAAAGTTTCAGTTATTCACATGGTATTGAATTCCATTCCATAAATATGTAATGTTAGTGCAATTGCAAATAAATCCGATTGCATATTTCTTATGTTTAATTTTGATTGCACACACTTTATAACTTTTAAATATTGTCAAAATTTTTGCAGGGTCTTCTAACACATATGTTCTATTCAACTCATGGTTCCCTGGTGTTTGTTAGGAAAATAGCAAACTCCCACTTATTAGAAGACTGTTGTGAATCAACAACAATATCAGTGTGTTTGTGACTTGTCAAAATGTCACTTTTGTGATGTGGTCTAGTATCATGTCTTGCACAGTAGCTCCTGTATAGTATGGATCCGATTCCACAAATAAGATTTTTTGAAGTATGTTTGAATTGAACACGAACAAAAAATATAAGAATTGTACTTTTGATTCTTCAAGTGGATCAGGAATCCAATCCGATAACCATACAATTCCTACTTCTGTTCCCAGACATGGCCACCCTTTTTTGTTATTCTTTAGAGCAATTCTCTAAAGGTGAGGGAAACCCTCTGAGATCAAACAAGCTACAAAGCCAGTTGATGGATGCACATTACTTGTAGTCACCATGTCTATTCTTACTGGTTGATATCTTTACAAAAAGGATGTTTACATTATTAAGGCCTTAATTATATTTACAAAATTTTTAGACTGTCTTTATCTTTACAAGGTTGATAAAACAGGTGACTTAGGAAATATGCATCCTCATTAAAAATATAAACCTCCATGTACGCCATTTTTATGCCGCTTTCAGCTTCTTCATTCTTTTTGCATATGCGCATCCTTAGCTAACCCTTTTGATCAGTGGCATGGAATAACCGATTTAACGTTTTGAATATCTACCTACGAACTATTCTGCACAAAACTGATTAAAACATACCTTTGAACAATGAGACACCTGTAAAGCAACGTTAGTACCCTTATTTCTTCACAAGATTGCTGTCAATCTTCTCTATTATGCCATCCTATTTTTCATCACCAGGTTACTATGTCATTTCTGTCATCCATCATTTCATCTTATTTTTCTTTCACAAGATTGCTGACAATTTTTTTTGCATTATTTCATTTTACTTTTCGTCACAAGATTGCTTTGTCATCGTTTGTGTTGCACCATTTTATATTATTTTTCTATTCAATACATAGCTGTCAACTTTCTCTTTGAATTCTTCCCATTCATGATACTCGGTAAAAAATGCTGCACTTGACAAGAATCTCCGATGGACTCAGGCATTGGAAATTGTTAACCTCTCAGTCATCATCCCATGCAACGGAAGCGACTGCACTTGCAACTATTTGGTTACGGACAATATTATACAAAAATTTCAATAGCGTTATTACTGTTAGCTAGAACATGAAATAAACAGCTCTAAAATAAATTAGGCAGTCAATGAAAATTTTAACGACGTGTCATTTCCAGTTTCCTACCTTACTTGTCTTTAGTTCACTTCCAATTCTTTCCATAACTATTCTTATTATCTTTGTTTCAAATTTTAACTTTAGGATAGAACTTCGGTTGTATTCTTCATGATTTCTCACTGTCAATTCAGTTCAAGAAAAAATTAGCATCTTTTCCCAAATAATATAAACAAGTTATTATAAATTGCTCTAAAAATAGTCAATAGCTTTTCATTGATGACTTTAACGAAATTTTATTTAAGTAGCGTAGCTACATTATTACCCGCTCATTGGTGTTGATTCACCATCAGCATTCTGCAAGGCTTACACCTTTCAATTTATTTCTTCCAAGTTGAAAGTTTTGTCTGTTGTCCTCTTCACTCATTTTTACGTGTTTTTGGTCAAAAGTTTGTTTTTATAGTGAAGCTTAGCTCTGGATCAACATCCTTCTTTGAAATGAATATAGTTAAAAAGAAAAGAAGTTTTCTGTTTTCGTCTCAAGCAAGTCAACTAGTTGCAGATTAAGTACAGGCCATTTTTTTTATTCAGCTTATAAGAATTCCATGAATACTATGTAATCATGAATTAGTATTGAATAAAATCTGTAGTACAAAACTTGAACAGAGTAACGTTACACGACAACCATGTTCAATAATCTTCATCAATTATTATTGTTAAGTGATTAACTCCACAACAAAACTTTAATATGTTTGAGGCGATCTACAATAGAAAAAACTCCTCATTAATTCTATAACTATTCATGCAGACACTTGTTCGATGCTTTTTACCTTTTGAGGAAATCGAGAAAGCATTGTACCACATTTCCCCCAGAAATAAAGTTCTCTTTCTTCTGTAATTTTCATTGAAAAAAATTATTCAAATTGAGATGATAATGTTATCATAAAGGAAGAAAAATCCATGTAAAAACTGTGTTATTTCCCACATGCCTGTGAACAAGACATTATAATTCAAACCACAATCCACTGCCACAAATCGTTTCTCGGGTAAGAAAGTCAATTTCTTTGGTTTCTTTGATAGAAGAGGTTGGTCATTTCGGCCGAGCAAACCGTAGCCCCAGATTAACACATCGCCTTCAGCTATAACGAATAAAAAATATATATATTTAGATGATTGCTTTTGTCTTAATGGGGACGGTATCGCATCAATGAAAACGGAACCCAATTACCCAAAGTTGTTAGTTTTTAAGATAACTGGAACTTTCGCCTAGATGTCTTTTGTCAAATTCATCCATCTTGGCGCTGAGATCTGACGTAACTGGCAGAATTCTTTAATTTTATAATACGAAGTTTTATTGACCTGTTAAAGCAACGCCAATGGTATTACCAATCGCAATATCAACGACGTCCTTCAACGTTGGAATCAAGGTCGGTATGTTGATCTGAGATACAAAAGAAAAAATCTCACTTTGGATCAAGTGGTTCCCAGCTTGGTGACTTCTCATACATGTATAATGGTTGTTTTAACCAATTGAATGTCTATAATATCACGAATGGTTCTCCTCAAGGCACCTCCCTAGCATCCATTAAAACTTTTCATAAAGAGTAACGTATACAATAGACATTGTTTTCTAAAATACATAAAAATCTCACTTTTCTGTCATTAGTTGCAAACCCAACTTGATTGTATTCGGAGTTTCCCCATGAATAAACGAGTCCTTCGTCTTAATAGAAAATAAAACTCGTGAATTACAAGCTAAAAGTTTTCCATTTGTCTCATGTTTATCTCGTACTAAAAACGTTCATATCCATATTCATCGTATTTAATGCCTATATTTGCATGACTGAGGTTGATCAATAGAATTATCTTCATTGATAAGCAAGAAAGTAATTGGTTTTCGTGTCCTTCATCTCAGGTGATACTCAGTCATGAAACGTGTTAATTTTTACCCGATAAAGCAAGACAGGAATCTATTTTCGTAGCTATTTTATTGATTCGCACGTTACTGGGAAATTGAACTTGCGCTAGAGAATGCTGTTCCATCGTTTGTCCTAAACCTAAATAGACAGAAAATAGATACATGAAACAAAACTGAACTATTGTATGAAATATAAAGGTATTTTAAAAAACCAACATGCAAAAATGTTACTTGCAGTAATTCCATGGTAACATACAATCATCATAATCATTGAAAGTATGCACTATCATTATGTCTTAACTTTACCAGTTTGACCATCAGCTCCCCATCCTGTAGACAATATTTGGTTATCTTCAGTTAAAACTAAAGTGTGATCTAAGCCACAAGATACCTAAAAAGAAAAACATACTAAGGTAAATCAGCTAAACAATCTCAATTAAAGTTTGTGCCCTATACCTGCTTTACTGAATTTATGATTGGACACTCAATTTTCGTAAAGTGTTCAATCTCTTTCTCAAGGTTCAAACCGCATTGGCCTAATGTGTTGCATCCTGCAGCAAATACTAATTAAAATACAGCAACATAAGTATTTCAAGAAGGTAAATGCAAGATAATAGTCTATTAAAAGAGTTTGAAGTTTTGCAAGTTGAGTATTTAGCCATTTATTTAAACATAGCTGCTACTTACAATAAAGTTAAAGTCATTTTTGATAAAATTAATGCACAATATACCTACATCCTTCAGTTGTTGATATAATTGTATGTAAACGTCCCGAAGAAATGCCAAGGATTTTAGAATCTTTTTTCAATGATAAATCAACTCTTGTGATATGGTCAACTACTAAACAAAAATATTGAATAAAAGGGTTAAAATTTTATTACACTAGGCTCACATATATATTAATCATGACCTAACCTCTCTAACCTCTTTGTTGCTTTATCTATTTATTTAGATTTTGTATAAAATATGAAAAACCTCTTCAGCAAAAGTTATTTAGTAATGATATACACTCATCACCATCCATGACTATCCCCAATGCAGTGACATACCCGAACTATGATTGGATGGAATCCCAAGTTGTGATTTAGTGTTTAATCCAATCACATTCAAGGTTTTCCCACTACAGAACACAGAGAATCCATATCCTCCAGCAAGGTGAGTACAATTGTTCTTAAAATAAGAATACATTGTGAGAAACAACATTTAGTTGTGAGAAATGTAAGAATAGGTTGAATTTTTTGGCTTGAATACCACTAAAAGATGTTTATGGTGTTAAAGTTTTTTGAATGTTAAATCATCCTCAAGGCAATTACAAAAACAAATATAAGTTGGATTTACATCAACGAAAGGCTTGTTTAACTGGCTTAAAATTTGTATTTCAGCTGTGCTGTCTAGATGGCCTGTATTCTTGGTTATCTTACAATAATTCTTCAACTTCACTACATTCCCTATAAACACAGAATGATTTAAAGTTTATACCTCATACATCAATAAAGTGACTTATTCTGCTGACGTAATGAGCAATAAAAAAATTTACGTTGTCGAGGAAAGATCGTTAAGATTGTTGCACATGTTATTCAAGATTAAAATTTCAACTTACTAGGAAATAATTTCTGTAGATTTAAAGGTGCATTTGAAAGCCTTGAAAGCATCCTAGTCCTGTCATGAAAAATTTTACTGCAACTAGCATCTTAGTAGTTAGTACTTGTTAGTAAGTAGATTCCAGTCTTACTCAATTTAATTGGACTTTGGATCCAGAACCAGTCTACCAGAGAAGGAGTGATCACCAAACCGTCATCTGTACCACTCAGCCAAGCAGAGAGATGTGATGCTGATGAGAACATATCAAGTGCTTCAACAGAACAGCATTTATTGCCTTTCACTACATAAGGCTTTAGTTTTATGACGTGTTTCGAAAATATGCCTTCGACGACATCATAGCAATAGTAGAACTCTAAAGGCAAGGTCTTGCTCATTGCACTCTAAGCAATAAATGCTTTACCGTGAAGAAACAAGAGGAATAAAGTATGTTCAATGGCATCCATTGACATGTGGTGAATTTGGGTCATGACGCGCATATCTTTAATCAATTTCGTCTATTCAAGAGTATCGCGAAAAGACTATTTTCATAGATATTTTTTTTCCTTTCCCTTCGTCAATTTTAATGATCGTTATTTCAACATTTGTGTCTACCTTAATGTCATTGTCTACCTTTTTGTCTACCTTTGTGTCTACCTTTTCATACGACAAAGTTCTCATTTTTTTTAACACAACATTTAAAAAATCAGTCATTTCATAGTCGAAAGTAGTGAATGTAATCGAAGTAATCGAAGGTAGTCAATTCACGCATTGCCATGTGGTAAATCGGGGCAGTGAATGTGACGAGCACGTCTTTGGTCATTTTTCTGATGTAATGTTCCATTTTTTTATCATCATACGCACCAACCATATTTTTTTTGACCGTTGGTGTAGGTTGCGCACAGACAAGAGTTTAATAATTTCAAACAAGGACAAAGATTGTCTGTGCACAACCAACACCAACGGTCACAAAAAATATGGTTGGTGCGTATGATGATGAAAATTATTTCAGTTAGCTCAAACATAAAGTCAAATGATCTCAACGCCATTACACGTGCGAACGAGCTACATTTGCAATCGTTGAAGAAGCAAGTACTTGACGTTTGCTAAAGTTTTAAACACGTTTTGCTATCAGTGCAAATAAAAATAAAAAATCGCTCACTTTTTGTGTGGTAAGAAATCATAATCATGTTTGAAGACGACGTGGCTTATTTATAAGAATAAATTTATGTAGTTACGATGCGTTTCTAGACAAGGACAATGTTTTGTTTTAATTAAAACAAATGTTGACAAAAAAGTAGACATAAAAGTAGCCATAAAGGTAGACGTAAAGGTAGTCATAAAGATAGAGAAAAGGTAGACATAAAGGTAGACATAAAGGTAGACATAAAGGTAGACATAAAGGTAGACATAAAGGTAGACATAAAGGTAGTCATAAAGGTAGAGAAAAGGTAGTCATAAAGGTAGCCATAAAGATAATAATCAACCCAGGTAATATTATTTTGGTAAAATCAATATCCTGACCAGAATCTAGCTGAAAGATGATATAAAATTATTGTTTTCTTTTTGCACATACGTTGTGAAAAACATATCGTTTTTAGGTATTACTGTCCTTGTTTCTTAAAGTATCCATATTTTCTGTTTTCCAAATATCCCAGTTCTCGGTTTCCTTAGGGGAAAGGAAAAGAGTGTCAATAAAATATAACTGTTTTAATGCACCCCACGCAGACACATTCTGCTTATGACTTTTTCACACCAACCTAGTCAACAATGCAACAAAATTACATAAGAAAGCTTATATTAAACGAAAGTTTGTCATATTTGCCCTGCCATGACGTTAAAGTTAATTATAAGAGCTAGAAGCTGCTTTCAGTTTTCGCATGATTAAACAATGTGAATCCACCTGCCGCACGGCGCCTAGTGACCGAAAAACAATCAGGGATCACTGTTTTTCGCCTGTTGCCTTTACGTATTAAACGATATCTGTTGACGTCCAACATATTACAACGGGGATCTATTCGAAATTCAAGTAAAGGACAAAAATTATATGAAGAGTCTACTAAAACACATGAATATATAAACATCGCCAGTTAATCGATATTCAGCGACTTGAATAAAATTATCACGGGAATCGCACTAACTTTGTGAGTATGAAAGAATATTTTAAAATTTTTTCAAATGTAAAGAATTCGGGGCAACTTAACTATAAACAATCTAGGAGATGAATAACTACTTTTTTCATTCTGTAATGTGCTGTCACGAGAGTGCATTAAGTCAACTTATCTCACATCACATATACACAGATATACCAGATGACTTTCTCACTTTCTCTACTGTTTATAGCTAGAGAGAAGAATAGCTATATGTACTCATAATTCAACATAATTCAAAGAAAATGCAAAGACTATGAAAAGAAACAATAAAAAAACAAAGAAAAAACTCAAACGCAGAACTTAGCTCAAGGCTTAATTATAAAACTATAACACCTTCCATAAGCTAGAGATAATTTAATGACCCTTCATATTTAAAATCATGTAGAAAGCAATAGGGACGAATAATTTATAGCACTTTGAATCGTGTACAAGGTGAAAAATGATGTTTTTCTTATTATCATAACTGTCACAACGTGTTGTTATAGTAGGTTGACAGGCAGCTGTATGACTGATGTATAAAATGCTATAATGCATTTTTCTAAAGTGAACTTGAGCTAAGTGTGGATTTAATTACGACATTCATTATGAAAAAAGGAAATAACAGGTTTGTTTGGTTATATATTAAAGCGAAATATCCATTTAACCAAAATTCAATACATGCGCCACACAGCCCAAGGAGAAGTATAAAGAACTTGTTCCATAAAACATAGTATAATTCCACAAGTTTGTTTTTTTCAGGTAAATTAAACAACAAAAATCTTTAGTTATGCACAAAAGAGCAGACTGGGACAATAGGGAAAAATAGAAAAAGGGAAAAGATCACCAAAGATCATCGTAAAAGCTTTTTTTAAAAATACTTCTTAACCAAAGAATTTTGCTTCAAAAATTTACACCGATTCAATAAAAGTATATACTAATGGAGTATAAAAAGGAAAACAGTGTAATATTTGTTTGCGGTGAAACCAGGTTTAATGAAGACATGTCGATGAAAAATATTTTGATTGGACACTTGGCAACAAATTGGGCAGTACGAACTCACTATGATGAAAATGGAGACGATCCAAGAAGTAGTAAAGAAACATTGTTTCGTAATATTTCATCATCATGTGTTTTCATCTTCATTTTTAGCGAAGAAACTACACGCAACGCCTTCTATCTTAACCAACTTGGCGTTGCATTCGCTCGAGGCATTACAATAGTTGGAGTCCGAGAGCCAAGTTACATTATGCCCAATCCCCTTCCCGAACATTACTATTCCACCGAGATAGTTGACCCACCAACCGCTGACCATCGGAATCGAACACGTTCACGAAACAAGCCGACATTGGCAAGTATCCTAACCGACGCTTTTTGTAATGCAGTGGTTTACACTACAGAATTTAAAAAGTCTTGCATTGAACGGTTATTTCGTAAGGTTTCTGATGCATGTAGTAAAGCAAGTAGAGAGCGCACAAAACCATCAACCTTCAATGATTATGGAAGGAGAGTTACAAAACGTGAACCATTTAACCATCAAAAGATTTGGTCTAGTACAGGTGGTCGTTCTTTGTGCCCAAAATGTGGTACGTTGGTTAAAAAAAGTGGTAAATCAGGCATATCACATAAAGTTAATAGCATAGATAATTTGTATAAAAATGAAAACTCGCGACCATCATCAAGACAAGAGGTAAGAACAACTCCACAACTGGTTATCACGAAAAGCGTTCTGCAACCTTCAGTTGGTCAAGAAAACTTTTCAAAGAGTATTTTCAAAGAGAATTCACGACGACCAATCACAAGTGTTGTTCGCAAGATTTCGTCAGCAAGGATGGCCAGCGGCCGTTATACGAAGGAAACTGCCCTTCAGTCCCGTCCCACTTCAACAAAAAGCTGTAACGGTGTTCCGTCAAGAGAACTTCAAACTTTCAGTAAGGGAAGTCCCATTAAGAAGTTAGAAGAGAAACAGAAAGAATTAGTACTTTTTCAAATTGAAGATAAAGATCAGACTTCAAGTGAGAAAGAGAAGAAACAAAAACGTCACGAAGTTCTTCAAAAAACCTCGACAGGTTTTGTCAAAAACTATAGGGGAGCATTTTTAAGAAAAATGTCAAGTTTACCATGTATTCCTACAACATATCTCGTGTCGGAGCCCGGATCTAATGTTCCCGCACTAATAAAATACCCTCTAGCAAGTAATACTCTTACAGTCAGCGATGCAAACGTTCCTGAATTTACTGACGACGAAGACAAAGAGACGATACACATTTCACGACAACCAAGTCCAGCTATTTCAACATGTTCCACTAATATTGAAGAATGACAGATGAAAACAAGGAATCATAACTTATGAGAATTGTCGTTGTTGGAAATCATAACATTATAACAATATTTGAATATGTAATGAAGGTTAATAACTGAATTTGAACATACATTTTTTATGAAAAACTGCCTTAAGACAATATTTCAACAGATAACTCTGCAAGAATTAGAAATTTGGAGGAAATTATCTTCAGCATAGACTGTATTTTTTTCTCCAATTTCTCAAAAATCAAACAAATATATTCCGTAATTTAAGGTTTGTAAAAGCAATTTGAGGTGACTTTGAGTGCATTTAAGAAACACAATAAGAGATTTGATTATATCACAAACTTTTCAATCCAATTACATTTTATTTTTAGCCTGTGTTCAACCAATGATTCAACCTGTTTTCCCAGTTGATTTTGCATTGTTGTTGTTGCCATGGTAACAGTACGCTTTCTCAATGGCCATCAGATTTATATGTGATAATCTTTAGTTTACATTTTTGTTTACAACCGGACTTATTTTGTCATCCATTCATGATTGTAAACCACTAAGATTGTTTTTGGAAATCGTCTGTAAGCTCGTGTTAAATAAGTGAGGTTTTCAGTGTATTTTAGACGCTTAATGGCGATGTCAATTTTGTGTATTTATTGACCAAGCGAGGTGACAAAATGGACAGGGAGCGATTGAGGTTAAAAAAGGAGCAATTTATACGTGACATGCATCGAGTTTCTGAAGAGAAATCTCAACAACTGTTCGAAAAACCTGAAGACCGCCAAGCATGGGTTGATGTTATTCGGAAGTCTGTTGAGAAAGAGATCGAGACTAGAGTACGCGAAGCTTTAGGAACACCACCGAAAGAAAGACAACGGAGAAGAATGGAAGAGCTTACGGCAAAACGTTTCGCAAAAATCGAAGAAGAAAAAAAAGCGATAGCGAATAATAGAAAAAAACAAGCTTTTCTTGAAAATGGTAGTGCAATCGATGACGATCTGCTGTGGTTACGACGACAGAAATATTTAGAAAAGTTTAAGAAACGACGAACAATGCGTGAAATACCATCACCTATTTTACGTTCCATAAGTTTGAAACGCATAGCTCGTAATGAGCAGGAAAATCATCAAAGCATTCCCATTGTGTGGGAATGTAGCGAAGCTCTTGCTGATGAGATGCCTACAAGTTTCAAGCAGTTCAAAAGGGCAGTTCACGCGAATAATTTATTTGAATCGACGAAAGAAACCGTCAACAGAAATGGACCTTATTTTCCAAGTGGTCGACTTCCCTGTATACCACCACCTCAACATTTAAACTTTGTTCCCAATTACGTAGAAGAGTTAAATTTAACGGGTGAGTATGAAATAGTTTGTATAAATTTTAAATCACGAACGTCTTTGTTGTAACAGAGTGAACTCCAGCGTGCAACTTCAGAAGACTATGTTATTTTAATAAAATATATTTAATTTTTGGCAGATCTCATCAAATATAGCTTTTTTTCAGCACACAAACATTTGTAAGTTTATTTCTATCTAAACAAAACCTTTGAATTCAAAATTAATGTCTCCAGATCAGATTACACACCTCATTAAATTGCACACCTTTGCACTTTCATAAACGCATAAATAAGTCGCATATAAATATCCAATTAGAAAAGTTTGATTTGCAACATAAAACTTTGCAACATTTTAATTAACATTTGCAATGTTATAGACTGCACCCCAGACTTTGTGATCCCTAGTTTACACATCTTTTTTAGAAATTTCACAATAGTATGTTAAATGTGTCAAGCATTTCTATATTTTCAGTTCCCAAATGACGAATAACCTCAATGAATACATAAATTGATAGTTCAAAGATTATCGTCTTTTGTAAACTCAAGAATAACTCCAGTTTGGTTTATAAAATCTCCTACTCTTGCATGTTTTAAACAGATACAGATGACACACGCCAAAAACAAGTCATAAATGTCGAGTACCCAAAATGTTGGAAAGGAGCTGTTGTTGTCTTCGATACAGAAAGACGAAATATTTTGGTAGGACAACATGTCAACTGATCATAAAAAAATGAAAATCAACCAAATTCCTTTTTTCGCAAAGGATTCTGAAGCCGTGCCACCGGGGTGTCCGCCTCATCTTCAGTTTGAATCGAGATTTGAAAGTGGAAATTTACGTCAAGCAAAGAGAGTGTAAGTTGGAAAATATGTGACCGTTCACTTTATAACATAAGAACAAAATAGTGTTCGTATTTTTTCTACGATTTTCTTCATACTGTCTGCAGGCATCAGTTATATGCACAATACGCATGATTTTCACAAGTCAGCTATGAGTAATGTGTAAGAAAGGATAAGATGAAAGATTTATTGTTTTTCAGTGGCAACTACGCATACGAGCTTATTCTCAATACGGATCTTTACACGAAAAGACATACACAATGGTTTGTTATTTGGTACAATAAAAATTTCTTTTAATAAAGTGAAGAAGTTCTGTTCATGCTACCTTAATTCTCAAGGTACTATTTTCAAGTTCGTAAAACCATTCCACATGTGACTTACACCTTTACAATAATCAACTTCCTGAAGAGAGACAGCTTATATAATCATGGTAAATTGCTTAAATTGTTCTGATTTTACGAACGTTCTTTATTCATTAAAAATACCTTCAATAATAACCATTTATAAACAACAAATAAACAACGTAAAAGTATTCTGGCAGGTATGAAGGTGCTGTTTTACTCAGAGAAAACTGCTCAACGACAAAATATTGGCTGGATAAGAAGGGGCCATCACATTAAATATTTCCAGAACTACATTAAAGGACATCCATTACTATCATGGGGCAAAGTTTACTATTCACTTACATTTCAATTGGTACGTTATTGCTTTTCATTTAAATAGGCACTCAGCTATCCATTATAAATTTTTATAAAGCTTGCTCTATTTCATTGGATACTTATCAAAATCCTTTCGTTTACTATTTTCCATAGGAGTTTCCTCATGTCAACGATGTATGTTATCTTGCGCATTGTTATCCTTACTCGTACACAGATTTAGAGAACTATCTTGATGTCATCTCGAAAGATGAATTCAAGCAGAATCATTGTTCGCAGCAGGTTAGATAATGTCTATAACAACGACATCTTTTCTAGATGCAAGCTATAACTAGCCATAACATAACTTATAGAGCAAGTTCACGTGAGAAAAATAACGCTTATTTTGTCCCACACTCGACCTTCAAAGTATTCATAAAGTCACAGCGCATATGTAAAGATTACTGTTATCCTCGATGCAAATCTTTGAGTCCTACTCTCTTCATCAAACCGTTCCATGATTACCATGATTTTCTTTTGAATGCAGTCGATGAATTAATAAACTTGCGTCCAAAAATGATCGTTGTTAATAATCTATACCTGTATTTAGGTTTTGTGCAAGACTGTAGCTGGAAACAATTGTTATCTTTTAACAATCACCTCTCAAGGTATTACTACAAATATCACTAAGAAAAGTTACTATGTAAGGCAAAAATAAATTACTATACTTATGAAAGAAAAAAAGATGTTTATACAAGTTGTGTTGTTAGAGCCTAACGATGGAAAACTTGGCGTTGTTGTGACAGCACGAGTACATCCTGGAGAAACTAACGCTAGCTGGATGATGAAGGGACTAGTGGATTTCTTGATATCCGATGATTCAGTTGCACAAGTAAAGAAGTGTATTAATTGATGATAACTTTAAATTCAAACAATCGATAATCTTAAATCAACAAATGTAACTTCTGTTTCACATTGTAGCAATTACGAAGAAAACATATCTTCAAGATTATTCCAATGTTGAATCCTGACGGAGTCATCGTTGGTAACTACCGCACGAATCTAGCAGCAAAGGATCTTAATAGAACATACATGAATCCATGCAAGGTTTGCAGCTATAATTTTCAATCTTTATATTTCAAAAGTATGAAAGAGAAACATAATCCATGGTAAGCATGATAAGTAGATTGATTTATATCTTTTTTCTAGGATTCATCTCCCACAATCTTTTACACAAAGAAACTTGTTGAAACATTTTCCACTGAACAAGAGGTAGATCTTTTTATGCATAATGCATTGGTCAAGGTTTCCTTAATGGTAATGCTGAATGTTTGAATGATGGGTCTTGAAGGGAAATAGGGTAGTAAAGTTCTTTTCTCTTTCTCTCATCTATAATAAATCAAATTTCAGATCGTGGTCTATTGTGATTTACATGGCCATAGTCGTAAACCTAATGTCTTCATGTACGGTTGTACACCTGAGAAACGTAGTACTTCAGTTAAAGACTTCGTTCAAGAAAGATTATTCCCTTGGTTAATGTCAAAAAAGGTACAACAGGCAACATTTTCTTTCAACTATAAAGTGATGCCTAGCCCAGTCCCATCTCTGATACATTTTCAAAACGAGAACTTAAATATCTTTTATAACTGCTTGCAGGCTCCTGATCTTTTCTCATTTCGAGAATGCAAATTCAAAGTACGCAAATCCAAAGAAGGCACAGCCCGAGTTGTAATGTGGCGACAGATGGGTGTTGCAAACAGTTTCACCATGGAAGCAACATTTTGTGGAGCAAATTTTGGCGACATGTAAATATTGCATTTTATTAACCTGTGTATGAAGATCTAACAACGATCTCTAACTTAGAAATCCCTTCTATCACAGTATAGCCCTATTATTTCTTCATTTTACTTCTTACAGATCTGTTGAGTTGATATTTTGACAACATGTTAATGACAAACACACAAAACTTATATCTCTAATATATAAAACACATAGCTCCATCAGTTTATAAAGGTTTCTCTACTGATTCAGTGGACTGTTTTGTTTCTTCTTTCAGTGAAAAAGGCCGACACTTTCACAATGGCGATTTTGAAGCAATGGGTAGACATTTCTGTGAAGTTTTACTTGATTACACGACAGCACGACCAAATGGAAGCAGGTAATTTAACATAGAGATAATACCAAGAAAGTTGTATATGGTGCTTTTAAAAGAACGAGAATACACACTGTTAGAAAAATGTATAGAGTAGCTTTAGAAGGTATAGTGTGACTCCATTAAATTCTTGGCGGTAAACAGGCCATTAAATGAGTAAAATTTGCTTCTTTCAGAAGCGAGATAACAGAAGAATTTCTCCAAATGGCATCACTAATGACTCAAGACATAATGCGTCATGCTAGAATGTTACAAACGGGAGAAAATGAAGATCGCTGGTCCACAAAAAATCACGTGATTGACAAGCAACATTCTCCTAAAAATCACGTTAATGTTTTTGATGTTCACGTTGATGATGTAATCTCTCACGCGGAGTCTGGGGAAGAGGTAGAAGTATCGGTAAGAAAAAGTGAGGGATCAAGTTTAGAGGAATGTCTGAAGCAGTTGGAAAATGTCGACCTTGATGAACTTAATGAAGAATCAGAGTGAGTAAGATAAATGCAATAGGAACGCTGGATTGTTCAAAAATTTCCATTATATTTTCTTATTGAAAAAAAAACAGGAAAATTTTTAAAATGATGATGCAATATGACAACTGTAATAAATGTGAATTTGGTTGATTTTGATCTGTGATGAACAAACATAATACATTGACGTTTTTATAAATGAGTAGTTGTTTAAAATTGATTTTTTAGTTCAAGTGACTCAGATAGTCAGTCAGAAGAAGAGGATGTCAAGAAATCAATGATAAAGGTGAAATCAAACCGTCAATGGATTGAAAAATGTATACTTTTAAATGTAGTTTTATTATTAGAATGAAGACAGAACAAAGAAAAAGAAAAAGAAGAAGAAAAAGGAGGCCAAGCGATGGGAGGTTTTAGCGGTAGGTGTAGTCGTAAAAGTTTACAATAATGACAATAAGATTGCCAAGATTGAGTTTTTGCTTTGTTGACCAGGCTTTAAAACCAAAGTCCGAATTGCAAACTGAAAGAACAAACCAAGGCATGACGAATACCAAAAAATATCAGGAAAAGGTAAGTTTATCGTTCTAATAGTCGGATTCAAAGTTCGCTTGTAGAGAGTTTGAAGAAAATGAATAAATAAGATTAACACTGTCAATGTCTTGTTTTAGAACGTTCTGTCTTTTTCACAGAGAAAGGTGAAGTTAAAGGAAAGTGCCTTCTTAAATCCCTATGCATCCCGTTTTAACAACGGTATTCCTATGTATTCACAAGAAAGAATTGAGCAGAGGATAATGAAGGTGAGTGATGACACATGTGGGATAGAGAGTGAGTTGTACAGTCTGGTAGAATTTTCTTGTTCAGATTTGTTTAGAATTAAATTATTGTGTCTTGTAGAAAAATGAAGATGTGAAAGATCATGACATACAATCTCATATCACAGAAAATGATTTGTTGGTAAAATGAGCTAGTTTAGAATATCTAGTTTTGATAATGCATCAAACTTACTGAGAATACAAAAGTTTGGGGTTAAAGTCCTGTTCAACAAATCCTAAATATGCTTGAGCGGAGAGAGCAACGATTAAGGATGAATTGTTGAAGCTATTTTTTGGATAATGTTGAAACTGATAGTATCATGATAAATTTCAAGTTTCTAAAGAACTGTTGATAATTTGTGTTTGTGCCTTTACAGCCTTTCTTACATAATGATGATCGGTTGACATCAAACAGTATTCCACAACATAACCTGGCTTGCTACGTGATGTCGAGAAGACCTGGTACTAGTAGTAGAGCGGAAGTAATTGCTGTTGATAATTTTAAGTTCGAGTCTTTAAGTCACTCGGCCTCAAAAGGTTTCACTCTTCGTATACCTGGTCGTGAATTGTCGGCACGAAGCAGCAGCGACCACTACAGATTGGAAGTTGAAAAAGAATACGAGCTCGAAGACAAATTTTGTAATGGAGAGTTAATTGTACCCATGCGCAGCAACGTCACATTGAATCCTTTAAATATCTCCAAGGGCACTGCTTACGCTTACGATTTAAAGGATTTCTCCGAGAGACGTGAACAGTTATCAGAAGACTGGGGAGAAGATTGCCAAACAAAAGTAGTACGAGTAACATCTAATACAGCATTGCAGCAAAGCCAATCAAAAATCAAAAATAACATACATTCCATAAAAAAACTTCAAGAACTGTCGTTACACGACGGAACACATCGTGATCAAATGTTTAAAGAGAGATAGTCGTTTATGCAGAAAGTTTGGAATAAACATTAACAATTTGTAAAAAGAGACATTAAGAGCGCACATGTTTTTGAAGTTAATCTACATTTTATTTAACACAGCAAAACCAAAGAATTTTTTGAGATTTATAATAATGTTCTGAAGTCGTTTCCTTGCAAAAAGTATTTGGCTGCTTAAACTTTTTCTTCTAAACATCAAACACGTGTCTTGATTTCAAAGCTAAAGAAGGACAAACTTTCTTAAAGGTGATTATCGTGATCTCGTCGAGTACATAACTTTGTCCTCAGGCTCTGATTGTCCTGGATCATCACCCACAGGTTTTTCATCGCGTACATTTGCCTCTTCAGATCTAAAACCTTTGCCAGTTTGAATATCAATATCTTCCTGTATTGCCTCTGTGATCTCTTCAACAACACTAAGAACCAAATTTCTAGCATCAATCACTATACTAGGCTTTTTGGTCGTCTCCAATCGTCGAGTCTCGGTCTCTATATCATTCTGAAAAGCTCTAGTCATTGCATTGACGACCCGTTTCGTTAACTCGCCCCAGTCTTTTACCACATGTACAGAGTTTTCCTTTTTATGGGGCGTAACTAGAGAATGGTCGGAGAGATATTTTCCCAAACCACCAGTAACACTCTTTCGTATCTCTTGAAAGTTGATAATAGCAACTTCACGATCATCAAATTCTCCCGCGCAATTTGAACGAATATAAAGCACTTCAATTCTTTCTTTCAACTGACGCCCGACTGTTTCAGAGAGCATATCGACATTGACATGAATTCTTTTCACGTTACGACCTATTCCCATCGATGCCTGGTAGATCTCGTTTTCAAACATTTTGATTGCTAACTTTCTCAGCTCATCCCGCAAAGAAAACAAATATGGGACGTCTGATTCACCTTGCTTTATGTCATATTCAACTTCTTTCATGATTGAATCCACAATACTTTTCGCAAGATGTTTACTTTCTAAGCACAGTTCTCGTTTTTGCTCTAGCCTACCCCCCGTCTGCACGTTCATATCGGCTTCAATGGCTTCCAATACTTCATTGGCAATTCTTCGTACAAGATCCTTGCCATCCAAAACAACCTGAGGTTTGTGCTCTTGACCAACCCACCCTCCAGTTTGGATATTTATATCTTCATTGATACCAGCCATAATTTCCTTCAAAATTACGTGAGCCATATTTTCAAGCTCTTCCACTGCCACACCCCAACCTTTGACAGCATTTGACAGTTCATCAATTATTGCACCAGCAATATACTCATATCCAGGAATAAAATTGTCGCTGTCTCTTACACCTGAATGAAAAAAGAAATGAAGATATGAAGGCAATAAGAAAAAACAAAATATCTCGACGTCATAAAATTTTAACACCAGTATATGCCTAACATGGAACTCACCACCAAGATCAGTTTCTTTCATTTTTGATGGAGACTTTTCTTTAGGCTTTTGTTCATCATCTACAGTGTCTGGCAAACCTGACAGTTTTACATGTTTATGGATTTGTTCGAATCTGAGTTTGATTTCCAGTCAGTGAAAAAAGAAAGCACTTTGCCATAGGATAAATTTGCCTTCTTGATTGCCTGCTGCGGATAACAGGCTGCGGCAGTAGCCATTCCCATAGTACTAGCAAAAAACACCCTCCGCAAAGGACGTCCTTCATACAAAAATATAACATTGCTCAACTTTCTGACAATAACAACCAACCAAACAATAATGGTCTAAACCATTTTGTTAAGTTAAAAGTTTTGCATTGCTCTACGTAGTTTCTCACTAAACTGTCATAGAAACATATCATTTGGTTAAGAACTTACTTCCTCGACCTGCAATCAAAACACCAGTCAATGTTCCTGCTACAATAATACCAGTTTTTAATTGTGTAGTTCCATCAGTTTGAATGCTGTTTGTAACCTCTATGTACATAATAAACAATAATAAGCAAAGTCAGAGTAAGATTCAATGACATATGGTGGTCTCCTCAAATTTCGGAATACCTTTAACTTTGGTCCAAAGATGTTGACCACCATCAGTAGTGGTATCTGTCACATTCTATAAACAAGAAAACACTATGATAGCGAATTAAAAACAGTACCTATTGTGCATATTTGAAAATAAACTTGGCTTATTTATTAAAAAAAGTTGAAGAAGTTTTTGGTTTGTTCATTATGACCTTCACTGTATTCCAGTGCTTCCACACAAACTTTCGTCCTTTTGAAATCTGCTCTTGAAGTGGAGAAGCTGGGGACTCGTCATTCGTCTCATTACTGGGATGTTCGACATCATTATCGTAAATTTCTAGCTGCATTAAAAAGAATTAAGAATTTAATGTCAAAATTAGAGATTATACTTTTATCTGACAAGTATAATACTCTGGGGCTCAAATCTAAATGAACAAAGTCCTGGATACTTTCTGGAGTAGTGATGAATCAATAATGAACATGGTTTTAACATCACAGAAATAATTAAATTTAGGAATGCGCATTTAAAAGATGTCTTTTGAAAACAGAGTGCAAACATCAATGCAAAACTTTAAAATATTCAAACTTCAACATGTTGATAAATCAAAAGTGTAAAAGCTTACATCTTTGATATTGATTTTAACTTTTGGATTATCAGCAGCTTTGAGAGTGGTTATGAGATACCCCAGTCCCAGTGCAGGTGCACTGACCCAACATAATACTCTTCCTCTGGAAAACTACAACAGATAACAATAATTATTCAGAAAAAAATATAATACCTAATGAAAAGATCAGAACAACACGAACTTTTTCACTTTATACAAATTTTGGCTACTTTTTGAATACTGATCTACGCACTACTTTCAATATTCTGTCGTTTGCCACATATTATTATACGTCAATTCAATTGACCATGAAAATTCACGACACATTATTACTAAACTATCACATCAACTTAGTGAACTAACTGGCAACTGTATCAACCATACATAAATTGGCAAAGTTCTTCAACCAATAAATTATTTTAAGTAGCACGATGTGATTGTTTTATCGTTTTATCGCACAGATTTTCAATTCATTTGAAAGTCTAATTGCTAAGACTAAAAACTTAGTTACTCTTTGAGTGGGAACATAACATGCCAATTATTCAAGTTAAAAAAGTAAATATAGGAGTCGCAAATGTCTTTTGAACTTTCTATGTAACGTACGTTATTAAATGATCATAAAAATAAAGACAAAAAGACACAAGAAAGACTTACCAACGCAAAGGGAGCCATATTTTGAAAATACGATACTAATTCTCATCCACCAAAAGACAAATTATCAACATTTTGCTATTGATGTGTCTCAACTCTTTCGATGCAAAAAAGAGACACTTATAATTTTTGTTAACTTCTTGTACTAAATATCAAAGTAGTAAATTCGTTGTAAATTCAAAAAAGCTGAAATAAAGATCACTCAAGGAAGTATTATCTTTAGACAGCGCCAATGTCAGATAAGCTATCAGATGATGTGTCCTTTGATTCAGAGAAAACCTCACAACAGGAAGAACAAATTAGGATATGGCGTATGACTTTAGCTGTACATTTTAGCAATCTTTTGTACTCAGCAGCGTTTTGGATACAAATTGGAATCAACCCAGTGTGTACTAATTTTGTTTCTGCTATGTATTTCGATGACATTTCTTTTATATCATGTTAAATTTAACTCTTCCATGATAGTACATCATCAAATCCCTTAATGTCGATGTGGTCACCTATGGTTATCTTCAAACAGCATTTTCTGGGCTACAACTTCTTGGTGGACCTGTTTATGGACGTCTTGGTGATATCTTTGGTAGTCGAAGGGTCCTTATTTTGGCACACACCTGTGGATTCCTCATGTATTGTCTCAATTTTCTTGCTGATAATACATTGATGCTCTTCTTGGCACGTCTTCCTGGCCTTCTATTACATGGAGCTCAAGGTACATTAGTTTTCTGAATTTTTAATGATGTTTGTTAATTGTTTTTGTTCTTCAATTCCTCAAAATACACCAGGTGCTCAGATGGCAATAACTGATGTGACAAGTCACAAAGGTATTAACTACATTTCAATGTGTCAATATGAAAGTCATATCTCCATAAATTTTATTATCCTGCCATGCCATCCTTATGACTAAAGCTGGTTTTTCAATAAATTTAGAGAGGGCTGTTGCTCTGGGGAAACTCAGCTTCTCTTACGGCCTTGGTGTCATTCTTGGACCATTTCTTGGTGGACAAATCTCAAAATATTCCTCTCAAAAAGTTACTATGTTGTTTGCAGCAGCTTTGTCTGCATTTGCTGTAGTATTTATAAATATCACCCTTTCTAAATTACCTGTAAAGTCAGGTAGGTTGTGAGCTAACAAGGCAGTAAAGTTTCCGACTAGTAATTCCATTCATGGTAATAAACCCACTAAAATTATCTTATGAACTACAAACATGCTTTTTTTAGATCAAGAAAGAAAGGATACTTCCTCACTTTTGGATGCAAACGAATCAGCAACTTGATGAGTATTCCCAGTGTTAGATTTTTATATGTGATGAAACTTATCTCTGGTTTGCCTTTTGCTATATTCCAATCAATGTTTTCTGTTATTGTGGTAAACTCATTCGGTTTTACGGCTGCACAAAATGGAGCATTCATGTCTTATGTTGGATTATTAATGATTGTAAGTTCGTAAAGTAATACATTTAGCAGCAATCAATTCTTTTAACACAATGATTTACATATGCGATAGCTTGTGCAAGGTGTTGCAGTAGGATTTGTGACAAGACATATGAATGATAAGAAAACCTTGGTCCTTTCTATGGTTGCCAGTTCCTTTGGTTATTTTATTTGGGTGAGATATGGCTACTGAGATGTGGCATTGAAAAATTAGTTTAGAAATGAAAGGAAAATAAATACAATTAACTTTACTGTATCTCTTTTTCATTCTAGTGTTACAGTACTAAAGCAGTGCATCTGTGTATCTTAGTAATTCCTCTCATGTTTGGTGGTGGTCTATTCAGTGTTATAACCAACTCAATTTTAACCAAGGTTGTTCCAGCAGATGATACTGGATTTGCACTTGGGCTATCATTTGCAACTCACTCACTGCGAACACTCTCCCCAACATTAGGAGGATTACTTCTTGCTAACTTTGGCTATACTTCTTTAGGAGGTTTTGGATGTGTTGTCTGTATTGGCTCAGCATTATATATATTCGCATTAAGTAATGCTTCAATAGAAACAAACAAATCTACTTAATGTGGTTTTTTAATTGCAAAAATTATTAACTTATTTAAATAATTAATTTCTTGTACAATTGTTTTAGATGTTGTCTTGATAAATTATCAATACAGTATCTTAAATAATATCTTGATGCAGTGAAGCTTTGCTAAGCAATTAATTTCTGTTCAAAATGCAAATTGAAATAATTTAGTTATTAAGCATATGGTCACCTTAGCATTCTTCTTGTTTTAATAAGTCTTTTTTCTTGAACATTGGCCTGGGTTACACCATTTGTCTGCCTTACCCCCAAAGGTACAGCTCGCTGTTTAGGTGGAGCAGGTCTATTCATAATTGCTGCACATTTTGGGATGTGACGTGCAGCAGTCTCTGGGGCAAAGCGACGTGTACAATGTTTACAATACACATAGTCTGGGTTTTCACTTGGTGGAGGTGGTGGCAGATCAGACAGTTTCCCTCCTTTCTTCATATAATTCTGAACTTTCTTGGCTTCACGTATAGCTTGTACAAAATCCTCTAAAAATAAAGAAATTTCCATTATTTCATTACCTGAAAATAGCAAGCATTGTGGTAAGTAAGTATACATTGAATCATACCATGTTTTTTCCTCCAGTTAGATTTAGGAATGCCTTGTTTTCCTGTTGATGATCTACCACGTCTATGATAAGCTGCTGCTTCTGTGCCTTGAACACGGTGTTTACTAGCATTGAACACTTTTCTCTGCTTCATGCTGTTACATATCTTAATATGTTTTTCCACTCGATCAGCTGCAAAAGTACGTCCACAATTATCACATGGTACAAGATCATCATTCCCATTTGGGTGTTTTTCAGAATCATGAGGATCAGAGTCAATAAAACCAGTTTGCTTGGGATGAATGTAAGAGTCCTTATCCACAGACTTACTCCTTTTCATATTGCTAGAAAAGTATTTCCCGAAAAATTTGAATGATTTTGGTGTAGATTGTTGGGTGTATTCTTCTTGGAGGATTGAACATCTTTTCCATGAGAATTTAATTTGCTTTTGTAAATGTTAGACTTTTTTTGATCTTTGACAATGGGATTTGGATTGTGCAAACTAGATTTTGAAGTATTTCCTAAAGATTTATGATTAAATAAAGGATTTCCCTTTTTCATTGTGTTTTCATCAATGTCCCACTGAGAAGGTTTTCTAAGTCTATTTCTACTAGAGTATGTTCTTTGATTCTTAGGTGGTGTTGAAGGTGACTGCGGATGAAATTGTGGAGGTGCAGAACTTACATCATACCCATCTGAAATACAAAAAATTTAATCAGTTTCTATTAAATATAATGTATAATACTAATTTATATCACTTACTAATGGGTAACAAAAAACTCATCTTACTTTCTTGTTTGAATGATTTTAAATGAGCACTCAGCCTCTCTGGTTTAAATGACCGACTATAGCTGGGCCATGGTAACAATGCTTGTTTTGATGACTTTTTGGTAAGCATGCTCTTCTGATCTTTGTCTCTGGTCATGCTACCAGCTAAACTTGGCAAATGATCATGTTTTATTGGCATGGGTCTTCGTATATTTTTTGGTAGGTGATGGTTTTCCAACTTCCACTTCTTAAGACATTGTGCTTCATGAATAGAGATTGATGCTACTCCAAATTCCCTGCCACAAATGTAGCATACCACTGTCTTTGGCTTAGCAGGTTGGCTGAGCTGTTGTTTATGGTCAAATATATTAGAATGGCTACTAATACCATTAGGATAGTGGCTTCGTTTAGCAACTTTGCCAGGTTTGCAACTTCGTTGATGAACCGGCAATCGATCAGGTAGAAATGTACGACCACAGTTTTCACATGGTAAAAGTTGCTGTTTAGAGCTTTCATAAGAAAGCTCATTCATTGCATCAATTTGTTTGCTAAGTAATGGCCCTTTATTGTTAAACTCACCAAATCCAATAGGTCGAATAGGTGTATTACGACGCATGTTCCTTGGTAACTCGTTATTCTCCATGTGCCATTTCTTGAGGCATTGAGGTTCATGTATTTTGATAGATGCAGTACCATACTTTCTGCCACAAATGTAGCATATTACTGCTCTCGGCCCAAAAGACATAGTCAAACATGCGCCAGAACCAAATCCCAGCTAAAAGTAATTCGAAGCCATAAAAATAACTCCCTGCATAGCTGCAGCAAATAAAATTAAATGGTTGCAATACATACAATTGCATCGTTAAGACACAATGAAGAAATTTCTCTGGTTGCTATGGGAGGACACCCTGTAGTTAATCGCCGAGGGGAAGCATATACTAAGGAGCTAAACACGTACTACAGTGCAAAAAAAACTTATTGAAGACGGAAGAAGAGAGAAATCAATGTGTAGCATTTCCCACGATTACCAACTTGCTATCTACACAAGGTGCATTTGATTTACGAGAAAAACTGATAACGCTATAGCAAAGTGCTATTTTCTAGCTTGGTATAATGATAGCATTTTATTAAAGCAAATTTAGGCTGAGAGCAGGCTGGACACCGGAAAGAATCATTGCATTCTTGCATTATAAACAATATAACCACCCTTCCGTGTGGGACTTTGGATATATTAAAAACTCTCTGTATTAAAGGCCCTGTATTTGGACATTGTAGTATTTTATGATACAAAAGATATTTCAATTGTTTGAAAGAAAATTATGTAAATTTTGAGCACGTTTTCGACATTTTCCTTACATGATCTGTTTGGATATTGTCTGAGCGGGCTCAGTCAAAGGAAGTGATTGTGAATGTTTTAAATGCACAGTCATTTATCATAGAACTATTTGGTAATACAATGTCTCAAGCAATGAATAACCAAGGATCTTACAAACCAAGGATTTTGAAAGAAGGTTTTCTTGAAAAGAAAAGCAGTGTTTTAAAACAGTGGAGAAAGCGATACTTTAAGCTGAATGGCGAAGTGTTATGCTTTTTCAAAAAAGAGGACCACAACACGACACAGCCAATGGGCCGGATTTTTGTCGCAGACATTTTAGCCGTTGGCAAGTATGTCTCAAAAGCAAAAAGCAAAGATCATTGCTTCAGTATCGACACGAAGTCAGGCAAGAAACACATTATGAACAGTGAGACAGCCGAAGAGAGAGACGCTTGGATCCTAATTGTAAACTTTGCCAAAGACGAGTTTTTAAAAGCCGAGGAGGAAGATCCAGTACGTAGGCGAAGTGTACGTCTAAACGGCGACCTAAAACGAATAAAATTGTTTAAAGATCCTACGAAAGGTATCGGAGTACGCATCAAGAGTGTTAACGGTTGTGTTTTTGTAACAAGAATCGTCGAAGACGGACCCGTAGCTGAAACAGGGGTCTTGCGACCAGGTGAGTTAATTGAATTTTTAAAGTGGGCGACATGAAGTTAATTGTTTTGAATTGCATACTGTGCATACTGTTTCTGACATCTCAAGTGAAATATCATTCATTAGATACACATATATTGTCCCTATAAATCTCACGTGTCGTTTACTGCCAATTTTACGTTCAGCTGCATTTTTGCTAATAGTATGTATTTATGTATGTTTGGTACAGGGGACCAAATTCTAGATGTTGATGGAGTAAATGTGAACAACATGACTATAGAACAAGTTAGCGAAGTTTTAAAGACTGCACCCATCCTAATGACATGCACTGTAAAACCAGCAAATCATTTCAAATATGCTGCCGAAGAACCCAAAACACAGCAGATAGAACAGATAAAGAAAAGCAGTTATGCGGAAATTGACATTGATGCACTTGCAAAGGAAGCTGCCAAATCTAACAATGAAATAGTAAAAGCTGGTTATGAAGATGATCAATCCAGCCATGGGAGTCAAAGTTTTGTTATTGTACCTTCTGATGATGAACTTGATCATGATGAGAAAACTGGTGATAAATTTCAAACAAATGGTGCTGATGAGGACAATGTTTTCCAATCTCGCTATGTTAACATTCCTCCAGAGCAAGGTGGTAAAAGTGGGTCACCAAAGAAAAATACAGTTCCTGCAGGGCAAAGAAATTATTTAGAATTATATTTCGATGAAAAGTGAATTAATATTTTCTTTGTTCAACTAATGTGTATATAGTGATGGACATTTTGTTTTTCTAAGGAAGATACCTGTTGTATTTTTTTATATTGCAATAACTTCTGTAAAGTTAAAAAATTCATGAAAACCGTCTTAACGTTTCAGATATGTACTGTGGACAACTTAGAAATCTTTTCAAAGGGACAAATTTCAATAGTAGCCTAAGAATTTGAAAGTTACATTATACTAACAAGATATTTACCAAGACCAACCATGACCAACAGACAAAAATAAACAAGAAAGTAAGCCACACAACAATTATTTAAGTTATTTTATTGACAATGACAACTTGTAGTAACTTTTTATTTATCTTGTGACTCCTGTCCAGTTGGCATTGTTCTTATGATGTCAGAGTCACCAGGGTCAGTAATGCTTAGGACAGATACTCGAAAATATTTTCCACAAGCTGTTCCCAATTCAATATTGTTGCCAGTATAGTGATGCACACCTGTCTTTGCCAGCATGGCATAATACTCAATTTCACTTTTTCTAAAAGTTAAATAACAATGTAAGTAAAAAATGACAATATGAGCAAGCTAATTTCTTTCTTAAGGAAATAAAATATTAGAACAGCACATACCTCAGTTGAGGAGTATTGTTTGAGATGATCACAAGTTTCGCTTTGCCTTGACGTAATGTCTTCAAGGTGGACTTATAACCCAAAGTGTACTTACCACTTTTCATGACAAGTTGGAGACGAGTATTGATGCTCTCTTGAGATTTTTTCTTGAAATGAAAATGGTCACAAAAACTTATTATAGTGAAGAAAACTTTTTAGAACAATGAACTAGAACAACCAATCTAACAACTTTCCCATTCAGATCGAGAGTTTCTTATAATATTTCACCATAAGAGAAGAAAAACATTTCTCTTCGGGAATGCATAAGGTCATCATATTGGGAAATAGTTTGCTTCTAATATTTACAAAAACAGTAATTTAGATTTGTATGATATATTTATAAGTGTATCTCAGCACAAAAAAGATTAACTTTTTTCTTAGTTAAGGGTGAACTAACAGCACAATTTGGTATTGTTACAAAACCTTACTTTACTTATGCCATACAACTCTGCCCTCCAACTGTCCAACCCCAGTCCCCCGCCCAAGATCAACTTTCTAAATTGCTGCCCCCAAGATCAAATTCAAAGAAACATGGCCACCCTTGCATGATTATAAATGAGTTACATCTGCTTTTGCAACCCTTCTAAGTCTAAACACCACACTTCATTTCCAAATGTTTACAATAAAAAGTTCTCTAAAATCCACCCTTTAGAGTGCTATCCTGCCCATTGCCCAACATTTTTTAGTGATTCTGCCCCTGAGATATCAGCAACATAAGACGTACTATGCAGTGTGGATTACAACGATTTATAATTTGACATATTGAAATCAATGTCACTCACCAAAGGTGGTGATAGGTAATTTAAACTGTAGGCATACATTATTTAACAAGTCTTCCTGGTAAGTTGAAATAATGATAAAGTTAAGTGTTTTCAGGTTTCTCAGGCGCACACATATCAACATGCCTCCACCACATTAATTAACAATGCACGACAAAATAAAACATAATCTTATTCATTCACTAAAATATTTCAACAAAATGATGTGAAACTAACCGATTTTTTTGTAGTTACCATGTTGGATTTTGAATCAAAACAAGTCAATTCTAGAAATAGAAGTAGGAAATTTTAATATTCGACATAATTTTTAAGCTAGTAATGTTAAAAATGTATATAAATCTCACTTTTTCAGTAGAAATCTTTCGACTCAATATGCTTCTGGTAACACACGAGGCAAAAAAGGAATCATTACCATCATGCATTGCAAAATGATAGATATTTGATGATGGAACTCTATAGACCTGGAGCAATATCTCGAATAGTTTCCAAACCAACTCAAACATTCTGCTAAAATTTTACGTCTTTTTTTGACAGTTTTTTTGCATTCATACCATACTTAGCTCTTAGATCTAAGATTTTTTGGTGGAAAAAGTTTCTTCCTTGGGATTTTTGCTGCTGAGTTAAACAACTGAGATCTGTCATTCGTCATGGTCCTCATGGATGGAGTGGAGACATAGTGGAGAAGGTTGTTGTCGTTTTTGCTGCAACATGTTGAAAGAATGACTCAGTCAATTGTTGTTCAAGGTACTACATGTTCATGGAATGTCCGAGTGATATCATTTGGATTCATTCCTAAACATATGGTTTGCTTGCTTTTCTATTTTGTACTCAAATGTAAACTAATTATAATGAACACTGTATTTTTTAACAGTTGGACAGTGTGGAAATCAGGTAGAAATACTGACTGTGTTTTTCATCATTTTTAAAGGAGTGCATATTATGCTGTTTATTTATTCATTCATGTAGATTGGTTGTCGATTTTGGGATTTGGCCTTACAAGAATATGCCACTATCAATAAGGTAGGTTTTGTGTTGCTGTATTGCTGGTCAAGTACTGATCACATGATCTTGTTATGCTACCGGTTGGTTTATTGTTTAGTCTGGCAAATATGATGAATGCATAAGCAGCTTTTTCAGAAATGTTGACACCAGGTATTCAAGAGCAACTATAACTGACAGTTTTTACTCATTTATGATTTTTTAAACTAAACCATCAAAAAATATTTGTATGCAAAGGCATGAGAAGATGAAAGACCTACCAGTTGGTAAAGGAAAGATTAAAAGCCTGAAAGCAAGAGTAAATGCCTGAATTTTTGCAATTTTTTTATGTATGTACACTATAATGTTAGAATTTTTATCATTTCAATGTCAGGCTGTTTTGATCGACATGGAAGAAGGAGTAATCAACGAAACTCTAAATGGCCCTCTTAAAGAAATCTTTGATTACACACAACTTATAACTGATGTGTCTGGTTGTGGAAATAATTGGTAGATTCAACTATGAATATATTCTTTCTCACATATATGCAATGAACAGAATTAGATTCTTCTTTAGGGCTACTGGTCATTTGATGTATGGAAGACAGTATCATGACAAAATGATGGACACAATACGCCATGCTACTGAACTATGTGATTCATTGCAATGTTTCTTTTTACTTCATGCCATGGGAGGAGGCAAGTTATTTATAACATAATTAACATCTCTTATCAAGATTTTTTATGAAGAAATGATGCATGAAATTTTAGGAACAGGATCAGGTATCGGAACTTATGTTCTTAGACTACTAGAGGAACATTATCCAAAGGTGTACCGTTTTACCACAGCTGTGTATCCCTCAAATGATGATGACGTTATTACCTCACCATATAACAGGCAAGTTTTTTGAATCCAAGAATGTTTAACACATTATTGATCCTATCTTATCCATTTCTTGTTTATTAGTGTTCTTGCAATGCATCAACTTACAGAACATGCTGATTGTGTATTACCAATTGAGAATCAGGTGGTAATATAGTGTGCTTTAGCCAAATTTCTAGACAAAAACATGAAAAAATTGTTTCTATAGGCACTGATTGACATTATCAATAAAATCTACAAAGTCATGCCATCTGAGAGACCAGGAAAGAAGGTATTCAACATAGACAAAACACAAGTAAAAACAGCAATCACATCAAATGTAGAGCGATGGAAAAGATCCAATGAGGAAAAACCATTTGACCACATGAACAACATAGTAGCCAATCTGCTACTTAACCTGACCAGTTCAGCTAGATTTGAAGGATCATTGAATGTTGACCTTAATGAGATTACAATGAACCTAGTCCCATTTCCAAAACTGCATTATCTTGTCTCAAGTCTCTCACCATTGTACTCGCTACTTGATGTGAGACTTCCAGTGGTTCGATTTGATGAAATGTTCTCAGATGCCTTCAGTAAAGAACACCAACTCATTCAAGCCGACCCAAAACACAACCTCTACCTGGCTTGTGCACTAATAGTTAGAGGGAAGGCTGACATTTCTGACATTAGAAGGAATATTGAGAAAGTAAGACCTCACTTAAAATTTATTCATTGGAATGAGGAAGGCTGGAAAACAGGATTATGTAACATACCACCAGTAGGACTGCCTTATTCTTTACTCACTCTTGCAAATAACACCTGCATTACAAACACATTCCATAATCTGAAATGTCGGTTTGTGAAACTGTATAGAAGAAAGGCACACATTCATCACTATCAAAATATTGAAGGGTTTGAACAAACTCTTTTTGAAGAGAGCTTAGAGTCTTTGAATTATTTAAATGATGAATATCAAACACTTAATTGTGCCACAAATCAACCTCTGCAAAGTGCCTCAAGACTCCATATTCTTTAGTAAAAGAATTTGAGAATTATAAAAGCATTAAGCAGAATTCATTTGGTTTTGATATTTATTTTCTTTAAACTACATGCCATCTTTTCGATGATCTTTTAATCAAAGAGACCTAAAACAAAAGAATTGAACTGATTAGTGCCAGTCCATCATGATTGATGAAAACATCATTTAATAGAAATTCTTAATAACTATCTTTCAGGTTAAACAATCATTCATTTTGGCTCAGTGCCTTTAATTTTGATGAATTTCAAAGGAAATTTCCCCATTTATTTTGCTAGTACAATGCCACTAACTATTCTAAGAGCCTTTAACCTTGGGTTTTTCTAATGTACTATTGACAATATGTTTATAAATTGAGAGTTGACTATTTGGTGTGTGCAGCAGTCAGAAAAATGTGACATAAACTTAATTAAATTTTTTGCCAGATTTCAATGTCTCTCAAATTGTGCTTATATCACAGAATGTGTTTAACTGGATGACAGACATGTGGCATAATGATAATCAATGTTGCTGTGTAAAAGTATTTTAAAAAGCACTGCATGCTGAAAGAAATGCATACAGACCAAGTCTCACGCTTTTGGCGTGAGACTCACGCTTTTCGACGCAATCTCACGCAACCACGCCATTCAGACAAAATATCACTCTTTTTTTTAAATATTACAACCAGCCCATGTTTTTGAACCACCAAAGTCTATGCTAAAGAAAGCCAAAACTGCAACATGGGATTATAACAAGCTCCATGCTAAGAAGTGATGTTTTGCTTCACAAAACTTCTACTGTTGAGAAAACAAAACATGTTGATTGAACCCTTATTTCAATTACGTTCATGAAAACCAAAGTAGGTCGATGAATTTTTATTCATATTTTAGTCTAGAAGTTCGGCCATCCGGGCCTCACTATTGCCTCTTCAGGGTGATTACATTTCTCACTCCATACAAACCAAAAACCCTGGCATCTATGGAAATGGAGAAATTAAAGATTGACAAGTAGTCGAGTAAAAATGTGGTGAGGATAACACACTCTCAAACTGACTTGGTGGTGACTTAAAACTTACACAACAAAGTCCTAGCTTATGATGCATTATCATTGAGAACCTACCAAATCCCATGTCATCGTCTGATTCTTCAGATTCCTCTTTCGTTTCTTCTTTCTTCTCTTCTTTTGATTCTTCATCTTGAGCATCGGCAGCACCTGTTCCTCCAGCAGCTGGGGCACCACCACCCCCACTTCCTGGTGTACCAACACTACACAGCAAATCACCAATGTTACGACCTTCCAATGCCTTGGCAAACATACTAGGCCAGAATGGTTCGACCGTCACACCAGCAGCATCAAGCAATGCTTGAATTTTCTCACCCTTGACAAGAAAATATTGAAATTACGTGGAACTCAAATACTTATTACTTACAAAAACACTTAAATACTTAGAAATACACTTTAACGTAACGTACATGTAAAAAGCCTACAAACAAAGAGAATGAAAATTACTTACTGTGATGGGCACATCATCGTCGTGCAAGATTAAGGCACAGTACACGCAAGCAAGTTCAGACGACATAGTGTAACTTCAAAAAATATTATGAAATAGTTTCCAATTAAAAATTAGTGCAGGTTGCTTTCTTTCCAACAGGATTGAAAAGGATTGTACGCCTTAGCCCCAACGGAGAACACTACACTTTCACAGAGCAAATTAAAAAGGAAAGAAACCACGCGCGACAAAAAGTCAAACACGCGACGCGAGTTTTAAGTTACGGGGATAACGCAACATTAAACAGCAAAAAGCACTTATAACCCAATAGTAAATAAAAAACTATGGTAGATTAGTGGAAAGTTTATAGCAAGAAAATGTCTGAGGATCTCAAAACCTTGCGCATTGCTAAAGATGATGAAGGCATAATCAATAGTTTAAAATCAATCGAGAGGAAACTAGATGACCATATGTTGCGCGATCAATATGTTAACGAAGGACTGGTAGAAATATTGCGCGGTATATTCGCTTACTTTGAAATGTTTTCCTTTGTTATTAAACATTGTTTTTATTTCTCGATAATTCAATATTTACCATTGAAATTATTTATTTGAATAAAAAATATTGATACTAGACTTTTTATTTGGCAGCCATAAGTTCCTATGTGCTGTTACTAATGTCATATAGGGTGACTTGTATTTCCTAACAAGATGCAAGACCTTGGACATGTTGAACTATTTTTTTTCGTCTTTAGATCTGGTAGTACCCAACAATCTTGTCATTTGCTCTAAAGCCCTAAGTCTCATTACAAGAATTGTTGAAAAGAATGAAGAATTTAGTCAAAAACTTGTAAAACCATTTGGTTTTCTTAAACAACTCATCACTTTTTGTTGGCCATTGCAAGAAAGTAGCCATGGTATTGACATCTTTTCGTGTTGCAGTCATTTATCTTAGAATTTCACGATATTTCTTCTATTCAGACGTAAAGAACCATCATGATCACATGACCATTTGTGTTCAAGCTGTTGCTCTTGTAAGAAGATTAGTTTGCAACAACAAATTTCTGGTTTGTGCTGCCAATATTGATCTTGTTCAAAATGTTATCAACTTATGTCGTTTGCATTTTGATGAATCAAACCAATGTTGTTATGGCAACCGAATTTACCCTACAACGGCTACATTGCTTTTACAAAGTCTTGTGCATGGTAAAAATTTGATAGGAAAGGTCTGTGAATTACCATCCAAAATCAGTGAAGACATCCTCGATTCAACATTAGGTCAAGGTTTGTATTTTCTATCAAATGGACAGCTTATTTTTAATGTTGTACTTCAACTAAACATTTTGCCCTTTTTCTTCAAGATGTAATTACTCAATGCGCTAATGGTTGCGTAATGTCAATTGATTTGTATGACACAACTACAGACAAAGACATAATCATCACAAAAGAACTCATAAAGGAAAAAATGGCTTGGCCAAGATTTCTTACACCAGATTATGAAAAAGATGATGGAAAGATAATGGTGAATGGGCAGATGTTACTGTCACAAGTGTTGTTGATGGTGGACATTTTTGGGCCCAAGTTGGTGGAAAAGATATTGAAGAAAAATTGCACTCCATACGTGCTGTACTTGAGAATGAAAATGTGGTAATTTTATCGCACCTTATACCGCGCTGTCAATGAAAAGAATAAAACCGCAAGAACCAAGATATAAACCTAGATAGGGCGATTTTAACAGAACAATTGACTTAAATAAATCCACTAATATTTAGGATTGCAAAAGATTAACAAGTATTCCCATGGTGGGAGAACTGGTCACCTGTCACGAACTGGTCACGTGTCACAGTACGCTTCATGGTTACGTTGATGTTTACAGAGGCAAAGTATTGCAAATAATAACCACGCAAGATGAGACAACGTTGGAAGTATTTGCTGTTGATTATGGTTTTAAAAAGATAGTTTCATTAAACTGCGTATCAGAAATAACCGATCTAGGAAAAAAAGAACTGTTCCAGGTAGTAAGATTAAATATTGACCTGATTATCATTATAAGCACGGTAAACTTATTAAATAAATTATTACCAGTTCAATGTAAAATGGTTTTATTTCACTTAAAGGCACGTTTTTGCTGTCTACATGATGTTCAACCTCCCTATGAAGATGTTGATGTTTTGATAAATTTAACTGGTAAGAAAAGTAATGGAGTTTTCTTGAAACTGATGGTTCTAACTAGAATTAAGTATGGTTATCAAACAAGCTACTGGCGTTACAATTTTAGCTTAATATTACTTATTCAAAACTTAAAGGAACTTTACGAAATCTTGCCAAACAAGCTAATGCCTGTCGTTTGCAAATTATGAACAAAAATGGGATCGAGGTTTTGTTGAAGGTAACAATTATATTTAAACACAACTCAGATTCACGATGACGAACCCATGTTGTGATTTTATTTTTTTTTAGTTTCTCGTTCTTCCTTACAACGAGTTACAACGACAAGTTATAGGGACATTGCTAAATATGAGTTTAAATTTTAAAAGTAGAGAAAGAATCGGATATTTTGGAGGGGTAAAAATTTTGACAGGTAGTAGAAAATATAAATCACGCTCTTTAGCTAATGGAGCTTTAAGAATTTTATTGCTATTTTTAAGCTCATTTTCCTGCATCTTTCGTGTTTTTCATTTTAAAGATTTAATCCGGAATGACTTCAGAAAAGATCCAGCTCTGTTGTATTTGTCAATATGTGCGCTTCGTAATTTAATGTTTAACTCGCCGACGAATCGTGGCCAATGCGCGGACGAGGACGGTCTTTTTGTTTTAACAGATGTTTATATTTCAACCACATGGGATAAAATTCAACAGCAATGTTTGGGTGCTTTAAAAATTCTGATAGGAAATTCTTGGTGAGAGGTTGCATTTCCTATGTTCAAAAAATTCTTCGTGTATTTCAGAAATTTTGATCCAGTTTTACCCTATACATTTTCGCAATCTCTTACTATTTCTTTATGCCGATACTTAACTCGATACTGCAAAGCAAAAAAATATTGATTATTTTGACTTCGACTGCTAAAAATAGTCAAATAAGAATAGATCTCTATTGTGTACTTGTATGTTGTTAATATACAATTATTCCTAAGATATGACATTTTTTCTATCAAGGTATATGTTGATTGGAAACGATGGCATGGATTTGCGTTCTGTTATCGATGTCAATCAAGACGTAAATTCACATCAGTTTTTCCATCACGTCAATATGTTCTATAGTCTTTATTCTTCCTTTCTTATCTAGAAATCATTTTCATTGTCTACTGCCATCACGACTAAATTTCCATCTGTTTATCGTCGGTAGGATTTGAGAAAGATCAAATATACATTTCTGCCAAAAAGACGTCAATACGACGTCTGCGGGTGGGAGGGAGTTAGCAGGCATGACGTGTTTTAGTCCTCGAAATATACGCTCAAAAATACAGAGTATTAGAAAGGTCTGCAGCCATTATGACTGACAGCAAATACAAGTAAAAAGGCTGCAATAAAATATATTCATTAAACCAAAACGTCTGATCATACGCACATTAACGCAAAGATACATGCGTACAAATTATCCGCTATTGGAGCGTAACGTCTTTGGGAGAATGAAGGGGAGATTTGGCGTTTTTTTGCCAGAAACGTATGATTGACTCTTCCCTGTTTTATAACAATTTACCGATGAAAAATTAGGGAAAAGATCATACGAACATTGTTTTATGTATTTATGTAAGTTGCATTTTGATTTCATGGTGGAATATAGATGCTTACTACTGCATACACGATCAATTCTCTACCGATTGCAAAAAATTCGTGAAATTTACACGTATGACCGAGTTGTATTTTTATGAACATTAGAAAAAAACATCTTCGACCTGGCGAAGTGCAGCCGCAACCAATAGAAAAGGCCTTACCTTCACATGTGATTAAGACTCTGTCCAATCAGGAGAGTGATGAGTCGACATCTGATCATTCTGATGGAGAAGAGCCATTGTTTAACATTTCACCATCAAATGATACTCTAAAAAAGGTCTCATAGCTCATGATCATATACATACACTGTCTACCCTTCATTTTTTAACGAAAATTTGTTGAATTAACGTTAGTCTAGTGAAGAAGACGTTCATCGTTATTATATAGAAGGAGAAGCCATTCCTTTTATTGAGGATGATACTCACGAGTTTAGGTAAATTATTGGTGAAGAAAGATATTCTGGTATTTCTCACTTTTAATGAACGCTTGTAGTGCTTTTGAAAACTGATTAGAAACCCTAAGAAGAAATTATCTTCAAATAGAAATTAGAACTCCTGATTTTCTAACATTTTTTTTAATTTGACTGTCCAACTAGTACAATTTAGATTGTATGGTAAGCTTGCCGATGGTTGTAAATAACTAAAACTCCTGCTGAAATTGAATACTAGTTTCAATGGTTATGAATTTTGAAACGCATTAATTAAAGTGTCGGAAAGAACTGAAAATCTTTTTTTATAGATTCTGCAAGGACAAAAATAGATTTCGTCATCTATAGTTGCAAGGTAAAATCATACATTTATAAAATTTGTCACCGATCTTTATAAAATTTTCTCCTATATATTGCAAGGCCTGCATGTGCATTTCTTAACGCTGGTAAAGGAGGTACGATTTACCTTGGTGCAAAGAAAACTGGTGAAGTATGCGGAGTTAGAATGTCACGTAGAGATGTAAGTTAGTTAAGTTGCATTAACGTATTGTTTAAAACTATATAATTGCAGGTAACTCGTATACACTTTGTTCAGATGTATATTGTAATATACTAATGAATTAATACATTAAATCATCACTAAATCTTAATTGTTAAGTAGCAGTAAATTGACGAATATGATCATGGATAAACCCTTAATGGTTTATTATTATTTATTAAACATTTTGTTATTCTGCAGAGAGATCGTTTACGTTGTGGTATTGATGGAATTCTTGGTGAATTTAAACCATCTGTCAGATATGATAAATATAAGGTTTTCATTAAGAATTGACATTTTTTCGTTTTTCTCATGAAGCTACATTTGTGTTGAATTGTCAGTAATTTTCACTTCGAAATTCTTTTTTTCTTTCTAAAGATTGACTTTTTTCCAGTAGTTAGAGAAGTGAAGGACAACAGTTTGTGCGGGTAATGCGCGATGCTATGCATTCTGAACAAATTTTAAAAATTTTAATTATACTTTCAAAAAAAAATCTTAATTTTTTTTTTCATTTCTAGTAAAAGTGCGGAACTGATACCCGATGTTTACATCATTGAAATTTCATTTGCTAAGTCCTTTGGTACAGTCTATACAACCAACAGAAACAAGTAATAGCGCAAATCAACTATTTGAATATTTTTGAAGTTGGAATCTTCGTTTAATTCATATAGATAATGTTAGTTATTATTATATAAAGTTAAATTAAGGTAAAATTTACGCAACCATGAAAGACATAAATCCAAGTGTACTTGACTTGTTTGGTCATATCGATGTAATTATTATTATGTTGCTTGTGCATCCGAAACAAAATCATTTCCCGTTCATAGTTTTATCTTTTATATTGTTTTTAAGGATACTTTTTTAATATTACTTTTACTTCATACAGGTGTATTTTTCGCTGTGGAGATTCTAATTGTGAGGTATCCTAGATTTCAAAAAGATGGATTTATTAAAAACGTACCTTAATAACTACAGCCATGTGGCACTTTATTCTTCCAGTATTCCATTCAAGATTTAAGAAAATTGGTCATACGACAACAAGAGACATTCTATAATGACCAGATTAAAATGTTAGTAAAACTGCTGTGAATGGTGTGAAAATGATTTTTTAACTCATATTTGATGAAGCTTTATGAAAGCTAAAATATTAAAAAATAATATATTTTTCTTTAGACTTAAACGTGAACTATCTTCAATAAGACAGTTAAACGGTATACATAGATATTTATATTCATTACACGTGTATGTAAACAGCCTAAAGTAAATTTATCTGAATGTTTCTTTATGTGACCACACGTCTAGCAAGAACGTTTGAGTTATTCAAAAATAGTTTGGAGATAAAAATGAATAGATAAGTTTTGTTCGTTCATGGAGAAGTCAGTAGAAGGTTTTTGACTTCATATTTTGCTGGATCTCATAGAAGACTTATGGTAGCGATCTCGTACGAATAAAATTAATGTAATCAGTTAAGTTTCCTTTTGTTATTAATACTTAAGAAATAAATGATCTTTAGGAACACTTTAAATTTGACAGATTTATCCACATAAATATAGTTAATTAATTCATCCTGTAGTAGAACGCTAGATAAATATACTATGATAATATGACTATGATTTGTAGAGCTTTCCTGCGTGACACAATCGTCACTGCTTTCAACAGTCATCTCAAATGGTTTTTTTTCATTATTGTTTAGATAGATAAATAAAGCTCTTGAGGAAGCTTGCAAATGGAAATATACGTCATTCGTTGGCAGGTGCATTTAAAGTTGAGATCACTTTGTCGAAGACTTAGTTTCCATAGAAATTTGAAAACATTTTTTTTGTTGTGTTCTTGTACATATGGTGTAGGCCAGTTGTTATGAAAAGATGGCGTCCATTTTTTTTTTCTTTGAACTAAATATGGAAAATGTGGTTGAGGAACTTTTCAAAATTCTTAGGAATTTCAGAATTTGGACGATAGCACTGTACTCATGTTTGTTGTAAACATCTCGTAAAGAATAAACTATTTTAAATAAAGCTTCCGTTTTTGGTAATATTTTTTTAAGAACTTTGTTTGCTCGTCAAGCGTTTCAGCATCATCACATCGCATCAATTATGTTTTGGTTGCCATAACAACAAATAACTTATTATCCTTCAATTGTCCTGAATTGTTCAAATTGTTATTTTTGCTTTTCTCCAACATGTTTTTGCGTGAGATGAACTACGAGAGGAACGAGGGACGTCTTATTCGTTGATGCCACAACTTTTCGTCAAGTATTAAAGTGCTTGATAGTAGTATAGCTGGCTTGTTTTATATCGTGCGCGTATTATTTGTGATTTGAAAGTCAAATTTTCTGTATGTTCTAATAAATTTTAATTCGCGTTTAACCAGTAATATTGAGAGTAGCGTTGTCTCATTTGCCTAGCGAGCAGCTGTGAAATTCACTTTTGAACAAAATATTTATCTCGTTGATGAAGAACTATGTACAACTGCCGTTGGGACAAGAAATTAGGTTGGAAACGAGGCAGTACATACAACAGTATTTGTGATATTCGTTTGCGAAAGAAAAGCTGTGCGTTCTGCACTTCGTTCGAAGCGGAACATTTCTCTGAAATTTACGTGAAAGTCCTTGTTTTTTTACCCCGGCGAAAGATATAAGGGGTTATACATTTTGTCGTCAAAAAATACATTTGCTCGGAGCTGTAACAAGGTAAATGTTGATATGTGAAAGAAAATGATTTCTTAGTACTACCTTCAGTATTGAACAACAAAGTTTGAAAATTTTATTATCATGCGTGTTGAGTCACCACCGAACAAAATTGAGCCGATAGAAGAAGACTTTCAGAAGGTGTTCGGTTCCATCGAGGATCAAGGTAAAAAGAAAACGAAGACGATGAATTCTCTCATTTGGATAGTAACGTTGCCCAGCCACGTCTTTCCCTTCCTTGTTTTCCGGAATCGCTACGGCTTACGTTTACATCGACAAAATTGGAGAAAATTTATCAAAGAAGCAACAAACGTGAAAGATTAAAAAGTAACCTGTTCTGTGCATTATCAGCAATTGTAGCAAACATTACTTTGATAGTCATTCATTCGCTCATGGGCTTTAAACAACACAAAAGCGTGATAATTCTCAACGGTGTTTTCCTTGGTATTTTTGCGGGTTTGTTTTTGATCTGTCTGCGACAGTGCTCCCCAGGTCATAACGTATCAATCCTTGTATGGGTTATGGCTGCTGTAGAAACATTACTACAGTTAGGCTTGGGAGAATATCCGCTTGTGCCGAGCGACCTGGTTGGAGTTGTAACATTCTTAGCATTTTTAGCTTTCATACTGCTACCTGTACGCTTACGATTCTGCATATTTTGGGTGACCATCTTAGGCATTGTGCATTCATTGATTGTGGGTTTGTCCGCAGATAAATTACAATCCTACTCCGTTAATCAGGTAGGTTGATTTGCTTTCTTTATTTAAAGAAAGATTTTTAAAGCGTGCAAAATGAGCAATATGTTAGCTATTCACAATAAGCAGCTGAAGACGAGAAGTCTTTGCACTGTCTAAAATACAAACTGAACTTTGTCATGGCTAACAATAGGTAACCACAAATGAACTTAGTTGACGAGAAAACATGTAAAAGTACAATCTCTTACAACATTATCAGTTCGATCAATACATGCATCGTGATTAATCTGGAACATTAATCTCTATTATTCTAAGACTACGAAGATTCATTAATTCTCATTTTAAAGAATGCCACTTAATACCTGCATGTCTTATGCGTTTTATCTGAAAATGCGGGTTGTAGAGTGCGTTGCGAATTAGGGCACACGTGAATCAACATGCAGCTTTGCGATTAATTTATATAAGAACGATGCTATCGTCAAATTGAGAACGAATCCCAATACAGGTGGAGTTTGGACGTCTAAGGCTAAAGATGCAATATTTGAATTATAAGAGTCGCAATGATGTAAATCATGTAATGAGAAACAACATCAAAATTAAAATATATCAGTTGGAAATATTTTCGAAAATTTTATAAGTACGAGTTTCATTGCAAGGAAAGTTCTTCAACCTTTCTTGATGCACAAAGCAATTTCGCTCGTATAAATAGCTTTTACCCTTGACATTATAATTGTGAATTAAAATGCAGCTGCTTTTGAACCCTTTCAGAAAGAAAGAGTAGATGGGTCTTTCACAAGAGAAGCTATATTTAAGCAAACACGCACGGAATTTTTTTTAAGTCGCGCCAAAATTTGGGCAAATTAATATTTTATAACAGGATCTTTCAACAAGATACGTTTTGCATGTAAAGCAGCTAAAGGTTTTTGTATTTATAACACTTTGTATTCTTGATTACATAACCTTCAGTATTCCAATCAATTGAAGACATTTCAAGTGTCTTTTGAAGTAAAGCGCTCAGCCTAGCTTTGTTATCCTTGTAGCCAAAATAGACGACGTGAAAACCGAAAGAAACAAGCATGCTTGTCGCGCAAGGCACTCATAATATATGTCATTGTATTGGCTGTTAACGCAAGAAAAAATAAATTGAATGCACATGGCTTTTATTTCGCACAATCAGTTGTAAAGTTGAAAATGATGAAACGCAAATTAAAAATTTTACATTAACGTTTTCAAACAATATTTGTTGACAACAAGCATGCGAGCAGTTGCAAACGCCTTCGATACGTTATAACTTCACTAACCTTTTCTTTTTATTTTAAGATCGCAGCGAATATTTTGTTGTTCCTTTGTGCGTCCTTAATGGGTGTAATTGATTTCCTTCTGGCGGACAGACGACAACGTCAGGCATTTAGTGAAACTTTAAAGTCCCTAAAAGTGAAAACAAAATTGGAATTCCAACATAAAAAACAGGTATTTATTGAAATGTGCGTCTTTTCCACACTTATCCTTTTCTCCAATCGGGTACATCAAGGGTACTTTGAGGGTACATTAGGATATCTTGGATGGTGTGTATTAGAGAAGGAACGAGTTTTAACAACGCAAGATGATATGTTGTGGAAGTTTGTTAGTGTTGCAAGATGATTTGTTGTGGAAGTTTGTTAGTGTTGCAAGATGATTTGTTGTGGAAGTTGGTTAGTGTTGCAAGATGATTTGTTGTGGAAGTTTGTTTGTGTTGCAAGATGATTTGTTGTGGAAGTTGGTTAGTGTTGCAAGATGATTTGTTGTGGAAGTTGGTTAGTGTTGCAAGATGATTTGTTGTGGAAGTTTGTTAGTGTTGCAAAATGATTTGTTGTGGAAATTGGTAGTGTTGCAAGATGATTTGTTGTGGAAATTGGTTAGTGTTGCAAGATGATTTGTTGTGGAAGTTTGTTAGTGTTGCAAGATGATTTGTTGTGGAAGTTTGTTAGTGTTGCAAGATGATATGTTGTGGAAGTTTGTTAGTGTTGCAAGATGATTTGTTGTGGAAGTTTGTTAGTGTTGCAAGATGATATGTTGTGGAAGTTTGTTAGTGTTGCAAGATGATTTGTTGTGGAAGTTTGTTAGTGTTGCAAGATGATATGTTGTGGAAGTTTGTTAGTGTTGCAAGATGATTTGTTGTGGAAGTTTGTTAGTGTTGCAAGATGATTTGTTGTGGAAGTTTGTTAGTGTTGCAAGATGATTTGTTGTGGAAGTTTGTTAGTGTTGCAAGATGATTTGTTGTGGAGGTTTGTTAGTGTTGCAAGATGATATGTTATGGAAGTTGGTTAGTGTTGCAAGATGATTTGATGTGCAAGATGATTTACAATCAGATGTTTAAAAACTAAAAACAAGACAACTTTTCACCATATGACATTTATAAAAGAAAAATTTAAAGATTTTGAAATTTCCTTCAGCAAATATTTCATCGTTTAGTAATGATGGGATGCTTATTTAAAGTTATCAAATATGTTTTGGCATATTTAAACAACTTTAATCGGCTGGTAGTTCTATTCATCATAGGTTCGAAACAACCATTTCTCATTTCAATATAGAAACGGTTGTTGTTGTCAGTGCTTCCCAGTCATGTTTCCAAGAATATCGAAGATGACCTCCAGTCTGATGGACGCATAATAAAAGACGGAAATTTTAATAAAATTTACATCGAGAGAGTGGAATGTTGCAGGTAGAGAAACTAATCTAACATAAAAAAACATCAGTGAATATTTTTTGAAACTTACTTTGATTATATAATTTTTTATCACACAAATTCAGGTATTTCCACACTTTCCATTTCATCTAATATATTTTCCATTTGCAGCATACTTTATGCTGACATCGTTGGTTTCACCGAGCTGTCGTCAACGTGTTCAGCAGAGGAATTAATTGTCACCTTAAATAAACTTTTTGCCGTATTTGACAAACTTGCTTCCGTAAGTGTATCTAAAGTGGAAATACGCATAAAATTAGGGCAGACAAAAAGAAAAGAAAGTTCTTGCAATGTGACAGTGTTACTGCTTATAGTGAAACATTGTTCATTCATCATTACCTACACTGACACACGTTATTTTAGTTTATATTTTAGATAGTGTAAAGACTGTTCTCGTTCTCTTTTGTTCATTCATCACTACCTACACTGACATACGTTATTTTAGTTTATATTTTAGATAGTGCAAAGACTGTTCTTGTTCTCTTTTGTTCATTCATCACTACCTACACTGACATACGTTATCTTAGATTAATTTATGGATGATGAAAAAGATTGTTCTTGTTTTTCCTTGTTTATTGACTGCTACTGACCACAGACAAACGTTATTATGAATGAATTTCAGTTGTCTAATAATTATTTTTATATTTTCCCCAAATTATTCCGTGAAGAAGCACAATTGTCAACGGATCAAAATTTTGGGTGACTGCTATTACTGTATCGCTGGATTAGATGCGAGTGAAAAGAAAAAAAGTTTTGATGACCATGCTGTTTCTGCTGTCAATATGGGTCTAGGCATGGTCAACCATATTACGTAAGAATACACGAATCGGTGATGTTTTAGCAAAATTTACATTGTCAAATTTTAAAAGTAATTTTCTCAAAGACCTTCAAAAATAACGTTAGTTAGATGAAGTTAGAGCAGGAAAAAAATTTTTCGTGAAATACTTTAAAAGTTTTCACACATAAGGCCTAACATTAGCCTAACATGATTCACACTGAGAACCATTTTGCACTATTTCAGTAAGGTGCGTCAGCAAACAGGAGTAAGCAGTTTGGACATGCGCGTAGGCATCCACACTGGAGCTGTGTTAGCGGGAGTACTGGGTCAGAAAAAGTGGCAATTTGACGCATGGTCTAATGACGCAACCCTCGCAAACAAAATGGAATCTGGTGGAATTCCTGGGTCAGTAGTAACAATGAAAATGATTCGAGACATGCGCTTTCAACTTTTATTTATACAACTCCATTTAGACGAGTTCACATCTCCGAAAAAACGTACGAGAGAGTCCAAGGTCTTTATGAAGTCGAAGATGGGAATGGACATTTACGCAATGAATACATTAAGGAGTCTGGAATTAAAACCTATCTTATCGTCGGAAAAATAAAGTCAAAAGCTAAGGTTCCGTCACTTTAAAATTTACTTCAACTTTCTATTTCAGGATAGACTATTTATCAGTGTTGATAAATTATATCATTTCCTCATAGCGTTATGGTTGCATTTCAGGAAAAGTGGGAAACTGTTCCATTACTTGTAATGCCAGAGTGTGATATAAAGAGAAGAACATCTTCACCAATCGTTAGCTTCATTGGATCTACAGCTCGGAAGGCACTTAAAACAAAGGAAGCAAATGGTACAGTTGTAAATAATCATCAAGCACCAAAACAAGTGGAAATCTCACTGCCTGAAAAAACGGTAAGTCGTCATTCTGAAAACGCATCGTCTGGAGTCTTTTGCTGAATGCAAGAAGTGCTAAGTGTTTAAGCCATTAAATCCACTCTAGCTAAACATTGATGTCTTTTGTCAAGAAGAGATATAATATATCTCATTTATAAGAATTTGTTCGACTCAATCCAAATTCACACGTTAATAACGAAAACATTGGAAGACTAATTTTATCTCCCAACAATAAGTAATCCGATTATTTATGAATTGAATTTGATATTTAATATATTACGTCATTTCATCCTTAATAGGAAGACAGTCTTGAAAAGAGCGAGGTTAACGACAACATGAGCGAGTATGTTTTATTTCAACATTGATTTATCGTCGTTTCTTGGAACAATTATTTTTTGCCAGAGTCTGGGAGAGATTTAGTAAAAAATTTTTGTTTCAGAAATGAAGAACATTTAATGCATAGTCTTGCATTAGTCCTGGAAGAGAGTGAACAAAGGTATAATGACTCGTCGTGTCGTAAGGTTTCTATTACCCACAATCTAGTATGATACATTCAACCGCTCAACTCAAAATGACTCTTATATCGAAAGATTTCAAATAATTGTATAACATATAAATATGGGATGCATATAGGCTTTGCATTTTGACTTTCTCAAATATTTTTTACGATAATTTATGCATACAAGACTTGTGACTTTATAAGACACGCGTCTTCAAAGTGCTAAGTAAAAATAATCTTGTGGTTTGTATAGGACTTCAGACAAAGTTAATCCGATAACATTGAAATTTTTCGATCCCATCAACGAAGAAAAGGTAAATATCAAAATATACTTAAAATGACTAAAATGAAATGGTTACAAAGAGAGATGAATGTGAAGGAATAAACACCAATAGCGGTGGTTGGGAAAGGTCGGAACAGTATTCGTTAAAACGAGTCTCCTTTTTGGCCACTTTTTTCTAACATATTTTCGTCTTTTTTCAATAATTCTTTCAAATATTTATCGTTCCAACATATTATAAAACATTAAAATAAACATCGACTGATGTTGGTCATGATGCATGAGTTGCAAATATTTTTCTTTTTTAGTATTCATCTCAAACTAAAGGTGGCTGTGCCGTCTCATTCGCTTCACTTTCTCTTGTTTTATTTTTCTCGTTTCTTGTGGAAGTTTCTGTTATTCCTGGGTACGAAAATTTTTCTGTTCATCATTTCTATCGTAGAACATCCGCTTTTCTTAATTTTTATCACGAACTTCATCAATTTGACATAAAATCTTACGAATACAAAAGAATTTTTCAAGTCAATTAATTCCATTTAATAATACACCTTTTAGGTCAATCCAGCAATACTCCATGTTTCCAGTTATATTTTTCATCTTTCTCTCTTTCATTTGTGTTACGTTAGCTTACAGATTTGAAAAGGTATAAAAAGATAAACTTACATTTACCATCATAAGCAAATTCTAATAATGTGACATTTCCACGTAAATATAATTCATCAATTGTCATTTTTAGTACCTTCCCCATGTGTTGGTGGATATGTCGAATTATCTTGAGAAAAAGAAGCTAGCGAGGACGAGTTTAGGCGTTATTGCTGTTTTGCTATTGATTCTTTATACATCTGTTTTGATGGTAAGCAAGATTGAGGGTACATATAGGGAAACTGGGGATAGGTCTTTTCAGCTCAATTGGATAAAAATCAAACGAGATTTTAAATCCTCAGTTTGTAAAGATCATTTTTAACGTTTTATAATTTAAAAGTCTCAAATGCTAAAAAAAGGAGATTGCATTAATACAAATGCATTTCATTTCAGACGGGTTGTAACAAAAACATGTTTCATGTAAAAAACAAGATCCCAAAGACAAAGCTTGTTTATATCCAATGGTAAGAGAGCATGAAATAACCTTCACCTTATTTGATTGATCATTCTTTAAATTCTTTATTTTGTTTTACTATAATTTTATTTGTCCACTTCGCTATACTTGCTCCTTTTTGGCATGAGTTGAAATTCCAAGAATAAATTAGGAGTATTTGGTTTGCATAGATTCGAACGGTGTGCTTTAAAACTTTATACACAAACAACATCAAGCATGCATTGAGGAAAAAAGCAATAATCGTTGTTTGTTGTGGAATTGGTTAATTTGATATAAGATTTTCCATCTTTCACGTCAACAGAGGCTCCGGCAAGGGGGGGGGGGAGGGGCAATTGCCCCATATTTCTCATACTCTATGTTGCTTGAAAATGTCAGTCAGACGATGTAAGTTCAATGATTATATGCAGTCGAACTAATTCTATTCCATTTCTTTTTTAGTATTTTAGTTATATTACGATTCTTGTTCAACTTGGCACCTGCGTCATCACTCAATTAAGTTTCTTTTTCAAATTTGGTTTGATGTTATTAACGACTGTCCTACACTGGATTTTGACGAATATTGCTGTGGATGGCATTTATGACAACTTTGATGAACGTGTTTAGTAAGAACTATTTGTTTGTCAACATAAACGTACTACAGTAAAAAACCACAAAGATCAATCTCTTAACTTACATTAGATAACAGTTCTGTATCATTTTAATGCGATCACTGTATACACCGAGTAAAGAGCATATTTTCTGGATAACTGAACTTTAATTATTCCATACAAGGCTGTAGTGGTTCATATCTTTTGTTTTTGCAGTTCTATTAAAAACTATCAACTTCCATTGGTCGGAGAAAACACAAAAAAACTGTATGTATGAAGGAATATGTTCTGACATTTTTTTTCTAAAACTTTTGCAGTGGAAATGAATGCTCAGATGATTGTGTTGGCAGCAAATACACTGGACCAATTATTCTCACATTTAGTTTAATAATCTTGACCATGCATTGTCGACAAGTACGTAAAAATGAAAAATAATGTTCTCGCTTGTCTTAGTTCTTCCTTATCATACACAGTTGTTGCTTTTATAATGTTGATTTATCGTTTAGACGTCAAAAACTGCAAAGACATTATTTGTATGGAAATTAGAGGTAGTGACTGCGAAAATAGTATATTTTTAAAATTTACCACATACAATGGTACGAAATTTCTTTTTGAAATAGTGAATTGCAATTAACAATAAAATTAGAAATCCCTCTACGTACCAGATAAAATGCGTTGTTCTGTGTATTTATATACCAAGACGAAATCTGCAATGCAGGCCAGATTCTTTCATCCATTTATCTCTGTTATTCTAGGCCGAAGAAAGCAAGCAAAAAATTAATAACATCAAACAAAGAAATTTAATGCTGATTAATAACATATTACCAAGTTATGTTGCTACACATTTTATGCAAAACCAGGACAAAGATGAAACAGTAAGAAATTATATAGAAACCAAAAATATAATTTCCACTAGATAACTCTGTCAGTTGCTTTTTCATACATTGGTAACATTGGCTCAACAAAAGTTACATCAGAGAAAAGCACATGTTATGTTCACCAGTTAGTTTTAACAATTCATTTCTTCTTCAAGATATCCATTACAGACAATTTCTATTGTCCAGCTTAGAGTTTCATGCTCCATGCATTAAATCTTCAGAAGATCATCTCGTATAAATTCTGCATGTTTCCAAATGCTTTTCTCGGAGTTTAATTGTTTAATGTGACGATGGGTAGTTTCGACATGGTCAAACGATGATCAGCTTAGATATCAAAAGCATGAATCTTAATCTCGAGCCAAGGAACAGAACTAGTGCTCAGATCACCCCTGTGTCAAAGCAGCCAATACCTAAGTTGATAAGTAGTTTAGAGTAGGTACTGAAGAACCCAAACAAGCTCATAAGATGTACATTGGTATGACATCCAACACCTTTTAAACGCAAATATTTATCAGAAACTGAGCCCTCGAAGTACATCTGGGAAGCAAAGAAGAAATGCCACAAAATCGAATGATTAATCATCAAACAAGCTCAAGTTCCCTCGAATCAACCAGGAAGAGTGCCACAAAATTTTTTGAGTAAACTACTAAAACTCAAGAAAAAACAGATGCAAACATACAAAATTTGAGATGACCGCATGAAGATCGCATTGAGCGTGAAACTCTGAGTTGGGATTCAAACTATTAAGAATTTCAGTACTTAACTATTTCCATACACTAGAAAAATCCATTTCATTATTTTCAGGAATTATACAGTCATTCTTATGAAAACGTCAGCGTAATGTTTGCATCGATACCAAATTTTGACGACTTTTACTCAGAAGACAGTATCAACAACAGCGGTGTTGAATGTATGAGATTTCTCAATGAAGTCATTTCGGATTTCGACGCAGTACGTTTAGCGAGCAGAATGATGATTTATTGAAAGACACATTAATGTTTATTTCAATTACAGTTCTTATAACTACCATCTTTTAGGTATTAGATAAACCGGAATTTGCTGATGTTGAAAAGATCAAGACGATATGTAGTACCTACATGGCTGCATCTGGTCTTGCCTCTGGACTTGTAAAGGAAAAACAGGTATTACACATGTCACAGACAAGTTTTTTGAGCGCATAGCCACGTATCTAAATTATAATTTTCCAAAAAATCTTTCGAAACATCTGGGAAATGTCGTTACCATCGTTACAATGTTTTCCAGAATGTTTTCACATGATAGTTGTTTGTCTAAATCCACTAGGTGTTTAGAATTTACCATTTTAGTCAGTTTATCCTGTTTTATTATATTTTTTAAGATATTAATCACATGTAGAGTTTATTATTCTAAATTGATTTTGTTAATTATCACTAACATAAAAATTATCACATAAAATTCAGCTAAAATTGTCAGGAATAAATAACGTCAAACTGTCAAAATTATTTATTGTCGCTTTTTTCTTCGCCTCAATTTGTTCTCGTTCACTAGAACAAAGTTCACGAAACATTAAAACCTCTTACTGACCTTGTGGACTTTGCATTAACACTGAAAGACCGCTTAGGCGACATAAACAGTGAGTCGTTCAATGAGTTCGTTCTTCGAGTTGGTAAGTAACTTATTCTTACAGAGTTAAAAAAAATAAACAAAAATAAGATTTTAAGGAATGAAGTTGCTATTTCCTACATCAGGTCTTCACTGGGGACCAGTGGTTGGTGGCGTTATTGGTGCAAAGAAGCCTCATTATGACATTTGGGGTAATACTGTCAACGTCGCCAGTCGTATGGATAGTACTGGAAAGGGCGGTTGCATACAGGTATGTTGGAAAAAATTTATGGACATGACTAACCGTGTGAAACTCATTTATAAACAGGGAACTTTTGTTGATTTATAATCGTTATTGCAATACCCTAGACTTAACGTAATTCATACAGTGTAGTTGGATTGCTTCAGGAAAATCAATCAGAACTAACTTCATTTTATTAAGGACAGCTTCGTATTTTCTTAACTATTCTTCTTATAACTACTATAGATTGTAGAGAAGACTTACGAAATACTCAAGGACAAAGGATATCTATTTGTATATAGAGGACTCGTGAAAGTAAAAGGCAAAGGAACTTTGACAACGTATTACCTGACAGGAAAAGAGAAAGAAAACGGTTCAGAAAATCAACAAAATTCGAACGATACGGCGTTATGAAGGCCATAGTTAACTAATCCAAAAAAAACATGTCTTTACTGCTGGTCCAGAGACGTTAAATTTCACTATCATAATGTGCCATTTATTGTCAAAAAATAGACATTACAGACAAGCTGCTCAAGAATGAGAAGCTTTATTTATGTTTCATAGAGTTTTTGAAACTAATTAATAGTAAAACAAACGTAGGATTAACTAAACCAATGACTTTTCTGCTACTTTTTGAAAAACATACCAGTAAAAAGTATGTAAATAGCACATCTACTGTTGAGCATTGTCAGTACAAAGAAACAATCATTTCAAAGTTGTTATGATGGTAGTAATTAAATCCCAAATTAAAATGGCTCGACTTTGAATTTACAAGATTCGAGAATACGAGCAACGATCACCTGACCCACGATACAGACATTGATTGGTAAATGAAATACTTTTGCCACATGATGTAAACATCATTAATAAAAAACATCCTTAAACACTAAGACTTTCTTCTTTCCGCATTTAATGACTGGAATAATTGTATACACGTTATTCTACACAATTAAGAAAGTACTGGCTTTGAATATATTTAAAATTACAATATTCTAGTTTTAATCATACAATAAATAAGTTTAACCAAAGATAATCCAAAAGATTTGTTCTGGATTAAAATAACTATATGTTTAACGATTATTTTATGTTGTCAAAATGTAAGCATAAAAATTTTGACTCAAATCATAAACTTGAATTATTATAAATTTTCAACTTTGAATTCCCTTTCTAAAGTGGGCATTTTCTTGTCAAATGATGAAATCTTTCAGGTTATTCAACAACAATTAACTCGTATTTTCTAAATAGCTTTTGGATTATTCGGTTACAGAGCAAAATATTTATATTTTAGCGAGGAACCAAGTTCCAAGTTTAATTTTTGTTATCTATTCATCTGTTGTTTTATCTCTGCTAAATATGATAATATTAATCATGGCTGTCTTTCTCTACGGTAATAAATTAAATTTTAACGCACAGCATGCATATGCTGTACAATTTACTTTCGAAAAGCATAAATTACGAGATCTGTAAACGGGAAGATGATAAATTTGAACCTCCATATTTCATGCAACAAAGCATTTGAAAACGTAAATCCTCACAATTATTTCTTATCCACGAAAATCATACAAAGTCCCCTTCATCAGCAATCATCTCAATGCGAGGTCTACTAACCCTTGGTTGTGCACGTGGTGCATGCGTGATGCCTAACTGACTGAGAGACGAGTGTTTATGCATGTTGGGTGATCGCTGAAGATGTTGCGTAGGTAGACTATGTATTGAGCTGGATGATGTTTGACGTGTGAACCCATCAATGGGGGACACCATGGGACTCGTCGGTGGCGTGAAGATAGGTGGTTCACACATGGAAGCGGTAGAAAATAGTTTATACCATCCCAAAGTCATTGTAGTGAGATTGAGATCGGAGAGAAGGATCTGAACTACTCCCATAAATACCTTGCGATCCATACGACCATAATCACCCCAAACAATTACCTTCGTATGAAAAACACGAAGCATACTGTCAACAATAACCTCCAATTTACGAAATCAAGTTATCAAATATTGCAAATTCCATCTTTGCTTTACTTCCATTCAACATATTTGAATTCCTTACACAAGTCGATTTTAACATAAAAAATTATTGACAAAAAAATACCCTGAATAAAACATGTCGGAATATAGTATCCTAAGACAATGGACATATCCTTACAATAAAACGACTAACATCTGCTTAACTAAATGAAGTATTCCCGAACAAAACATAACCAGAAACACCCCCCCTCCCTCCCCTAGTTAAGATGTCTGGATAATGTATTCCAGGAGAAATAAGAATGAAACACAATGACATACTAAAATGGCGCACCTGTAATGTCTTGTTAGTTACGTTGCATCGAAAATCCAATTGTTGTTGATAATGAGGTTCCAAAGTTCTTCGTGTTGGACGTGTTTTTTTCTTTGCAAGACACTTTCCATTTTCCATAAGGTAAACTTTTACATACGGAGCTTTAAAGCAAAGAGAAAACGATTGTTTAGTAAACAACTTCAGTAAAAAAAATCATCTTAATTACCCTTAACATTTTCAAGTTTCTTATTCAGAGAAAAAAGTTTGGACAATTTATACAACTAAGCATTTTCTCATAAAAGTTTTGATCATAATAGTAATCAATACCATTTATTAATATATTAACTAAAGTGTTGTTCTATCGTGTCTTTTTTTATATTTTCCAAGCGAATGAACAATTTTTATGAATCAAATGAGTTCAAACAATTTCCACTATGATTTTCCCTATTATAAACATGAAACAAGACATTTTACAGTAGAATCTTACCTGGTAATATCTTAGATCCAGGTTTCGGAAGAAGACCCCGCGCACGAATAACCTCAACTTCTAACACTCCCTTACGATCGTAAAAACTTAGCTGAATATCACCCATGCGAGGTGACGCTATAACAAAACAAAAAATAACATCAAACGTTTGAATTTTAAAATATATTTCAAAGAATCTAACATGTATATACCCAGTACTTGACGTCCGACAATTTGAGCAGGTCCAAGTCCATCAATAAAATCTTGCATTTGCTGGTCAGCCACTTGTTTTCGTGCTTGCTTTACGGATTGACTGGAAGATACACAGAAAAAAAACATTACTAAAAACGAGATCTCATTGTTCAGGTAGCCATTTTATATAACAATAAAAACAAATCTCAATCTCTGTTGACAAAACACGCAGCTATCAAAAATGAGGCTGTATATATAAAATCACCTGCTTTCTGTGCTCGTAATGGACCCCGTGATACTACCTACACTTCCAGTAGGACTGCGATCACTGGCAACAGATGATGATCGACTTGAGTTTTGACCATTAGGAAAAGAATTTGATAAGTGATCGTAGGGTACACAGGTGGAACCATTAGTACGTGGTGGGTTATTTACAGAGGAAGAATGGAGACGGCTATTGGCAACCGTGGTGTCGCTATGTCGGGGATCTGAATCTGAGAAAAATTTTGATAATGCTAAGCCTAAAACTCTAGGTAAGGAAAGTTGGCTTAGTTGGTATTGATGTAAAATATTTTCCTGTGTATCAATTGGACAAAACCTAACAGTCAAACTAAAGTTACATATTTAGATGAATAAACATAACCATTAATAATGAATAAAGTAATTGCTCAGCACAAATAAAATTTAAATAGCTTCCATTCCTTTCAAAGTCACACTTAATCAATTAAAGAATTGATTTTCTGAATGTAATAAAGGTTCATATAGAGCTATAGAACATAAGAAAAATAAGGGGAGAAACGATTATAGATCCGAGCATAGTGAATTGCTTTTTGACTCGTGATGTGAATCAAGAATTAAATATTTCATAGATAAATTTCATTTCTCCATTAACTCCCATTTAATTTTGATTCATGTATCATGAGGTGAACATTCATTGACTTTGTGGCAAATAAACACATTTTATTAAAGCCTATCACAAGATATGTCCACGGTTTTAGTAAGCATTTTTCTTTTTGTCCAGAGTGGGTATTGGCTTCTTGCTTTTAAGCATGGTAAAGACGCACCAAGCGGATAACGGTCATTGACATCACAAAGAAGACAGACAACATGCCAATAATATAAGACAAATGAATACTTGCACAATCCACTCGATCAACTAACGAGTTCATACCAGTCAATCATCTTGCACTGCTCTAGGAGTGACTAACATGCTCGGTTACAAAATAGTAGAAACACCATGGATACAACCATCTGACTTTAGAAAAAAATTATTTTGGAGTTAATTGCTAGCTCAGTCACAAATTTTCAGACAAATCATCTGCGCATGCGCAATCTGCTAAAGAATGCACAGTCGACTTGACCAGCTGCACAAGTTCATGGTCATGGCAACGACCAACTGCATCTACTAGCATCGATTTTGAAGTAAATAGCATGCTTGATAACAATTTAATAGAGAAATCATCTGCGCATGCGCACGAGCATGCACAATCCACTCGACTAATTGTTCATAGTCATGGCAACGACTAACTATATTTACTTGCACTACTTTCGTGGCAATTAGCTCAAAGAAATAATCTGAGCATGCGCAGTAGTGACTTGAATAATACCACAACTTTCGTAAGCCTTTGAATTTGTGTATATATATATAAAGCTAAAACTTCATATTGTAGATGTCAACTAGCAGTGGAAGCTGGGTGCGATATGTATGCAGTGGCTTAGGGGTCCAGACGTTTCGGGTCGCGACCGCACTCTCCCTGCGTACCCCGAGCAAAGCCTATTGCAGGTGATCTCGGGGTCTGATGAGCGGAAGCTTGCTTTGGCATCTCCCAAGTAGGATAGCGTGGAGGGGCCGAAATCTCCTACCGAAACGTTAACATGCGGCGTTCTAGTGCCTTAAGATTAACAAGGTATCGGGAAGCATGGCCCGAAAACGGGGTTTTTTGCTTTCATATTTTATCTTTTTAAAATAAAATAAACCAAGCAATGCTTCAATTAAATTCTTATGAAACTCTGTGCCTTTTTATGACACATGTAATTTAAGACAACCTTAAATTATACAATTTTTATTGGTTTATATCTTTCTGATTTAACTCTCTCGTTTACTGTTACTTATAACATGAGCATACTATCTATAGGCTTTATCTAAAATGAGGATTATCAGCTTTCCTTGCCTCATATAGTGTTGGAAAAAGTTCTAACTCTTATAATCAGCAGTCATTCAAGGATAGAGCAAAGTTTTTCAGAGATTAAAAAAAGCTAACAGAATTACACGACAAAACAAGAAGTTGACTAGTTCATTTTCGTACCGAATATTTTAGAGTTAAGGCTCAGCTACAGATAACATAACTATACGCTAGTGTTTTGTTGTCGGGGTGTTGATACAAAATCGGGACAATATCAGAGACGTTTCTCAATGAATACGCATGTGCAATGTCCATTTGATGTGATGTAACAGCACTACGAATAATAACAATTACAGTTTGTTTGAACTTTGAACATAGATTGTTTGAAAGCATTGCTGGACCATGTTTTGATGTTTTCCTTTTTTATTGAAGCATTATTTAAACGATGTACTTTTTTAGTTGTTAGCTAAGAACAAGCAGAAGAGAGCGACGACGATTTTTTATACAAAGACATCTCAGAAATCCTAGGGTTTCCATCAAATCTTTGCAATAAAAATCTAACAATAAAAATATTTTTACCTGAAAACCAATTTTCACTGGAGGGTCGAAGTTCATGTGTGAGACCAGGAAGGGTTCGAGGTTTTTTCGTACCTGGTAAAGGAAAGTCTGAATTAAAGGTTCCAAGAGGGGAACGTCTCTCTATGTTTTTGACATCTTGAGGCGGTACTATGCGCTCAATTCTTGGACTGTATCCTAAAAATGGACAAATTATAGTCAACGAAGGAACACTGTGTTATGAACAATGAAGCGCTTAAACTTTCCAGATGAAAAATTTACAAATCAAAATGTAATTTCGTAATAAAAATTACTATGTAGTTTTTATTCTTTCAATAGCTATCCTTGGTTGCATACACGACATCAGAAAATTTTACAAAACTTACGAGGATTATTTTGATATGCTAAGTTGCCATTATTCCTTGCTTCATTTTCATGTGTGGAGCGTAGGTCATCGTTGAGCCTTAGTGAACCTTAAAAAAACAATATATGAAACATGCTGAATTTTGTAAGAGTAGAATTGTTGCTCAAGTTAAGGGAGAAATTGTAAACAGTTAAGAAAACAGTTAGCAGCAATCAATAACACTCACCTGTTCCGGTCGAGCTATCGTTAAGAATTACAGATGAACTTTGAACAGGTGTTGGGGGTCGTAAGAGATTTGAGTTGTCGTCATGAGTTGACAATGAATACCACATCGGTTTACCATCTACATTAGCAGTCGTCAGATCAATAAGAACCTAGAAAAAATGTATTAAACTATCAATAGAACAATCTTAAACTATTTTCGTTTGTTCCTTTTGGTACAGTCTATATAAAACTAATCACATTCAAATCATTCATATGACGTAACTTAGCAGTTTCATATGCTGGAGCAAAAGAAGCTTGAATTATGACTATATGAGAACAAATACAATGTTAATGTATATAACTCAAAAATCGAAGCCCATACCTCTCCTAAAAACTCGCTCTCCCCAGACTTCTTATAGTCCCAGACACTTATCTCAATGGACCTTCCCTGAAGCTTCTGTGGCCGGCAGGGGTATACAAAAGACTGAGTCCATTTTGGCGAAGCTGTCTTTGGAATGGTTTTTGTCCGTCGCTTGCTTTGCATGCTAATAAGCCCCCAACAGAGAGAAAAATATATTTGTTCAGCAACTACATTGATGGAACCTACGTTTATATAATTTACATTGATGGAACCTACGTTTATATAATCTACATTGATGGAACCTACGTTTATACAAACTACATTGATGGAACCTACGTTTATATAATCTACATTGATGGAACCTACGTTTATATAATCTACATTGATGGAACCTACGTTTATATAATCTACATTGATGGAACCTACGTTTATATAATCTACATTGATGGAACCTACGTTTATATAATCTACATTGATGGAACCTACGTTTATATAATCTACATTGATGGAACTCAAGCGTTTTACCTAAGCCAAAACAACAACATAGCAAAACTCTTTGAGACTAAGTAACAACATTTACATGCATTTACATTTAAATTTGAAATGATTTACATAGCAATAGAAAATACATGATGACTCACCTACGATCGGGGAGAAAATACACCTTAACATAAGGATTGGGTATTTCATTCGTGTTATCACGCGTGATAAGTCCCTCAGCGCAAACGATAGTCACAGTTAAGTTAGCCGCTTCATGATTATAATGCAGTTTGACCTATATTAACAAAATATAATAAAAACTTCATGAATGTCAACTGTTAAGCTTCTATATTGTATACGGAAGTTTTGATAGCTTGGATTTAAGACACGCTTCTCACTGCTATCAATTTTATGTTGCAACATAGCAATGATAAATTTTGTTTACTTGTTTACTCTCATGGTTGTCATGCACTGTATAATAATCAATTTATATCAATGTACCTGGATACGTCCACTGATTTTGACGGCAGTAATATGCTGCAATGTACGACAATCATAATATGTGATATTAATTTTACTTGTATGAATAATTTACTGTATGTTCTGTATTAACAAAACATAAATTTGTTTAACACAGCAATACAAGTACTTATTAAAGAAATTCAATCGTACATTGTAATCATTTCGTTGTGGAAAACGATTCTCCTTCCCATTTGGCAAAAAATGATCTTGAGAATCTTTCCACCCACAAAAAGTGTTGTTGTTGCTTCTTGACGTCGTGAAGTCAGCGGGTTCCGTTCGAAGTGGAACTTTGTTCCTGAACATAAAAAATTTTAGTTTGCTTTTCTCTGCTGTTTATTGATCACTACCTACATTGGCACACGTTATCTTAGTTTATATTTTAGATAGTGTAAAGACTGTTCTTTTTCTCTGTTGTTCATTCATCACTACCTACACTGACACACATTTTTATATTTTATTCTTACTTGGGTCTCGATACAACAACATGGAGATCAGGGCTTTCCTGTGAGTTAGAAATGGCGTCAAGAACATCTTCGAATGTACAATCGACAAGTGAGTATTCATTCCATTCCATTACTTCATCACCGGAAACGAGCCCTGCTCGATCAGCAGGACTCCCCTCATCAATAGCAGTAATAAACGCTCCAGGTTTGTGATTATGAGTTATCTTTCCTCCAACGATTTTTAACCCATAAACAGAATAAGGATCTAAAAAAGACAAGAGAAGTTTCTGAAAACAACATACACACTCTAAGCTGTTTTCATGCCAGGAGAAGAAAAGAGAGATATACAATAACCTATATCTTCCAATGATCTCTGATTATTTCGCTTTAATAGAACTTCACCCAAACATTTACCATCGTCATCAGGCTTTGACCATCGAATTAAAGATGTGGCATTCTAAATAATGTGTTTACAATTCTCTTTACAAATAATTGCTTATTAACAACTGTCTTCAACAGCACACTACTGTAGAATATTTTTAAAAACATAAGCTAACATTTCTACTAGTTCTTACCGAGTCAGTATTTCGTTCACCTCGACCCAAGACACTTCCTCGCAAAATCGTCGGGCGATACTCCTCATGACCGTCACGAAAGCTTACTTTTTTACAGCTCCCTTTGGTGGATGTTGTGCGTGATTCTCGCGAGTAGCCCTCGACTTCACTGCCAGGTGGACTCTCGACGTCATCGTCAGACAAAGATGGTCGCGTGGAAAAGGTGTTTGTGCGTAGACTGGAACGACGACTTGAGCGGGGACTGAGACTGACAGAACGTAGTAGCTTTCCGTAGTCATTACTTCCGTTCGGATTAGCGTGATCTCGAGATGAGGAAGAATCCCGTTTCATACCTCTGTCAGCTCGCGAATTTCTATGGTTGACTATCCCCTGATACATAACTGGAATATTCTCTTGTAAGGAGCGTCTACGAGATCCGTTATTTTTAAGAAGGAGTTCGATGGTCTCAGCAGTAGAGACTGGAGCTGAGTCATGCCAAGGATTAAACCATCCTCCAGTTTTAAGTAAAAGCTCCTGTTTCTTTTTACATATAATGCATATCCACGATGACTAGATGAAAGATAGAAACATAAAAACATTGAATTGAAAAAAAAAAGGTGAAAAACAAAAAGATTATTTTAATTTATTGCAAACGAAGAATTGACGATAAAACGAATAAAATGAGCTAAAAAAATACTAACTCAGCTAAAATGCTAGAGCATGGTTTCAAGAAAGAAAGAAAGAAAGACAACTCCCGCACAGAAATCTATTTATGAAGATATTTTACAGCAATAAAATGCGTAGTTTCCAATAAAACTCAAGAACAGACATTTAGTTTTTTTTAAAGACTTTTATTCAAAATTTTTTTACTTTTTAGATATTTATTTTACAGTTTGAGATAAACAACATACATTCAGTTATTGTTTTTAAAAGAACGCAATTTAAAAATAATTTATGGTGTTTTAAAATAATTACATTTTACTAAAAATGTTTTTTATGCATCTATATCGTTGTTTTATTTTTGTTTAATTGAAGTTTTCAATATTTTTCCCCTCGCCATCTTATTACTTTTATGCTAAAATAGTTTATTCAAGTGTGGAGTTAATGTTATGGTTTAAAAAGTAAAATTATTTTACAAGTCACCAGAATGTTGAGTGAGACTTTATCACACAGCATCATAAGACTTTAACAATGGAATGTAGAAATTGTTTCTTAATTTACACATTTAACACAAACCTCTTGACCAAGGGCCATTTGTTTAAAATCTTGAATAAGCGTTGTAAAAAATCCCTGTTTTACATAAAAGAAAATTTTCATGAAACAATCAGGTGATCAAAAATTACTGTTGACATATCGTCGTTGTTAAAAATTTCTCATTATAAAGCAATAAAAAAAGTTTCACAAAATATTGCCAGAATTCAAATTGTCAACTCAACAGTTGGTATGTTTTAAAATCCATTATACTGCCTTTTAATGATTTTTAATTTAGCTGAAAAACAAACAAGAAAAAGAGATGAAAGAACAGCGGTTTCGGTGATGAACAAAACTCAAACCTAATGAAGAAATATTCGTCAAAAGTAAGATAAGGACAAAAGTATCTTTTATCATGAAAATCTTCTGAGAAATTCTGATGGATTCAGTTTATTGTCTTTTTATCTTTTCCCTGTTTAATTTAACGTCAAAATTTGCGTTGTCACATTATCTTTTTTTAACCACATTAATTTAGTTCGTTAGCCTAGGCCTATTAAAAATTTATAAAAACATTGGAAGCAGACGTTTATGTCTTTATATGAGGAAAAGGCTTTTGGCACTTAAAGAAAAATAACAACAAACTTTAATGGCAACATGCAAGCACTCTTTTTTAAATCTTTCAAGGACGGAAGCTTTTTCGTAGCACGGAAACTGAAATATTCCAATTTTTACTTCTTGAAGATCGCCATGATAACTAAAAAGCTTAGCTATATAGCAGAGCATAGTCACACCAAAATATCTCTTTGCTAAACAGATGTTGCTGAAGAATGTTGATTTTAAATCAGGAACGTATTTTCTTTAAATCTTACGATGCTTATGTGTCAGCAACTGTAGAAGCTGCATGAATGTAATAACCACTGAAAACTTTCTTCAGTAAAAAAGCAATGTCGTATAAAAGTAATTGCAAAAGCATCAAATGAAACAAACGAAAAAAAAGGGGGAGAGGTGTCGAATTCAATTCAACTGAGAAAAAAAACAGATTAAGGGTACATGAATTTCATTCAACGACTCTCTACAAAATAACTCCAGATTCAAATAACGACAGATTTCTTTGAAAAACAAAGTTTGCTTGCCGCAATTACTGATAGATAACTCAGTATACACGTCATCATAATAACAAATGATGTTAATATTGATATAAAGTTAGGATGGTTTCAAGTTCTACATATCTTTTTCAACTAATTTTTAGAAAGAGTCTCAAATTTATTCAATAAGCTACATGTGATTTCTTCAAAGAAATCTTCTTGGGAACAGAACATTTATTGTAGTGCAAAACAAAGCGCAATTTGTATCCATTAAAATAGAAGTAGCAGTAATTTCTTCCGATACACGTTTCTGCCGAAAGAATATTACTGAATAAAATCTTTCAAATCCTAAACAACATTTAAAGCTCCCACACATATCAAGAGATAAAAAACACAAATATTTCTATCGCGAAATGAACATTATACAAAGCGAATACTAAATTTTAATAACATTTACATAAATGTTTAACCTCACGCAAACAAGATAAACATTTTTTGATGACAGTGCATCAAACCTTTCGTAAGATCTTTTATGTGTAAAATATTAAAAGAAAGTGGGTCATTTGTTTGTAATTTGTGTGGGCTGACATACTGTCCAAATAAAATGAATAAGTTAAAGAAGTTAGTCCACTCTAAAGCTACAAAATTGAGTTGATTTTAGAATCTACTTTCAAATAACCAAAAACTGCTCAAAACGGGTCTAGTGCATTGAGTCAGCCTAGAGTGAGTTAAATTTTTAAAAAATATTTTCCTACAACTTTCTACATCACAAAAGCTTAAAAGACAATATTCCTAATAGGGAAATATTTAACAAACATAATAAAGCCGACAAAACCAATTTCAAAAGCTCTTTCCATTAAATTTAGCTTGCTCAAGCATTAATTATAACAATGCGTAATGGGCCGGTTAAATATTAATAGAAACAGGGATGTTGTTTTGTTTACAAATGAAAAGAAAGGTCAACACGACAGTACATAGTGCAGTAGGCAACATATTATTTTCTGAGCTGAACTTGCAACGAAAAATAGCGTAAAATGGTACAAATCACGATGTTCGTCGATGATTTTGCAACTATGGGCAATAATAATTTGTAACTTTTCAAGTTTAATAGTAATATCGTCTTTCCCAGAATATCTTTTAAAACGCTTCAACTTCGCTTTGAAAGAGCATAGGCAATTGACGCTTTCCTGACTGACTGAGAATAAAAACCTACGTGTTGATAAAGTCAAACGTCTTATATAACGTAGGAATCGACTTAGTTGGTATTATAAGTATGCCACAGTAAATATTTCTGCCCATTTAGGTCGTTTGCAATTTTTCTTATATCAAAACATTAAATTTCATAGCAACAATAAACCTTACCTGTTTCCTTGAAGGAAATGTGACTGTCTCTCCACATCGGCTACAAGCACGCCGTCGGCAATACTTGCACTCTTTTCCAATTCCTTCGCTAAATTTGGTTTTATGACAAAGTTCGCACACGTTGCTCTGTTTTCCTTGCTCCACAGCTCTCCATTCTTTAGTCTTCACTTCAAGTTTATTTTGATAAGTCTCCACTTCTTTAGCGAGGAGTCTGTCGAAATAAAATGTCGCTCTATTCAATAAATACACACTCAAAATGACTAGATAATGCTGCTGATGTCAAACAAAATCTATTGTAACTATAAAAGGGAAGCGTTCACCGCGGTGTACTTTTGATATCCAGACGAATTCCCAGACGAAAAAGGGTTTTCCACTGAGAAATTTCATGCTCCAACGGATTACAAATAAAAACAAACGAATAGTTTAAATATTGGATGCATGGGCACGCGAGAAACGTGAAAGCATCACTTATAATAAATTTCTACCGTTGCAATTTGTGTGTTTCAGCATCGCAAGCCTTTTGTCTTTCAATAACTTCTTGTATTTTGACTCGTTCTTCGTCGGTTAAATGTGAAAGGTTAGGTAGAGGTGGTTCAATAGGATTTCCTGATGTCATCATTCGTAGTTTTAAACTATTACCCCGATAATATTTCACTTGAACACAAACAAGAATGGAGATCCTAACAAGCGATGCAAATTCGTTGCTGTATCAGAAATTGTCAGAAATTCGTATCAGCCTTAATCATTTTACGTCACCACCAAAATATTGATCATTTTTTATCCACATTATATGTGCAACTTGTAGCTCGAAAGTTTAGATTAAAAAACTATGAAAGCTATCTGGAGCTCGAAAAATGTGAATGCCAAATACGCCACTTGCATTGAACGCTATCTTGCTATTTAAATTTCTCATAAATAATTCCAAATTATGCACATGTTCCTCCTAAGAACACAAAATCATCGTCAACACTCGTAAATTCATCGGTTCATGTCGTAGCGTATATCATTGATTAAAAATGCTTTAGATGTTCCGTGTCATTTAAAGTGTGTGCATTACCAAGAATATTTCTTCTGTCACGTAGCTTTAGTCAACATACTTAAAATGTTGACATTTCGTAAATCGTTGGTTACATCTAAAAAACAACATAAAACATCCTTAATCTACTATTGATAGACGATTTCGTGTAGATCATCATTACTATGACATGTGTAGAAAGATTTATGTACCATCCTCACTATGACATAAGCATAAGGAGATCAAGTACATTGATTTCTTATGTACCATCGTCACTATGACATAAGTATAAGGAGATCAAGTACATTGATTTCTTATGTACCATCCTTACTATGACATAAGTATAAGGAGATCAAGTACATTGATTTCTTATGTACCATCCTCACTATGACATAAGTATAAAGAGATCAAGTACATTGATTTCTTATGTACCATCCTTACTATGACATAAGTATAAGGAGATCAAGTACATTGATTTCTTATGTACCATCCTCACTATGACATAAGCATAAGGAGATCAAGTACATTGATTTCTTATGTACCATACTCACTATGACATAAGTATAAAGAGATCAAATACATTGATTTCTTATGTACCATCCTCAACATGACATAGGTATAAAGAGATCAAGTACATTGATTTCTTATGTACCATCGTCACTATGACATAAGTATAAGGAGATCAAGTACATTGATTTCTTATGTACCATCGTCACTATGACATAAGTATAAGGAGATCAAGTACATTGATTTCTTATGTACCATCCTCACTATGACATAAGTATAAAGAGATCAAGTACATTGATTTCTTATGTACCATCCTTACTATGACATAAGTATAAAGAGATCAAGTACATTGATTTCTTATGTACCATCCTCACTATGACATAAGTATAAAGAGATCAAGTACATTGATTTCTTATGTACCATACTTACTATGACATAAGTATAAAGAGATCAAGCACATTGATTTCTTATGTATACTTCTCACAATGAAAACTCCATAAAGGAGAACAAGAGGCGCTTTTTTAAACCCAGTCTATAATATACCTTGGAGAAAGTTTACAACATAAGAATCTCGTTCGTTTTTCTTGCATTTAAAAATAACGACAAGTGTCATACGATGGTCAGCATTTGCCAAAAAATATGTCATTGGCGATCGTTCATCAAAAAAATAAACAATCTTCTCTTGACTTAAACAATGCTCATTATCCTGAATAAGGGAAACGATCGATGGCATGAAAGTTTTGGGACAATCCTGTGAATAAAATGACAGAGAAATGTTTGACTGAAAGCCTAAAACTACTACTTACATTAAAAATAACTACTTACATTAGGATGACTAAAAATAGAGGGATAAGAATGTATCCCAGTGGGTAATTCAACCTTAACACGAGGAAGATGATACCCAGGAGCTTTGTAAGAATCACTCAAACCACGTGTGTCCAACAACAGAATAATATAAGAGGCATCTGAGCGACGACAAAATGTATTAATTCTAAAAAATAGTATCACAGTTCAACCCACACTACCTAAACACATTATCTTAGTTTATATTTTACATAGGGTAAAGACTGTTCTCATTCTCTGTTGTTCATTCATTACTACCTACACTGACACACATTATCTTAGTTTATATTTTAGATAGTGTAAAGACTGTTCTCATTCTTTGTTGTTCATTCATCACTACCTACACTGACTTACGTTATCTTAGTTTATATTCTAGATAATGTAAAGTCTGTTCTCATTCTCTGTTGTTCATTCATGATTACCAACACTGACACATGTTATCTTAGTTTATATTTTAGATAGTGTAAAGACTGTTCTCGTTCTCTGTTGTTCATTCATCCCTACCTACATTGACACACGTTATCATAGTTTATATTTTAGACAGTATAAAGACTGTTCTCGTTCTCTGTTGTTCATTCATCCCTACCTACATTGACACACGTTATCATAGTTTATATTTTAGACAGTATAAAGACTGTTCTCGTTCTCTGTTGTTCATTCATCATTTCCTACACTGAAATACGTTACGATTCGTACTTGTTCACGTAGTCAATGCTAGTTTTCGCAACGAGGGTTTTCATTTCAACCGGTGATGACTGCTCACTAAGTGTGGCATGAAAATAGAGAGAAAATTTGGAAACAAGGGAAGCGTGAAATCTTGCAAGCCATTGAAACAGTAAAGGCACTTCTATCTGTCTTCTAGAACCACCACTAAATCTTTTCTTTACTCTAAGGGATCTGGTAAATGACTAAACAAAGAGAAAATATCATAAAAATTTCAAATTGTCAATTATAAATCTTTGTGACATAAACGTACATTATATGATAATAAATATTTCTCACAACACCAATTTTTATCTATCATGATCCTTGATGTCTAATGGTTGACTTTTTTTAATTCCTTCTTATTATGATTAGTAGATTTTTAAAAGTGTCCTACATCAAATGCTAATGAAAATCATTATATGGAAACAACAAACAAACAACAAACAACATTTGTATACCGGCCAGTATTAATCCCCGCCAGGGGGGTTGACCGGTCCATGAATTTTTCTACGCCAAACGTCTCTATCTCTCGCCATATCTCTCGTTATACCCATCGCCTTCATATCACTGTTCACAGCATCCATCCATCTCTTTCTCGGTCTACCTCGTTTGCGAACTCCATCAACATTCATTTGCAACGTTCTACGAATTTCAGCACTTTCTTCCCTCCTTTCCACATGCCCAAACCACCTCAAACGCTGGCGCCTTACCCAATTCTCGATACACTCAACACCAACTCTTTCTCTAATCTCTTCACTTCGAATCCTATCCATCAACGTTACACCACACATCATCCTAAGCATTCTCCTTTCCGTCGACGCCAATCTTCTCAGGTCCTCTGCTTTCGGCGCCCAACACTCTGCTCCATATCCCAAAACACTTCTAACACATGCCTTGTACAATTCTCCCTTCTGCTTCAACGAAGTCGACTTTCCGCACAACATTCCCGACAACTCTCTGAAACTCCACCACGCTGTTTGAACTCTGCTTAAAATCATTATATGGAAATCACATCAAAACTGTTTTATGTTGATCCTGTATTACAACACAAACAAATTATTCTCACTCTAAAATTTCAATAAAATTCCATTGAAAGAGTAATAAAGTAACTCACATCTCTTACGGAGGACGAAGGTAGCGTTTTATTCCAAGAAAGGAGTTTTGCTTTGCTTTCATGTAAATGTAATAGTGATGGTAAAAATTTCCAATCAACTAAGTCACATTGTGCTTGCAACAAATGATGCAGTAAGTCCATTTCAACACTAAAATGCAAAAAAACATAAATCACAAGCAGATTTTCAAATGCAAGAATAGTTCAATTGAGATTCACTAGATATAAATTGTGCCCAAGACTGAAAAATATTTTAATGTAAAATTATTATCAAGTGTCACAGATAAAATTCATATACATTGGGTGCAATAATTAAAAACAATTCCTGCTTTATGAGTGTGCGATCATGATTTTGAAAAATTGCTATGTATCACAACACAACTGCAAAAAAGCTATGATAGATTATTTCAGTTTTTTTTTATTTTTTTGTTAATGATAGTTACCTAAAGGAAGTCTTTACTGGGTCCAATATTGGATGATGGAACTTTTTTATGTTCCTGCAAAAGATCAATATGTAATGTTCATATATCAGTCATTATTTCAAATAAATTACATTGACACAAGCTTACGCATTTCTAATTGACATTACAGCTTGAACAATTTCCGAGTAAGGAAGAACAGGATTGCTAGTCGATGTATGTAAATTCAATGTTGCTAAATTTTCATAACTGTAATCAAAATAAAGGTCACGGAATAATCATTTTTATTCAAAAATTAATCTTAAGTTGATAAAATGAGCTTTCAATACATTTTCATACACTGTTGTCTTGCTTGAACAAATTGAGTGAGATGTCGACAAAGTTCTGCCAACAAACCACGGCTTATTACATCAGACATTAATGCTTCATTGTCTTTAGTAGAAGACAATCCAGAGAGCTTTTCTACTTCGCATTCAATAGTTTGGTAGTCCGACAACAGAGACTGAAATATGAAAAAAGCTTAATAATAAACAAGGACTTGAACAAAATATAAAGTTTAAATGTTAGCTAGAAGTACATCTTTTCTGAAACGCTTCTTAACAAGAAAACTGCATGAGGAATACGTCTTTTCTGCTTCTGCAAGAGCACATAAATTGTTGATTAAAGTTAACCAAGGACAAGTGACGGCCAGTTGTCCTTTCTTCAAGTTACTTTCTTTTTCCTAAAGCAATAATCATTTTTTATTTAAATACAACACAAAATGAATGCAGTAGAATTATGTATGACGGTTTTCAACGTACTTTCAAAGCAAGATCCTTTGCTTTGTCAAATCCAAATTGACTCAGGACAAGAAAATATGTTTCAAGAAATGCTTGCTCAACACTTACAGCAAGCTGAGGAGAGCATGGACGAGACCCAACATTGCTTTCTGCAAGAGAAAAAGTCTTTGAAACATGCAATAGTATTTTAATATGATAATAACAGAATAAGCACAACGTAATTATAAGAAGAAAAGATTTAACAATAAGATTAACAACACAGTCTAGTGATTAAATTATCTTGGATAAAATTTGTCAACCGATAAATTTAAGCCGTACTTGTAGAAGGAGAAAGCTTTCTAGAAGCCATCCTAGCGTATCAAAACGATTCAAGGAGCAAACTAAATCATATTTTCACATTAAATTTGATTAAATTACACTTTTTAGTTATTATCAATTTCTCGCCATTTTGAATGCAAATGTGAGCCTTCAATGCACACCGCTGGAAAGTCTTGTGATGGTAAATGATAAATAAAAAAAAGTTTATAAACAAAACTTCTTTTTGTATGAAAAGTAAGTTGTTTTAGTTTCTTTTTTCTTTTTAATTACTGTAGTTTCTATGTTTTTTTGCAAAATTCATTTATCGATTGCCTGATTTAAGTTTTTGATAAAAATGAAATTGTAATGTTTTATATTATTATATTTATACCTACGTGTATCTACTTAATATCTTTCTAAAAGTATTTCAATGTCGTACTGTTTTATATAGTTTACTGCATTAGTGAATTGTTCTTGTCTATTTGAATATTTGGTCAGTTTTTTTAACTGTACAGTACATTAAAATATTAAACTTTCATTTTAATTTAAGCAAACAAGACGATTGGCCAAGAAACTAACTTTTGTGAATTGTAAAAGAGCGATGGACGCTAAAAGTGATTTTGATGGAGGTAATGGTTTATCGTTTAATACAGTTGAAAAATTGCTTTAAATTATATAAACTTTTCGTAATTCACTAGAGTACATTGGGTGTTAAATGTTTCGTTTTATTTTATTTTATTTATTTCAAATGGAAATGGAAACTCCTTATAACTACTTTAATTATGTTAAATATAAAGTACAATGTAATGCTTGATATTTGAGATCTCTGATATTTAGCCAAAGTTATGAGCCTAGCTACAAGTCCACTTTCGGCCCAGGCTAATGCAGTGAGAGCTGAAACATTGCCATGGCAATCATATTTCAGGTACAAATATGAGTATTTGTGATTGACAGGATTTCGAATACAAGTTGATTATTTCTTTCTTGCAAATTGGTACTGATATTGTATAGAGGCCAAATGATCTCGGAGAAAGATTTTAATGTGATATCTGACTTTGATGGTTCGGCCAAAAAACAAAATTATGAAATGGTTAAATCTACTCCAGAAAAGGTTCTCAAAGTTTATGATTACTGAGAAAATACCTTTACTTTGCACAAAAATATGATGATGTAATCTTCTTTAACAGGTTTTTTCAACAATATTTTCATTACTGGGTCAGCTTGCTAAAGATTTAAATGTTCAATATCTATTGACATTGTTAGATGACATGATAACAGTATGAAATGTTTTTGTTTGATTTACTTTCAAAAAAGTTGTGTATTTAAACACCTAATTTTCTTTTTCAGAAAGATTTTGAGTGTTTTACTCTACTTCACAACTATAAAAACAAGTTAGTATAGAAGTATGCTGAACACTTTAAAAGTTATTTTTTGCAAAATAAACATCATTGTGTATCGTAAAATCTTTAAATTTTTGTCTTGCTTCATTGTTTGGAAACACAGAAATCAAGCATATCCTTGGTCACCATTCTTTACACTTCTTCATAGACAGGACGAATTTATTGTTTATCAGGTGAAGTTTTGTTTTTTTCAGGAGAAATATCAAAAATCTCTTTAAAAACATCAACTCATTGAACGTTGTGTCATTACTTGAACAAAGGATAATATACTTTTGCAACAAATGATATTTTTTAGTCAGCTAGACTCATTGCAAAATTGGCTTGTTGGGGAAAGTCTCGAATGACTCAGAGTGAAGTACGGAGTTATTTTGACTGGCTTAAAGGTCGACTAAATGCTGTTGTAAGTTTAACGAACATTTTTAGTTTGTCGTACTTATGGCAATACGCTTGAAATCATTAGTTCTTTTGATTCAACCGTTTAAATTTTACTTTATAGAAAAATACTTACCGTGAGAGCGTTGTGGAATGTTTTCAAATCATGCTTAGAATCGATGAATATCGTTTTACTTTTGTGGAAACTGATGGTATCACTTGGTAAATTACAAATGCACCATCGCAATCTTTTTCTAAAGTTGTGTTACTATTAAATATGACTTGAATGTAATATTTCTTTTTAGTTTAGTCATGGTTTTGGTTCGAGATAACATTGGCTTTCAACTACAATATCAAATAATATTTTGTTTATGGCTTCTCAGTTTTAATCCAGTCGTTGCGGCAAAAATTAATGAGTACGTTGAATGTATTGAATTGAATAGCCTTTGTTTCGTAAACACTTCAATTATGAGAGTTTTTTAAAATATTTTTTGACAGGATTAATGCTGTTGTGCAAACACTTGCTGACATCCTGCGAGACACAGGAAAAGAGAAAGTCATTCGTATAATCTTGGCGACGCTAAGAGTAGGATATTTCGTACTTGTAATAAACTAATTCTTAATAATGAATCAATTAATAAAGTAATTCTTAATAATAAACCAATTAATAAAGTAATTCTTAATAATAAACCAATTAATAAAGTAATTCTTAATAATAAACCAATTAATAAAGTAATTCTTACACCCAATTAATTTATAATTATGATATTAGTTCTTGCACACAAATCATCACCTCAAATGTAGCACAAATTCTTGCACATATTGTGACATCAATTTTTCATTCAATTCAAAGTTTTTTCATTTGCTATTTTAATGTTAGAATTTACTGGAGAAACCAGAAGAAAAAACGAAAGAGGCTGCACTGGCAATGATTCAATGCAAACTAATTCCTGTAAGAAAATTATCGAATCCTGTATAATCCTCATATATCTGTCTCAATATATGTTATTAAACTTTTTATAAAATTCAAGTTTTGATTGATGTTTCTTTAAACTACCAACTGTCTATGTATACATAGAGATTTTTTATTGTAAAAATCTTTAACCGTCTTAATACTTTATTTTTTTTATATACAGGTTATTGCTGTCTTAGTGAACAAGACATGGGTGGATGAAGATATTGAAGTATGAATATGATTTTTTAAATACTTTACGCATACTCGAACATAATGAGAATCTTTTCATTTCTCCATAGGAAGATGTCCAATTCGTTCACGAGCGGCTAACGGAAAGTGTACAAGATTTGAGGTAATCAAATGTCTTCTAAATTTTTCATCGTTTATTTTTTTGTTTGTATTTTGTTCGTCTTTAGTACATTTGACGAATACGCAGCTGAAGTTCGGTCAGGTCGACTGGAGTGGAGTCCTGTTCACAAATCCGAGAAGTTTTGGGTAAGAAATTCATGCACAATCAACGAACATTACCATTATATTAGGGTTACTTCATTTAAGGATTGCTTATTTAATCGTATTTCAAATAATTTCAGCGTGAAAATTCTCAAAGACTCAATGAAAAGAATTATGAATTAATAAAGTAAGTCTTAAAAACTCTATTCGTCCCCGTAAGTACGTACATCTACGTCCATCAGGCTAATCATGATTGAAAAACTGCGTTTTTGTAATTTGTTATTTCATAATTCATTTAGGATTCTTACAAGATTGTTAGACACCTCTCAGGATCCTTTAATTTTATCTGTTTCTGCGCATGATGTTGGTGAATACGTGAGACACTTTCCAAGGGGAAAAAGGTCTGTTCTTTGTTGTTTTGAAGGTTTGAAAGTCAGTATTTCACATAGTTTCATGCAATGTTGATAAGTACGGGTTAATGTAGTCCTGAGAACTGTTGGTGGTGTTGTCGTCTGACGTTTCGACATTCTTATCGGTAGCAATCTTTAGTCAAGATGACTAACGCTAAGATTTTCATAAAAGGACTCAACATCAACGCCAAACAACAATCCTCAGGACTACACACAAATATTCAACTATTCCCGGATTAAAGCATACACTTAATTGAAAAGTATAGTTTAAACGTTAACTTAAACAGGAAAGCTCCTTGCATTTAAGTTACTGAATGAAATCTAATAAACTTAACGATGATCACTTCATTAATTCAAGAGTTTTAGAAACTTTGGGATGTAAGGAATTAGTGATGAAGAGGATGGCGCATAGCGATCCGAATGTCCGTTACGAAGCTTTGTTGGCAGTACAAAAACTAATGGTTCATAACTGGTAGGGCGTTGAATTCCCTGGAATTGTTGTAAACAAAGCGTTCAGAGAGTTAGCTAAAAGCACTTTCCATTTTTGTTGTTATATTTTTATATTGCAGTTTTCTATGCTTACTGTCTTGATGCTCTAGAACGCGTAGGCAAAAAAAATGTGTTTATTCTTTAGGGAATATCTTGGAAGGCAAATAAATCAAGGAAGTTGATCATCATGATAAACTGAATGGAACTTCAAATTTTCAATATCTCATAATAAATATTTACGTAAATTACATATGAAAACAATTCGATCTTTTTGTGAAGGGAGGAGTGGAATTATTTGTGCCATTTGAAAGGATGATTAAAGTTTGCATAATAAACGATTGGAGCTGTAAATTTTACTTTATTATCCATCATAATCAAGGATATTTACAATCAATATTTTTACAACATGTTAATATTTTCATCATCATAAATGTCTTTCACTACTGGAGAGCAAATTCTAAAACATTCATACACTGAGTTGCTCTTTTTTTTGATTAAACTGCTGGGTCGACGTCCGATGATTTTTCGTGAAAAACTTAGAGCTTTTGAAACTGAAACTTCATCACAACTTGGCGTCTTGTAAGCTGTGTGCAGATTTTCTACGAGGTAAAGTACCATCTAACGTATTTCTCACGTGTTGAGTTTCACTGGATTCGGGATTGGGAGAAAGTGATCTCGCCCGCTGTTTCATTGTATAGCGGTATATATCAGCACGAACAACTTGCATTTGATTGAGTTCAGGCTTAAAGAGAATCACATATATCTTGGGTGCAAACATACATGCAAGAAGATCCACGGCAGTCGCTAAAATAGCGACACAAATATAAATGGCAAAACGATCAAGAATACTTCCTGTGAAGACGATAATAAACGAAAGCCATATTACTGAAAATGAAAACATAGCATAAGTAATCAAACGTGCTTCACTAAAGTTGGCTGGAAGGGAACGAGCACGAAATGCCATTATTGCACACACCATAGATAAAAGCCAGTTGTACAAAAGTACAGCGGTATGCAGATCACGTGCAGAATCATTGCAACCGATAGGTACAGCGGTCTCTCTTACGAAGGATTGCAATTTAATAGGATGCACATCCACCATTACAGCTATCAGAATAGCTTCAATAACGAGCAAAACGAAAACCATAAGAAACTGAGTCTTCATTGTAACCAGGGATTTATCTTTGATGTTGGCCACAACGTTATTAAAGATCTGAATGAGTCGAAATGTTTTGGTTAGCACCAGTGAAGATGCTAAAGTCATGAGTAAGCCAAATGCTATAGGCTGAACATGACAAATAGACGTATTTGGACGTCCAATATAAAGCAATGGTAGAGCAAACATCACAGTTATAGTTATGAGAAGGAGCAAAGAGGGATATCGTGATGCAGCTTTGACGATAGGGGTTTTACGATGTTTATAGTAAACACCAAACATGGATGACGTCACAATTACTCCGAACACAGAAAATGATGTCAATACGGCAGCAGTTGCCGAATCCCAACGGATAAACTCTTCTGGTATGCGCAAGCATCGCGTTCGATTAGAATCAGATGTAAAACCGTTAGGACATTCCTCGCATTGGTTTGGTCCGATACCGACCTTAAATTGTCCGGGTGGACAGAGTATACAATCCCAGCAACAAGCAACATCACTATTCACTTGATACATCCCCGGGGGGCATGGAAACGAACACACCGAGACAGGGGTGGTGTTTCGACCACCGTTCCAGTAAATGGGACTCCGAATTTTCAGTAAACCATTGGACCAACTGCCAACGAACACAAAACTTTTCCCTTTTTTATTTTTGTTTGAAGGTTGAAGGTTGCTGATGTTGTAATAGATCACTAAATGATGGAGAATATGTTTTATGAATTTGACATTTAATGTAATCGTAGAGGGACTAGCTTTGACGTTTTGACGACTAATTAAATCGTTTACTCAAAAAATAATAACTCATCAAACAATTATAATTTCATGATTAAATAAAATCATTCACATAATGTGATTATACCTTCTGGATTTCCATCTTCATTGTAACTCAACAACCTACTACTGGATCCAGTTCTATTCACCTGTAACATATACATTCTTAACCTTTCCAAGTCAATATTCTTTATATAACTACTATTGCAATTCTCGTAAGAATATGGTTTTGTTTCAGTACAATTCATGTACTCAACTAATCCCAATGCAACAGTATAAGCAGCATCCATAATATAAGAGGTTTTGCTTCTCGTTAGATTCAAAGCAGTTACGGTAAAATCATGTTCGCGTACATACTCTAAGATCCAAGGGTTTTCCATGGTTAAGTCGAACTTTCTCAAATGTTGTTCAAATAAGGGTACAGTGGGAGTATGTGTAACGATACCCACCATACCACCCACTGTCGATAAATCAAAATCATAAACGCTATCACTGAATCCCCAATCCTCGGTGGCAATCCACGTTTTCCCAGTTAATCCTTGTTTTTGAGCTTCTTTAAGCACAGCAACAGCTCGTGGACGCTCGCAAAACAACACAATCACGTTGGTTCTTTCATTTTTTTTTAAATCTCTGATAATACTCCGAATTTCTTGTTTCGTGTCTTCCGAGCTAATGTTGAAATGAAAGAGCCGTTCTAACGAGATACATATGTTATAACGTCGTGCTAATTGGTTAAAGACCTCCACTCCACCACGACCATAATCTTCATCTGTCGCTACTGTTGCAACATATGACCAGTTGAAATGTTTCACGATATCAACCATAGCACGGGCTTGATAATTATCTGGAGGTATGGTACGCATGAAAGTCCTAGAAAGTTTTAAGTACATCATTCGCAAATCATTTTGATGAATAATAATGCTGGTTTTTTACTACAAACATAAGTTCGTTTATCGTACACTGATAAACGTAATTTTAATAAAATTTTAGATAGTGTAAAGACTGTTCTCATTCTCTGTTGTTCATTTATCACTACCTACACTGACACACTAACATACACACCTGTATGCTTCCTTGTTGCTCAAAGAGACACTAGTACTAGAGTAGCTAATTTGTGGAAGTGATGATACGCCAGCAATCGCATTAACACGTTGCGATATCTCAGAGCGTGCTCCACCAATCAAAGTGACTATGTACGGTTCCGTGGTATTGTCGTTGCAAGAGCACTTTTGAGAGCTATTTCTGTCTGGCTTTCGAGATCGAAGCAAAGTATAATCCAAAGCAGCTTCAAGGGCGACGTCGACGTTATTAAGTGAGTCCCGAATATCGTAGCCCAATGTCAAATTAGTAGCTGGAAAAAGATTTTATGCAGACATGAAAATTTGTTTAAACATAAAGTCTTAAGTTCTGGCGTGTCAAGTGAAGATGTAATTAACGATTTGTTAATTATAGGAATTAAGTTTCTAAGTAAAAAATCAAAAAAGGAAAAATATATTCAACATTACACATTACAAAGCCAAGACAATAAAAAAACTGTGACATCTGTCACTATAACAAAAAAATGGAAAATCATAAAATAATTGTATATTTTGTTTAGGATAGGACCAGACACTATTTCAAACATGGTAACAACTTTTTACCATTAAAAAACCCAGGTCTCATGGCCTCGACAGAAAAGCGTAAGGTCTCGCTCCATATAACTCCAGCGTTGTTCAATCTGTAACACCTCGGTATACGGTCGTGGTCAAGAATATAGGAGTATTTAGGAACACGTAGATCACACAGTGAGTCATTAGATTCACGTATGTGGATTGGAAACAGTCCACCAATTCGGATGTCACTAAAATTACTGACGAAGGGCCTTGGAAACTTTGCTTGTCCACGATTCGAATTCTGTTTGCTGGACGATTCACGCAAGAGAACAAAGATAGTAAATGTATAAAACAAGTTCATTGCTGTAAAGAAATATCGTTGACCTAAAGAATGATAAAAATCTTGTTTACACAACACACAACTTAAATTATATCACATTTATTCGTTATAATAATACGTAGAGTAAAAGGCAAACTTTATAAATTCCTAGCTTTCCTATGTCTACTTGTTGTAGTGTATCCTCAAATCATAGATATAAAATTTTAAAGTAATGAAATGACTGTACATAAACTCTCTATTTCCATATACATATAAGTTTTAGTCAGTTCTTATGTGTATATGCTACTTTAAGCCAAAACAACACCCATCGGGCTTCAGATTGAATCTATGAGACTATGACATATATTTCAAAACAAACAGAAATTTATTAGTATCACACAAGCTGATGGTTTTTTTAGAAAGAGGTAACAAAACAGACCAAAATATAGTGGTTACCTGAATGGCCAACGTTATATACATGGGGTTTTATCATAGGTTAAATCATAGCTACGCCAGTAATATTTCACTCGATCTACACTACACCTACTGTATGTTTTTAATAGCGTTTCATATGATCTGATAGTCAAATCCAATAAATAAAACGACACTGGATCGCTTGAGCAAGAGAATGTTGTCAACTTTTGAACATAAGTATGTAAAACTACCAATGATATGAGATGAAATAAATTAATTTTCAAAAACATGACTATTAAAGAAATTGATACATACAACCAATCTTACCGAGGACGTTGTTAAATATTACGACAAATAGATCGACAGCGTCGAGTCAAACAATTGCATAGATGTTTGACTTTGTCTTCATGCAACTGACAACTTCAACTTCGTAAAAATGTAATGACGATCGTTTGATATATCTAAACAACAACGTCTGCAAAAAAGCGATAACATTTACATCGTTAATTTTAAGTTATCTGAGCTAATATAGTCAACATAACGACAAGTCAAGACCGGATATGTATGTTAGATACAGTCTAATGAGTGCATGAAGACAAAGACAACCAACTGTATCTATGATTGGGAATACAGCCGAACAAGAAGAAAAGGAAGTTATAATTTACATTGATGTCATAGATATATGTGAGCTGAAGCGAGACGTAAATAGCTATATATAAGTTTGTTTCCTAACAAATACAGAATTTACTTATGTCTTTTTTATTTGATTTTAAAAAATCATTTTGTTAAACATAAATGTCATTATTCCAAATTTTCATTATTAGCAATCACACAATAAGTGTTTTTGAATAAACTATATGTAGCTCAAATGTGAAATGTCGAATCTTTAATAAAAGTTAATTTGTCCTCCAAAAACGAATTGGGCATAGTATAGATTATTATCCGACTGTTCCATAACCTAAAAATTAAAGCTTTGCACCTGTTTTGTCATCTGTCGGCAGAAACACAGGCCCTTGGAAAGTGTCTCACGTATTCACCAACATCATGCGCAAAAACAGATAAAATTAAAGGATCCTGAGAGGTGTCTAACAATCTTGTAAGAATCCTAAATGAATTATGAAATAACAAATTACAAAAACGCAGTTTTTCAATCATGATTAGCCTGATGTACGTAGATGTACGTAGATGTACGTAGATGTATGTAGATGTACGTAGATGTACGTACTTACGGGGACGAATAGAGTTTTTAAGACTTACTTTATTAATTCATAATTCTTTTCATTGAGTCTTTGAGAATTTTCACGCTGAAATTATTTGAAATACGATTAAATAAGCAATCCTTAAATGAAGTAACCCTAATATAATGGTAATGTTCGTTGATTGTGCATGAATTTCTTACCCAAAACTTCTCGGATTTGTGAACAGGACTCCACTCCAGTCGACCTGACCGAACTTCTGCTGCGTATTCGTCAAATGTACTAAAGACGAACAAAATACAAACAAAAAAAATAAACGATGAAAAATTTAGAAGACATTTGATTACCTCAAATCTTGTATACTTTCCGTTAGCCGTTCGTGAACGAATTCGACATCTTCCTGTGGAGAAATGAGACCATTCTCACTATGTTTGAGTACGCGTAAAGTATTTAAAAAATCATATTTATACTTCAATATCTTCATCCACCCATTTCTTGTTCACTAAACAGCAATAACCTGTATACAAAAAAAAATAAAGTATTAAGACGGTTAAAGATTTTTACATTAAAAAATCTCTATATATACACAGACAGTTGGTAGTTTAAAGAAACATCAATCAAAACTTGAATTTTAACAAAAGTTTAATAACTTATATATTGAGACAGATATATAACGGGGTGTTTACATGAAACCAGAATGACTTTCATTTCCAATTGAAACAAGATGTCAATCCACGAATGACTTTCTCTTTCTCTTTTCCTGTGTCTCGCAGGATGTCAGCAAGTGTTTGTACAACAGCATTAATCCTGTCAAAAAATATTTTAAAAAACTCTCATAATTGAAGTGTTTACGAAACAAACGATATTCAATTCAATACATTCTACTTACTCATTTATTTTTGCAGCAATGATTGCATTAAAACTGAAAAGCCATAAACAAAATATTATTTGGTATTGTAGTTGAAAGCCAATGTTATCTCGAACCAAAAACATGACTAAACTAAAGAAGTAAACTATCAAGTTGCGTTGTGTCTGTATTATTTCACAGGACATTTTGTAAATACGCAAACACAGAGCAACCCTGTACAATCAAATACAGTTCAATAGAGAGATGTGGTTTTTGTTCAATTTTATATCAAACAACCAAAATAATTTTTATACTTTACATTAACACAAATATAAATTGAAATAAACGTGAAATTTATTTTTAATGCATTGTTTTGTAAGTTATTTACATCATTGTGTATTGACTAACTATATTTCTTTGACCATTTAAAAGGATAATTTAAAGTTTGCATAATAAACGATTGGAGCTGTAAATTTTACTTTATTATCCATCATAATCAAGGATATTTACAATCAATATTTTTACAACATGTTAATATTTTCATCATCATAAATGTCTTTCACAACTAGGGAGCAAATTCTAAAACATTCATACACTGAGTTGCTCTTTTTTGATTAAACTGCTGGGTCGACGTCCGATGATTTTTCCTGAAAAACTTAGAGCTTTTAAAACTTAAACTTCATCACTTGGCTAGTTTCACAACTTAGCGTCTTGTATGCTGTGTGCAGATTTTCTACGAGGTAAAGTACCATCTAACGTATTTCTCACGTGTTGAGTTTCACTGGATTCGGGATTGGGAGAAAGTGATCGCGCCCGCTGTTTCATTGTATAGCGGTATATATCAGCACGAACAACTTCCATTTGATTGAGTTCAGGCTTAAAGAGAATCACATATATCTTGGGTGCAAACATACATGCAAGAAGATCCACGGCAGTCGCTAAAATAGCGACACAAATATAAATGGCAAAACGATCAAGAATACTTCCTGTGAAGACGATAATAAAGGAAAGCCATATTACTGAAAATGAAAACATAGCATAAGTAATCAAACGTGCTTCGCTAAAGTTGGCTGGAAGGGAACGAGCACGAAATGCCATTATTGCACACACCATAGATAAAAGCCAGTTATACAAAAGTACAGCGGTATGCAGATCACGTGCAGAATCATTGCAACCGATAGGTACAGCGGTCTCTCTTACGAAGGATTGCAATTTAATAGGATGCACATCCACCATTACTGCTATCAGAATAGCTTCAATAACGAGCAAAACGAAAACCATAAGAAACTGAGTCTTCATTGTAACCAGGGATTTATCTTTGATGTTGGTTACAACGTTATTAAAGATCTGAATGAGTCGAAATGTTTTGGTTAGCACCAGTGAAGATGCCAAAGTCATGAGTAAGCCAAATGCTATAGGCTGAACATGACAAATAGACGTATTTGGACGTCCAATATAAAGCAATGGTAGAGCAAACATCACAGTTATAGTTATGAGAAGGAGCAAAGAGGGATATCGTGATGCAGCTTTGACGATAGGGGTTTTACGATGTTTATAGTAAACACCAAACATGAATGACGTCACAATTACTCCGAACACAGAAAACGATGTCAATACGGCAGCAGTTGCCGAATCCCAACGGATAAACTCTTCTGGTATGCGCAAGCATCGCGTACGATTAGAATCAGATGTAAAACCGTTAGGACATTCCTCGCATTGGTTGGGTCCGATACCGACCTTAAATTGTCCGGGTGGACAAAGTATACAATCCCAGCAACAAGCAACATCACTATTCACTTGATACATCCCCGGGGGGCATGGAAACGAACACACCGAGACAGGGGTGGTGTTTCGACCACCGTTCCAGTAAATGGGACTCCGAATTTTCAGTAAACCATTGGACCAACTTCCAACGAACACAAAACTTTTCCCTTTTTTATTTTTGTTTGAAGGTTGAAGGTTGCTGATGTTGTAATAGATCACTAAATGGTGGAGAATATGTTTTATGAAATTATTTGACATTTAATGTAATCGTAGAGGGACTAGCTTTGACGTTTTGACGACTAATTAAATCGTTTACTCAAAAAATAACTCATCAAACAATTATAATTTCATGATTAAATAAAATCATTCACATAATGTGATTATACCTTCTGGATTTCCATCTTCATTGTAACTCAGCAACCGACTACTGGATCCAGTTCTATTCACTTGTAACATATACATTCTTAACCTTTCCAAGTCAATATTCTTTATATAACTACTATTGCAATTCTCGTAAGTATATGGTTTTGTTTCAGTACAATTCATGTACTCAAATAATCCCAATGCAACAGTATAAGCAGCATCCATAATATAAGAGGTTTTGCTTCTCGTTAGATTCAAAGCAGTTACGTTAAAATCATGTTCGCGTACATACTCTAAGATCCAAGGGTTTTCCATGGTTAAGTTGAACTTTCTCAAATGTTGTTCAAATAAGGGTACAGTGGGAGTATGTGTGACGACACCCACGATACCACCCACTGTCGATAAATCAAAATCATAAACGCTATCACTGAATCCCCAAGCCTCGGTGGCAATCCACGTTTTCCCAGTTAAACCTTGTTTTTGAGCTTCTTTAAGCACAGCGACAGCTCGTGGACGCTCGCAAAACAACACAATCACGTTGGTTCTTTCATTTTTTTTCAAATCTCTGACAATACTCCGAATTTCTTGTTTTGTATCTTCTGAGCTAATGTTGAAATGAAAGAGCCGTTCTAACGAGATACATATGTTATAACGTCGTGCTAATTGGTTAAAGACCTCCACTCCACCACGACCATAATCTTCATCTGTCGCTACTGTTGCAACATATGACCAGTTGAAATGTTTCACGATGTCAACCATAGCACGGGCTTGATAATTATCTGGAGGTATGGTACGCATGAAAGTCCTAGAAAGTTTTAAGTACATCATTCGCAAATCATTTTGATGAATAATAATGCTGGTTTTTTACTACAAACATATGTTCGTTTATCGTACACTGATAAACGTAATTTTAATAAAAATTTAGATAGTGTAAAGACTGTTCTTTTTCTCGGTTGTTCATTCATCACTACCTACACTGACACACGTTATCTTAGTTTATATTTTAGATAGTGTAAAGACTGTTCTCATTTTCTGTTGTTCATTCATCACTACCTACACTGACACACGTTATCTTAGTTTATATTTTAGATAGTGTAAAGACTGTTCTCATTCTCTGTTGTTCATTCATCACTACCTACACTGACACACAAACATACATACCTGTATGCTTCCTTGTTGCTCAAAGAGACACTAGTACTAGAGTAGCTAATTTGTGGAAGTGATGATACGCCAGCAATCGCATTAACACGTTGCGATATCTCAGAGCGTGCTCCACCAATCAAAGTGACTATGTACGGTTCCGTGGTATTGTCGTTGCAAGAGCACTTTTGAGAGCTATTTCTGTCTGGCGTTCGAGATCGAAGCAAAGTATAATCCAAAGCAGCTTCAAGGGCGACGTCGACGTTATTAAGTGAGTCCCGAATATCGTAGCCCAATGTCAAATTAGTAGCTGGAAAAAGATTTTATGCAGACATGAAAATTTGTTTAAACATAAAGTCTTAAGTTCTGGCGTGTCAAGTGAAGATGTAATTAACGATTTGTTAATTATAGGATATAAGTTTCTAAGTAAAAAATCAAAAAAGGAAAAATATATTCAACATTACACGTTACAAAGCCAAGATAATAAAAAAACTGTGACATCTGTCACTATAACAAAAAAATGGCAAATCATAAAATAATTGTATATTTTGTTTAGGATAGGACCAGACACTATTTCAAACATGGTAACAACTTTTTACCATTAAAAAACCCAGGTCTTATGGCCTCGACAGAAAAGCGTAACGTCTCGCTCCATATAACTCCATTGTTGTTCAATCGGTAACACCTCGGAATACGGTTGTGGTCAAGAATATAGGAGTATTTAGGAACACGTAGATCACACAGCGAGTCATTAGATTCACGTATGTGGATTGGAAACAGTCCACCAATTCGGATGTCACTAAAATTGCTGACGAAGGGCCTTGGAAACTTTGCTTGTCCACGATTCGAATTCTGTTTGCTGGACGATTCACGCAAGAGAACAAAGATAGTAAATGTATAAAACAAGTTCATTGCTGTAAAGAAATATCGTTGACCTAAAGAATGATAAAAATCTTGTTTACACAACAAACAACTTAAATTATATCACATTTATTCGTTATAATAATACGTAGAGTAAAAGGCAAACTTTATAAATTCCTAGCCTTCCTATGTCTACTTGTTGTAGTGTATCCTCAAATCGTAGATATAAAATTTTAAAGTAATGAAATGACTTTACATAAACTCTCTATTTCCTTATACATATAAGTTTTAGTCAGTTCTTATGTGTATATGCTACTTTAAGCCAAAACAACACCCATCGGGCTTCAGATTGAATCTATGAGACTATGACATATATTTCAAAACAAAAAGAAATTTATTAGTATCACACAAGCTGATGGTTTTTAGAAAGAGGTAACAAAACAGACCAAAATATAGTGTTTACCTGAATGGCCAACGTTATATACATGGGGTTAAATCATAGCTACGCCAGTAACACTTCACTCGATCTACACTACACCTACTGTATGTTTTTAATAGCGTTTCATATGATCTGATAATCAAATCCAATAAATAAAACGACACTGGATCGCTTGAGCAAGAGATTGTTGTCAACTTTTGAACATAAGTATGTAAAACTACCAATGATATGAGATGAAATAAATTAATTTTCAAAAACATGACTATTAAAGAAATTGATACAGACAACTAATCTTACCGAGGAAGTTGTTAAATGTTACGACAAATAGATCGACAACGTCGAGTCAAACAATTGCATAGACTGCAACTGACAACTTCAACTTCGTAAAAATGTAATGATGATCGTTTGATATATCTAAACAACAACGTCTGCAAAAAAGCGATAACATTTACCTCGTTAATTTTAAGTTATCTGAGCTAATACAGTCAACATAACGACAACTCGAGACCGGATATGTATGTTAGACACAGTCTAATGAGTGCATGAAGACAAAGACAACCAACTGTATGTATGATTGGAAATACAGTCGAACAAGAAGAAAAGGATGTTATAATTTACATTGATGTCATAGATATATGTGAGCCGAAGCGAGACGTAAATAGCTTTATATCAGTTTTTTTCCTAACAAATACAGACTTTACTTATGTCTTTTTTATTTGATTTTGAAAAATCATTTTGTTAAACATAAATGTCATTATTCCAAATTTTCATTATTAGCAATCACACAATAAGTGTTTTTGAAAAACTATATGTAGCTCAAATGTGAAATGTCGAATCTTTAATAAAAGTTAATTTGTCCTCCAAAAACGAATTGGGCATAGTATAGATTATTATCCGACTGTTAGATAACCTAAAAATTAAAGCTTTGCACCTGTTTTGTCATCTGTCGGCAGAAACACAGGCCCTGGGAAAGTGTCTCACGTATTCACCAACATCATGCGCAAAAACAGATAAAATTAAAGGATCCTGAGAGGTGTCTAACAATCTTGTAAGAATCCTAAATGAATTATGAAATAACAAATTACAAAAACGCAGTTTTTCAATCATGATTAGCCTGATGTACGTAGATGTATGTAGATGTACGTAGATGTATGTAGATGTACGTAGATGGACGTAGATGTACGTAGATGGACGTACTTACGGGGACGAATAGAGTTTTTAAGACTTACTTTATTAATTCATAATTCTTTTCATTGAGTCTTTGAGAATTTTGACGCTGAAATTACTTGAAATAAGATTAAATAAGCAATCCTTAAATGAAGTAACCCTTATATAATGGTAATGTTCGTTGATTGTGCATGAATTTCTTACCCAAAACTTCTCGGATTTGTGAACAGGACTCCACTCCAGTCGACCTGACCGAATTTCTGCTGCATATTTGTCAAATGTACTAAAGATGAACAAAATACAAACAAAAAAAATAAACGATGAAAAATTTAGAAGAGATTTGATTACCTCAAATCTTGTACACTTTTCGTTAGCCCTTCGAGAACGAATTTGACATCTTCCTGTGGAGAAATGAGACCATTCTCACTGTTTGATAATGCGTAAAGTATTTAAAAAATCATATTCATACTTCAATATCTTCATCCACCCATTTCTTGTTCACTAAGACAGCAATAACCTGTATATAACAAAAATAAAGTATTAAGACGGTTAAAAATTTTTACAATAAAAAATCTCTATGTTTACATAGACAGTTGGTAGTTTAAAGAAACATCAATCAAAACTTGAATTTTAACAAAAGTTTAATAACATATATTGAGACAGATATATAACGGGGTGTTTACATGAATCCGGAATGACTTTCAATTCCAATAGAAACGTGATGTCAATCCACGAATGACTTTCTCTTTCTCTTTTCCTGTGTCTCGCAGGATGTCAGCAAGTGTTTGTACAACAGCATTAATCCTGTCAAAAATTGTTTTAAAAAATTCTCATAATTGAAGTGTTTACGAAACAAACGATATTCAATTCAATACATTCTACGTACTCATTTATTTTTGCAGCAATGATTGCATTAAAACTGAAAAGCCATAAACAAAATAATATTTGATATTGTAGTTGAAAGCCAATGTTATCTCGAACCAAAAACATGACTAAACTAAAGAAGTAAACTATCAAGTTGCGTTGTGTCTGTATTATTTCACAGGACATTTTGTAAATACGCAAACACAGAGCAACCCTGTACAATCAAATACAGTTCAATAGAGAGATGTGGTTTTTGTTCAATTTTATATCAAACAACCAAAATAATTTTTATACTTAACATTAACACAAATATAAATTTTTCTTTTCAAAATTCATATTCATTCACATTATAAGCATTTAAGATTACGTGAAATTTATTTTTAATGCATTGTTTTGTAAGTTATTTACATCATTGTGTATTGACTAACTATATTTCTTTGACCATTTAAAAGGATAATTTAAAGTTTGCATAATAAACGATTGGAGCTGTAAATTTTACTTTATTATCCATCATAATCAAGGATATTTACAATCAATATTTTTACAACATGTTAATATTTTCATCATCATAAATGTCTTTCACTACTAGAGAGAAAATTCTAAAACATACACTGAGTTGCTCTTTTTTGATTAAACTGCTGGGTCGACGTCCATAGATTTTTCGTGAAAAACTTAGAGCTTTTGAAACTTAAACTTCATCACAACTTGGCGTCTTGTATGCTGTGTGCAGATTTTCTACGAGGTAAAGTACCATCTAACGTATTTCTCACGTGTTGAGTTTCACTGGATTAGGGTTTGGAGAAAGTGGTCGCGCCCGCTGTTTCATTGTATAGCGGTATATATCAGCACGAACAACTTCCATTTGATTGAGTTCAGGCTTAAAGAGAATCACATATATCTTGGGTGCAAACATACATGCAAGAAGATCCACGGCAGTCGCTAAAATAGCGACACAAATATAAATGGCAAAACGATCAAGAATACTTCCTGTGAAGACGATAATAAAAGAAAACCATATTACTGAAAATGAAAACATAGCATAAGTAATCAAACGTGCTTCACTAAAGTTGGCTGGAAGGGAACGAGCACGAAATGCCATTATTGCACACACCATAGATAAAAGCCAGTTATACAAAAGTACAGCGGTATGCAGATCACGTGCAGAATCATTGCAACCGATAGGTACAGCGGTCTCTCTTACGAAGGATTGCAATTTAATAGGATGCACATCCACCATTACTGCTATCAGAATAGCTTCAATAACGAGCAAAACGAAAACCATAAGAAACTGAGTCTTCATTGTAACCAGGGATTTATCTTTGATGTTGGTTACAACGTTATTAAAGATCTGAATGAGTCGAAATGTTTTGGTTAGCACCAGTGAAGATGCCAAAGTCATGAGTAAGCCAAATGCTATAGGCTGAACATGACAAATAGACGTATTTGGACGTCCAATATAAAGCAATGGTAGAGCAAACATCACAGTTATAGTTATGAGAAGGAGCAAAGAGGGATGTCGTGATGCAGCTATGACGATAGGGGTTTTACGATGTTTATAGTAAACACCAAACACGAATAACGTCACAATTACTCCGAACACAGAAAACGATGTCAATACGGCAGCAGTTGCCGAATCCCAACGGATAAACTCTTCTGGTATGCGCAAGCATCGCGTACGATTAGAATCAGATGTAAAACCGTTAGGACATTCCTCGCATTGGTTTGGTCCGATACCGACCTTAAATTTTCCGGGTGGACAAAGTATACAATCCCAGCAACAAGCAACATCACTATTCACTTGATACATCCCCGGGGGGCATGGAAACGAACACACCGAGACAGGGGTGGTTTTTCGACCACCGTTCCAGTAAATGGGACTCCGAATTTTCAGTAAACCGTTGGACCAACTTCCAACGAACACAAAACTTTTCCCTTTTTTATTTTTGTTTGAAGGTTGAAGGTTGCTGATGTTGTAATAGATCACTAAATGGTGGAGAATATGTTTTATGAAATTATTTGACATTTAATGTAATCGTAGAGGGACTATTTGACGTTTTGACGACTAATTAAATCGTTTATTCAAAAAATAATAACTCATCAAACAATTATAATTTCATGATTAAATAAAGTCATTCACATAATGTGATTATACCTTCTGGATTTCCATCTTCATTGTAACTCAACAACCTACTACTGGATCCAGTTCTATTCACCTGTAACATATACATTCTTAACCTTTCCAAGTCAATATTCTTTATATAACTACTATTGCAATTCTCGTAAGTATATGGTTTTGTTTCAGTACAATTCATGTACTCAAATAATCCCAATGCAACAGTATAAACAGCACCCATAATATAAGATGTTTTGCTTCTCGTTAGATTCAAAGCAGTCACGTTAAAACCATGTTCGCGTACATACTCTAAGATCCAAGGGTTTTCCATGGTTAAGTTGAACTTCCTCAAATGTTTTTCAAATAAGGGTACAGTGGGAGTATGTGTAACGATACCCACGATACCGCCCACTGTCGATAAATCAAAATCATAAACGCTATCACTGAATCCCCAAGCCTCGGTGGCAATCCACGTTTTCCCAGTTAACCCTTGTTTTTGAGCTTCTTTAAGCACAGCGACAGCTCGTGGACGCTCGCAAAACAACACAATCACGTTGGTTCTTTCAATTTTTTTCAAATCTCTGACAATACTCCGAATTTCTTGTTTCGTGTCTTCTGAGCTAATGTTGAAATGAAAGAGCCGTTGTAACGAGATACATATGTTATAACGTCGTGCTAATTGGTTAAAGACCTCCACTCCACCACGACCATAATCTTCATCTGTCGCTACTGTTGCAACATATGACCAGTTGAAATGTTTCAAGATATCAACCATAGCACGGGCTTGATAATTATCTGGAGGTATGGTACGCATGAAAGTCCTAGAAAGTTTTAAGTACATCATTCGCAAATCATTTTGATGAATAATAATGCTGGTTTTTTACTACAAACATACGTTCGTTTATCGTACACTGATAAACGTAATTTTAATAAAAATTTAGATAGTGTAAAGACTGTTCTTTTTCTCGGTTGTTCATTCATCATTACCTACACTGACACACGTTATCTTAGTTTATATTTTAGATAGTGTAAAGACTGTTCTCATTCTCTGTTGTTCATTCATCACTACCTACACTGACACACGTTATCTGAGTTTATATTTTAGATAGTGTAAAGACTGTTCTCGTTTTCTGTTCTTCATTTATCACTACCTACACTGACACACTAACATACACACCTGTATGCTTCCTTGTTGCTCAAAGAGACACTAGTACTAGAGTAGCTAATTTGTGGAAGTGATGATACGCCAGCAATCGCATTAACACGTTGCGATATCTCAGAGCGTGCTCCACCAATCAAAGTGACTATGTACGGTTCCGTGGTATTGTCGTTGCAAGAGCACTTTTGAGAGCTATTTCTGTCTGGCGTTCGAGATCGAAGCAAAGTATAATCCAAAGCAGCTTCAAGAGCGACGTCGACGTTATTAAGTGAGTCCCGAATATCGTAGCCCAATGTCAAATTAGTAGCTGGAAAAAGATTTTATGCAGACATGAAAATTTGTTTAAACATAAAGTCTTAAGTTCTGGCGTGTCAAGTGAAGATGTAATTAACGATTTGTTAATTATAGGAATTAAGTTTCTAAGTAAAAAATCAAAAAAGGAAAAATATATTCAACATTACACGTTACAAAGCCAAGATAATAAAAAAACTGTGACATCTGTTACATAAGGATATGACCAGACACTATTTCAAACATGGTAACAACTTTTTACCCTTAAAAAACCAAGGTCTTATAGCCTCGACAGAAAAGCGTAACGTCTCGCTCCATATAACTCCATTGTTGTTCAATCTGTAACACCTCGGAATACGGTCGTGGTCAAGAATATAGGAGTATTTAGGAACACGTAGATCACACAGCGAGTCATTAGATTCACGTATGTGGATTGGAAACAGTCCACCAATTCGTATGTCACTAAAATTGCTGACGAAGGGCCTTGGAAACTTTGCTTGTCCACGATTCGAATTCTGTTTGCTGGACGATTCACGCAAGAGAACAAAGATAGTAAATGTATAAAACAAGTTCATTGCTGTAAAGAAATATCGTTGACCTAAAGAATGATAAAAATCTTGTTTACACAAAATACAACTTAAATTATATCATATTTATTCGTTATAATAATACGTAGAGTAAAAGGCAAACTTTATAAATTCCTAGCCTTCCTATGTCTACTTGTTGTAGTGTATCCTCAAATCGTAGATATAAAATTTTAAAGTAATGAAATGACTTTACATAAACTCTCTATTTCCTTATACATATAAGTTTTAGTCAGTTCTTATGTGTATATAATCGATGAAAACCTATGCTACTTTAAGCCAAAGACAACACCCATCAGGCTTCAGATTGAATCTATGAGACTATGACATATATTTCAAAACAAACAGAAATTTATTAGTATCACACAAGTTGATGGTTTTCAAAAAGAGGTAACAAAACAGACCAACATAGTGACCATGCTAAAGTTCAAGATGCTGAGTCATGAACACATTTTCTCATAAAATATAGTGGTTACCTGAATGGCCAACGTTATATACACGGGGTTTTATCATAGGTTAAATCATAGCTACGCCAGTAATACTTCACTCGATCTACACTACACCTACTGTATGTTTTTAATAGCGTTTCATATGATCTGATAGTCAAATCCAATAAATAAAACAACACTGGATCGTTTGAGCAAGAGAATGTTGTCAACTTTTGAACATAAGTATGTAAAAATACTAATGATATCATATGAAATAAATTAATTTTCAAATACACAAAAAAACATGACTATTAAAGAAATTGATACATACAACCAATCTTACCGAGGAAGTTGTTAAATGTTACGACAAATAGATCGACAGCGTCGAGTCAAACAATTGCACAGATTGCAACTGACAGCTTCAACTTCGTAAAAATGTAATGACGATCGTTTGATATATATAAACAACAACGCCTGGAAAAAAAGAAAACGAAAACATTTACCAAATTAATTTTAAGTTATCTGAGCTAATATAGTCAACATAACGACAAGTCAAGACCGGATATGTATGTTAGATACCGTCTAATGATATGGTGCGCCAAGATGGACAATATTACCAAAATCGAAAATATTTACAACGAAACACATAATCGTAAATCGAAAATAATATACTGGCAACTCTTTCAATATTTGCAAAACGAAACGCAAAAATATAAAAGAAAAATATACCTACTTTCTTTGCTTAAAAAGACATCGTATTCGCGACTACGAATTTGTTACAAAACATTGTCCTCAGATTGATGACGGCTACGTGTTTTTGTTGTCGCAACAATGTTTTCGCGCCAAAATGACTTAATTAGTACTCATAGTCGTACTTGTAGACTTTGCTAAAGCTCCCTATTATCACCTCAGCCGTAACATTATCTTTCGTAAAAATGTTTCGATGTAGTCCATCAAATAAACTAAAGCCTCTCGCTAAGAATTCCACAACATCCCGATATTCTGCCATATTTAATATGGAAGGGACAGGCAGACAGAAAGGATGGAAGGAACAAAATAACGAGTCATCGACAGTGTTCACGGAACGCGAAATAAAACACCGTTTTTTTCTTTGATGTCAGTGACAAGGCGCGGAAAAAATGTTGTTTGTTCGAAGAAAATGTCGTTTTATGAATGTCAATTTCGTTTTATATAAATGAGTTTCGTTTTATAAAAATAATTTTCATAATTTGAAAAATAAATTTCGTTGTGTATATATAAATTATGGTAAACGAATTTTTGTTTTCTTTTATATTTTTGCGTTTCGTTTTACAAATATTGAAAAAGTTGCCAGTATATTATTTTCGATATACGATAATGTGTTTCGTTGTAAATATTTTCGATTTTTGTAATATTGTCCATCTTGGCGCGCCATATAATGAGTGCATGAAGACAAAGACAACCAACTGTATGTATGATTGGGAATACAGTCGAACAAGAAGAAAAGGAAGTTATAATTTACATTGATGTCATAGATATATGTGAGCTGAAGCGAGACGTAAATAGCTTTATATCAGTTTTTTTCCTAACAAATACAGACTTTACTTATGTCTTTTTTATTTGATTTTAAAAAATCATTTTGTTAAACATAAATGTCATTATTCCAAATTTTCATTATTAGCAATCACACAATAAGTGTTTTTGAAAAACTATATGTAGCTCAAATGTGAAATGTCGAATCTTTAATAAAAGTTAATTTGTCCTCCAAAAATGAATTGGGCATAGTATAGATTATCATCCGACTGTTCCATAACCTAAAAATTTAAGCTTTGCACCTGTTTTGTCATCTGTCGGCAGAAACACAGGCCCTTGGAAAGTGTCTCACGTATTCACCAACATCATGCGCAGAAACAGATAAAATTAAAGGATCCTGAGAGGTGTCTAACAATCTTGTAAGAATCCTAAATGAATTATGAAATAACAAATTACAAAAACGCAGTTTTTCAATCATGATTAGCCTGATGTACGTAGATGTATGTACTTACGGGGACGAATAGAGTTTTTAAGACTTACTTTATTAATTCATAATTCTTTTCATTGAGTCTTTGAGAATTTTCACGCTGAAATTATTTGAAATACGATTAAATAAGCAATCCTTAAATGAAGTAACCCTAATATAATGGTAATGTTCGTTGATTGTGCATGAATTTCTTACCCAAAACTTCTCGGATTTGTGAACAGGACTCCACTCCAGTCGACCTGACCGAATTTCTGCTGCATATTTGTCAAATGTACTAAAGACGAAGAAAATACAAACAAAAAAAAATAAACGATGAAAAATTTAGAAGACATTTGATTACCTCAAATCTTGTACACTTTCCGTTAGCCGTTCGTGAACGAATTCGACATCTTCCTATGGAGAAATGAGACCATTCTCACTATGTTTGAGTACGCGTAAAGTATTTAAAAAATCATATTTATACTTCAATATCTTCATCCACCCATTTCTTGTTCACTAAACAGCAATAACCTGTATACAAAAAAAAATAAAGTATTAAGACGGTTAAAGATTTTTACAATAAAAAATCTCTATGTTTACATAGACAGTTGGTAGTTTAAAGAAACATCAATCAAAACTTGAATTTTAACAAAAGTTTAATAACATATATTGAGACATGTCATATGAATGTTTTATGCAGTGCGGTGTTTGAAATTAAATGAAGATATGATCTTCGCACTTTGTTGGACAATTTAAGCAATTGTCTCACAAACCTGAAAAAATCAGGTGACTTAAGTCATATCTTCATTTAATATATTGAGACAGATATATAACGGGGTGTTTACATGAATCCGGAATGACTTTCAATTCCAATAGAAACGTGATGTCAATCCACGAATGACTTTCTCTTTTTCTTTTCCTGTGTCTCGCAGGATGTCAGCAAGTATTTGAACAACAGCATTAATCCTGTCAAAAAATATTTTAAAAAACTCTCATAATTGAAGTGTTTACGAAACAAACGATATTCAATTCAATACATTCTACTTACTCATTTATTTTTGCCGCAATGATTGAATTAAAACTGAAAAGCCATAAACAAAATAATATTTGATATTGTAGTTGAAAGCCAATGTTATCTCGAACCAAAAACATGACTAAACTAAAGAAGTAAACTATCAAGTTGCGTTGTGTCTGTATTATTTCACAGGACATTTTGTAAATACGCAAACACAGAGCAACCCTGTACAATCAAATACAGTTCAATAGAGATGTGGTTTTGTTCAATTTTATATCAAACAACCAAATAATTTTTATACTTTACATTAACACAAATATAAATTGAAATAAACGTGAAATTTATTTTTAATGCATTGTTTTGTAAGTTATTTACATCATTGTGTATTGACTAACTATATTTCTTTGACCATTTAAAGGATAATTTAAAGTTTGCATAATAAACGATTGGAGCTGTAAATTTTACTTTATTATCCATCATAATCAAGGATATTTACAATCAATATTTTTACAACATGTTAATATTTTCATCATCATAAATGTCTTTCACTACTGGAGCAAATTCTAAAACATTCATACACTGGTTGCTCTTTTTGATTAAACTGCTGGGTCGACGTCCGATGATTTTTCAAAAACTTAGAGCTTTTAAAACTTAAACTTCATCACTTGGCTAGTTTCACAACTTAGCGTCTTGTATGCTGTGTGCAGATTTTCTACGAGGTAAAGTACCATCTAACGTATTTCTCACGTGTTGAGTTTCACTGGATTCGGGATTGGGAGAAAGTGATCGCGCCCGCTGTTTCATTGTATAGCGGTATATATCAGCACGAACAACTTCCATTTGATTGAGTTCAGGCTTAAAGAGAATCACATATATCTTGGGTGCAAACATACATGCAAGAAGATCCAGGGCAGTCGCTAAAATAGCGACACAAATATAAATGGCAAAACGATCAAGAATACTTCCTGTGAAGACGATAATAAACGAAAACCATATTACTGAAAATGAAAACATAGCATAAGTAATCAAACGTGCTTCGCTAAAGTTGGCTGGAAGGGAACGAGCACGAAATGCCATTATTGCACACACCATAGATAAAAGCCAGTTATACAAAAGTACAGCGGTATGCAGATCACGTGCAGAATCATTGCAACCGATAGGTACAGCGGTCTCTCTTACGAAGGATTGCAATTTAATAGGATGCACATCCACCATTACTGCTATCAGAATAGCTTCAATAACGAGCAAAACGAAAACCATAAGAAACTGAGTCTTCATTGTAACCAGGGACTTATCTTTGATGTTGGCCACAACGTTATTAAAGATCTGAATGAGACGAAATGTTTTGGTTAGCACCAGTGAAGATGCCAAAGTCATGAGTAAGCCAAATGCTATAGGCTGAACATGACAAATAGACGTATTTGGACGTCCAATATAAAGCAATGGTAGAGCAAACATCACAGTTATAGTTATGAGAAGGAGCAAAGAGGGATATCGTGATGCAGCTTTGACGATAGGGGTTTTACGATGTTTATAGTAAACACCAAACATGAATGACGTCACAATTACTCCGAACACAGAAAACGATGTCAATACGGCAGCAGTTGCCGAATCCCAACGGATAAACTCTTCTGGTATGCGCAAGCATCGCGTACGATTAGAATCAGATGTAAAACCGTTAGGACATTCCTCGCATTGGTTTGGTCCGATACCGACCTTAAATTGTCCGGGTGGACAGAGTATACAATCCCAGCAGCAAGCAACATCACTATTCACTTGATACATCCCCGGGGGGCATGGAAACGAACACACCGAGACAGGGGTGGTGTTTCGACCACCGTTCCAGTAAATGGGACTCCGAATTTTCAGTAAACCGTTGGACCAATTGCCAACGAACACAAAACTTTTCCCTTTTCTATTTTTGGTTGAAGGTTGAAGGTTGCTGATGTTGTAATAGATCACTAAATGATGAAGAATATGTTTTATGAAATTATTTGACATTTAATGTAATCGTAGAGGGACTATTTGACGTTTTGACGACTAATTAAATCGTTTACTCAAAAAATAATAACTCATCAAACAATTATAATTTCATGATTAAATAAAGTCATTCACATAATGTGATTATACCTTCTGGATTTCCATCTTCATTGTAACTCAACAACCTACTACTGGATCCAGTTCTATTCACCTGTAACATATACATTCTTAACCTTTCCAAGTCAATATTCTTTATATAACTACTATTGCAATTCTCGTAAGTATATGGTTTTTTTTCAGTACAATTCATGTACTCAAATAATCCCAATGCAACAGTATAAACAGCATCCATAATATAAGATGTTTTGCTTCTCGTTAGATTCAAAGCAGTTACGGTAAAATCATGTTCGCGTACATACTCTAAGATCCAAGGGTTTTCCATGGTTAAGTTGAACTTCCTCAAATGTTGTTCAAATAAGGGTACAGTGGGGTATGTGTAACGATACCCACCATACCGCCCACTGTCGATAAATCAAAATCATAAACGCTATCACTGAATCCCCAAGCCTCGGTGGCAATCCACGTTTTCCCAGTTAACCCTTGTTTTTGAGCTTCTTTAAGCACAGCGACAGCTCGTGGACGCTCGCAAAACAACACAATCACGTTGGTTCTTTCAATTTTTTTCAAATCTCTGACAATACTCCGAATTTCTTGTTTCGTGTCTTCCGAGCTAATGTTGAAATGAAAGAGCCGTTGTAAAGAGATACATATGTTATAACGTCGTGCTAATTGGTTAAAGACCTCCACTCACCACGACCATAATCTTCATCCGTCGCTACTGTTGCAACATATGACCAGTTGAAATGTTTCAAGATATCAACCATAGCACGGGCTTGATAATTATCTGGAGGTATGGTACGCATGAAAGTCCTAGAAAGTTTTAAGTACATCATTCGCAAATCATTTTGATGAATAATAATGCTGGTTTTTTACTACAAACATACGTTCGTTTATCATACACTGATAAACGTAATTTTAATAAAAATTTAGATAGTGTAAAGACTGTTCTTTTTCTCGGTTGTTCATTCATCACCTACACTGACACTTATCTTAGTTTATATTTTAGATAGTGTAAAGACTGTTCTCATTCTCTGTTGTTCATTCATCACTACCTACACTGACACACGTTAAAGTTTATATTTTAGATAGTGTAACTCTGTGTTCTTCATCACTACCTACACTGACACACTAACATACATACCTGTATGCTTCCTTGTTGCTCAAAGAGACACTAGTACTAGAGTAGCTAATTTGTGGAAGTGATGATACGCCAGCAATCGCATTAACACGTTGCGATATCTCTGAGCGTGCTCCACCAATCAAAGTGACTATGTACGGTTCCGTGGTATTGTCGTTGCAAGAGCACTTTTGAGAGCTATTTCTGTCTGGCTTTCGAGATCGAAGCAAAGTATAACCCAAAGTAGCTTCAAGGGCGACGTCGACGTTATTAAGTGAGTCCCGAATATCGTAGCCCAATGTCAAATTAGTAGCTGGAAAAAGATTTTATGCAGACATGAAAATTTGTTTAAACATAAAGTCTTAAGTTCTGGCGTGTCAAGTGAAGATGTAATTAACGATTTGTTAATTATAGGAACTAGGTTTCTAAGTAAAAAATCAAAAAAGGAAAAATATATTCAATATTACACGTTACAAAGCCAAGACAATAAAAAAACTGTGACATCTGTTACATAAGGACAGGACCAGACACTATTTCAAACATGGTAACAACTTTTTACCATTAAAAAACCCAGGTCTCATGGCCTCGACAGAAAAGCGTAACGTCTCGCTCCATATAACTCCATTGTTGTTCAACCTGTAACACCTCGGAATACGGTCGTGGTCAAGAATATATGAGTATTTAGGAACACGTAGATCACACAGCGAGTCATTAGATTCACGTATGTGGATTGGAAACAGTCCACCAATTCGTATGTCACTAAAATTGCTGACGAAGGGCCTTGGAAACTTTGCTTGTCCACGATTCGAATTCTGTTTGCTGGACGATTCACGCAAGAGAACAAAGATAGTAAATGTATAAAACAAGTTCATTGCTGTAAAGAAATATCGTTGACCTAAAATGATAAAAATCTTGTTTACACAACAAACAACTTAAATTATATCACATTTATTCGTTATAATAATACGTAGAGTAAAAGGCAAACTTTATAAATTCCTAGCCTTCCTATGTCTACTTGTTGTAGTGTATCCTCAAATCGTAGATATAAAATTTTAAACTAATGAAATGACTTTACATAAACTCTCTATTTTATACATATAAGTTTTAGTCAGTTCTTATGTATATAATCGGAAAACCTATGCTACTTAAGCCAAAGACAACACCCATCAGGCTTCAGATTGAATCTATGAGACTATGACATATATTTCAAAACAAACAGAAATTTATTAGTATCACACAAGCTGATGGTTTTAGAGAAAGAGGCAACAAACAGACCAAAATATAGTGGTTACCTGAATGGCCAACGTTATATACATGGGGTTTTATCATAGGTTAAATCATAGCTACGCCAGTAATATTTCACTCGATCTACACTACACATACTGTATGTTTTTAATAGCGTTTCATACGACCAGATAGTCAAATCCAATAAATAAAACAACACTGGATCGTTTGAGCAAGAGAATGTTGTCAACTTTTGAACATAAGTATGTAAAAATACTAATGATAACATATGAAATAAATTAATTTTCAAATACACAAAAAAACATGACTATTAAAGAAATTGATACATACAACCAATCTTACCGAGGAAGTTGTTAAATGTTACGACAAATAGATCGACAGCGTCGAGTCAAACAATTGCACAGATTGCAACTGACAGCTTCAACTTCGTAAAAATGTAATGACGATCGTTTGATATATATAAACAACAACGCCTGGAAAAAAAGAAAACGAAAACATTTACCAAATTAATTTTAAGTTATCTGAGCCAATATAGTCAACATAACGACAAGTCAAGACCGGATATGTATGTTAGATACCGTGTAATGATATGGTGCGCCAAGATGGACAATATTACCAAAATCGAAAATATTTACAACGAAACACATTATCGTAAATCGAAAATAATATACTGGCAACTCTTTCAATATTTGGAAAACGAAACGCAAAAATATAAAAGAAAAATATACCTACTTTCTTTGCTTAAAAAGACATCGTATTCGCGACTACGAATTTTTTACAAAACATCGTCCTCAGATTGATGACGGCTACGTGTTGTTGTTGTCGCAACAATGTTTTCGCGCCAAAATGACGTAATTAGTACTCATAGTCGTACTCGTAGCCTTTGCTAAAGCTCCCTATTATCACCTCAGCCGTAACATTATCTTTCGTAAAAATGTTTCGATGTAGTCCATCAAATAAACTAAAGCCTCTCGCTAAGAATTCCACAACATCCCGATATTCTGCCATATTTAATATGGAAGGGACAGGCAGACAGAAAGGATGGAAGGAACAAAATAACGAGTCATCGACAGTGTTCACGGAACGCGAAATAAAACGCCGTTTTTTCTTTGATGTCAGTGGCAAAGCGCAGTAAAAAATGTCGTTTGTTCGAAGAAAATGTCGTTTTATGAATGTCAATTTCGTTTTATATAAATGAGTTTCGTTTTATAAAAATAATTTTCATAATTTGAAAAATAAATTTCGTTGTGTATATATAAATTATGGCAAACGAATTTTGTTTCTTTTATATTTTGCGTTTCGTTTTACAACTATTGAAAAGTTGCCAGTATATTATTTTCGATATACGATAATGTGTTTCGTTGTAAATATTTTCGATTTTGGTAATATTGTCCATCTTGGCGCATATAATGAGTGCATGAAGACAAAGACAAACTGGCAACTGTATGTATGATTGGGAATACAGTCGAACAAGAAAAAGGAAGTTATAATTTACATTGATGTCATAGATATATGTGAGCTGAAGCGAGACGTAAATAGCTTTATATCAGTTTTTCCTTACAAATACAGACTTTACTTATGTCTTTTATTTGATAAAAATCATTTTGTTAAACATAAATGTCATTATTCAAATTATTATTAGCAATCACACAATAAGTGTTTTGAAATGTCAATCTTTAATAAAAGTTAATTTGTCCTCAAAACGAATTGGGCATAGTATAGATTATTATCCGACTGTTAGATAACCTAAAATTAAAGCTTTGCACCTGTTTGTCATCTGTCGGCAGAAACACAGGCCCTGAAAGTGTAGTATTCACCAACATCATGAAAAACAGTAAAATTAAAGATCCTGAGAGGTGTCTAACAATCTTGTAAGAATCCTAAATGAATTATGAAATAACAAATTACAAAACGCAGTTTTCAATCATGATTAGCCTGATGGACGTAGATGTACGTACTTACGGGGACGAATAGAGTTTTAAGACTTACTTTATTAATTCATAATTCTTTCATTGAGTCTTTGAGAATTTTCACGCTGAAATTATTTGAAATAAGATTAAATAAGCAATCCTTAAATGAAGTAACCCTAATATAATGGTAATGTTCGTTGATTGTGCATGAATTTCTTACCCAAAATTTCTCGGATTTGTGAACAGGACTCCACTCCAGTCTACCTGACCGAATTTCTGCTGCATATTTGTCAAATGTACTAAAGACGAACAAAATACAAACAAAAAAAAAATAAACGATGAAAAATTTAGAAGACATTTGATTACCTCAAATCTTGTATACTTTCCGTTAGCCGTTCGTGAACGAATTCGACATCTTCCTATGGAGAAATGAGACCATTCTCACTATGTTTGAGTACGCGTAAAGTATTTAAAAAATCATATTTATACTTCAATATCTTCATCCACCCATTTCTTGTTCACTAAACAGCAATAACCTGTATAAAAAAATAAAAGTATTAAGACGGTTAAAGATTTTACAATAAAAATCTCTATATTTATAGACAGTTGGTAGTTTAAAGAAACATCAATCAAAACTTGAATTTTAACAAAGTTTAATATATATATTGAGACAGATATATAACGGGGTGTTTACATGAATCCGGAATGACTTTCATTTCCAATTGAAACAAGATGTCAATCCACGAATGACTTTCTCTTTCTCTTCCTGTGTCTCGCAGGATGTCAGCAAGTATTTGAACAACAGCATTAATCTGTCAAAAATATTTTAAAAATCTCATAATTGAAGTGTTTACGAAACAAACGATATTCAATTCAATACATTCTACTTACTCATTTATTTTTGCAGCAATGATTGCATTAAAACTGAAAAGCCATAAACAAAATATTATTTCATATTGTAGTTGAAAGCCAATGTTATCTCGAACCAAAAACATGACTAAACTAAAGAAGTAAACTATCAAGTTGCGTTGTGTCTGTATTATTTCACAGGACATTTTGTAAATACGCAAACACAGAGCAACCCTGTACAATCAAATACAGTTCAATAGAGAGATGTGGTTTTTGTTCAATTTTATATCAAACAACCAAAATAATTTTTATACTTAACATTAACACAAATATAAATTGAAATAAACGTGAAATTTATTTTTAATGCATTGTTTTGTAAGTTATTTACATCATTGTGTATTGACTAACCATATTTCTTTGACCATTTAAAAGGATAATTTAAAGTTTGCATAATAAACGATTGGAGCTGTAAATTTTACTTTATTATCCATCATAATCAAGGATATTTACAATCAATATTTTTATAACATGTTAATATTTTCATCATCATAAATGTCTTTCACAACTAGGGAGCAAATTCTAAAACATTCATACACTGAGTTGCTCTTTTTTGATTAAACTGCTGGGTCGACGTCCGATGATTTTTCGTGAAAAACTTAGAGCTTTTAAAACTCAAACTTCATCACTTGGCTAGTTTCACAACTTAGCGTCTTGTATGCTGTGTGCAGATTTTCTACGAGGTAAAGTACCATCTAACGTATTTCTCACGTGTTGAGTTTCACTGGATTCGGGATTGGGAGAAAGTGATCGCGCCCGCTGTTTCATTGTATAGCGGTATATATCAGCACGAACAACTTCCATTTGATTGAGTTCAGGCTTAAAGAGAATCACATATATCTTGGGTGCAAACATACATGCAAGAAGATCCACGGCAGTCGCTAAAATAGCGACACAAATATAAATGGCAAAACGATCAAGAATACTTCCTGTGAAGACGATAATAAAGGAAAGCCATATTACTGAAAATGAAAACATAGCATAAGTAATCAAACGTGCTTCGCTAAAGTTGGCTGGAAGGGAACGAGCACGAAATGCCATTATTGCACACACCATAGATAAAAGCCAGTTGTACAAAAGTACAGCGGTATGCAGATCACGTGCAGAATCATTGCAACCGATAGGTACAGCGGTCTCTCTTACGAAGAATTGCAATTTAATAGGATGCACATCCACCATTACTGCTATCAGAATAGCTTCAATAACGAGCAAAACGAAAACCATGAGAAACTGAGTCTTCATTGTAACCAGGGATTTATCTTTGATGTTGGTTACAACGTTATTAAAGATCTGAATGAGTCGAAATGTTTTGGTTAGCACCAGTGAAGATGCTAAAGTCATGAGTAAGCCAAATGCTATAGGCTGAACATGACAAATAGACGTATTTGGACGTCAATATAAAGCAATGGTAGAGCAAACATCACAGTTATAGTTATGAGAAGGAACAAAGAGGGATATCGTGATGCAGCTTTGACGATAGGGTTTTACGATGTTTATAGTAAACACCAAACATGAATGACGTCACAATTACTCGAACACAGAAAACGATGTCAATACGGCAGCAGTTGCCGAATCCCAACGGATAAACTCTTCTGGTATGCGCAAGCATCGCGTACGATTAGAATCAGATGTAAAACCGTTAGGACATTCCTCGCATTGGTTTGGTCCGATACCGACTTTAAATTGTCCGGGTGGACAGAGTATACAATCCCAGCAAAAGCAACATCACTATTCACTTGATACATCCCGGGGCATGGAAACGAACACACCGAGACAGGGGTGGTGTTTCGACCACCGTTCCAGTAAATGGGACTCCGAATTTTCAGTAAACCATTGGACCAACTGCCAACGAACACAAAACTTTTTCCTTTTTTATTTTTGGTTGAAGGTTGAAGGTTGCTGATGTTGTAATAGATCACTAAATGATGGAGAATATGTTTTATGAAATTATTTGACATTTTGACGACTAATTAAATCGTTTACTCAAAAAATAATAACTCATCAAACAATTATAATTTCATGATTAAATAAAGTCATTCACATAATGTGATTATACCTTCTGGATTTCCATCTTCATTGTAACTCAACAACCTACTACTGGATCCAGTTATATTCACCTGTAACATATACATTCTTAACCTTTCCAAGTCAATATTCTTTATATAACTACTATTGCAATTCTCGTAAGTTTTTGGTTTTGTTTTAGTACAATTCATGTACTCAAGTAATCCCAATGCAACAGTATAAGCAGCATCCATAATATAAGATGTTTTGCTTCTCGTTAGATTCAAAGCAGTTACGTTAAAATCATGTTCGCGTACATACTCTAAGATCCAAGGGTTTTCCATGGTTAAGTTGAACTTTCTCAAATGTTGTTCAAATATGGGTACAGTGGGAGTATGTGTAACGATACCCACCATACCACCCACTGTCGATAAATCAAAATCATAAACGCTATCACTGAATCCCCAATCCTCGGTGGCAATCCACGTTTTCCCAGTTAAACCTTGTTTTTGAGCTTCTTTAAGCACAGCGACAGCTCGTGGACGCTCGCAAAACAACACAATCACGTTGGTTCTTTCATTTTTTTTTAAATCTCTGACAATACTCCGAATTTCTTGTTTCGTATCTTCAGAGCTAATGTTGAAATGAAAGAGCCGTTCTAACGAGATACAAATGTTATAACGTCGTGCTAATTGGTTAAAGACCTCCACTCCACCACGACCATAATCTTCATCTGTCGCTACTGTTGCAACATATGACCAGTTGAAATGTTTCACGATATCAACCATAGCACGGGCTTGATAATTATCTGGAGGTATGGTACGCATGAAAGTCCTAGAAAGTTTTAAGTACATCATTCGCAAATCATTTTGATGAATAATAATGCTGGTTTTTACTACAACATAAGTTCGTTTATCGTACACTGATAAACGTAATTTTAATAAAATTTAGATAGTGTAAGACGATTGTTCATTCATCACTACCTGACTGACTCATCTCTCTTCTTCATTCATCACTACCTACATTGACACAAACATACATACCTGTATGCTTCCTTGTTGCTCAAAGAGACACTAGTACTAGAGTAGCTAATTTGTGGAAGTGATGATACGCCAGCAATCGCATTAACACGTTGCGATATCTCTGAGCGTGCTCCACCAATCAAAGTGACTATGTACGGTTCCGTGGTATTGTCGTTGCAAGAGCACTTTTGAGAGCTATTTCTGTCTGGCTTTCGAGATCGAAGCAAAGTATAATCCAAAGCAGCTTCAAGGGCGACGTCGACGTTATTAAGTGAGTCCCGAATATCATAGCCCAATGTCAAATTAGTAGCTGGAAAAAGATTTTATGCAGACATGAAAATTTGTTTAAACATAAAGTCTTAAGTTCTGGCGTGTCAAGTGAAGATGTAATTAACGATTTGTTAATTATAGGAATTAAGTTTCTAAGTAAAAAATCAAAAAAGGAAAAATATATTCAACATTACACGTTACAAAGCCAAGATAATGAAAAACTGTGACATCTGTCACTATAACAAAAAAATGGCAAATCATAAAATAATTGTATATTTTGTTTAGGATAGGACCAGACACTATTTCAAACATGGTAACAACTTTTTACCATTAAAAAACCCAGGTCTCATGGCCTCGACAGAAAAGCGTAACGTCTCGCTCCATATAACTCCAGCGTTGTTCAATCTGTAACACCTCGGAATACGGTCGTGGTCAAGAATATAGGAGTATTTAGGAACACGTAGATCACACAGTGAGTCATTAGATTCACGTATGTGGATTGGAAACAGTCCACCAATTCGTATGTCACTAAAATTACTGACGAAGGGCCTTGGAAACTTTGCTTGTCCACGGTTTGAATTCTGTTTGCTGGACGATTCACGCAAGAGAACAAACATAGTAAATGTATAAAACAAGTTCATTGCTGTAAAGAAATATCGTTGACCTAAAGAATAAAAATCTTGTTTACACAAAAACAACTTAAATTATATCACATTTATTCGATATAATAATACGTCGAGTAAAAGGCAAACTTTATAAATTCCTAGCCTTCCTATGTCTACTTGTTGTAGTGTATCCTCAAATCGTAGATATAAAATTTTAAAGTAATGAAATGACTTTACATAAACTCTCTATTTCCATATACATATAAGTTTTAGTCAGTTCTTATGTGTATATGCTACTTTAAGCCAAAGACAACACCCATCGGGCTTCAGATTGAATCTATGAGACTATGACATATATTTCAAAACAAACAGAAATTTATTAGTATCACACAAGCTGATGGTTTTTTTTAGAAAGAGGTAACAAAACAGACCAAAATATAGTGGTTACCTGAATGGCCAACGTTATATACATGGGGTTTTATCATAGGTTAAATCATAGCTACGCCAGTAATACTTCACTCGATTTACACTACACCTACTGTATGTTTTTAATAGCGTTTCATATGATCTGATAATCAGATCCAATAAATAAAACGACACTGGATCGCTTGAGCAAGAGAATGTTGTCAACTTTGGAACATAAGTATGTAAAACTACCAATGATATGAGATGAAATAAATTAATTTTCAAAACTATGACTATTAAAGAAATTGATACATACAACCAATCTTACAGAGGAAGTTGTTAAATATTACGACAAATAGATCGACAGCGTCGAGTCAAACAATTGCATAGATGTTTGACTTTGTCTTCATGCAACTGACAACTTCAACTTCGTAAAAATGTAATGACGATCGTTTGATATATCTAAACAACAACGTCTGCAAAAAAGCGATAACATTTACATCGTTAATTTTAAGTTATCTGAGCTAATACAGTCAACATAACGACAACTCAAGACCGGATATGTATGTTAGATACCGTCTAATGAGTGCATGAAGACAAAGACAACCAACTGTATGTATGATTGTGAATACAGCCGAACAAGAAGAAAAGGAAGTTATAATTTACATTGATGTCATAGATATATGTGAGCCGAAGCGAGACGTAAATAGCTATATATCAGTTTGTTTCCTAACAAATACAGAATTTACTTATGTCTTTTTTATTTGATTTTAAAAAATCATTTTGTTAAACATAAATGTCATTATTCCAAATTTTCATTATTAGCAATCACACAATAAGTGTTTTTGAATAAACTATATGTAGCTCAAATGTGAAATGTCGAATCTTTAATAAAAGTTAATTTGTCCTCCAAAAACGAATTGGGCATAGTATAGATGATTATCCGACTGTTAGATAACCTAAAAATCAAAGCTTTGCACCTGTTTTGTCATCTGTCGGCAGCAACGCAGGCACTCTACTAATGATGTTGATATTTCATTGAGTCTTATATACATAATTAAAATTAAACGGTGACACAATCAAGCGAACTCTTTAGAAAACTTAGCAATCTTAAACTATCAACTATTTCATATATTAACGCTGAATTTCATTAGAAATGTTTGTGTACAAACGTAATTCGTTATGTTTATGACAAATATTTCGGACGGAAGATGGGATGCCCAACCGTCAAAAGAAAAACGGAAGACAACAATATCTCCATTTTTGTACTGCTATAAGAAAATTTAGGTTCAGTTATGTGCGATTCTTAATAACAAAACAATAATTTTTAAATTAATCAGATTTCACATTTCCAGAAGTGTTTAGAAATTCTTGCAAATAGTCAATATTCAACTATATATTCGCCTTTTGACATCGTCAAAGAAATATAGTTAGTCAATATACAATGATGTAAATAACTTACAAAACAATGCACTAAAAATAAATTTCAAGTTTATTTCAATTTATATTTGTGTTAATGTTAAGTATAAAAATTATTTTGGTTGTTTGATATAAAATTGAACAAAAACCACATCTCTCTAATTGAACTGTATTTGATTGTACAGGGTTGCTCTGTGTTTGCCTATTTACAAAATGTCCTGTGAAATAATACAGACACAACGCAACTTGATAGTTTACTTTTTTCATTAAACTGGTGTTATATAGAGTTATCAAGACTTTCAAAATACTTTCAATTTTACCTTAAAAAGATTTTTCTTCAGTCAAATCTTTGGCATGTTGTGTGATTCTAACTTGTTAAAATTAAACTTGATTCTCGATTATTAACATCGCATTTACAATAAAACCACCTACTTATATATCATCATTTATTTACTCCAGTAACACACCAAGTTTTGTATAAATAACAACTCAATTGGAAATGGCATAGATATGAATGCCTGGAGTGAATGATCAAAAGATAAAAATGATGATCACAGCTGTTACTAGTTTTTCCAATGATCTCCATCACACATTCAATTTAAATTCTTTTCTATAAATGAATTGCAAGTTTCTATACTATACTCATTGCATTTAAAATGAAGAGCATGACCATATTTACTACATCAGATTTGCCCAAACAGAAGACAAATCGACACAAAAGTGAAAACTAACATTATGAAAATAAATAAAAATAAAGTGATCACGACTATTATTATCATGTGGTTATTAAACAATATATTTTTTTTGCCTAACAAGTACTTGCAAAAATATTGGAATGCTAATGGATAGTAAGAATGTATACATACAAAAAATGTATCATGATATGTATTATACACAACTAATACTGACAAGTGACAAATCAATGAACTGATAAGAATCAATGGACTATATCCTTCATGGCAAATGTTTCCCACTAATCTTATCGTATTATACTAGAGGGTATCTATGAAATAGAGATGAAATAAGCAATATAGTAAAATGGAACATGAGAGGTTTTTGAATGCGATAAAAGAGAGAAATATTGTAAAGGTTAAATACATACCTTAAGTAGATGTGATAAAACTACAATCTGTTTCAAAGTATAACCAGATAACGCCTGTAATAAACACAATACAATAAATAGCGCGATGAACGTCGACTTAAATTTTGGCAAACACTCCTAGCAGCTTTTCAAACGACAAAGAAACTAACAAGACAAAGAGTCCAATATTACTTTAACGAGCCTGTCTTTCATTCAGACGGGGTCTGTTGACTCTCCTGAGTGCACAAATGCAAATATAAAGAATGAGTTAGGACACGCAACGTTTTTAGACAGGTTATTTTCAAGGGAACATGTAAAATAACAAAATAGCACAGTGTATCATCTGGTAACTAGGGTAACAAAAAAGGTAAAACGATTACTGTCTTAAAAACCGATTGAACTAGGTGGGAAAAAAGGATAGAAAAGCATAAATGAAAGTTTCAATGAAATTATACTTTTGGAAATGTTTCTTAATTTGAATTCCGATCATTTCAATAATAATTTAAAAAAACACCTGCAAATAATGCATACCTAGCATAAACGTAAGTAAGGCGTGAGTCACCGTCTAATCATGATTAAAAATATGCCTTTAGTGTAGGTTTTGATTAGATAAATGATAAATGGGGAGTTTTCTGTAAGAAGCTTATTTATAATTCATATTCCACAAAGATAATGTGCACAGACATTACTTTCTCTGGTCATAGGACTTATTTAGAAGTTAGAAGTTAGAGCAGCTGACAAATAACAATAATTAACAACAGTTGCACACCGTCTATTTACTACTAAAAAAGTACAAGATTTCTTTGTGAACGGTGTGCAACCAGCACACAAAGACTTCCGTTGCACATTTGCATTTGTATTATTTAAATTTTCTTATATTGATGTTGTTTGTCTCATGTGGAAAGTCATATGAACGGACATCTTCTTATTGAAGTTAAGTAGCAGATGAAAGATAGTGAAAAATTGTAGCATTGAAAGGATTCAAGCGCTAACTCTCCCAGCAAGAAATGCGTTCAACAGTGCACGTAGGATTTTTGGTTATAGCTTTGATATACTTTACAAATGTCGCAATAATACAGGGAAGTAACGAAATCTCTTTATACAAAGATGGTGATTATATTATTAAAGTTTTGTTGGCACTAACAAACAGTGAAGGAAATTTGTCTGAATCATACGTAATAATCACCGAAGTTATACGGTATATTATAAATGGCATTAACGCTAACAATTCAACCTTATCACAAATAACGCTTGGCTATGATATCGTAAATGACAAGTCAAATCTGAATTTGATCATGAAAGAAGGCATTGCTATTGTTTCCAAGTATCGTCACAACTCTATTTGTAGAAAAAACGAGGAATTCTGCATGGCAACACCAATGCTTGCTCCCAATCTTCCTTCGCGTATAGGTGCAGTCATTGGTCCTGCGAGATCAAGCAGTTCAGTACCTTCGGCAAGTTTGTTAGGCCTTTACAATATACCACAAATAAGTTATGCAGCTTCTTCAAGTATACTTAGTGATGATTCACGATTCAAGTCATTTCTACGTACGATTCCATCAGACAAATATCAGTCAGAAGCCATTGTTTCCTTTGTGAAGCACTTCGATTGGACCTATGTTGTATTTATCGCCTCGGATGATGAGTATGGTAGACAAGGCTTGGCTTCATTTAAAATGGCCGCGCGAAAAATGAAGGTTTGCACGGCTGAAGATGTAAACATACCATTTCAAAGAGACAACGGAACGGAAGATATGAAAAGACAAATCGCAGATGTAGTGAGTAGAATGAAGAATCTTCCAAAAGTGCGTGTCGCTATATTGTTCATGTTTGAAGAACAAGCAGCTCAGGTAAATAAATTTATTATCTTCGTGTTTTTATTTCAATCATAATGATAAAAAAACCACATAACCTCATGAACACTTTCTTTTAACTGATGTACCAGAGTAAAGTCACAATTATCCAAAAATCGTAGATATTCATATGTTATAGGGATAATATTTGTTACATAGATGCAAACACCGTCAATAAATTCAGTTATAATTGATTAGAGAACAGTCAGTTTTTTTTTATATTTTAAGCACTCAAGTAAACATCACAAGATAATCACCTAAGTTAAAAGTTAAACACGTATGTAACAACACGAATAAGTTGAAAAAATATAAATATTACCGTTTAATATAACTTTTGGGACACTTGTCTCGTTTTTATGTTTCCGAAAGAAAAACAAAGAAATGGCTATTGTTGGCTTATTTTGAATTCTAAACGAACTGCGATAAATCATTTTAAGGATTGTCAAACATATACGAGGATTTGTCAACTGTCATATTCATTGCACATGAATTACAATTTTAGGTTTTAGATGTAAAAACGTCACAGTCCTCAATGTTTTCCGCCATTTTAAATTTAATAATTGCAAAGCCAAAATTTAAACTTGATGCTCAACAGCCAAAAACTTTAAAGTTTTCTTTCATTATGTTTGTTATTCTTGGTATTCATTTGGAGAAATGAAAATCTGTTGATAAAAACAAAAACGAAAAGTGTTCACTGGCTCAATATCACTTGTTGCAAAGAATTTCCTACACATCCCATTCTTTCAATGACCTTATTTTAGGTATTACGAGAAGCAGAGGCGCAAGGACTGAATAATGTCACGTGGATTTTTAGCGATGCTATTGGTCCAACGATAGCCAACTATAACATCAGCAAAGAGCAGTTACACGGCGCTTTTGGCATTGATTTTGTTTCCGAAGTAATTCCGAAGATTGAGGAGCATCTTTTGAACGTGACTGTTGAGAAAGCATTCGTGAGTAATCCATGGTTATTGAAACTCTTCGAAAAGAAGCTTAACTGTTCTACAAAAAATGTAGTTGGTAAAAGACAATGCAGAATGAACGAGAAGTTTGATCGTAATTTCCTAAAAACTTCAGTACGATGGAGTCGACTTATCAATGTGGTAAACAGCATCTTAGCCATAGAAAACGGACTTGATAATCTATTGAAATGCAATGGCAAACTACCAGGAGGACAGTGCCCCAACACAAGTTTTCCATTAAATGCTGAGGATGTGTACACATATATACGAAATGTTTCATTTAAAGGTGCTTTAGGTAAGCAAGTGTCTTTTGATGAACATGGGGACTTGGAGACGAAAAACTATACTTTTCGTAATTTGCAATGGAATCGCCTTAATGACACCATAGAGTCTCGAACAGTTGCAGAATGGTCATCCCTTCAGCCAGATAGTCCTAAATTCATTCATGGCAAAAACGATCTTGGTCTTACATGGAACAAAGGTAAAGTCCCTTATGCAACCTGCAGTATTCCATGTAAACCTGGAGAAAAACAGGTGGGTGAAAGTGATTGTTGCTGGGCATGTTATCCTTGTCCTAAAGGTGAGGTAAGCAACGTTACAGGAGTAAACACATGTCATAAATGTCCATGGGGATGGTATGCTAACAAGGCTAAAACACAATGTCTCAAGACTGAAGTGGACTATATTGACTCTGGTGATGCATTTGCAATTGTTACTATATGCATAGCATCTATTGCTATTGTTGCCATTTTAATGGTTGTGGCAAAGTTTTATTTCGTCAGGGACACTCCGTTGATTCAAGACTCAAATCCACTCCTCTTAGGTTGTTTGATAACTGCGGTAATCCTGGCTTTCATGTATTCTATGTTTCAAGTTACATTGTATCGTACAGATGCATCATGTCGATTCTTGAGTGCAATGCTTTTGGTGACACAGCTGCTAGCAGCAAGCACATTATTGGCTAAAACCAAGACATGTGACCAGCATCTCAGGAAGCTAGCTTCACATTATTTTGAGCCAGCCGCCCAGTTCTGCTCTATAATATTTGTCGCAGCTGTGATGCTGTTTGAGCTTTTTGTCATTGGAATTTGGTTCATAACGGATTCACCAGTGTTTGAATTAACAGTAAGTTCGATTGAGCTACACATCCGAGAATGCAGTTCGACCTGGGCAGCGGCAAGATTTATTGCCACTGGCTTCCCACTACTCATACTATTTCTTGCAACAGTTTTCTCGTTTAAAGAACGCGATGATCGTAAAAATCACAGCGAAGCAAAGTATATAAGTTTTTGTACAATTTCTCTGTGCATACTGCTCATTGCATTCTTTCCTACACATCGTTTCGCCCAAGGCCTTACACAGAGTATTGTCATAGCAACCACTTCTCTTGTGGGCGGATTAGCGGTTAGCGTCTGCATAATTCTACCGAAGGTGTACATTTTGCTTGTAAAACCTCACCGTAACGTACCTGAGGAAGAACAGGAACGCACTCGTAGTCATAATACCACAAGTTCGGCACACACAGCAAACGGAAGTCAACATCGTTCTGTTTTCTCAGAGGGTGACGACAAGTTTCAACCGACCAATGACAATGAAAAGCGTGTTGTGAAAGACATTACCCTTTCGTAATGCGGTCAACATCATTTCTGATAATGCCTTGTTTTAGAAACATTTTCTTAGAAAGTTAATTTCGTGTAGTGAAAGTCATTTAAACGTCAAAATGTAGAGTTTACTTGTAATTGATGATCAATAAAAGTTAAGAAACAATTGTTAATTTTGAAAATATTGCTGAGTTTCTAAACGACTATTTGAATATCGATTTCAATATTCAAATTGTCACCAATATTCAACTTAACATCAAATAGCTGATTTTCTATATTAACATTTCGAGAGTGAAATTGCTACGTTGGTTATCTACTCATAATTAGGGTTACGTTTGGTTACAGAAAGATCTTAGTTACTTTTGTAAAACCTTCAATATCGCAAAAGATCCCCCAGTGAACCCTCTCCACCCAAACTCACATTTTCCGTCAGGGTATGATGCAATGCAACATAAATGCATTATAATCAGCCACTTACTCCAATACCGACACAATTTGCTTTTTTCTCTCAGGAACAAAGGGTACTTTTTCTTTTGCGCTATGTAGTCGTCTGTTCTCCTCTCTAAAGAATATATAAACCATTTTGTACATTTTATGGGAGAAATCATTTAAAATTCCAAATATTATAAGGTTAACGTTCAACTTTAGGGAACAAATTGTCATTAATGCAGTTGGAAAGATAAGCATTAGGGCGAAGTTGAATAAAGACGTTATTCCACGGACCTAGTTTTACGTGAGTGGAGCATTATCCTCTTCTCTCGCGCAGATTTGTAAATAGCTGAAGGCACGTGACGATGTCTATAGTACAAAGCCATGTTAGTCACCAGGTTTCCAAACAATGTCAAATCAAAATGTGGAAAACGAAAATATCTGAGTTACAGTATGCATCTCATGCATTCTTCACCTTAATATTCTTAGAACTTGAGGATGAAACTTGTAACGTTCTTTGAGTTTCTTGTTGTAAGTGAGTGATGCTTTTTCTCTCGGAGCAAGCTAGAACAAACACAACATTACAAACATATAAATTCTCCTTCGCATGCAAAAAAGAATTAATCAACACTGGATGAAAGTTACAAACGATAATATTGATGTACAATAATGAAAAAAACGAAATAGTTAAAAGAAGCAGCAAACATATGTATGTTAACAATTTGCTGCAATTTCAACAAATGGGGCAAAAATATAAACAAAGCAATGAAATTACCGGTCCAAGTTTGGCTGACGCATCTGCTTTCCAAATTCTGAAAACGCAATTAGATTAAATTAAAGTCCTGAACATTAGTTACATGAAGACGGCTAGACGTCATAAGATGAATGATTTATAATATTTATGAAAGTAAAAACCAAGCTTGTGTCCTCCACCATCATCAATCCTCAAACAATAATTTTCAACTTGACAATAGATCATTGTAATTGAAAGGATGTAACACAACAACAAAATTATCTTAGTTGAGTATTTTCTTACCTGACATTCATCTCGTCACTGCCAGAAAGTATAAACTCTGAATCAGGACTCCATTTTACACAAAATACACGTTGCATTCGTTTTGTATGATACACTTCTCTGGAAAAAAACAATTTAACTATGAAAAATGCTTCCCAGGAAAGACGTTCTCCTCCACATCGCAAATTATTTTCTTACAGGACCGCTAAACTTCTTAAACAACCTACTGTGACCACCAGACACCTACCTACTGTGACCACCAGACACCTACCTACTGTGACCACCAGATACCTACCTACTGTAACCCCTAGACACCTACTGTAAAGATTAGACGCCTACCTGCTATGACCACGACTACGAGGAAATATCCGTATGGTTCTATCAAAACTTCCAGTTACAAATTCTTCTCCAGTTGGAGAATAATCTACATCAAGGACAGCAGCAACGTGATCTTTATGTACGTTAACCGCAAAGTCCAGACGGCGCATATCGTAAGTGTAAAGATTCGAATCCTCGTTGGCAACTGTGAAATGGAATGCTTCCATAGGATTCCATGCGACTGTGTTGCTACGCATTTTCATCAGAAGTTTTCGTAATGGTGTTGTTTGACGTGTATCGTACAAAACGACGCTTCGATCAGATGCCGTACTTGCAAGAAGGTTTATCTTCATATAAATAAAAGAAAATTGTTAAAAGTTTATGAAGGGTCACATTCTTACAAAGCAGTTCATTACATTATAAAAATTAGGGCACTGAAGTAATGGAAATATTTTATATGATGCGCTGAATTAAAACATAAAAATAGTTTCTCACACACAACCAGGAACTACTGCAGCCAATCCACTACAACGTTTATATTTATTTGTCATCAAAACAACTAATACATCTACTATTATATTAATTAGAAAAGGCCTTGCAACATAGGCTAGCTTAAACTAAACAGTATTGAATATCAATTTACAAATATTGATAGTGATCCATCCAGATAGGCAGGAAGTACTTTTGTCAAGCTGTAGGGATGCTACAACAAAATGTGCTTGATATAACCTACACTACCTACCACAATGATTCACAACTGGCTCCCAGGAGTGTGTAAGAAATAATTTTCTGCTTTTTTTGTTTCTCAGTTGAAGGAAGATAACACTTTTCTTCTTAATAATGCATTTAAATAATTATAAAAGTACCTCAATTGGATTAAATTTAACACTGTGAACTGTATCAAAACCCCACTTGAATGATCTGACAGGTTCAGATCTTTCACCTTGCCAAATATCCACTTGCTCGCCACAAGTTGCATATGTATTTTCAGCCCAGTGATGGTCAATGCCTTGAAACATTGTCTAAGATAAAAAAGCTGCATGCTAATGGTGGACATCAAATGATAGGAGGGACATGTAAGTACACATATGATAAAAATCATGGATCATTATAAGGAAGAAGTTAAAAAACAGGGAACAAATATCTTCAATTTCTCCCCGTTATTGATACAGCAAAATAACTTTAGTCCAAGGATTTATAAATTACATACTTTTCCTAGAATGGAGTGAATTAGATGATAAGACGTATCTTTTTTACAACTCCAGTGTTTTATTTGTTTGTCATCACCAATCTTAAAAAGATGAAATGAAATTTGAAAAATAACAGACCACAATCATTGTGAAAGTGACAAGATTTAACAAAACTGTATCACTTAGTATCCACAAACAACCATAAAGTAAAAACTTACAGAGATGAAGGTATCTCCTGAAGGAACAACAGCAAGACCACGGACGAAACCTCTAGTATAAAAATTACAAATGCATGAGTATGAGTTTAGCCAGCATATTGTTTAAATAAACCATTGCATAACAAACAGCACACATTTGTTTCTTTAACTAACAATCCTCTTCCTACTCATAATAAAATGTCACATCTTTAAAGACCTAATCAACAAATCAATACATATGGGCATAAATTCAAAAGCCATAAATTCAAAAAATCAATACCTATGGGCATTATATGATCTCAAACATTTTCTTTGAGGTAAATTCCACAATTTTACCTGAATAGAAAACATTAATAGAAATAATTAAATACACACAAGCACTTAAGATGTAAGCAAAAAATATTAGATTTAAAAGTTGTACTTCTCCGTTACAAGAGCCACTTAGCAAGAGCGAAAGGCTCTTTTGAAACTTTGCCATACAGTTTACTCCATCTTTATGTCCGTCAAGCGATCCAACAAACGGCTTGGCAAAAACTCGCTCGAGTTTTGCAGCATTTAAAGCCCTCGTGTATTCACGTGCAGCTTCGAATGGATGTAAACTTGGGTCAATATTTCGAGGAATTTTATGGATATCCGACTTGCATTCACGAATGTAGTCCGAGGGGTTGCGAGATAGCACTTTAACTTTCATCTTGTGGAATATTGTACGAAAATTTATGCTTTCTTTGATGAGATAGCAGAACTCCTTTCTCAACGACTCAAAAACTCCGCCATATTGGACATGTGACTCAATGACGTCAGCACACGGTACAGAGGAACAGCGCAGAGACAAACAGCACACTTTTCGGATTCAAAGGAATTCTTCTGATCACAGAGACGGCCGTAAGGCATCGGGAATCATGGACCAAAACGGGGTTTTTGCTTTCAAATATTATATTGACACATACATATTCCGAGAAGGATAACTATCTTTATTACAGTGCGATTTAATGAAAAGGAACTTATAAGTCCAAAATGAGCTTACCTAAAAAATGTAACAATGGAAAACTAAAAATGTCGAAACGCTTTTACTTGAATCATATCCTATTAATTGGCAAAAATTAGAGAAAAATAGCAAATAATAAGTCTTTATATACATTAATTGAGCTAAACGAAAATTAGTCACGTTTTTTCATGTTTAGTTACACATACATTCAGTTAGTTAGCACATAAAATAATCGAAAGTTTCTACCTGTGAATGAACGTGAACTAATCCTTCTACAATCTCACGGAGAAACCACCACATTATCTGTTGGTCCTTGTTCTATCCCTCGTTAATAACATTCCTTAGAGTACTCTTCTCACAATACTCCATCAGTATACACAAAATTTACAGAGTACACTTTGAACGCTCTTGCAAATCGTTTGTGGTGATTGCTTTCTCTTCACTTTCGAAATCAGATTCCTCGTCCTAAGAGAAAGACGCTGGTAGCTATTTTTCAACATCTTCAGCAACATCATGTACAGTTCCCACTACTATATACCACGTTAGCCAAAGGGCTTCCAAACTGTATATGTGATTCATCGATATTTCTTTTGAACATATCTTTAGTAGAGTCGGTGTTATTAATGGATTGTTTTTGTATTGGAACATCGTCTTCGCTTGAGCTTTTATCGTCATCAACATGCTTGGAATCATTCGTGTTTTAATTGGTCAAAGAGTCCTCATACAAAGTTATGAAGAAAAATAAAAAACATCCCTAACATTGTCACGGATAATACGAGTTGCGTAAAAAAGTGACGATGAGTTTGATGTGCATTTGTCAAAAACAAGCTTAAGAAGACAAACAGCATTAGAAAAATGTGTAACTGAAATTTGCTAAACACCGATTTCATAGTTCGCTCTGTCACAAATTTTTTGAGAATTAATCTGAGCATGCGCAGTCAACTCCACCAACTCTCCAAATTCATGGCTCCAATTCAAACTGTATGAGCTAGTAACGATTATGGAGTAAATCATCTACGCATGCGCAGTCTGCTCGAGCATGCGCAGTTAACTTGACCAGCTGCACAAGTTCATGGTCATGGCAACGTCCAACTGCATCTACTAGCACTGATTTTCGAGTAAATAGCATGCTTAGTAACAATTTAATAGAGAAATCATCTGCGCATGCGCACGAGCATGCGCAGTCCACTCGTTCTAGTGCCTTAAGATTAATAAGGTATCGGGAAGCATGGCCCGAAAACGGGGTTTTTTGCTTTCATATTTTATCTTTTTAAAATAAAATAAACCAAGCAATGCTTCAATTAAATTCTTTGAAACTGTGCCTTTTTATGACACTTACAATTTAAGACAACCTTAAACATGTTTTATACAATTTTTATTGGTTTTTGATTTAACTCTCTCATTTATTGTTTCGCACGTATCACAAGCAAACCATCCAAGTGCTTCAAGGCCAACAAGGATTACTGGTTCCCTTAATTAACATGCGACGCTCTAGTGCTCAACTATCTCCGGGTATCGGGAGGCATGGACCAAAAACGATATTTTTTGTTTTCAAAATTTCAGATTCACAAATGCCCAAAACTCAAAAGCATCTCCTAACCATTTTATTGCCACTATTATACATAAACAATACTATGTACCATTTGATTGTCCGAATTTTGTGATTTGATCTGTGAAAAGTGACTATGAAAAGAAATTGAAGGCATTCAAATTTTATTGTGCTGCACAATTACAATGATTCATATAGCTTCACAATTACTATGATGATATAACTTCAGTTGAAGAAACACAAAATGAGAGAGTTAAATCGTAAAAAATACGGAAGTTGTTTGAAATATTGCAGTATCCTTGGATATTATTGTTTGTTTTATGAAAATAATTGTTGTGAACTAAAAACAAATTTCATGAGCGAAAAATCTCGTTTTCAGTCCATGTTTCTCGATACCTTGCGAATTGAAAGACAATATAACGTCGCATGTTAACGTTTCGGAAGATTTCGGCCTCTACTCGGCTTTACTCGTGGTACGCAGGGAGAGTGCGGTTGCGACTGAAGCCTATAGGCCCGGGCTTTCGAGAGTCCCGTTGTATCTAGACATAATTAGTTTTAGTTTTTGTCATTTCGGACTAGTTAAATGTTCTTAATTTAGACCATTTATGTTGTTAAACACCGTACGATCTACTGTTCAAATGCACGATAATCAGAAATCATGAAGTGTTGGGTTTTCCAAGGTTCAACTTTAACTTTATTTCTTCTGTTGATACTATGAGTTACAAAAACAAACTGGGAAATGCAAAGGCAAAGGAGAGTAAGAAACACAAATTTCATCAAGACTGTACTTAGTGGGAGGAATAGATATCCGTTCGACTTAAAGTGCAACAACTTTGTCTTAGCCTACAGGCCCCATAATTAGTAATCCCCGCCACTGACTCCCAGAGCAGTGCAAAAAGTTTTAACTCGAACAAATTCTTAAAGAATATTTTAATAATTCATTTCATAAGTTATATTCTCCTTAACATTTTGGGGAAATTTTAGTACGGTTAAAAGTGATTTTCTGTAATGTAAATACATTTTGCCATTATGTTAAGTTGATATCATCTTCAGCGATATTTTCATCTATCGTCTTATTCTCATAAACTGCCTGTTCTATCCTTGTTTCTCCACCAATGTCTTGAACTCCATCTACATTAACCTGATCTTTAGATAGTGGACAATCTACGTCACTTTCGGTGGCATCAGAAACACCATCGATTTGAGATACTCCATTTATTTCCTCTACATCCAAACTTTCAATGTGGATCACATCATCAGATTTATCACCTGACTCCTTGGGTTCCCCTAAAGTACACACATCACCTTCGCGAAAATTCTCTGTTGAATCTGGTTCATTAGGACTCTTATTTTCTGACTGGACTCCGTTCAGAATAGTTCGGCAATGGTTGCCTTCTTCATATTGTTTTGCATCACTTCCTTTGCAACCATCATCTTCTTGTTCATCTTCTTGTTCATCTTCTTCTTCACTATCATCACTCTCCTCACAATTTTCATCTTCCTCTTCATCGTCGTCATCCGAACCTAAATCTTCGCCAAGTTCCTTCAATCGTTTCTAAAAAAGCGTAACAAGAACAAAAATACTAGAAAAAACAGTATTTTTATGAAAAACTGACATAAAAATTATACCTAAATTGGGTTCCTAAATAATAATTCAGAATTTAAATCACGAACAAAAAATAAACGACTTTAAGATGAGCCAAATCTTAAGAACAGCATGTTTACCTTGTATTTACTACACTTTGCGTCTTGATCACTTAATAAAACTAACAAGTCTTCGTGTTCTTGAGAAATGCTTTCTTTCTCATTGCGAATTGCTTGAAGATCTTTCAAAAGCTCGTCTATTTTTTTTTCTAAACTCTTCACGACGATCTCCGAATTGCCAACTTGCCCCTTTGTACAAACAGTAATAATAGTTTTAGCTCTACCTCTTCTTCAATGTATATTTTAAAAAAAACATATCAGGCAAAACCTGTGACGTTATTTCGTTGCGCAGGGATGAGTTTTCAGCTCGTAAAGACAACACTTCTTCTTCCAACGAGCTAACAGATACTTGCGAATGACGTAATCCACCAGTGTTTTTTGAATCTTTAGACGACAAAATGGACGCAGCGTTTGCTACAGCTAAAGATGCCTTGGATACCTCGAGTTCACGTTCCTTGAAATGAAACAAGCGATGTTCATTGATAATGCAACCAAGAGCATTAATTAAGACGAGTTCAGTTCCCTCTAAGCTATTTAGACTTAATTGAATATCGTGTTGAGTATCAAGTATTATCGACGTATATTTTGTCCACAAAATTTTTCTCCTGTCACCCAAGACCAAAGGAGAGTATTATTTGAAGTCGATTTCTTGAACTAAACTATGTGGGACTCACCAGATGTTTAATTCTGTCTTCTTTGTTTTGTACCTCACATTCTCTACTGTTCAAATCCTGTTGAAGATCTGTCACCATTTGACGTAACGATTGTACATTGGTGTTGTCAATTTCTGAACGGACATTTCCTTCGTCATCTGCGAGGAAAGATGAAAAACGTACTTCAGTTGTAGGTCTCGAAAAATCATTCAACAGCTCAGCAAATATGTGAAAAATATAATCATCTTGAAATAATTTATTAATATCAAGTCGAATCGATATACACAAATCCTTAAGACTCTGTGACACAGATACGGTGAATGCGTATGGTTAAGCATCAACAAATAATTCAAAAGTTTTACAATAAGAAAACATTAAAACTAAAGGTTCTGATATTAAGAATTTTGCAACTTACTAAGTCTATTATTCAGTTGATCTTTCAATTTCTGCATCTCCAATGCTTGCTGTTGCAATTGTATTTGAGCCTAAATATAACAAATCAAATACAGTACATTACATCGGAGAAATTTGGTCCACTCATTAGTAACGTCTTCTGGATATGTTCATATCCTTCATCTTCGAATTTATTCATTAAAGGGTTAAATAAACCAAAAGTGCACTTATTTTGACCTAGAAAACACTTTAACCTTAATCATTTGAAAAAGGATGCAATTTAAAGCATGGACATAGATACAGCAAGAGTCATTAATGCGTAAAATAAGCAATACCTGAGTATAATTAGTTTCAAGCTCACCACATTTTGCTCGAATTTTTCCCAATTCATCGTCCTAAAAAATGAAACAAGTTTTAAGGCTGGTCAAAACTGTTTCAAACAAGCACTGTCTTTCTTGATGAGTACGCAGTTTGAGTTAGTAATTTGAATGCTACCAACTACTTGAAATGCTCCACTTTTTATGTCATCGGGAAAAGATTTAGTTTAGCTTTGGAAACTTTTTCATTTTGATCCGTAGTGCTATGTTACATAGTGTTTACCGTGAACACTATGTAACACATGAGCCATAGAGCGTCTCTATTCTCATTGGTCAAAGTCTTTCAGAGAAAGGAATCGTTGCGTTTCAGTACGGATTCTGACTTAGAGACATTCAATTAATTGCAAATAGATGGTAGCTGACCTGTTCCTTAATAAGCTCCTTATATGACGTAATAACTGATTCCTGGTTGTCAGCACCGCTGGCCATAGGAGCAGACGTATTCTGTAAATTTTCTTTGACAGGACCCCCTTCTACGGCTACACTCACAGAAGCTATAACAGAGGAAAACACTCCATTTCACACAATTCATGCTCTTTAAATTATAAGTGAACGAAGGATTGAATTCAACATGGCCTAGCATTTCATTTGACAAAGAAACGTTTCAATTAAATACCTTCAAGTTTCTTGAAAAGTTTTGTAAATTCATGATCAAAAAAAACGTGTTCCGATGAAACTGCCTGTATCTGTAAGATTAAACGATATTCCATAAAGAATACAAACGACAATTAAACTTTCGGAAAAGTACTTTCATATACATTACAGCAATCGTTACTAAAGAAAGAAATTTTGCTTGATGTTAGCAATGGCAAAAGAAATATTCAAATTTCACACAACAAAACACTTAAGCTCTCTGAAATTAAAATCTTATATTTTTTCCTTACACGACGTTTTTGAAGTCCTTTATATTTCTCAAACGATAAAAAGAGTGAAGAAAATAATCACCTCTGGTGCCTTCGATGCTTGTGTATAGTATTCCGTTTTGTATATATGATGTATTCTGTCAAGGAAGTTGTCCGTTCCAATCCTCTTTGATATCAACTGTTGTATAGCTTCTCTGTCAACAAAAGAAGAAGCTAAAACATCCAATAACGCAACAACAAACACGCTAATCATACGTAACTATCATGTGATTCTAATCCAATCACAAAGATAATCTAAAATTGATCGATGCTCATAACCAGATAAGATAATCTAAAATTGATCAATGCTCATAACCAGATACCTGGAACAATCCTTAACACTGCCATCGTTCTCAATAGAGCATATTCCGAGCAATAAAGCAGATAACCCAGAGACAACACGTTCTTCTTCTTCCCACCGTGATTTTGAATTTGTGAAGTCAACTTACGACGAATTAAGAACTTTTCCCTCAATGAACTACTAACAAGTTGCACTTTATAACTTATTTTGGGGAGGAACTTGGTTAGCGTGTTTTTTTAAACATACTATAGATCAACAAAGTTGAAAGAAGGTTGTGGTGCTTTACTCACGACTAAAGGATACATAAGGTATGTTTGATGTATTCTGTAAAAAACGTGACACTGCTATAGGACATGCTGTAAGCCAACTACATAACAAACTGAGTAGACCAATCTTAGCCTGTATTGTTGCAGCACCATGAGATAACATGTTTGTACATTGATCGATAAGTGAGATGGGTGGATTACCTAAAAGAGTTGTTCGATTTTGAATATCTTCAACAAACTTCGAGTTAAGCTAATTACAGCTATGCATGTATACAATTCATGCTTGGTTACTGTAGTATGTAAAAGATTGGATTATGCATGAGGTGCTTTATGTTACAAAGTGGAAGTTTCCTTATCTCACCTACACTGGTAGCAAGTTGAACACGTAGTAACTGTTCTTTTTGCACGGAATTTTCCTTCAAACAATGGGACAATGCAATGGATGCACACCAATTCGAGAATGCGTTTGGACTAAAAGAGATTTTTTTAGATATTGAAAATGTTTAACTTCACACTCACAAGCCATACCAACCTAAACAGGCCTGCGCATAACAACTGGCCGGCAGATACTGTCGTTGCTATAAACAAAGAAAAGAAAGGGGAACGCCATGAAAACAGAATAAAAGGTTTGAAATTACACCCCTCCCCTCCCCCCAATGATATATTTTAATTCAAGCAGTTTAAGGATACGGAGTTATTGATATGAAAAGGACAAAATAAAATAAGAACGCTGCAAATTAAAAATACAAATAAAGTTTGTAAAAGTGTTCAGTAACCTGAACAAAACCCAGCTTAAATTTAAAAATTAATGATCAAATTACCATCAGCTGCACTAGGAAGTAAAGTTGACACAACCTGTGTCTGACCAAGCTCATTCTTGTACAGATAACACTAAATAAAATTAACAAGATAAAGTCATGGTTCTTTCATGATAAAAAACTTTTGTAATGTATAAGAATAGTGTCATTAAGTATCTAGTATTTCACATGCCTGAAAACAATAAAGAACAGCACAACGTAAATTAAACGGTTGCTTCTCGTTTATCATAGACATAAGGAGAACAACAATGGCTGATCTAAATGAACAAATAAAAGTAACAAGAATTACACCAATTGATTTTTATATTGATACAGGGGGCACCATGTTTTTGAACATCATTTATCATAATAACACATTTTATTTCTCAAATATAAACCGTCTCTTATTTCCGAATATCACACACATCTCAAATTATAGTAATCTTATAGTAATAAAGTAAATGGTTTGAACCCGGGAGTATCGTTACATGTTTGTAAATGTAGATCGTCCATGTTGGTATAGTCCTGAGAAGGACTGTTTTTGACTCTGAAGATGACTACCGCTAAGGTTGTCGAAACGTCAGTCAACAACAACAAAAACAGTCCTTCTCAGGACTATACCAACCTTGACGATCTACATTTACAAACATGTATTCTTATAGTATTTAAAGGGTTTACCTTACGTATATAAACTTAAAACACAGTAAAAACAGCACGTTGTGTACAACTAAAAATTACCTAGGCGGTGTGCAAGGAGCGTTTACTTGGGAGAAATAAGATTGATTCTCTTGATTACCACGTATTACTTCAGATACCGTGTTGATTGTCTATAATAAAGAAAAAATTAACAAGTTTACAAACAGCATGATACCTAACTTTACGTTGACTTTACAAACCTCGGTGAGAATATCAGATGGGATCCCAGTTGCCATTAAAATGCTACATAATAACTTGAGAACACCTAAAATACAAAAAATATTCCTTTAAGCCTTACTTCTACAATTGTTTTTCGGATATAAAAAAAATTCTTATAAGAAAAAATGTGTTATTTCCTACCGCAGTGGTTCATAATTTTTTGTGCAAATGCTGTTGTCTGTTGTGGGTTATTTGGTGAAACAAGTGTTCTTAGTATCTGAAGATGGAAAATTGTAGATTTTAGGATCTTTTTAATTAACATCCGTCAAATGAAAATTAGAACATGTTTGTAAAACTTGATGGGACAAGAACACGATGAATTACCTTCAGCATAAAATTAATATTTGCCATCTTTTGAGGAGACCAACCTCTTTCAGCACCTGAGAAGTAAAGATGTTCAGTCGGCATATTCTTCGCAAAACTTTCATTCCAAATAAAATTGTTTTGCGTTGGTAAATGTTCATCAATGAAATTTTAAATGAAGAATATATGACAATCAAACAAGGTTCTCCTTTTACCAACAATTACCAACATCAAGACGTTATTAAAAAAACCATTTAAGTTTAAAAAGTATTCAGATATTTGTAATCACATTAAATAATAAAGCTAACGAGCCAACTTATATTATCCATTGCAAATTTCGTCGTAGATAAACTGAAGAATTACCATTGGATAAAGTTGCATCCAGTTGAAAAAAAGGAGTCATTCTTTGAATATAACTGGAAGATATATAACAAAATAATAAATGAATGACTTCACCATCTTGGAAAAACATCACAACAACTAAAATGACGGACACTTATAAACATCACTTAGATTTAAAGAATGAGCATCAAGGTCATGCTTTACAGGTTTAATTTTCTTATGGCAACTTTCATGTGAACAGTGTAATCATTAATATACGTATTACACAGATATTTGGACAGTATGATGTATAGATTGAAGAAAAATCGCATGTGAATTGTGATATTCTATATTGTCCTGCCTAAATACGTAACGTGATTCTTATTTATTTACTCCACTGAGCATTTCCAAGTTAGATAGTCCAGTATACTTACAGTACCGACCTCGAGTAACATAACTTGACTTGCGAGTATCAAATGGCGAGTGGGCGAGTGACTCGCGATGCAGTTGCGTGTGAGAGGTTTGCGAGTGGATAAAATATTTCGCTGTTTGCGAGTAAATCGAAATAACTCGGAAAAATTTCTTTCTCCGCAACTGCATCGCGAGTCACTCGCCCACTCGCCATTCGATACTCGCGAGTCAAGTTATGTTACTCGAGGTCGGTACTGTACAACTGCTAGTTATATATTTTACACAAGCACGCAAAGCATGACCATGATACTAATTTTTTCCCACACATCTTAACATAGTCGTGGCTATGTAAGTAACTAATATGATATGACACAATATTGAAGTTCTACCTTCCTTCTCTAAAAAAATTTTGGTTTGAGACATTCGACTTCAGTAGTCCAAGCATCAAAAGCAGACAATCTTCCACCACAATTCCTTAACAACATTGCTTCATAATCACTCAAAAAGCTATTATATTCGACAAACAATCAATGAAAAGAACATTTTAAGACTAATCTATACCTCCATCGCTATATTCTTCTTCAGTAATGATCTCAATTAGACGATCAAATGCATTTTCAAATGCTACAATTTTCTATAAAGTAAAAACATGTAGTTTACAACGACAAAGAATGTATGAGCATTCTTAAATGTTACTTTATTAAGCTCAACATAAAGTGAAACAATTATATTTCTACTTTTTTTTGATATTTTTAGCTATATGAGCATAAACTGCCACAAGTGAAATTCATTTGACTGACCTGAATTGCAGCATTTGACTTGGTCAACTGTGTCAGTAGTAGCAAACCCTGTTTAAAGATAAGTTGATAAAAACAAAAAATCTCCAAAGAATCTCAATCTCTATGACAATGGATACTCCCACCTCATTTCTTATAATTTCTCGACTATCAGACAATAGGTCCATTAGCCTGGAGACACCTGAAAATTTATGCAATGACTTATTTGTAAGTGAAATATCTTTTAAGTACAGTCAAATAGACTTTGCATTTTAAGTATAATATCAAAGATTGTAGACCATCTCAATGCATTATTGGGCTAATGTTTTCCTGTGAAAGGAATGTATCTTTCAATGCATTATTGTTAAAGTCAGACTTCTCACCCATAGGATTGACAAGCACACATTGTTGAATTTGATAGCACTGGTTCTTTAGCAAAATTGTGAGAAGGCGAACAGCAGGCCAGCGTACATGGAAGTCATATTCCTATGTCATAGTATTAATGAAAAAATTTTTATGAAAACTTTGAATTTGTTTTTGATAACATCAGCCAACTGCTAAATTTGATAATGCATAAGCAGATAGGCGCAATCACACACCTCCAACAAGCTAAGCAACATGGATATATTTTCTTCATTCTTGATGAAGATTTCAGTGAACTGAACACCAAGATCGGCATCTGAAGCAATCTGTCCCTCTTTGCTAACTTCTTCTGGAAATCATATAAGAAAAATTTTGATCATTCTTGGCATCATTATCATTGTAGATAATAACAATGTTGTTTGGTTAAAGAAATACCTTCATAACATATCACAACAAACCTTCTTAAATCCCTATGACTATATCTTGTTGCTCAATAAGCAACCTCGAAATATACCTTGTTGCCAAAAACTAATCCTAAAAGCATAGCTTGTTGCCCCACAAGTACCCTTGATGTATATACCTTGTTGCCCCACAAGTACCCTTGAAGTATACCTTGTTGTCCAACATTCTCAGTGCTCATTATGTTGCATAATGTTTCCAATGCCAAACCAAGAATTTCAGAATCATTTCTGAAAATAAAAATGACTAATAAGAAGTAGCTCTTTATTACTTAACCACATTATTCAAACCTGTCATTGGTCAAAACATTGCATAAAATATCCATTGATCTTGTCCCCACATCTAGCTTATATTTCTATAAAGATTTGTATCATAACAAGATAAAAATGCTTTTAAAAGTATATAAAGCATACATGTTTAAGCTTCCACCTTTGACATGGACCTCAGTGCTCTCACAGCATCTCTTCGATCTTCGAGAAGTGTAGATGAGGAGACTCTGTCACATAGTTTCTCAACCTGGGAACAAAAATATTAGAATTACACAAGATGTAATCATATACATAGAATTTTCAAAAAGAAGAAACATCAACATTATACAAAAATCTAAAACCCGATATCATTCAACAAAAAACATGAGCAGAAGAGGGAGCTTTCTTTATTTTATGAATTTTTTGTCATCAGGTGCTCATGTGAACTGGTTTTTAATCTACAAATAAGCACCTAAAACGACGATTAGGTACGGCAAAACATTATACAACTTACTGAGACATTTGCTATAAATCTACAGATAATTCTCAATGTATAGTGACCTGCACGACTTTTGAAATTAAATATAACTGATGTTAACTCACTTCCTGAAGAAGCACATACTTGCATTCATTTTTCCATTTCAATCTCAACAATCAGAAGAGACTGTTTATAAATTAATAGGTAATCGAGAGGTAAGTTTTGCAATGAAAAACAACAATCTTACCGTGTCGGAGCCAGTCTGAGCAGCATCTTCATTTTGTGCACCTAAGACTGACTTAAAACCACGTAAAATCTCCATAATTTTTAAAAAAGCGTATAATTTACAAATGAAAAGAAAATTTCTTTCACAATGCAAAATACAACATGGATGTTTGATCATGCGCGCGACGTGGCATTTAAACAGCTCATTCACCATATATCCATCCAGACAAGTTCGTAATAAGAGTTCAGTAGTAAAGAGTAGGCTTCGAGTCAACGTCGTAGACAGGTCTTATCAACTCATATAAACTCGTGATCAAAATATTTTACATGTTTTTATAACTTTAATGTTGGTAGATGTTGCTCATCCAGGTTAGTATGAGAAGGACTGAGAAGGTTGGTGTTGAACTGACGTTTTGACATCCTTAACGGTATTCATCATCTGAGTCAACTACGTAAATAACGAGTGAAGTTGACTTTTACTGGAGTGCAGATAATGGTGTGCCAACTTTATTATGTCAGTCAAAACCAAAACCAACAGTTCTCCTTATTTCTGCACTAACCTGGACGATACTTTAGCAAAAACTTTATTTAAGATCATTTCTAGCAAAAACTTTATTTATGATCGTTTCTAGCAAAAAATTAATTTAAAACTAACCCATCCTGATACGATAATGTAAAGGAGGGTAATGTTTACATTTTACGAGTTACATATTTCGTCAAATTTTTCGATCTGAATTGTTGAATGTGGAATATGATAGACAGTGTCAACAAGTTGAGTTGCTTCAAAAAGAATTCTTTGCGATTCATTTTCGTCTTCTGCAAAAGCAAACATAAGAAAAGCACTACAAAATAAAGATTACATCAAAGATCTCAAAAGACATATTCAATAACAACAAAATACACTTTTAAAGAGATATTGTAAAAAAGAATTCTTTTTTTCATTAAAAACAAGCAAATGGATGTGGAAAGCATCATTTAAGATAACTTTAAACAACATTGGAAATATTACTCAGCTGGTGGTAAAATGAAACAATATTTCGCAACAAACCTATATCCAAATGGGCTGAAAGTGCTAAGGTACCCACAGTCAAAGACCATACATGTAAATCATGAATTGCAGTTACACCATTAATCTTTCTCATTCTTTCTTTGATTTCATCTAAGTCGATGCCTTTTGGTGTTCCTAAAGATACGACGATGAGCCTTAATTTACAATATTTATTGCGAATCCTGTTAAGCTATAAAGGCACAAGAATGACCAAATGATTCGCTGTTATTACAGTAGGATTTTTAAAACCAAAACATGACCAGTTTATACCTTCCATCAACACCAGTAAAGCATCCCTAAGAATTGTGATAGTCGTAAAAAGAACAATAACAGAAAACACAAATGTACAAATTGGATCGGCAATTGACCAGTTCGGCTAAAAGATACATTTTAAAAATAAAATATTAAAATATGTTGATTTATTACTCCAACATAATGAGAAGAACTGAGAAAAGTGGTTATTACTTTAAATTTGATTATTATGGCAGCGACAAGAACGCCTAAGCTCTGCAGCAAATCACCAATAACATGAACGAATGCAGCTTGAACATTCACGTTTTCGTCTTCAGCATGTTTCTTCACACTGGGAGTTGAAGAGAGTTTCCTCTTGCCATGCGAATGTCCATGTGAACCCGTAGAGCTCGCTCCGTGAGAATGATTATGACCCAATACTAGACCCATCCTAGAATAATTGTTGTCAATTTCATGTCAAAACTTTCATTTTTTCACTGTACTGTAATCAGAGGCATAACTTGGGTCTCAAAATTGGGGGTGACGATTCAATTTGCCCAACAAAAGAGAGTGGCAAGTCGAGTTTTCTACAGAAAAAACTGCTTACTTTAAATTTTAGTGGGATGAACACCCCTCCCCCACTCATTTAGGATTTACGTCCCTGTGATTGATGTGATACGTACAAAATATTGACACCAACACCAACGCCAGCAATGATCAACATTATGTTAGCGTTAACCTTGTGATTACCATTGATGACTCGTTTGATTGCTTCATAAACAAGAACTCCCGTCAATACCCAAATAATCAACACAGACAAGAGTGCTCCCATTACTTCTACAAAACATGAAAAAAATCCATTTTTCTGATTAAATGAATATACTCTACATATTCACACGTCCCCACTATCTAAATTGTTCACACTCTAAAATAATAACTGATAAAAGAAAGCATCCTAAGAAATAGATATTTCTTACCAGCTCTATGCCAGCCATAGGATAGTTTAGACGTAGAAGGTCGAGTTGCAAACCAAATTGCTAATAATGAAATTAGGAAGCTTGCGAAGTCTGACAAGAGATGTGCAGCATCTGTTATAATAGCCAAGCTGTTGGCCATTACACCTCCTGAAAAAGAGAGCTTAACATAAAATTTATGATTAGTTGGGAGAGAAAATTAAGATTTCTATATGCACTAAAAGTTTTAGGAATGCAGAGTCAAATAAAATATTTTCAATGCGCAGTTAACGGTAAGAATGGTATATTTCACGACATCAGTTTTATTTTGTTAAGAGTTTTTAAAAATATATCAACTTATTTCAAAAACTTATTCTGAATTTCTCGTAGTCCATTGTCAACAATGCTCGGAGCTAGTATTACATTTATTTCAGCAGTATAGACTAACAGTTAACAAATCACTGTAGTAGAATTGTCAGTAGTCCAGTGGCCTGAGACTTAGCGCTATTAAAAACACCTCAAATGGCTGAAAGTGGAACATCAGAGAACATTTATTGGTCAACCACAATGAGCATCTTTTTTTGTGTTATTACATGAAAATGATTTATAGATGTATTATAAACACGTATACTAGATATGACGTCATTTTATCAATCAGAGTATTAAATCTTACCAACACATTCAGCAACAAGAAAAAATAAACACAATGTTGATGCAATGACCAGCTTTTGTTTTGCTCTTTTTGTTTTCAAAGATGCTGATTCGGACAATTTTCTGTTATGTCCGTATGTGGAGCAAGGTGCTTCAGAAAAGGGAGCAGGAGTATTTTGACTCCGCTCATCATCGTTATCTTCCTGTGTCTCTTGAATGGTAAAATTTGTCAATGTAACGTCAATTGGAGGAATTTTGAACGTACTATTTGTCACAAGAGGTGTTTTTTCGTGATTTCTTATAATCGTTGCCGACATTTTTGCTGGAGAAATGAAAAAGCTACAATTAATTTTCAACTTTCGGAAATAACATATCTTTACAAAAAATGAATAAAATCTTAGTAAATCATTATAAATATAAAATACTAAAATATTTTAAAAGGTGACTTGAATGGCCACCATGCATAAGACCAGCCGTTGTGCACAATACATAAAATATTCGTTTTTTCCATTGTGGAAAGGCTTTGGTTCACGCAATGTCGATTGCGCTTATTTGCATTTGATGAATTTGAAACAGCGCTGTATAACCAGTATAATAACACCAAACGTTGACTTCTAAATTAAAGACGCGCAGGACACTTGAATCAAATAAATCAATAAATATAGCGCTCAATTTGAATGCAGCAAAATTTGACTTGATCGGTTTCATTTTAATTGATAGTCGAGATAACAGACAAACATCTTTAATAGTTCTGGTTATGTACACAATTGCCATCAAAGATGCGGCAACAAACAAATTAGAATAAACAGACAGATCATTGATAATAAGAGCAAGCATTATCATATGACGCTGAGCTTAGAACAAATTTGAACAAATTATTCACTAATGAAGAAATGAGAATTTTGTTGAAACTGATGATACAAGCACAATAAACCATACGTACCACTAGACCACCTTGTCGCAAAGTTTTTTTCAAATCAAACAGCGGCAAAGAAGTCCAACTCTATTTTAATATCACGAAGCAAAGTCTGACAATGTGACGATGTATTATATAACGTTTGCCCGTTATGCTTAGCGGGCTGACAATGGAGAACACAAGCGAAGATATCCTATGATATACAGCCATGTACACTTCTTGTCCAATTACCAGCTGGAAGATTATACATATTGATTTTTTTATACATAACAATGGTAAATAACAAATTGTAACACAACTTACCTTAACATGTTATATTTTTATGTCTTAACCACGTGAAATTAATCCTACATAGTTTGTTTAGAAAATGCTGAAACTCAAGGATACGAATTATTCGATGACAGATGGATTAAGAAACTATTTGAAAATAAAGTTTTTTCGTTTTCTAATACGTTTTCAATTATAATTCATATATAACTATGTACCATTCCGTTTTCGTGAAAACAGTGAAAAACATTTTTTAGCCATTTCTACTGACTTATGTGTTTAAACTTATGCAGAGAGTGTGCATGTGTGTGTGAATTAGAGAAGAAGATTTTATATAAGAATAAAGCATTTTTGTCATTACAAAATTTGCAATATTCTTATATTTATATAATATATTTGGTTAAAAATCCATGCCGATAATAAGAAAAACGTAAACACGTAATTAAAAACGTAAAATAATAAATGAAAACAAAACTCAGGCTAATCTTAGAGAAGTTGCAGTGTTTATTATAGAGGGTGTTAGGTACGCGGCGTTTATTGGATCGTTCACACAACACAGCTCGCGCGCATGCTACACGCACGATTGTGGGCAACGTGTTTTGTCACGCGATATTTAATTGTTTTATATTTCTTGAATTTTGTTATCTAACTATGGCGTCATTACCATGGCTATTCTTGAAATTCGACCTTTAAGTCTGTCATTCACATCAGGCAATCGGAAAAGAAGTTATTGTTGAACAATTATTACGTGCCCGAAAATGGTTACTCTTGTTGAGATACCGCTTTATTCAAATGATTGTTTTCGTGTTATGAACGAGATGAGAAGGAAATCACAACTGTGCGACGTCATTTTACGTGTTAAACATATTGAATTCCCAGCTCATCGTATCGTTTTGGCTGGAGCGAGCCGGTATCTCCAAGCAATGTTCACTAATGGAATGCTAGAAAGTGGGAAAACTAAAGTGGACATAGGCGATATAGAGCCACAAACCATGGCAAACTTATTGGATTTTGTATACACCGGTTCCATAGAATTGACAACGAACAACGTCCAACAACTTTGTGCCGGTGCCACCATGTTACATTTAACAAGCTTGGCAAACTCATGCGCAAATTTCCTGGAAGCTCATATGGACTATTTCAACTGCATTGGAATCCGAGCTTTTGCTGACCACTACTCTTGCACAAGTCTAGAAAATTTTGCCTTCAGGTATATTTGCGAACATTTCCTAGACGTTGTGCAAAGTGAAGAATTTTTACAATTGAGCAAGGATGGGCTTCTTGAGCTAATACAAAGCAACTTGATACAGGTTTACTCGGAAGATGAAATCTTCAATGCTGTAGAAGTTTGGATAAAACACCATTATGAAGCACGGAAAGGCATGGCATCAGAGCTTTTGCAACATGTTAGACTTCCACTAGTGTCATTAGAATTCTTGGAAACACGGGTTGTACCTGCAAGTTTTGTTAAAAATGATAGCAAATGTCAGATGCTTTTGGCAACTGCATTGAATAGTCACAAGAGCAATCTTCCATCGTATATGTTTGTGCACCGTGCTCAACCTCAAATGCTTTACACTGTTGGTGGACGTAATTCAGATTGTTGTCAACTGGCAACCTTAGAACAATATGATGTTGCAACAAATTCTTGGAGTTCTTTGGAGCCAATGACTTGTGCTCGTACCGCAGTTGGTACATGTTCGCTTAATGGATACTTATATGTCATTGGTGGAGAATGTGCCAATCATGCCAACAACCTGCTTGGGATACCACCTACAAGAAAATAGTTGAGATCTATTATCCCAAAGAGAATTCCTGGCGAAGAGTTGCAGAATTAACTATCCCTCGTTCTTTTGCATCAGCTGTGTCTTGTGATGGCTATGTGTATGCCCTTGGAGGCGAAGACAGATTATGTTCTTATAATTTTGTTGAGAAATATGATCCTGAAAAGGATTTCTGGTTACCAGTACAGAGTATGAAGAGACGAAGATCTGGAGCAGGAGCAGCTGTATGCAATGGTGAGTTTTGTCATTCTTGTAATTAGTAAGAATCCCTTTCAAATAGGAAGCAATTTCTGAAATGGTCTACACTAGACATTCTTGCTATGGAAAACACAAGACTTCTCAACTTTCCTTTTGTTTTAGGAATGTTATTTGTAGCTGGTGGATATGATCGTGGTATTCACACAGATCGTGCTTCCGTCGAATGCTATGACCCAAAATTGGATCAGTGGATCTTTGTGACTGAACTAGAAAAAGCAAGGTCTGGTCTGGGTTTAGTTTCATTAGATGGATGCATTTATGCTGTTGGTGGCCGTAATAGAAGCACTGATTCATATTTTGATTTGGTGGAGCGGTATGATACGCGCACGCACCACTGGTCACCGGTGGCACCTATGAACAGCCCTCGTGCCTGGGCAGCCGTAGTTGTTTACAAGGAGAATATATTTGCTATTGGTGGATTTGATGGTGCAAATCGGTTGAACTCAGTTGAAATGTATGATCCAGTTAAAGACATTTGGACCAATATTGAAGGTTTAAATGTGAACAGGGCTGGGTGCGGAGCGGCAGTGCTATAAAACTGGCTTTTATTGCAGCAGCATTTTTACAATAATTTTTATAAATAAACATGTTTAACATAGAAAATTTAAGAATGTTAATGTAAAACATTTAGTTGATTGTTTTAAGAGTAGTATTTTAAATTGAAGTTATGTAAAAATTTTCATCTTGTGCTGTAGGGCAAATTGTGTAAAAATGCATTGTGTATAGTGTAGGCTACTGAAAACAAAGCTTCATTTGATTTGATTGATAAAAGATTTATTTATATGCCACAAATTCTATCCTTTACATAGATCACAAGGGCACCACAATCTTGGAAAGGTCACTGAGGTGCTATTTATACTCTGATATTAACAAAGACACAAATTTAAGAATGATCTACACCTTCATTTATTATTTTTCACGTCTTTGTTGACAATTTTCTGCCCTAAATTGGTGAAAGTGCATTCCTCTCATTTTGAGGAAGATCTGGATGCCAGAAGTCCACAATCAATATCATTCTGTAGCTGGTTCCATTATGCCATACTTCATGTTCAATAGAATCATCAATAATTATAAACTTGCCTTCTATCCAAGTACTAAAGAAACAAATTTCATGTACTCAGTTCAATTTCTTTCTATTTATATATAATGTTGTTCATAAAACAGTTGAATGGTTGGTAAATTTCACAAAATGAAATGAACAACTTGCCATAATAGCCTTGACCCCCTCCACCCAAAATCAAAATGCAATCAAGATAAAAACACCGTAGTTACTCTATCGGCGAGATGCCTGTGCATACTTAAGTAACGTTATATCCTCCCTGAAGTACACATTTTGTTTCAGTCTTTACCTAATTGTTTGATTTACACGTATAGATACACCATTTGGTACGACGAGACCAAGATGTCCACGTATACGACAGTTGGTAGGACCACAATGGGCCCAGACGTGCGTACCAGGTTTCATGACAGAAAATTTAATCTAAAAAGAAGAAAAGAGAAGCAAATGACAAAATCATCATGATGTACAAATAGTTGCAAGAGCAAAAACGTGAATTCATTATCCCTACACCTTCACAAGGTTTCTCTAAAAGAAAGATAAAAACACAATAAACAATTCTTTGCCATTACACAACCTCCAGATTCAAAATGCTAAGGACATTAAATCCTCCTAAACAGTGCCATACCCTTCACTCCCCACAAACCCATGGATCAATAAAGATGAGCTCACTAGCCCGAACCACATTTATACGACAGTCGTTACCTGTCCCCTCTTACATCCAGCTGCGTCGGGGATTTTCTCAACCAGACTACATGTTTTCGGAGCCTTTGCACAAGCTGATCGATCCTTCCGTCCTTGTGAAAATATAGTGAACTGTTGCCAGTCGCCTTTCTCACGAAGACCCTCCTCTTCGGGAAGAAAGCCACCCGTCCTGTGATCGTACAATGCAACACCTTCATCGCGGATGGTTTTCCAATTTTTCTCCAACATTCTACAAAAGTAGTAATGACACTATTTCTTTTATGGAAAATGTTTATATACTTTTCACAAAATAACCTATCAATTAAATGTGTTTATAGTGACGTTGCTAGTGCATTATTCAAAAATAAGAACAAAGAATCATTAATGGATGAAGAGACCTTGCTGTCAACAACTTTTTTAAACTGAATGAAACAGACTGAAAGTCACAATAAACAACTTTGATAAATATTCCTCTTCCAAAACTCCGCGATCAACAGATCCAGAAAATGACTTGCAAAGATAAAGCTCATTCAATTTTACTTATAAGACACGCTTAAGCTTTGCACAACGTCAATTTCAATTCCTTCCTGCATCAACTTATTCCTTATATTAAAAGAATGTTTTAGATTCAAAATAGAAACATCAAATCCAACATCCGAAGATGAGAATCTGGCATGCAAGTTCTTTCAATATTATTTTGGAGTCAAAAAGCTAACTTTTAAAAATTTGTAAAAAGCAATAAGGCATACTTGAAGTACTTGTGATATGGAGTCTCTTTTGGATTCCAAAATGGTTGCGCTCTTAATGGTGTTTGAGCATTGTAAAGAGATCGTTGCATACGAGAGAGAAAATGGCCATGTCTTGCACCACTCTCGTAAACCTCATATGACTGGAAAAAAATTTGAAGAGATGGAACAAAGTTCGCATTTCTTTTTTTAAGAAATAGGAAAAAAGGATTGTCCTTGTTCTTCATTTATCACTACCTACATTTACATACGTTATCTTAGTTTACATTTTAGACTTTGTTAAAACTGTTCTCATTCTGTTGTTAATTCATCACTAGCTACACTGACTCACGTTATCTTAGTTTATATTCTAGATAGTGTAAAGACTGTTCTTGTTCTCTGTTCATTCGTCACTACCTATACTGACTCACGTTATTTTAGTTTATAGTATAGATAGTGTAAAGACTGTTTTTATTCTGTTGTTCATTAATCACTAGCTACACTGACGCAAGGTATCTTAGTTTATATTATAGATAATGTAAAAATTGTTCTCAATCTCTGTTGTTCAATCATCACTACCTACATTTACACACATTTTTCTTGCAATGATACCTCTTTGGATCTGCCCATTCTATACAATGCATCGCCAAGATGAAAGTAGAATCTTCCATCATTTGTACCTGATTCTCCAGAATCAATTCCTCTCTTCAAATGAGGTATGGCTTCTTCATAATTTGACTCCGTTTTTAAAATAAATCCCATATGGACTTGTGCATAGCCATCGTTTGGATTTATTGCAAGGGCCTGGATTTGAATATAATTTACAATTATTCTAAAGTAAAAGATAAACCAATTACTTTTTATTTCATATAGATCATAAAAGTTTGAAAGTATTGGTCTGAATGGAGGCTTTGTACGTATGCAAATACATTAAACTCCTAAACAGTATCCTTCAACATTTAATGACAGTGAGATATATACCTGTTGAAAAGTTTTTTGCTTGAGCTTGATTTCCAATCAAAAGCCATTGAACTCCAAGTTTATTCCAAACTTCTATATCTTGTGGTAAATCCACTCCTAAATTTTGTAATGCTTTCACAGCAATATAGCTCTTGCCAAGAAAAGAAGCCCGATCTGCTTGTCTAAATATAGCTTGCCGTTTCAAGGCTATGGGACAATCTTTGACCATACCCACATTTCCATATGCATTTATAGCTTCTTGTAAAACCTGATTACTTCTCATCAAATCAGCTAGCTCATCCAAAGACTTTGCCAATCCATGCATTGCTCGAGGACTATCAGGATGGCTGCTAAGAACATTCTCAAAAGCTTTTCTAGCATTTACAAAACTTTTAGCTTTAAGAAATTTTTCTGCTTCTTCTATTTGAGGCAGTATTGCTTTATCATATGCATTTGTAATTGGCTCATTTGGATCGTTTTTTGGAACTTTGATCTTTGATTTCATTTTTGAGCTAGACCTTTTGGCAGTCTGGTCACTAGTTTCTGGTGCTTTTGTTTTCGATGACTTTGCCATTGCTGGTTTCTTTTTTCTAGCTGCTGTTGCTTCCAAATCGTTCTCCTGCATGTAGTAGACAGCAGCTGTTGCTATGGCAATAACAGCTACCATCGCAACAACTATTTTCCATATTTGGTCTGAATCTTTTCCTTTCTTCTTCACACCTAAATAGCAAAAACATAGATCCTGTAAATCTAATTACAAGAACATCAAATCAAGACCAAAATGTCGATATTGCAAGATTAATAGTTCATTACTTACAATTCCATTCCATAAACAATGACTTTATTTTTAACTTAAAATAATCACTAAATAAATAACTATAATTCTTAACACAAAGGAGAAATTTTTTCACATAGCGCACACAAACTGGACACAAATTGAAGTTCCATAAGAAACTCCAGTGTGAAATTAATTTGCAATAACAAAATGTCAAAATCTAAAAAGTTATGTAACTAATAAATTAGTATAAAGAGAAATTCGAAGGTTATAAAAACTCTGGAAATTATTAAATTAAAAGTTTAAATCGCACTTTTAATCTTTTCAGGTTTGCTGTCTTTTTTCCGTTGCCGTATTGACATTATTTCAGGTAGTAAATTTACAACTCAAAGTCAGCATGGCTACCATTGATGGATCTGGGCACTTGTAGCAGTTGAAGTTTAAGTTTCTTTTATGACCGCTGACTACCAAGGAATATTATGAGCCCTACATAATTACAATTGAAACCTTTTATCTTAATGTTTTGGAGTTTTAGCGCCCAAAATTCTTTTTTCATAGAAAAGCACCTGTCGTACTTTTCAAAAGCGTTTATACAATCGAGAAATCTTGTTCATTAACTTTAACATAACGTCGCTCAGTGGATCATTACACTGTGGCAGCCGTGACGTAGCGTAGGTGGGGGGTGCTGTGGGGCCAGGCTTATCCTTGCAAATTTATTGAGTCCCGGAAAATATTATATATTTATTTACATTACAATGTTTATATTACAGTCATGGCCACCCTTGAGAGAAAATCTTGACTACACTATTGGTGTGTCACTTTCACTTTTCACTTTTTTTCCCTAAGTGTCAGATGATTCAGAAATTTGCCAACCGTGGAATATGAATAATTAACTTCAGGCGCATGTTGCTAGCAGTGAGGCAGTATAGTTTATCTACTGTGGTATCTTATGTAATTCATGGTAGATTTGAGTTGTCTAAAGAAGTCCTTTCATCCTCCACAAATAATTCTTCTTCATCATTTCTATCAGTTCGATACTGCTCATAAACATTGATGCTAAAATGATTTCCTAGAAAAAAAATTATCATGTTGCATCTAGAAGTGTTAGACAGAACAATATAAATGGTACCAAATAATAATTAATAGACACCATCATCCTCTCATTGAGTACCATTTTATCAATGAAGTTTTTAGGTCTGTTGTACTTCTTACAAGACACAAATATTCAAAATTTACTATCTTCAAATAGCAAACCTTTTCCCATAAAATGATCTGCAATTCTTGCTTTGCATAACATAAGATTATTAACACCTTCATGACATTGTGTGTTTGTTGTCATTCTAAAGTGATATTCTGGCCACCAACTTTCACGTTCAGACCAACACAACTTTAATGTTTCCTTCACTTTTGACTCTGTCGTCTGCTTACATCCATTGTAAATAAAAAAATGAAGTAAAGTCCAGCTTTCCTCACAAAACATGTTAACTGAATGGTCAAGCTTCTCAAAGATAGTCTTTACTGCACTTGCAGTGTCTCCTGTGAAAGGCAAAAATGTCATCTGATTAAATAGTAATGATGGTTTATCAAATATAAAATACAACATTTTCAATAATGTAAGGTATATCAAAAATGAAAGTGTTAGATTATCATCACATTTCTTACCAAGTTCAATTTTATATTCCACAAAATCTTTGATCAATTCGCTAGATGGGTCAATCTTGATCAAATCTTCTAATAAATTTGCCTTTTCTTCCAAACTTGCAGAGTGGTTTTTCATGTAATGGTAAAGATACCTTTAAAAAGAGATATCTTTGTTACTTTCAGCAATTAATAGAATATTTCAAGTTCTCAGTCTTAAAAAGGAAGAACATACAGAGAAGAGAGTGCAATATATTTAAACAAATTTGGCTGCCTGTTTTGCACCTTTTGTTACTACCTGTGCGAATTTGGGTTGGTTGGATTATTGTTTTTGTAATCACATAGAAATCGACGAACTAAGCCCTCTTCTTCCTGGCATTTTAACAACTCAAGGTATGTAGGAACAAACTGATCCCAAACCCCAGGGTTTGAGAAGACATCTTGAAAAAGTACCATTGATTGTTTCCATGAAAAATTTAAATTTCTTTGTGACTGTGTTGTTTGTGATAACCAATTGTCTTGCTCTTCATCAGAATCGTACATATCTAAATAAAAAACATAAAAATAAAATCAAACAAAATGTTTAGCAACATTTAGACAATAAAGCAAGCCAGGAAATGATAGCTGAGGCAGTATATTTACTCTAATTGGGGACTTCATCATTGCTTTTCAACTAATATAAATGGAGGGCAAACACTAATGCCTTCACCATACAACCATGTGGAACATGGCAGGTTAGTAACCAGTTTTCAATTCTTATGGAGATCAGTTTGGAATAAAAAGACATACCTTGCAACTTTGTTGAGTTTACTGAGTTTTTTTCATTTACAAGATATTCAAAGAGACCAATGTAGGCTTTATGCAAAAGACTTTCCCTGAACTTAGGTTTATTTGCTTTAGACTTCAGTAATTCCAGAGCCTCAAGAACATCATGCTGTTGTACGACAAGATACAAGGCAAAGTTTAGTAGTATCTCAACTTGATGGTCACCACAAGCAAGAAACATATCTTTGTAGAATTTCACAACAAGCAAGTGATTGTTTGGTAATGTCTTCAAGATTTCCAATCCAGCCTGAGGTTGAAAATGATAACTTATTGTACCTACTAAATTGCATTATTTAATTGTCATGTGTCATCAGCTAATTGCTTTAGACTTTTAGCTTTGAATTATGAAGTAAGTCAACATCATCCAAAATTTTGTTGATTGCATCATGAACAGTATCAGTGGCATGGCATATTCGACAATTAAGTAAGAAGGCACATGTTCTGCCATTCGAAGTTCCTTTGAAATCAAATGTTTTCAATGTATAAAAACATGTGTCTATTAATTTAGCCTCTCTCCCCCTCAAGTTAACATGTTCACTATGCCGCTGGGCTAGCTTACTGGATTATGCTAAAGAAGTTGTTTAGACAGTGGTGACAAGAGGGTGGAAACAGAGGTGTTGAATGTCGATGAAATCAAAACTTGGAGTGCTCAGAAACATACCAAGGCAAATAGTTCAATCACTTTTTCACAACAGCCACTCATGCCAACCATGGCTGCAATTGCTTGGTTAAACTTGCGAGTCAAAAGACCATCACGAAGAATATGGCTCAGAAGGTAGAGATTGTGTGAATTCATACGTTTTTTTGATGTCTTGCCCTCTAAAAAGTCCAAAAGAAAACCACTGCCAGAGATATTGAATGATATTTTAAACTTGAAATACTTGAGAAAAGTTTAAAAATTCATACTTGGTTGTATGTGTTCAGTGAAAGGACGCCAAACAGTCTGAAAACCCGAGGCCCCATTGAAACATCTTGCCTCGAATCGATGATGTCTTCTCTTATGCATCTTCCAAACTCAGACGGATCACTGTCTGTAAAGTCGCCTTCGTTACAGGATTTAAATTTTGAACACCATGAATGTCAATGAGTTTCACTCAATAGTCAATAGTCAACATGCCATCGGTCCTACCAATGGTCCTAGGGAATGGAAAGGGCCCGGGTGTCGAGAAAGAATGCTCGCAATGAAATCGTGTTTGTTAGTCATAAGAAGAAAAAACACTTGTTTATGTTATACAACTAGTGACTTTTTGTTACTATGGTAGCATGATTTTCTCTCTGGGTATTCAATACTTGGGCAGGAGATTACCAAAATACACTTCAAAAATTGTTGGTTATCTTCAGAAGATCCATTCATGTGGGATACATCCACTTTAGATCACTTGTACATGGAGCTACTGGTTTATCATTATGTTTAAAGCAATATCAGGGAATTCTTATAAGCCAAATAAAAAACAACTGTCTGTACTTAATCTGTAACTAGTCTATTTGCTTTTGATGAAAACAGAAAACTTTTTTTCTTTTAAAGTATCTTCATTTCAAACATATTGAAGAAGAAACCCATATTACATGATTGCCATTCACTCAGCTTGGATCGAAATATGGAATAAATTATTTCATACTTTACCCAATCAGATCAGAGATCGAAAAAATCTAACCAATAACAATGCAAAAAACTGATCGAAATCAGCCAATGAGATCAGGCCACCAAATGATCTTAAATCACGTCAATCACTTTTCACAGTTTTTACACTGTAGATGCCCCAAGACTCGACAGTGGAAGGTAAGTTTTTCAAAATTTTTATTATATATTTAAAAGCGTGCTTCAAATGTCGATAAATTCGATAACGAAAGCCTAGTTTTATGTATAGTTACGTGTTGTTTTACTTCTAAATCTTTTCTTCGGCTACTTTCTGCAATTCGCCGTTCAACTGCGTGTCTTTGTCAGTGTGTTTGCTTCGCACGAGGACCTTGTCAGTATAAAAACGACCAGTTTATGCGTTTACATGTCTTTCTTTCGATTATACATTAGTGTGAGTGGTCTACTGCTAGTGTTTGGAATGTTTCGAGGTGAAACTCTGTTTAGTATGTTCGCTTTTAACATGTATTTGTGAAGCAACAAACGAGCTCGACCGACGTCTTTCTCATTTCAACGCAAAAATATGAACACATTCTAAGAGAAACGTTATAGCAATACAAAATGAGAGATAACTAGGGTATTTCTTACTTCTTGGGTTGATTTTCTTTGGTAAAAAGTGTTTTTTGAGCGAAAATTTTGAAGATATTTGAAAAATAAGAAAATGTTGGTTCATGTTGGACGTTGGACTTCAATCAAATTGGCGCCTTTTTTTGTTCCGCGTGAAAGTGAAGAGAACTGGGCACAAATTTTGCAAAACTAAAATTAACTCATCGACTTCATAATAAAAAACAAATTTTTGACCGAAAACACCGAAAAGTAGAGTGGAATACAGGCAAAAACTTTCACTTTGTGCCAATAGATTAGTTAAAACGTATAAGCCTTGAAGATGCTGACGGTTAATCAAACCAAAGAAAGATCATAATGTTAGGTACTCGACTAGAGTACAATTCCGAAAAGTTATCATTAAAAGTTATTGAATTTTTTTAGAGCATTTTTGTCAAAAAATGTGTTATAAATTCTCTAGGAAAAGATGCTAATTTTTCGTTGAAATTTGACAGTGAGATATCATGAAGAATGCAACCAAAGTCGTGTTCTAAAGTTCAAAGTTAAAACAAAGATAAAAGGAGTTGTTATGAAAAGAACTAGGTAGGAAACTGAAAATGACATGTAGTTCATCGACAGGCTAATTTGATTTAGAGCTATTTATTTCATGTTATTGTGCGCAACGAAAATGTTTTTGAAAATTTTTATCATAATATTGTGTAACGTGAAATGGGTAAAAACACAAAAACTGATCATTTTTATTTTGAATTATTAGAATACTCAAATGAAACAATCAGACTGAGAGTATTTTTAGTGATTTGCTTGTGCACACGTTTAAAAATGCTCTGTTAACATATTTTTATTTTACAATCATTGTCTTTATATTTTTGCTGCAAATACATGAGTGCTAGTTTAAAACAAAGAGCAGCTTTATAAGTTTAGGATAAGAATGATTGGACAACAAGTCAAAACTATAGTGAATAGTCTATTGATGAAATGGCACATAAAATAATAAAAAAAGTCTTTAAGACTTCATTCTTTTGAAATATATAAAATATCAAAAGAACTACTCATTGGAAGAAATCTACTCATGAAAAAAAATAAGCGGAAGCTTGAGATTTTCATTTGCTTTCTATTTTGATAAAATAAGTAAGTTAAAACAATCATTGTGAACGATTTATCAAAAATCGACGTTTAACGACATATAAAGAAGTCTATAAAATATCAAAAGAAATGTTCTTTGGAAGAAGTCTTTTTATGAAAGAAAACTAGTTAAATATTGCGTCGATAAAAAAATGTTATGGATTTTAGGGTAAGGATTATTAGGTAATAAGTAAAAATGGTGTTGTGATCGATCAATATCAAATCGACGCTGAAGATCAAATAAAGAAGTCTATACGACTTCCTGTTGAAAATTTCAAAAAGAAAACTTCTTTGTAAGAAATCTATTCATGAAACGTGTAAATGTTATACTTGTCTATACATCTGCAACTCAAAGTCTTCATTCGCCAACCACTCCCTTATTAGATAGATAAGTACGTAAAAAGTATTGTGTAAATATGATTGTGAGACAAAATTTCAAGAACTAATATAAAATGTTTGCAAGACCTTAACAACAACGAAAGTCGCAGAAGAGGTGCAAGACCTTAAGAACAACGAAAGTCGCAGAATACTTCATCGATTCTTGCTTCTTGCATACGCAGCGTCTTTCATTGTTGAGGTACTTCATCAATTCTTGCTTCTTGCATACGCAGCGTCTTTCATTGTTGAGGTACTTCATCGATTCTTGCATACGCAGCGTCTTTCATTGTTGAGGTACTTCATCGATTCTTGCTTCTTGCATACGCAGCTTCTTCCATTGTTGAGGTACTTCATCGATTCTTGCTTCTTGCATACGCAGCTCTTTCATTGTTGAGGTACTTCATCGATTCTTGCTTCTTGCATACGCAGCGTCTTTCATTGTTGAGGTACTTCATCGATTCTTGCTTCTTGCATACGCAGCGTCTTTCAGTTATCGTTCATTGAGGTTGCTTCTTTGCGCTCTGGTTGAGGTACTTTCGCTTCTTGCGCATACGCAGCGTCTTTCATTGTTGAGGTACTTCATCAATTCTTGCTTCTTGCATACGCAGCGTCTTTCATTGTTGAGGTACTTCATCGATTTTTGCTTCTTGCATGCGCAGCGTCTTCTAGCTGTTGTTGAGGTATTTCATTGATTGCTGCAAGTGCAGTCTCTTCCTTTGCAATGCAACGATAACCGATTCCTAAGAGATTAGCAATTTCGAGTTCTTTAGATACTCTTGTCAAGTGTGGCATTTTTTGCGTGTGTCATGAATGAGAAGAATGTTAGAAAGATCAAATATAAAACTAATATGAAAAAAAACAACAAAAAGACGAGGAATTCAAAAGAAAGTTGGCTGCCATGTTTCGAAGAGAAAATTATTATAAAATGGTCAAAGACAAAAGATGACAAAGCATCCTTGCGCCGGACAAAAAATAAGATGAAATGTTTAAGAGAAAAATGACAAGGCAATGTTTTGATAAAAAAGAAGATGAAATAATGTAAGAAAAAAATGACAGAAATCTTTTGAAGAAAAATATGATGAAGAGATGCGAGACAAAAGATGACAAAGTAACTTTGTGAAGAAAAATAAGATGAAATGGTAAAGTACAAAGATTTCATCAATTGTATAACAAAATATGTAAATACATTTTCTGACACTTTGACTCATGTATGACTTTTGAAGACTTCTTGTTGCAGGTGTATTTTTTTTTGATATTTTGCTTTCTGTTTATGGGTTGCATTTTCAACCGTGGAATGACATGACTTAATTTTCTCGTATAACTTACCTTAACTCAATTAGCTATTGACCAACTGAATTCAGACAAAGATATAAATAGCCTAGTCATTGCCGAAAGTTTTATGTTTCGTTATTTTTGACTTGTACATGATTTTCGACCAATTGTGCATAAGTAAATCATTAGAAATGCTGCAGTTAGCGCAAAGATGAAGGATGGACATAAGGTAAGATTAAAAATAGATTATGCGCGGACATTAACATTAAAACTTATTTAATATTGTGCTACCTGAATTTCAGCAATTTGCATGTAATTGTCACAAGTTATAGTGCTTTGTCCAAATGTGGTTCGCCATGATGTTGCACGAGGGAATTATTAATGAGATAATGGTGATGACATTGTGTAGAATAAATATGTTTTGCTAAGTGGTTATTGATACGTTTAAACGTTTTGCTTAGCAAATAAGTGGATAGATGTAGTAATGTTTTACTAATTTTTTAATTTCAGAAATTCTCATTTAAAAACTAAGCCTCTTTCACTTTGCTAAACGTTTAGGAGAGGCATTGGTTGCCTATGTTGACTGATCTACAGGTATTCAATTTTTCCAATAAATCTCTTGTGCTTGATTATTGCTTGCAGTTTCTGTAAAGCTGATCACGTGATGAGAAGACAAAATGTCTTGAATAGACTTGATTCAATTTTAACTTTTGATATTTTATAAAACAATTGTTCTTGGTGGTGTTTCATATTGAAATTTACAAACTTTTCAGGTTAATTGATATAAAATCACAAAGAATTTTTTGCAAAAGCAGTCGAAGATATTAATAAAACTTGCTAAAAACTTTTTGACTGATAAAAACATTTTTTTTCTGTTTGAAAGACTTTCGTGCTGAAATTTTCTGAACCTCACCGTTTTGCAGTGAATGAATGATAGAATTTTGGTGTATTAGACCCGTCAATTACATCATTCTTATTGTAGATGTTATATTCTTGTTGTCGTGGATCTTATCAAACTAATCTTGGGTTGAGGATTACGTTAACTTTGGAATGAAGATGAGATCAACACTGACAGGAAAATAACTAAACATTATTGGAATATGTTTCGTTCCATTTCCATAACAAATAAGCACCTTATTCGTCACTGCTGGAGGTTTTGAAGAAGCAGTTGGTTGCTGATGAGGATCAATCTATAGGTAATTTATGGAATCTATTTGTATTGACCAATCTTTACAGTTGCTTTTTGACTACATTACGAGAAGATAATGTCGTATAAATTGGAATTTGCTCCGCGAAAAGCAACTAATATTTATTACCATAGTTACCCAACAAATAACTTCACGTTAAAATAGAGTGGAGATTGGAATGTAATTTCTTGATATCGTTTGGACTTGAAAGAACTTGTTTACATTGTATGGTACGAAGTTACACAGAATTTAAGTTTTTACAGTAAAATTCATATTATTTTGGAATTTGGTCATAAGCTCTCTGCATATCATTGAAAACTGTTGTTTCACGTTTTTTGTGCATAACAGTATTTTCCCTAAATTTTACTGAATTTCGTCTCAGCTATATTGAACCTTTCGTTTTGTTTTGTAGTGAAAAAACAGTACAATGGTGGCGCATAATGAATCCTACATACTACATGATGTTTTTCGTGGATTTACTTATCTAATCGTTTATCACAATCATAGTCATCGTATAGAAACTCACGGTTGTTGAGAATTTACTTCATGGTCGTCATGGATTTATATCATCGTCATGGATCAACATCATCGTTGTTGTGGATGTCAAATTAACCTTGAATTAATCAATTGAGGCTTACGTTACTCTACAAAACAGGACTAAAGACGATGTTTCAAGTTTGTGTGCTTTAGTTAAAATCCTGGTGATCAGCACTAACAGGAAGATGATTGAACATTGGCTGAGTTATTAACAAAGTTGGTTGTGTTCTTTTGATTCCTGTTGCTGCTTTTTTTCCCAATTTTGTGCACGATACAGTGCTTAATGCTTTTTGCGGTCACAACGTTTGCCTTCAAATGATAATACATCTTATATTGCCAAAAGCTTTTATTTGACAATCGTACAGTGTAAGATTATCACCGAGCAAGATAAAACAAGAAAAGCGCTATATCTGTCTGATGTCGGTTAGCGTAAGATCTTGCTGAATGGCGTTCTTTGATCACCAGGATACACGATCCTAGGTTCAAGGAAATAAGCATGGGTTTCTTTGAATTTTTGGTCGTGTTTATTAGTTCTTGTACAGTATTTATGTATTTTCCTTAGCTAAACATTAAAAATCTAAATGCATGAATTAAAGCAAGCGCAACGTTTGCAAATTACGGTCCAAAAAATGGCGAACCCGAATTACAGATTGCACGTTAGAAAGCAAGGAAATTTCGATCTGAAACATCGCGCAATCCGGCATGCAAGCTGCATAGCACAGTTAAATTTATCTAAAATCATAAACGCCTGAAAATGGTCTTGCTTGATGATGCTCAATTAACAGTTTTTCTGTTTTTCTCGAATTGTTTGAATTTTGAACCATACAAAACTTGAAATGTTCATCAAATACTTTACAACGAAAAAAAACAAGTTAACATGTTTAAAAAAAATTTTTTGAAAAAAATGAGCGATTTGCATCATCAAGAAGAATATGTAACCAAAAATCTGTCTATTGGTCTAATGAACAGCGAAACAGAATAGGTGCATGAAGCCCGGCATTGCTTTTGCTAAATAGTTGCCAAAATCAATGTTATGACAGTGGCATGTCCAAGTTAAATAACTCGCTGTTATTCAACTTGAAGAAAAAGTCAGAGCAGGAAGATAGTTTAATTATTCATGATGTATTGGGTTGGGTCGTCTCTCTTCGTCTATTTTATTCATGGAAGATGATTTGATAGCCGAGACAAACTAATCCGATACATTAAATGTAGTTCCAGGCAGGAATAATCTTAAACGGTGCCATGATGGCACCTAGGTGATCGAGTGTTGGACACAAGAAGGATTGGTTGGCACGCCGTTTGGTAAAGTATAAGGGCCCAGGGTGGCGGTTCCCTATCTATTAGGTTCCCTTTCGGCTCGGGTACTAACGTTGGTTTGCAGGTGCTTCATTGTTCAAAGGTATGTTTTAATCAGTTTTGTGCAGCATAGTTCGTAGGTAGATATTCAAAATGTTAAATCGGTTATTTCATGCCACTGATCAAAAGGGTTAGCTAAGGATGCGCATATGCAAAAAGAATGGAGCTGCTGAAAGCGGCATAAAAATGGCGTACATGGAGGTTTATATTTTTAGTTATATTTTAAGGATGCATATTTCCTAAGTCACCTGTTTTATCAACCTTGTAAAGATAAAGACAGTCTAAAAAATTTTGTAAATATAATTAAGGCCTTAAAAATGTAAACATTCTTTTTTTGTAAAGATAACTAGTAAAAATAGATAAGGTGATTCCAAGTAATGTGCATCCCCGACTTGCTTTCGTAGCTTGTTTGATCTCCGAGGGTTTTCCTCCAGCGATACGCCGGTTTCCCTCATCTTTAGAAAATCACTCTAAAGAATAACAAAAAAGGGTGGCCATGTCTGGGACCTGCAGTAGGGATTGTATGATTATCGGGTTGGATTCCTGATCCACTCAAGAGAACAGGCGAAAACATTCTTAGATTTTCTGTTCGTTGCCGTTTAAATGCACTTCGAAAATTCTTATTTCTGGAATCAGATGCATCATTACCATAAGAACCAAAGAACAAATGCAGTTTTTTCACTGACTTTGACACTAAATATTAGTGATCAATTTCTTTTTTATGTATGTATTTATATTGAAAGTACGTTACAGCTCGAAAAATAAACTATGAGGAAAGATGGACATAATTTGTCACAGTTCAACTGATATTGATGACAAACGCCTAATTTCTTATTTCAGAACTGCTTGTATTTCTAGTTACATATTTGTAATTTGTATCAACTTGGCTGAAATTTACTTCACAGAAGCTTTTCAATTCTGCAATTGTAAGCAACTTAGCAAGAAGGATGTTCAAAAATTGTATCCTGCCTGTCCTGTACTCCTGTACGAAGAAATCGTTATTTAAGTAGGTGACAAGAAAATACCTAAAAAAAATGCCAGCCAATGACCGAGCACTGTGACCCCCCGCTGTGGCTGTGACGTCCAGGAACGACTTTGACATTAAAATCTTGTGACTATCACGTGAGTTACACGTCGCAAAGTGACAAGGAAATTAAACTTTCAATCCTCAGAATTATTCAAGATTCTCGTGACTTTAATATTTTTCTCGTGAAATTATGACCTTCGTTTCTCATCGATACGCGACATACTTTTTTATTTACCATTTACTAACAGGTAAATTTATGCTTATGATGTTTTTTCTTTGTTTGTTCGTATTTAGGAAGATCGCAAATCAAATGTAAGGTAATACTCATTTTTGTTGCTGCTCAGTGGTCAACATAAACAGACCATTACCAAGGATGATTAGGTCTAGAAGTTGCTTTATGTTGTTATGATTTGTTTAGTATTGACTTATAGGGTGCCAATTTACGTAATTTGAACTGTTCGAAACGAAAAATGTTGTTAAAATGTCAATTCAGCATTTACACATTCTCCACAAACATGTTGTAACTTTCGTCAGCGAAACAACTAACTTATTCGCACTTTAATATCTCAGGGAATGGCATTTTTGCTGTAATTGATGGAAATATGGCAGAAGTATTTCATTCTCCATTTTTCAGTCAAAACTCATCACCAAATCAAACCTTGTTGCCAAGTCAACATTCATCTTTTGCACAAAATGAAAAAAAAAGGTACCATGTATGGCATACTAGCTTTATGACAATGTGACCCCGTAAGTTTTTCTTTCCATACTCTCCATAACATATTTATATAACTTACCCTTTTTTACATGTTTGTAGATATAGATCGTCCAGGTTAGTATAGTCCTGAGAAGGACTGTTTTTGTTGTTGTTGACTGACGTTTCGACAACCTTAGCGGTAGTCATCTTCAGAGTCAAATGAGGAGTAAACGTCAGGTGTTAGCTGTATTTGTTTTCTGGTTACCTGACTAACCTGATGTTTACTCTTATTTGTCTCTGAAGATGACTACCGCTAAGGTTGTCAAAACGTCAGTCAACAACAACAAAAACAGTCCTTCTCAGGACTATACCAACCTGGACGATCGACATTTACAAACATGTAACGATACTCCCGGGTTCAAACCATTTACTTTATTACCCTTTTTTCGTAGAAAAACAGACATATATCTTGGCATGGATGAGGCATACTTAAACGTCACTTCTGTTGACCATAGTGCAATGAATGAAACCTATGAAGTATATGGTGTTTCTGATAATTGCTATAAGGTAATTGGGTTATATTTGATATTAAACAGAGTTGCTTAAAACTTTGTACCATTATTAGTGTTGTTATTATAATCACTTTAATTGAACAGCAACAAAAATGGTACAAATTCTTAATTGCATATTACCATAGTTCATATGCTTTAATAAACTGCATTTATGTTTGAATTTATTTTGGTTAGCCTTTTAAATTTTATCAATATGGATCAATTATAATTTTTCAAATGAATCACTGTTTATCAGCCTTTACTGCTTATTACAAACCTAAGCTATTCTAGTTTATTTGTTTTATGTACTTTTGGATTGATATAACAATGCTGTTGTTTGTTCAATGAATACATTTTCAGTGTCCTCTTCAAAAGCTCAAAATGATTTCAAACCAGAAGAAGGGAAAGGGGTTCATCATAGATACAAGATGGCCATTCAGGCTTCATGTACATGCTAGCAGCAACATCAATAAGAATTGCAGCATAACATTTCATTTTGGTGAATCAGGACATTATTTATTCGAGACTAAAGTTGATGTCAACAATTCACTTTGTTGTGCTATGGTTGTCATCAAGAAGCCAAAGAATAGCTTTATACGTAAGTATGTACAACTGATTTTAAAACTTGTATTGTCAGGAAATCAGAGAAAAACAGGAAGTTGTGTGTGCTGACATATATCAGGCTAATGAAAGGATGCCTGGTTGGTAAAGGCAAAAATAGTGGAAACTACACTGTTTCTTAATCACGAAGAATTATAATGTAATCAAACAACTTTGATGTTCATTACAACCAACTTTTACTTTTTTTAGCAATCTTTGTTGCTGCTGGTATTATGCTTGGTATTATGGCATTTGCCTTGCTTGCCAATTGGATACGAAGGTGATTGATTTTTTTTATTTTTGTTGAACTGCTACCTATTACTAAGCCCTTATTAACCAAGGGCTCAAGGTCTTTATCAATAAATATTGAACCAAGGTGTTTTTGTACAGACATAGCCCTGTGCATTCCCTTTTTGCAATATTAGTTTTAGTTTGAGAGAGGATCAAAACAAGACAAGAACTGGTTCAACACGCTCATTTATTTGGTCAACATAGGGTTCACAACCTATAACAAAATTGTTGATTCTTTGAACAATATGTAGCTTCAACCTGGTACACAAACTACAAGACTGCAGTCAAAACCCTTGCATATGAGTTAATTGCCCCATGTATATGTAACATATTTACATGTATAATGATTTATATTATTATATTTGCAGGATGTATCTTAAGAGTTTTCATGGCGTTCCTTATTCAAATTTAAATTTATCCTCTGTGAGACTTATATAGCATTTGATTTAATACATTTTCTATTTCATATGATTGATTTAGAATTAATTTTTGTTTCATTTTTAAAGTTCATTTTTAAAGATCTTGGTCGAGAAAGTCAAACACAAAGTGATGTCATAACTCATGTAAGTTTTGAAACATTCGTGTGCAATGTATTGTAGTCTACATATGTATAGATGTTTTTTTTTGAACACCATTGCCTTCACTTGCTCATTTATCACTATCTGTATATTGACACACGTTTATATTTTAGCAGTGTAAAGACTGTTCTCATTCTCTGTTGTTCATTCATCACTACCTACACTGACACACGTTATCTTAGTTTATATTTTAGGTAGTGTAAATACTGTTCTCATTCTCTGTTGTTCATTCATCACTACCTACACTGACACACGTTATCTTAGTTTATATTTTAGGTAGTGTAAAGACTGCTCTCATTCTCTGTTGTTCATTCATCACTACCTACACTGACACACGTTATCTGAGTTTATATTTTAGATAGTCTAAAGACTGTTCTCATTCTCTGTTGTTCATTCATCACTACCTACACTGACACACGTTATCTTATCTTATATTTTATTGTTTATTTATCAACTTGCAAATATCGTTTTATTCTTATGTAATATAGCCCACAAAAAAACGATTAAAATCCTTAGATACATTTCGAGGGTAAGTGTAAACCTTAATAGACTGCCTTTTTACGTCATGTTTTTGCCATGTACAGTGAAATAATTGTTCAATCTAAACAAAATATCTGTTATATAAGTACATTTTTTATCGAATGTCTTTTCCTCTTTTTTAGTTTATCACTGACCATCATGGTGTTTGTAAATTTTGGTGGTGGAGGTTATTGGTTTTTTCAACATTCAATATGGAATGGTGAGCACGTAGTTACAGTGAGGGTCGATTTGCCCTTCCAAGTCAAACTTCTGATTGTTGATGACGTCATGCTTTTATTTTTGTCTACAGGTCTTACTGTCGCTGACCTCGTTTTTCCCTGGTGAGTAGCGCGGGCACTCTAGTAGAAGCTTAAACTATGTATTTGTATTGATTACGATTAAAGATTAAGCATTAATTTTATATTTATACATCGTTATTATTTAGGTTTATATTCATAATGGGTGTTTCGCTGGCCGTCTCATTTAGCAGCTTACGACAAAAGAATATCCCAAAATCTCGTATATTTATTAAAATCGTTCGACGTTCATTAATTCTGTTTGCTCTTGGTCTGTTAATGAATAAAGGTACTATGAATAACACTATTGCATAAACGTAATTTGAACTACATAATCGTTTTCTCACATGGATCTTAAGTTTGAAAATCTCGAATAAAAATCCTGTTGACCATGCCTACATCAATGCAATTTCGACCCGCATACTCACGACCTTGTGAACCACTTTTATCATAGGTAGCACTTTAGTTTGAAAAGTTTTAAAATATTATTGTGATCAACATTACAGATTTAAAATTGAATTTTAATGAAATATAGACACGTGGTGTAAAATGAACTTAAGAAGTGTGAAGTATTGAACTGCTTAGTATTTGTTACGTAAGAGCGGGGGTGTAAAGTATATCATTAACTTTGAGCTGGTTTGGTACTCCTCTATTTCTCTGTTTTATTATGATTGAAGTTAGCGTTTTATGTTAGGCACTGACCTGAGCTCATTTCGTATTCCTGGAGTGCTACAAAGATTTGCTATCTCGTACTTCGTCGTTGCATCATCGGAGTTATGGTTACATTATCCAATTGACGACTCATACTCGGTGTGTTATGATAATGAAATTTATTGCAATGCTGGAAATTCTTTTGTTTTTCATAGATATGGGGAAAAACTACCAAAGAAATGCTAGACATTAAAAACTAATCGTGCATTTTCTATGATATAGTTTGACTGTTTTTAGACCGCTTGGTGGTTTATGCTTCGAGAAATTGTTGAGTTGTGGATTCAGTGGATTCTAATGATTTGTATAATAACATTGTACTGCGTTTTAACATATCTTGTTAACGTTCCTAACTGTCCAAGGTATTGTAACAAAATTTCTTTTCAGATCTTATAGAGATGCAAATTAATGTTTCGAACTTCACTGTTGGTTCTAGTTCGTTCTGTGCAGTGAGATTTTGATTTTTCGATGAACCTAGGGGATATGTGGGACCTGGAGGGATCGGTGAAGGATATCCTACCTATGAGAACTGTACTGGTGGAATGGCTGGGTACATTGATAGATCATTTTTTGGAAAGAGTCATATTTATCAACATCCAACGTCTATGGTTAGTTGGCTTATTGTGTCTCCTCTGTTGTTTGTTCTACACTGTTTATTGTCTTTGTTCCATTTCTAATGTAGAAATTATACTTAAACACAATTCCTTACGACCCCGAGGGAGCATTGGGCTCACTGACCTCTATATTTTTAACATTCTTGGGTCTACAAGCTGGAAAAATCCTGTTAAACTATACCGAACATTTTGAACGAGAGCGAAGACTTATTTCATATGGTCTTATTTTGGTATGTATTGCCATATACTGTTGGCCAGTATACGTTTGGGGGTTAATGCAATTTATGTTCGTTGTGATGTAATGTAGTTAGTCAGTGCATCAAAGGTTTTTAGGCTGTTTTATTTGTCCTGTTTTATCCTTTAGCTATTTGCCAAGGTCACGAAGATTTTTAAAAATTTTGTAACATGTGAATGTTGGTTTTGTAGAAGAACATTTGCCATGACAGGCGCTTTAGTGTCTACACATACGTACATCAAAAGTAAAATGGAGATTTGAATTGTGAAGGATGTGGACTAATTACAAATATTCAAAATTGTTTAAGATTGACTTATATTTCACTTGAAAAAGGCTGCTGCTGTTTGAAAGTTTTCACTAACCTTAGGCCTTAGTTAATAGTTATCTTTGGACAATAGATAATTTGTGTGTATATTTCTTCTTTGATGATTGCTGAATATCTTATTTTCATTGTAGCATTTCAAAATTCTCATAAGAAATGTAAAATTTGTGACATAAGGGTTTCATAGTGGGGCTCATTTCAGACAATACTAGTTACAAGTAATTGGGCTTATTAATAGTCATCCTTAAAAAAACTTAATAGCCTTAAACTCATATTTTTATTTTGACATTTAATGATACAATTAAGAGAAATGATTTGCCTTGAAGACCATATATGCCTTACGCATGATACAAGAAACAGTCAATGAAAGAGTTACGTGGTGAAATTTTGCAGTACCTTAGATATTATAGATCATTTAATCAGAAGAACTCTTGTAAACGAAAGAAGGCAAAAGGCAGTTTTTTTTTAAACTCTGCATTATCCTCAGAACCACAGTACTGTGCCATAAATTTATCTATTTTTGGGTAATAAATTACATAAAAACTATAAGTTGGACGTGGTTCTCATTGGCAAGGTTATATTGTAACACAAAGTTTGTGTTTTTAAAAGCCACTCGTTGAAAGTAATGTTTCATGTTTCTTTTCAAGGGATTCATTGCTATTGGTTTATGTGGTGCATCTAAAAACGACGGTCTTATTCCGATTAACAAAAATTTATGGTAGGAATTGTTTAATTCTTCGTATTAAATTATGAGTGTTGTAGAGGGATGAGCCATCTTGTGGAAGGGGTGACCCCCTTTGTGAAAGAATTATTCAAAAACCTGTTGTGAACGATTCGACCAATTTTTAGAAAGTGTTTTTAATATTGTCATTTTCAAATACATGGATGTTTTCTTATGAAAAAGTTTCCTCTCTCTCATTGAGAAAATAGATTCCATACATATCCCCATCTTCCCTTAAAATAATTTATGAATGAGCCTGAAAACTACATTGAATTTCATTGATAAATTGCAGGTCCTTGTCTTTTGTAATTGCTAACGGATCATCGGCGTTTATCTTGTTGACTATCTGTTATGTTCTTATTGACGATAGAAAGATATGGCATGGTTCACCATTTGTATTTCCAGGTAGGAAAACAGGCCAACGGGGCAAACTGCCATTAGACTGACTATGTTTATAAACCCTAGACTCGAGTTTTATGTGTTACATTTTTTTCTTTTAGGGATGAATTCAATCTTGGTTTATTGTGGTCACGAAATTCTCACGTTTTATTTTCCTTTTAATTGGGAGTTGGATAAACCAACTCACAGCAAGAAGCTTGCTATGAACTTGTGGGGTGCTAGTTGTTGGGTGATTATTGCTTACTACTTATATAAAATTAACTTTTTTGTAAAAATTTAGTTATGTATTCACACTACGGTATAATTAACCTAGCTTAACCTTAGTTTATTGGGCTGGGAGCAGAAATACTCGTTGTGAAAAGAAAAACCATTGAACGTGTTTGTTTAAGCATTGCCGTAGATGTGCTTGAAACTACGTTCTTTCTCACACTAGATGCAATCATCTTTTTGTCTTGAACGACGTAAGTATTTTTGCTCGGGACTAACTTATAATTTAAACAGACGAAAAATTATTTTAATTTTTGGTGTTAAATTTTTTAAGCAAATAATCTGAATTTGTGTGCTCAAAACATTTGTTTATGTTTTTTGTTGATCAAAACTTTGCTTGTAATAACCACACCTTTAGTCACGATAGACATGATCATGACTCCACCAACTGTTGACTATACCCCTAGCCATGAAAGATATGATCATGAACTCACCATGCGACGACCATCACACTAGCAAACAGAGATTTGACTCAGTTACGATGTGACAACGACACCCTTAGCCATAAAAATATTGAACATCACCCAACCACCTGATAACTGCACTACCAACGAAAAGAGAGTTAATCATGAACTTGTCATGTGTTAATAACTCTACCAGCCTGTTGAATCAGTTGATCATAATCCCAGCCCCCAGCATAAGACGCAGTCCGCGATGGGGATGAATATTTTGAGTTTATACACAACTAGAAACTTCATATTTCCTTTTGAAATCTAAAGTTTTAGAATTTTAATGTAAAATTTTAATTCATCTCTAGTGTTATGCAAATTTCATGGTTTTAAACATAGACATCAACAACACACAGCTCTAATGAAACATTGAAAGCTGTCTGAGCAAGAAACTCTTAAAATGTTATTTAGCGTTGTTAAATATTTATTTACTTTTAATTATTATCGTAAAACATTTCTTTAGTTATCGGTTATTATTTTTGTACAACTAAATTTTTCTATTTTACACCATTTCAGATGGTTTAGAGCGAAGTTCAATTTAGACGATACAAATGTTATCTTTGTAGAAAGTATTATAAAAATTTAGGTAATCCTTTTTCCCCATGAAGCCCATGGGTGCTTTCGTTCATGATGAGAAAGTTCTATTGTATAAGGAGGCTCTTTCATCACGAGAGAGTTATGAGAAATTTACATTGTAAAACGTACCTAGTAAAAAACGTACAAACTTCCTTGGAGTTGGTTTGAATTATAAGTCAAAAAGGCAAAAGTTGTTTGATGTTTGAACCTTTGCAGTATGCTTGGATGTTCTAGTTGAGAAGACTTCTTGAAAAGAAAAAAGACAAATTTTGCCGGAAAACAAAAAATCCCGTTTACGGTCCATGCCTCTTGATACCCCGAGATAGTTTAGCACTAGAGCGTCGCATGTTATATAAGGGAACCAGATAATCCTTGTTTGCCATGAAGCCCATGGATGGTTTGCTCGTGATACACGAGAAACGATAAATGAGAGAGTTAAATCAGAAAGTTATAAACCAATAAAAATTGTATAATTTAAGGTTGTCTGAAATTACATGTGTCATAAAAAGGCACAGTTTCATAAGAATTTAATTGAAGCATTGCTTGGTTTATTTTATTTTAAAAAGATAAAATATGAAAGCAAAAAACCCCGTTTTCGGGCCATGCTTCCCGATACCTTGTTAATCTTAAGGCACTAGAACGCCGCATGTTAACGTTTCGGTAGGAGATTTCGGCCTCTCCACTCTATCCTACTTGGGAGATGCCAAAGCAAGCTTCCGCCCATCAGACCCCGAGATCACCTGCAATAGGCTTTGCTCGGGGTACGCAGGGAGAGTGCGGTCGCGACCCGAAACGTCTGGACTCCTAAGCCACTGCATAAATATCGCACCCAGCTTCCACTGCTAGTTGACATCTACTATATGAAGTGTTAGCTTTGTACAAATATACACAAATTCAAAGGCTTGCGAAAGTTGTGGTATAATTAAAGTCACTACTGCGCATGCCCAGATGATTTCTTTGATAATTTGCGACTAAGTGAGATAATTGCCACGAAAGTAGTGCAAGTACATATAGTTAGTCGTTGCCATGACTATGAACAATTAGTCGAGTGGAATGCGCATGCTTGAGCGCATGCGCACATGATTTCTCTATTAAATTGTTATTAAGCATGTTATTTACTTTAAAATCGGTGCGAGTAGATGCAGTTGATCGTTGCCATGACCATGAACTTGGGCATCTGGTCAAGTTGACTGCGCATGCTCAAGCAGACTGCGCATGCGCAGATGATTTATCTGAAAATTTGTAACTGAGCGAACTAATTACTCTATAATCGGTACTAGCGCATACAGTTGGTCGTTGCCATGACCATAATCTTGGAGATTTGGTAGAGTTGACTAAGCATGCTTTAGATTAATTCTCAATTAATTTATAACGTAGTGAGCTCTGAAATTAGTGCTTGTATATGCCCTTAGCAAATTTTCAATCATATATTTTTGGCATGCTCTTTGTCTTTTTATGCTTGGTTTGACAAATGCATATCAAACTCATCAAGACTTTGTCAGGCCACTCGTAATATCAGTGTTAATGTTAGAGACGTTTTTATTTTTCTCCATAATTTTGCATCTTCATATTTTGTGCAAAAACAGTGCTCTAATTTTTTGCGACAGATATTATAATTCGTGAATTGAGGTAGAAGAAATACTTGAAAATGAAACTTCCAAAAGTGAAACAAAATCAAGCATGACAGAGGAGAAACAACGACGTCAGGTTGAAGATAGTTTGATGAAATTCAACGTAGTTAAAGCACCTAGCGTACGCTAGATAGTTTTGATGAAGACTCGTTGGCCAATGAAAACGCAAATGATTCCAAGCATTTTTACGACAGTAAAAGCTCTAACCAGGACGATTTTTCATTTTGTAGGTGTTTTCTTTAAAAAGTCAACTAATGTCAAGGAAAAAGAGTTTGGTTTTTGGATAAATTGAAAAGCTTGTTTTGGACTTTTAAGTTCCTTTTCGTTGAAGTTTTTAACTTGACCATTGAAGTAATGCAAACTTGATACGTATTATCTAGAGCTATTTTACCCCCACCCCACCTCCCTATTGTTTTTTCCTCTTGGCAAACATACTTTGAACACAGGCATTTGCGATTTTACTGAAACACAAAAGATTACTAGTTGATGCCTTTCTCTAGTCTATGTGTAGAAATTGTCGGTCTTTTATTTTCACATGTTTTTTATTGATACGAACTACTTATACCCTGTCAAATATAACTGGTTCACTCAAATGTCCGGTTTTTGTCTGTATGAAAGACCTTGGTTATTTTTGGATTACAACCAAAGGTCATTCTTCCAAACTGTGTGACGCTTGGCAATTTGCCTTATCATTATTCAAACGTTATTATCTTACAGGTCCAAACAAGAAATTGATTACGCACGTTCATAAATATATTTCCAGTATTGGGTTGGTTTTTATTGTGTTATTGTGCTCCATAAGAGAATAACTAGTGCGAGTGAAACAGTGAAACTTGAAACGTCGTCATTTTGAAGATAGTTGTATCGTTGATTGCTGTACTTTAGTCGTGTTTACTGCAGATACCGTTATTATTTACGTTGATATCAACAATGTGCTGTAAACGTTGTAAAATCTTGTTGGTGGTCACCGTAAGCTTTCTAGCGACGTTGCCTCCAGGTTCAGCAACTCGTTGCCGAGGCGGTTTTGACCTGTACTTCGTATTGGACAAGTGAGTTTTGTATCTGTTTTCATTTTACAAGTTTCCTTAGCGACAGCATGGCATCAACTTCAAATATAAGTAAAGATTTGGTGTGTTATAGTATGAGATTCAGTTACAATATATTAAAAAGTCATATGTTATAAGATTCCATTAATAATAACGGATATTCTGACCGGTAGACATTTCAGTATACTGTTGTACATGATAGTACATCAGCTTAATTTCTTACTCCTCTCTTTTCAAGCTGAAGCATGCAATACTTAATAAAAGATAAAACACTGAATAATATAGAGCTCGTCTTATTTAAAAACTCTTAAAAAGAGCACAACGAGACTAAACAGACATGAAATGCCTAAGACTCTATCATTACGTTCATTCTCAACAGTCAATACAGTTGTGTCCTTTGAAATGAAGATCAACTATTGAATTTGAGGCCATCAAAGGAGATTTAAGTGATACAAATGGTGAATAAAAAAGTTTCACATATGCTTTATCTATCTATTGTTTCATTTTGCTTTCATTGTCTTGCTTATGTGATAAATCCGGATGGTAAATTAATTACGTCTCTCAACAACCGGCTCTCACAATGAACACAGAAATAAAGGTTCTATTTTATCACATTTCTTTTCGCGTAATTGTACAAAGAACTCTTGCAAATTTCTTACTTATAAAATATTTTTTTCACTTAAAATGGTCCAGTGTATATCCAAATTTTAAAACTCGTCTTACCATTTAACACAACTAAAAGTTCATTAACAAAACGAGGATTGTTAAGATTAAAATTTCTTTAATCTGTTTGAGTTTCACTTTATTTTGTTGTAAATTTCCGTTTATCTTACGTAACGATAAGTTATTGTAAGACATTCCATTGTACTGCATTTCAAAATCATCAGAATTATCGTGTTGTTAATTGAGCTATTACTAATTGTATTAAACTTTATCGAAAATAAAAATCTGTTCACTTGCTTGCCTTTACAAAAATAGATTCTCTTGAAGTTGCATCCAGGTTTTTTTTTGCAAAATAAGCTCTATAATTCATCACTTGCATCAACACTTGCCTCTACAATGAATGTTTCGACTGTACTCTAACTCAAAATACACGGAAATTGAACTGTAAAACAGTTCGTTTCATGAGGCCAATTTTGTAAGACAATTGTGTATAGATGTGAAAGTCGGCTAGATTATAAAATAATGAGCTTTCCTCATGTATTTTGGTCAAAGATGAAAGTGAAGCGTCTGGCTCATTTCCAAAATTGAAACAAATTATTTGAGGAATTTTTTCGTCCTCTTTATTGCCTATGATCAATAGAGGCAAGGCTTTTAGTCACAAGTGACTGTAGAATTCTAGTTATTACGGTAGCTATTGAATTTAACTTTATTTAGGGCACTAAATTTATTATTTTCTTTAGATCGTCAAGTGTAAGTTACTCGAATTTCCAAATTCAAACTGTGAGCTTTGTGAGGAAGATCGTCTCTAGTTTTGTAAGGTGCGATAATGCTTGTCAAAGTCACATGGCTTATTGTTTGCTTTATCAGCTTAATGACTTTCTCCTGCTATGAAGCACCATAATTTATTTAAAGCGAGAGACTTTGCTTCTTGAACACAGAAATATATCTCAATCAAGCAGTTAGAATTGCTTGCCTCATTTTTATATCTACAATCAATGCAGTCCAGTGAAAATTTACTCGTAATTTTATACTGAAAGATTTTTGCCCGTTGTGATGTACTCATATCGCTTTATACCTACTGCTTTGTGCTGGTGTGGACAACTGGGGGGAGGGCAAACAAAGAGAGGCCTAAGGACTGCCCTCGTGAAACGAATCAAACAATGAAATTTGAGTAAATCATTAGGAAGGCGGGGCGATAACTAGTTAAATATCTGTATGGCAACCGGATTATCAAGATATTACCTCAAAAACACGAGAAATCGTGTGAGGAACTCTTGATTTAACTTTTCCTTGGAAGGATGCCCACACATCCTGGCAGAAAGACTTATATACCTAAAGTGTTGGACTTATGCCCGCCCAAAACTATACGCCATTGTTGCTGAATATAATTTCTCCTTCAACATGTAATAAGAATGTATTTTGAAATAGAAGTCTACAATGATCGTAAACATTTTGCTAATTCCTTTAAATTGTCATATTCGTCTTTTTTTCTGTAGCTCAAAACTCCGCGTCTCCTTTATCACGTTTTCAACCGAAGCTGAGGTTGTTATGCGACTAACAAAGAACAGGTGTGCTAAAAAGGTTGAACATCCCCCCAATCTCCCTTCGTCCAACATAGAAAACAGCCTATCATTCAATGTCTCCTAAATAATATTCTTGCACTGTTTGCCTTGTCTATTTGTGTCTTTGAAATTAGAACCGTGATTGAGTCAGGTTTGAAAGATCTTGGTGATGTTGTTACAATTGGCGATACTTTTATGGATCGTGGTTTGACGAAAGTAAATATAGAAAACTACGTGTTATAACTAATAAATCTCAACTATGTTAACAAGAACTGTTTTTTTCTAGGCAAATGATCAAATTGAAAAGTTTGGTAAGTGTTACGGTACTTGTCTTCTTAAAAAAAAAAACAAGTAAAAATCAAAACTGATCGTCAATGCTATCATTCTACTCAATTTCAAAGATCAATTGCAAAGCGCATAGGCATACGGGACGGGGGCAAGGGGGAAGCTGCCCCCAAGAAAGTTTGAAGATTGAAAAGTTGGGCAAATTTTAAGCGTAAGTCGGGCGAAAATATGGCGGAATCTTTATATTGAGTTAGGTGAATTATTAACCCCCCCCCCCTTCCCCATTGCAAAACGTATTTTTTCACTTGGACAGAGAAAATCTAAGATTATTTTATCAAAGTATTAGCTAACAAACATGCAGAATCATGTAAAACGTAGCGCAGAAGATGAAGGTTTGAGCTTTGACATTTTGTTTTTGTAGGTGATCGTACAGCTGGAATAATAATTGCACTCACAGATGGTCAGATTGGAAAAAGGAAATCACAGACATTTAAGGAAGTGAGTTATAGGTCAATACAATATATTTATGGTTTTATTTTTACGTAAAGGAGCTGTTGTGATTAGTATAAGAATATGAGTGTGATGGTTGATAGAAAACCGACGTTTTTTTATTTGAGAAAAGGGGCAATAATGCTAAACCTGCGGGCTGTTCTTTATGAGAGTTATCAAAGATTTGAAATGAATTTTTATTTGTTTAAGTACTTCTTTAGATTTCTTTAATTTGATTTGTTATTTTTCATTACTATTCCAAACATCGGGAATAACGTATATACTCTGTCATCACTACATCACTCTTCTCTCAATTCTTGATATATATTTTTTGTATCCCAGGCAGAAAATTCTCGTAATTTGGGTGCTACAATATACGCTGTTGGCGTTGATAAATACGACAAAGAAGAGGTACGAAACTCAAGCTATGGATTACTGAACGGGTGGTGGAGAAAATACGCCTAGTATAAAAAAATGCTCATGTGGAATGCAGAATGTGATTGGTTGAGATTTGCTCAAGTGTGAAAGTAAAGTTTAAAGTAATAGCAAAGATCGCATGATAAGTCCGACGATATCTATGCTAAAGTCTACAAATCAGGATTAAATAGGAAAGTCGATTGCTCAAGAATAGAGACTATCAAGATTATGAAGTAATGTACAGATAAAGAAATTGTGGTTTACCAAATTTTTTTTCTAGCTGGAAAACATTGCCGATAAACCGTCTAAGGATCATGTGTTCATAGCAGAAAGCTACGATGCTTTAAAAAATATTATAGATTCTGTAAGGTTAAAATACATATATTAGTTTTTTTTTTATCAGGCTGCGTTTCGTAGTTACCACCATGCATTTTTGATTCTTGTAGATTGTCAATAAGTCATGCATTGAAATATTGTCAGCTGATCCGACAAAAGCTTGTGCCAACGGTAATTGATGTTGATTTTGAAACTTATTTTGCGTGTAGTTCTTCTTTCTTGTGGAACTGATGCAAGATCTTATCAAAGAAAATATTTATAGAGCAATTTCCTGTCGTGTTGACTGGTAATGGTTTCATGAAAACTAATAAATCTAGCATTCGCTGCAATTTTAAAGTAGGCGACAAAGACTTAAGTAAGTGCTTATAATCATAGTATTTACTTTGTCTAACAATTTGTTATTCCATTCCGAACCAAATCTCTAGCCTTGAATGAAAACACTAATTTTATCGTTGTAGTCACGAAAGCCTCTTCAGTCGAAGTTTCACGTTTGAAATGTGTGTGTCCGCCAATTTCAAAACCTGGAAGGTATCTAACATTTGCTAGTAATTAAATATCACCATTCGTTTGTGAGATTTAAAAGAAATTTAATCATTTTATGCAGTCAAGTAAATATCCAAGTTTCTCTAAACGGTGTCAAGTATGTTTCAAGTGATGTTAGGATTGCAATTATAGACTGCCGAGCGGTATGTGCTTTTTTTAATGTCTTGTGAGTTGTAGATATCTTCTGTATGAGTACGGTTAATAATTTGCTATAAGCAACGATAAAAAGTTTGCTAAAAAAATAAAATGATCTAGCTTAACACTCTAGCACTTTTTGCGTTGGTAAAATACTTGCGATTGCCAATTTAGTAAAGCCATTTAAGTAAATCAAATTCTTTTTTGTTTCATTTTAGCAAGTGCAAACAAAGAACAACTTTAAATATTGCTTAGGAGGTAAAATTACTATAACTACTAAATTTAATACTCCACAGTATAGTATGTTCCTGATTGGTGAATATATATCATGCCTGGTTCAATAAATACTTTTTCCTGGAAAAAAAGTTGCAATAATTATGAACAGTAGTTAGTTTTTAGTGGTTCAACTTCGTATTGCAATGTTTCATCATTGTGCAATTTAAAATAAATTCCCTCAAACTCATGGAAAACATAAACAGAGCTTATGTTTTTTTTACATGTGTCTAATATGTCATTCAATTTTACACGTATGCCAAAGAATAGTGCTGTCTAGTTTTCCTGTATTTAATAAATGTCTTCTGCATATACGAATCTTCTCGTTGAGTTCTTGCTTTGTGTCTAGAATCAGAGGTTATTACGATCTCTGGTAAAAACTTTCGTCGATCATTTGATGAATTGCGTGCAAACGTCGGTTGTCGTTTGCGATACAATAATACTTATACTGGTATGTATGAAAATAACGACACTATTTTAGTGACATCTCATGATTTATCTAAACAATAAGTTATTTTAATGTTTCAGAACCAATCGAGGTGATTTTACTTACATCTACCGTAATGAAATGTAAAATACCAATTATTCAAAAAGAAAGGTAATAATCACTGTCGTGAGATAAAAACGGTCGTGGGTTTTGTTAGTCTTTTTTATCCAGGGTATTTTGACATCATATGGGTTAGATACTGAGAAAAAAAAATTCAAACTGTTGGGACAAAACAAACATTGAAATCATATCATCATTTTATTTTAGAACTTTTATGTTGGAAGTGATAACATTAGATTACCGCAAAGCTGTAATCAAAACATTGAAATTAACTCCGAAAACTTGTGTACCGGTTAGAAAAAAAATACTTTTATTATTTTCGTCATTAAACCGATGATTTATCATGACACAAACACATAAGACAGACTCTATCCATCAGAAAGACTTTCGCCAATAAAAAAACTCTTACCATCAGACAAACTTTCGCCATCAGACAAACATTTTCCATTAGATATACGCTCATTATAAGACATGCTTTCGTCATTAAACAAACTCTCACCATCAGACAAACTCTTACCAGTAGACAAATTCTCACCATTGTATATATAATTGTCATTTATTCAACTGCCATATGCAAAGTTCTTTATTCAGTAGTTCCTTCGTTGATTTAAAGGTAAAACACAAGACAAATGTTGGTCTAATTCTTGGAATTTTATTTTCTCTTTTTCTCTTGGCGTTTATCTTGTTGTGGTGGTTCTGGTTGCTTCTATTCCCTAAGGTAATCAGTGATTCAAAAATGGTACAAACAAATTGGTTTCTCCTCTTTCAAAATGTGTTTAGGCTTCCATAAAGTTAATGATCTCTCAAACCATAAAAATATGACAAAGAGACTTAACTAAAATGCATCTAAAACAAGTTTTTAATTTGAAGTTTTATTCCAAATTTTTTTTCTCTTTGATTACTCAGTCACAGAAAGAACCTGTTTCTCCCACATCAAGCACGGTAAGATGAATTTAATCTCAACTATCTGAATCTAACAAAAGAGATACGTAATGAAAACATATGTTCCTGTCGTCTCAGAAACGTTAAACCCAAAACCTGAGGACAGGGATCGACATGCAGATCATACATAAGCTAGTTTTAGCGTACAATACCCCCAAATTTTTTGTGCGATGTTCACTCCTGGCTAAGTGACGCTTTTAATTCGTAGAGAAAAAAGTTTTTGTACATAATTTTTCAATGCAGGGACCACCGAAAATGAAATGGCCTTCGGTTGATACTTCTTATTATGGAGGTGGAGGAATTGGTGGAATTACACCTGTTAAGGTTTGTTTAAACGATCATTTGCATTTCAGTCACAATCATTCTTCTATAAGTCAACATCCTTATCTACAAATCACAATCTTTACCCTGCTTATCTGCCTGACTTTCAACCATTTCAACTTTGTTTGTCATATCTATTCCAATATTGGCCATTCATTACATTCATTTTTCATTTTGTAGGTTAAATGGGGAGATAAAGGAGCAACTGAGGCAGGAGCGGTGCTCTCGGCTGCAGAGGTTTGTTTGAAAGGCATAAAAATACTGTTTCGTGTCCTTTATAACAATCTTGTTGGTTTTTTTATGATAATAATATAGTTAAAAAAGAAAAATCAGACATCCGGAGAAAGTAACGAAGATCCTAAACCGTCTTGTTGGGATCATACTAAGGTAAATAAAATGCAGTAAAAAGAAACGATCAATACATTTTTTTTCTTTTTCCAGTGTGTTCTTTAATTTTATAGCCGTTGGTAATGTTTGTAAAATTGTGTCAGGTAAATGAGGCGACAGAAAAATTCAACTTTTATTTGTGTTTTCATTTCAGGAAAGAGTTTTAACATTCTTAGCACTCTTTCCCAAAGCATATGCGTGGATAGCGTCCAAACGACCACAGCGTGCTGGTAGCAAAGGGCCTGGTAATGAATACACCCAAGTACGTCATAGCTCAGAGTAAGAAAGAGGTTTAACAGAGGATATTTTAAGATTTCTAGAAATGTATTGCTGTTTACTACATTATTTCGATTTCTTTGTTTAAGGAAAGTGTAAATAACATCCTGTTAACAACAGCTACAAATGCTTTGCTTAGCCTCTTAGGTTAGTCCTTGTTGTAATATTCTCTCATCTGAAAAAGTTTGCATTTGCTGTAGTGTCATGCTTTTTTACTTTGTATTACCTGGTACAACTATAATAAATCTGCGTATTTTGGTATTTCTCACTGAACGACATAGTAGAATGTGGATTTAATCGTAATGTAAGATAGGTTTTGAATATTGTTGTTATTGATGTCAAGTGATCAACAATATCCTTGACTATCCTTGTCTTCGTCAAATTAAAATTCATTTCTTCACAAATGCATTTTTGGAAAACATTTTTTCATTTTTGTAATATATCAACATCCGTTCTTTCCATCCATCATATAACTTGCTATCTTCTTTGGAAAGCGTAAACCTTTTTTAAGAAGTCTGCTATTGTATTTAAACAGTCACAACACACTGTAAATGGGGACACTACGATGTAGAGTAGAGCACTGATAAAACCAATTGGCAAAGCGACAAACAACAAAATCAGCATCCATATTATTGCCCATACTAACTTGCATAAAGCATCTCCGATACCCATTCTATAAAATTCAAAAACATATATTATCACAATTAAATGACTTTTTTCCGTAAGATATGTGTTTTTTACAATCCTTTCGTGTTCATTGATAATCTTGAATCATCGTCTAGATTATCAAACAAAAGGAGTTTAACAATTTTCATTTAAAATTGCCTGCCTCGTAAATTAAGCTACTGCAAATTTTCTTGAATATTCGCCATGTTTGTTGCTTTCCAGTCTCAACAAAAAAAGCTAGGCATCTGCATGCACATATAGTCTTTTGGAGATTTTATAAGATATGTAGATATCAAACCTTCTTCTTTGATTTGCCAAACGAAAATAAGAATTTTTAGTTCATATATATAGTAAGCTAAATAAGTTTCAGAAACGTTTTTACGTTGTACAATGTTTTGACAGGTGTTTTAGTTCTGCTTACTGAAGCGAAGTTTTTTCTTGACAAACAAGAAAGATTTAGTTCAATAAAATGCTTCAGATTTTGCAATTGAACTCATGCTAACTTTAAACTTCCAGTTTGAGACCTTTTTTTTCTATTCATCACTACGCGCTAAGTTGTCGTAGCTCTTATTTCAGGAAAAGGAAAATTTTAACAAAAAAATTCTCTCTCCCCTAAGTGATCTGAAAATGATGGATTTTGATCAATGATCACGCTATCCCATACGGATACCATACCATGTACCACAGTATTTTATTGAACCGAACTTTTACATTGACAATGGACATTCCGTGCAACAGTTACATGTCTTCAGTGGCATTCTCAATGTAATGCACCACATTTGTATGGTGAATGAATCATTAATGAATGAACGCGGCATTTCAAATATTGTTTTTGCTCTGCCAAGTGGCGAAAATGGGCGAAAACTCTACACAAAGCAGGCTGGTTCAAGACCAGAAGTCTTATCCAACCAGTCGGAGTAGTAGAAAAGTCAGAAACTTGGTATCTAGAAAATGAAAATGTATATGAATGTATTTTACAACGGTAAACGTCTAATGTCATTTTAAAAGTTCTGTTCCCTATAAATACAATCAATTGAATCCACAATCATCGCTGTATATTTTTGCCATACCGAACCCCCCCCCCGGCATGAAAGTAATATGGCGGTCCTGAGGGCAGAAATTATTTTATGTTTGTGTGTTTAGTGCAAATAAATTGCCCAAATCTCAAACTGACATTTGTATAGTGTTGTTGGTGGGAACCTATACTTTAAATGTTTTCCTTGCAAAATGTCCAACGTCCAACTGTTTATGCATGTCTTTTCACGCTACAGAAGTGCCTTAGATCAATTTGCTCAAAGAGAGGTTCGTTAAAAACGTATAATTAACTTCGTATGTATGTAGTATATATACATATACATGTGTAAAATTATAATGTAGTATTGCTTTTGTTACTTTGATTTATTTCAGGGCAATTTGATTATGATTTAATCGTTATTGGTGGTGGTTCAGGGGGGTTATCTTGTGCCAAGGAAGGTACATAACATGAATAGCTTTATAAGTTAAAATCAAATTTTTAGTCTTCTTTAAATCTGTATTATATTATTGTTTTTCATTCTTAGGTGCTGCCTATGGAAAAAAGGTTGCAGTCCTTGACTATGTTTCACCATCTATACAGGGTCAATAACGTTTCATTTTTATTGCAATATAAGTTTTGAGATGATTTAAAGACTTTCATTTGTTTTTAGGTACAAAATGGGGTCTGGGAGGAACATGTGTGAACGTTGGTTGCATACCAAAAAAATTGATGCACCAAGCTGCCCAACTTGGAGAGTCAATTCAGGTTTCAAAGTTTAACTTTAAGATTGGATTGTTATACTGTAGTATTGATCATAGTGAAAATAAAATATTTTTTATACGTAGATATCCGATAAATATGGTTGGAATATAGGTGACAATGTCACACATTCATGGTTTGTTTCATGTTATAATTGAAATGACTGGTTCTTAAGACTGTGTTCAAATGTATGTGTTTTAATATTTAGGGAAACCTTAGTGCAGAATGTCCAAAACCATGTGAAATCTTTGAATTGGGGCCATCGTGTTCAACTTCATGAAAAGTAGGAATAAATTATAGTACACTACAGAATAAAACATCTGATCATTAATGTAATTTTGGTTGCTCATTTGTCACTTGCAAATCTGTCAAATATCTTTTGTTGGCTCCATGTCTGAAAACATCCATGTATGTGGTGTTGTCTCTTGATATAGGCAAGGTACCAGTAGCATACTGGGGATTTTTTTATATGCATGTTTTGTTCCATTGAAATCAGTTGTTTTTTATCGATTATAACATTCCCCTCACCAAATATTGAGCTAGACAACATGGCACCACTTTCTATAGACATATATGTATTCAACATTTATTTAGCATATAGCATACGTTTAGATCCTACTTATATATAAAATTACCAAACTTACATATAACACATATCCCCATTACATGTATCAATTATAAATATATTGCTCGTTCTATGAATTTCATCATTCTGAACATTATGATTATCTGTTAGACAGGTGAAATATTTCAATGCCAAAGGATCATTTCAAGACAAACACACAATAAAACTCACAGACAACAAAGAAAAAGAGGTTTGTATTGTGTTATATTGCAGTCTTATTCAACATGGTACTGTGACATGACACAGGCTACTTCATCTTAGTTTTGTTATGTGTTTCAGACTCTGATTACAGGAGAAAATATAGTGATAGCTGTTGGCGGAAGACCTAGATATCCTGAAAATGTTAGTCTGCTCATGTATGTTTTCATTCTTCAATAAGTTTTGTTTAAAACTATTCAATCTATGTAAACTATTTTTACCATTATAAAGAAATATGTGTCAGCATAATGACATGTTTGGCACAGCTATGATGAATGCAGAAAATTTACATCAGTCATACATACATAAGATTTCATTGTGTCAACTTTGTGAAGGGTGTCTGGTTATTCTTGTTATTCAGTTGGTTGTTGCAATGACTATCAAGTGAGCATTTGGTGTTGTGGACTGAGCATGCTCAGATGATTTTCCTAATAATTTGTTATTAAGCTAGCTCAAAGCTGTACAAACTTTGGTATCTTTATTGAAAAAAATCGATACCCAAAATTTCACTTCAGTAGCACTTTAAGGATATCTGTCACAATCACGAGAAAACGTTTTGTTACTTCCAGATCTCTAATAAAAATTTACTTTTCTATCCTTTGCTAAACATCGCTTATGTTATGCCTCTATTTTCAATCTTCTAGCTAAGATCCATAATGTTAAAATTTGTCCACTAACTTTTTCAGATAAGTGGGGCAATGGACTATGCAATATCAAGTGATGACATATTTTCTCTATCAAAACCTCCAGGAAAGACGTACGTCGAGAAATTTTCAATTCATTTCACTTGTTCACAAAAATGTACTAGTTTTATTGAATTAGCAAATCAGAACGTTTAGTTCTCACTTCGACCGTCAGGATTGAATCTATGTGCTAGATTCTTTTTTAGAATTTTAGTTTGATGAAACGAATTCTTTTTTGAAACACAAGTTTGCTATTCAAAATTATAAATTCTTATTGAAAGCTTTCAAACTACTCTTTAATGCTTAATCTTGAATTTGATTTTACAGGCTTGTCGTTGGTGCTTCATGTATCCATGAAAACTGTTCTTACATCATTCGTTTATATGGAACCATAAATTTTGCCTGAAATTGTCAATAATCCTTTACTATATTAAAGATGTTGCTCTTGAGTGTGCAGGTTTTTTAACAGGTCTTGGTTTTGACACAACCGTTATGGTCAGATCCGTTTATTTGCGTGGTTTTGATAAGGTTTGTGTTTTGGATAATTAGCTCTATGCTATGTTCCTTTTCTTCTGTTTTGATAAGGTTTGTGTTTTGGATAATTAGCTCTATGCTATGTTCCTTTTCTCCTGTTTTAATAAGGTTTGTGTTTTGGATAATTAGCTATATGCTATGTTCCTTTTCTTCTGTTTTGATAAGGTTTGTGTTTTGGATAATTAGCTCTATGCTATGTTCCTTTTCTCCTGTTTTGATAAGGTTTGTGTTTTGGATAATTAGCTATATGCTATGTTCCTTTTCTTCTGTTTTGATAAGGTTTGTGTTTTGGATAATTAGCTATATGCTATGTTCCTTTTCTTCTGTTTTGATAAGGTTTGTGTTTTGGATAATTAGCTATATGCTATGTTCTTTTCTGCTCACGTTACTTGCTTTTGTTAGTGGTAGTAAAGATTTCATGGAACTAGAGGTGTTTTTGTTTGTGATGAGAAAGATTCATTTTACGTCAGATGGTTATTCTGTATGTTGGGATTGTGGACATTTATAATTGACTTTTTTCCGTATTTTAGCAAATGGGAAACTTAGTCGCAGAAAATATGCGTGAGAATGGAACGCGATTTATTTCATCGTCAGTTCCTACGCTTATTGAAAAGAGACTCGACAACGGACTGCTTCGAGTGGAATGGAAAAGTTTAGAAAATGGCAATGTGAATGAAGACAACTTTGAAACGGTTTTTTTTGCTATTGGCAAGTTGAACCAACGTTTACTTTTTACTCAATTTGCTTATTTGTAGTTGTATGTCATTCATATTTTGAAACTTTACTCTTTGGCATTTTTTTCATAAAATTGTTATAGGTCGTGAGCCAGAGATAAGATATCTTCAGTTAAAAAACGCTGGAGTCGAAGTCGATATCCAGTCAAAAAAAATCATCGTTGATGAATTTGAAAGGACCTGTGTTGATAACATTTATGCCTTAGGAGATGTTATACATGTATGTAATTTTATCTCAAGCACTAGAGGATTGAAGCCTATTTTCATTTGAACTTTTTGAGACAGCATGTATTTTCCGTCGTTTGTCATACATTTGGTTCTCGGAATCCAAGGATCGCTGAGGCTGTTCAAAAAAGGGGGGATGTGGCAGAATGACTTGAGGACATTTACCAAGGAGAAATATTGTAGGCAGACCATATTATCGAGTTCTGGTTCATGTAAAATATTTCCGCTTGTATTTTTAAAACTATACCTAGTTAGGTCTATATAAGTTGCGTGTCAGCGTTATTTATACACCGGATTCTTTAGTCCCGATACTTAAGACTGGAGTGTGTAGGACTCAAGAATAAATGTTGAAAAACTTTTGTTGAAGACAAACAACAAGAGTAAATAAGATTTAAAGAACTATTAATAGACTTTGTGAAAAAAATTCTTTTGTATATTTCATAGAATCGTCCTGAATTGACGCCAGTAGCGATCATGGCTGGCAAACTTCTCGCGAAGAGATTGTTTGATGGCAGTAATAAACTAATGGATTATAATAAGGTATGTATTTTTCTATAAAAGAACGCAATGTCTTTTAACGAATAAATATGTATTAAAGTTAAAGGCAGACTGTATATTCATATGTTCCGTTTGTTCCCCTTTACCTTTACCCTCCCCCCCCCCCTCCAGTAACGTTCAACTACATCTCTGTTTTAATAGATTCCAACGACCGTTTTCACACCCTTGGAATACAGTACAGTTGGACTTTCCGAAGATGATGCTGTTGAAAAATATGGAGAAGATAAGATTGAAGTATGTACGTTGTTTTGAGCAACAGGAAATCTATGATTATCTATTGGTATTTTTTCAAATATGTTAGATTTTTCATGCTTTTTACAAACCATTGGAATATACTGTTGGGGAGATAAATGCAAATCAGTGTTACATCAAGGTATGGAAATTATACTGACATTGGCTGTTAGCAAAGTGCTCTGCCATGATAATATTTTTACATGTTTATAAATGTACATTGTGCATGTTAGTAGAGTCCTGAGAAGGACTTTTGTTGTTGATGTTGACAGAAGTTTTGACAACTTTAGCATTAGTCAACTTCAGAGTTAAGACGACTACTACTATATCAACATGTACTAACCTGGACAATTAACATCTACAAAGCCATTAAGACATGTCCATGTTCAAAACATTCACTTTAATATTTTTAACAGCTGTTTCAGCTTTATTAGTTTTTCACCTGATGCTAAAAGATGACGCACCTTAACAGTCGCATGAACATTCTTTACTCATTATATCTACTGGTAAATTGCAACAATGTGGCCCTGTTGTGGTTTTCCATTATTTCACTTATCTGATGCAGGAAAATTGATGAAGATTGTTGCACAGTTATATAACCCCTATTGAAGGCTGAGCTGCACAGATAACTACTAGTGATGAAATGTTCTCTGTTTTAAAGGTCATATGTTGCAGTAAAAATGGTAAAATATTGGGCATTCATTTTCTTGGTCCTCATGCTGGAGAGGTTATGCAAGGTTTTGCTGTTGCACTTAGGTATAATGTTTCAACTATTGTGTTAAGTCTTTACAGCACCATTTGTCTTATAAACATTACATTTTCTATTATCAATATAGTTGTGGTTTGACCTATGATCAACTGTGTTCATCTGTTGGTATTCACCCAACAAGTGCAGAGGAGATTGTCAAATTGAACATTACTAAGAGATCGGGGAAAGACCCACATGTCACAGGATGCTGAGGTTAGCTTCACTCTGAAAATATGTTGTCTATAAATAGATGTTGACAAGCATTTTCAGAGATAGGATCATAACGAAACACTTTAATAATCTAGTTTACTATTTATGAAAAGTCATTTTGAAACTCTCTGTGAAATGGCTTGGAAGTATGGTATAGCAAACTCCAAATTTGCAAAACTATTTAATTAATTATTAATGTAACTAGGAGTTTTTTGTCTATTCACCAAAGTGATAAAAATATATAGTGGAGAAATGACTCTAGTTTTTCTCCATCTTATTTATTATTACTGAAATATATCTAAAATGAGCAAATGTTTGAAATATTTCGATGAGCAAATTTTTAGGAATGTGACCTTAAGGGTGGCTATCCGTTTAAATTTCAATGATTTCATACCAGGAAAGTTTTTGTTGTCATTTGTGTTCTTGTTACTGATCATATGAATATGTGGAATTTTATCAAGTTTTTACCACACATTAATCATCTGAATGAGCAATGAAAATGATCTTAAAACAACGCAATCCTCAAAGTAAAAGTTTAGACAATTTTGTTTATTTATTGGTCTGTTTTTTGATTTCACACATCATCACAAGATTGACACTGATATAAAGGGTTGTAAAACATAATTGTAGCATCAATGCACCACAACAAACGTTTTTCAACTATCTTGTCTCGTCAAAACTATAGCTATTGTTTGTCACTATAAGCTACATTATTTTTCACATCAATTACCACATTGCGTCATGCGTGTAGTGAAAATGGTGCACTGGCGTTATATGTTACAATATTGACAATGTTCTGAGGTTGTTGAGCAGCAAATGTTATTGGTTCATATAGATCTACATCTTCACACACCTGTAAATAAAAAAATTTCCTTCTTACCTCATATCTGCAATTTCAAAACAGTGTAAAACAATTACATAACGATGCCAATAAACATAAGCATAGTACTCTGTGTTCTTCATTACAATGAACAATTAACTTTTTGTGACGATACTGAATGGCAATTCAAAACCGAAAGATTGGTGCTTAAATAGATTTTTAGAAAGATTACTGTACGAATCTTAAGGTAACAAATGCTATCGGTAATAATCAAGCCAAGAGTGCTAAAATTAAAAACATTACTGCAGTTGTTAAATGGAAAAGGTAATCAAACCTGAAAAGGCCATAAGGACACTGTGGAATAAAGGAATAGCAATCCAGCTACGAAGCTAACGACAAAAAATGCGAAAAAGTTGGTAAGAATTAATCCATCCAGTTGCCTATAAAGAAAATTGTAGAAATCGAAAGAAACAAAAATACGCAAAGAGCGGTATTTTAAGACGGTTTAGTATGGAAAAGTACTCCTCCAGTACCTACTATGGATTGCTTCATGATAAATGTTCATTTTAGATCGAACTTTTTCGTTTTTATGACAATCGTCTTGTGTAGCTGACGTCGCCATATTTGTGTTTTTGTTTTTATTTTACTAGGAATGTGGCTGTATGAGATAATTACTGTGTAACATTCCTGTCTATTCGATTTCTCATTGGTTCAATTGAGTCTTTCGTTTTGTGATAAGAAAAAACTGCGAAATAGTTAATATTTGGATGAAGTGAAATGAAATTTGGCATTAAACCTAATGAAAGCAAACTTATTTTTCATTTGATTTTGTTTCAACTTTTGTTGTCCTTTTAAACGTGTAGCAAATTTAATTTTTCGATCACATGCTTATTTACTGATTGCAGTATAACTGGAGTTTACGCTTATATATCCCATGCACCGCAGCGAGTCGGGTCTTTTTCGGCTGGGACAATATGGAGACCAGGTAGAGAAGAATATTTCGTCCATGCAATCGGTTCCATCTAGGCTATCAGATTTATTTGTTCTTTCTGAAAATACATCATTCGAATGCGAAAAGTGTTCATTCAACCTCTAAGCCCTTTTTTTTGCATCAAATCCTATTTTTCCTTCATTGAGGCTTGTTTACCACAATCTTATGTTTTTGTAATTTTCCGAACAAATACAAACTCATTGAGTTTTAACGACAACCTAGTTGTCTACGAGTTACCCGTTCGTCTTGAAAAAGAGAAATTTTGTGGGAACTAACTAGAACTGTACAGCCTAAGTAGTTTAACGTTGATATCCAGTGGAATTAGCCACCACTGGCTCTATCTAAATGGCGCATGGGAGCCTAATATTTTTGATTTGAGGTAAATTCCCAGCCATGGCGTTAAATAGTAAAACTATCCCAGATATTTTATACAAAATGTCTGTTTGGTGTAGTACTTTGCATATTCCTTGTGTCTTCTAGAGTTATTATGTGACAATGACTAGGAGGATAAACCATGCAACGAACATATTTTTTTAGAAAATTTCTGTAATTAAACTACAGCTTTTTATTGTCCCCACACATTTATTCAAGTAATGTAGTTTTAGCTCAGTTAATTACCAGTTGATTCATTTAGATATTGAGGTACTTCTGAAGTAAATGATAAAAACTTTCTGTGTGAATTGTGACATGCTTTTTTATTACTATTAGCAAGTTACCAACAGTTCCAGAAACAGTACTCAAGAAACGTAAAAGGCTTGAGGAAATTAAGGCTGCAAGAGCCAAAGCGTTGCTTACACAGAAAAAGGTCAAGCAATTGGACAATAATTTTTGTATACAAAGTTATTTAAATACTAAACTGTCAATTTTGGATAGGTTTTAACAGAAGCAATCCAAAATTTCTTTTGATTATCGCAAGGTTGTTGCAGATTTTTTCATGTTACATGTTAAAGACCAGTTTTATAACAGGAACTCAAAGCAAAATATTTAAACATCTGAGAGTGTGATGTAGATATCCAGTGGAATTAGCCTCCATTGGCTTTGTCTTTGTGGCACATGGGAACCTAAAGTCATTTGACATGCAGTAAATTCCTAGCCATGACATCATATAATAAAACTACCCCAGATATTTATATCTGTTTGGTGTAGTACTTTGCATATTCCTTGTGTCTCCTATAGTTATTATGTAACAATAACTAGGAGGATAAACCATGCAATGAATATTTATATCATTTTGTGGCATAAGTTTTCTTGTTATTCAAATATTAAGGAAATTGTAGAACATGTCATCCTTTGTTAAATGTGGTCATTATTTTGCTTTTTAGGAAAATAAGGACAAACGTAAGGTTATTTTTAAGCGTGCAGAGCAATATGTAAAGGAATACAGATTGAAAGAACATGATGAGATTCGAATGAAACGAATGGCCAAACAATTTGGGAATTTTTATGTTCCTTCAGAAGCTAAACTTGCTTTTGTGATTCGCATTCGTGGGTAAATTGGTTTCTTTGAAACTTGGCTGTTTAAGCATTGTTATTTTAGCATTGATTTACAAGATTGTTATATTGGTTTTGTTTATTTTTAGTATCAATGGAGTTAGTCCCAGAGTAAGAAAAATTCTTCAGCTCTTTCGGCTTCTGCAAATCAACAATGGTGTGTTTGTGAAGCTCAACAAGGCAACCTTAAATATGTTGAATATTATTCAGCCTTATGTTGCCTTTGGGTAAGTTTTGAACCATTTTGTATTGAAGCTTTTTTGTGCTTATTACAAAGTTATGGTTCTTGCACATGAAGTACTGTTTCCAACGTTGATAACCAGTGGAATTAGCCACCACTGGCTCTATCAAAATGGCGCATGGGAGCCTAATATTTTTGATTTGAGGTAAATTCCCAGCCATGGCGTTACATACTAAAACTGCCCCAGATATTTTATTTTTAAAATGTCTGTTTGGTGTAGTGCATTGCATATTCCTTGTGTCTTCTAGAGTTATTATGTGACAATAACTGGAAGGATAAACCATGCAATGAACATCATCTACTTTTTAAATGTATATTATGGTCATTACTTCTGCAAAGATTGTGTAGTGTAAATAACATACTAACTGGCAAAGAAGATTTCATATTTCATTGGTTTGATAAATTATTGTTTTCTCCAATCATGTAGTTACCCTAATCTGAAGAGTGTTCGTGAGTTGATATACAAGCGAGGATTTGTCAAAATCAATAAGCAAAGAATCCCTATAACAGACAACTCGTTAATTGAAGAAAGCCTTGGTAAATTTGGTATCATATGTGTCGAGGATTTGATTCATGAAATTTTTACCATTGGTCCACATTTCAAGGAGGCAAATAATTTCCTTTGGCCATTCAAATTATCCAACCCAACTGGAGGTTTGAGAAAAAAGCGAAATCATTTTGTAGAAGGTGGTGACTTTGGAAATCGTGAAGATAAGATTAATGGTTTAATTCGCAAAATGAATTGAAAAGATAGTTTTGATTTAATCAATAAAGTATCACTACTTCTTTATGTTTGTTTTGTGTGCGCATTTGTTGTTGGTTTTATGTTATGCAAAACGTTGGACTTGAAGGATTTCAATTAACAAAAAAAAGAGGAGTTTAAAAAAGCTGTTTAATTAACCCATGCAACCAATCAATAAAGAGCGTTTGTAGATGAAATTAAAATTTAAACTAGCGAATAAATGCTTGGATGATTTTAAGAACTAAGCAAGGGAAATGCCGAAACTACGTCTCGTGAAGTCCCCGAGGACGGGCTGGACAGCGTCATGAAGGTCATTGAAAGGGGGAGAGTAATAAACCACGTGGTTAGTTGTAATTAGTATTGTGATGTATATAGTATGACTAGGCGACAAAACAAGGATTGATTAAACACACTTAACAAGTGCTGGAATCACGCTGTGCATATAGAAAGCAAAAATGAGTAATATTTTTGCGGAATTTGTGTATATTCTTATCACAGTTTTTTGGCAAATTCTCACTGCCATAATCTCTTGTTTTATTCCTGCTTCAAGAAAAGATGTCAGTAATGAAATTGTATTAATAACGGGCGCTGGAAGTGGACTTGGTCGTTTAATGGCTTTACGTTTCGCGTCTCTTGGTTCTACTGTCGTCTGTGTTGATATCAATACACAGGCGAACGAATCAACTGCAAACCAAATTAAATCAGAAGACGGAAAAGCATTCGCTTTCACTTGTGACTGCAGCAGTCGAGAGGATATTTATAGAGTTGCAGAAGATATAAAGGCGAGTGTTGGTGATGTTACGATACTGGTAAATAACGCAGGAATTGTTAGTGGAAAGAAATTCATGGATTGCTCAGACGGTTTAATTGAAAAAACATTCGAGGTTAACACATTGGCCCATTATTGGGTAGGTATACTTTGCTAAGATTTTTCATACACAAATCTTTAAAAATGTGCTCTTTTTGTCTACTTTGACCTGTTCGACCGCGTTTAAAATGCTTCTCTCCATCTATATTGCTTATTTGCTTGCAAGATGTTAAAAAAGGGGAATATTTGGCATTTAAAAAAGCTATCTGTGTTTAGACTTGTGAATCGTTAATATCGAAGCATTATTCGACTTTGGAATGGCATCCTGTAAAATATGCACATGACAATGATGACATTATGCGATGTTTTTCATGCTTCATTTTTTTATGCTGATTGTGTAAATGCTTGGGATTCGTAGATTTTTTAACCCTCAAAATCATAAAAACAAATAAATTATTTCAAAGAATAATACTTCATGTAAACATTATGTTACTTAATGATGATTTCTAGACAACCAAGGCATTTCTACCAGCTATGTTTGAGAAAAACAGTGGTCACATTGTAAGCATTGCATCTTCAGCAGGATTATTTGGTGTGACTGGACTTTGTGACTATTGTAGTTCAAAGTTTGGTGCATATGGTTTTAATGAATCACTTCAAATGGAGCTTGCTGCAGCAGGAAAAAATGGCATTGCGACAACTGTAGTGTGTCCATTTTTCATCAATACTGGGATGTTTGATGGAGTCCAGACAAGGTACTTGAATTATAATGTAGAATGGAAGTTTTCATTTTTTTGTCTGAATATCTGATCAACAATTTGTCTTTTTCTGCAACAAATCAATACAGCTTTAAGGAAGCACAGCTGTCTGTAAAAAAATAATTAGCACAAATATAGTTCATGGCAAAAATTTTTTTGTTTTGTGTTGTATTGTCATCGTAAAATCAGCATTTGATACATTGAAATGAAAATTTAAAATCATGATTAAATTATTGTTTGTTGTCCTGCTTTAAGATTGTTGGAAAAAGTCAAAATACACAAATCTAACTATATGTTACTTTCAGCAGAGAACACTCTTTCCTGTTGTGTGTTGTAAGTTCCAGAAATGAAAATTTATCATTTTATAATTAATATATATTACCTAGATTTCCACTGCTGTTACCCATACTTGAACCTGACTATGCTGTGAATAAGATTATGAGTGCCATACTTAGCAACCAGCGTGTATTGCTGATGCCAAGAATTCTTTATCTTCTCCTAATTTTGAAGAGGTAAAGGTTTTTTATTAACTAAGCTGTTTGGTTTATTGTTTGAAAATATTTCTTGATTAAAAAGTATTTGCAGCATCACTAATGAATTGAGAAAAAGTGAAGTACATAATAGAATATCTCTCTTGTCTAATGAATGGATCATAATTATTTTTGTTTAGTTTTTTGCCCCAGGTCACCTACATTACTTTATCAGACTTCTTTGGTGCCAGCAACACCATGGATCACTTCAAAGGTAGAGCTGGTAAAAAATCTGATTAATAAGCATTGGAACATTCTCATTCTTTATTCATTTAAATCCTTTTAATCGTAAAAATTAAGAAGGTAGTCATTTCAAAATAATCCATGGCAATTATTGTCATGCAACAGAACAACTTGTTGTCTTAAGTGAAACTTCTTGTTAAGTAAACTGCTTATGATGATTTTATAATCAATTTTCAACAATTTTAGTTCAGGAGACTATGTTATTTTAATAAAACATGATTGCATTTGAACTTTTTATAATTTTGTAAGAGTATCTTGAAGGGATGAATGCTGTAAACATAATTTTTGTGTGGGAAAACTTTAGGGTTTGTTTCAAGAATTATCAGTCAATTTTAAATGAAATATTACTTTTTATTTGAATTTTAACTACCAATAACGTAATTTATACAATAACCAAAGATGCTTTGCGTGTAATGACCGTTATGGAAACTTTACGTATAACCTTTGAATTAAGTTTGAAAATTTGTAATCCAGGCATTTAATACATAAAAGATAAAAGTTTCTCCGGATTTAAATGAGTTTTATTGAGCTTTCGACTCGTTGCTTCGAGCCTTCATCAGAATGAGGATATTTATTTACACGTGCTTTTAGCTTGGAGACGTTTAGAGCGTCTAATTGGATTAGTGGGTGGATTAATGTGATTGGATGGGGTGAAATGCGTTGCCATGGGTTTTTGTGTATTGTGAATATGATTGGTGTTAATTGTTCTATATGCGGATGTATAACCTTTGAATTGTATCCATACATATAATATTGCTCTATTTATCTCACTATAAAACAAAATTGCACAACAATGAAAAAAGGAAGCTAAATAATATTGCATTTTGCAGTGTTTCATATCTTAACCATTTCATCTGTAATTTAATACAATCCTTACCCCTCTGAAAGATACAAATGATCCCATGGAAATTATGTCAAGTTTTTTTCCCGTGTTTGCATTGTCGTTTTTGCTATTTGTATACTATGTTAGAAACAGGAGTACTCATAAATCATAAAATCAATCCCCGTGCACTCCGTAATCATAAAATCAATCCCCGTGCACTCCCTAATCATAAAATCAATCCCCGTGCACTCCGTAATCGTAAAATCAATCCCCGTACACTCCCTAATCATAAAATCAATCCCCGTACACTCCTTAACCATAAAATCAATCCCCACAAACTGCTTTCAGAAGATGGAGCAAAAATATATACCTTACTCATCATCACTTTGAAAGATTCATATGGCTAAAAAACACTTCGTGATTGCAAGGACAATATGAAAAGACCTTGCATTATTTTTCCTCGCTTCTTTAACAACTTAAACACTGTTAACAAAAGAAAATTGACTACTAAGTATACAAGTGGTTACTTCTGATAAGCCTGTCTAAAAACAAACCCTCTGGTAAAGATTGTTAACAACACCATAAATGGTATTTTACGACGATGTCGACTATATTTCCCAGTTGTCGTTTAGGCGAATATTTTCTTTTTTTAAATAAGCATATCATGGATGAAACAAAACACTTGTGGACTATATACACAATGCCTGGACAAATACACGAGCTAATAGTTATAAATTGGTTTATTTTGCGTATTTTCTTTAGCAAGATCTGTCACGTTTTCGTGATTTATTGCACTTAGACTCGACTGCATAATATTTTTCTTCGTTTGGTTTGTTTTCTTTTACATGCAATATTCTTGGCGGTAGGTTGAAATGAAACGAAGAATTCCATCTGATAATTTTGATGAAATATGAGCCTGTTATAGGTGCACTGACAGTCATGTTCCAGATAATTATCTACATTTGTACTGCTTAAAAATTAAAAGCATTTTATTTTACTTTTTCGTGGTTATTCATTGTCATACCTCGCTGTTACACATGCGAAAAATACATTATGAAAACTGTGGAATACTGACGACTTGAAATAAGTGCAATGTTTATCGTGCCGTTTCTACTTCTAGTTGTATGGATTTATTTTTGCCAGCTTCCAATTAGAACGATAAACTGTGCTGACCTTAATTAAACCCCCACAAATATGCAAACAAATTGAAATTGGAATTTCAATTTTTATAGTAGCATTATTTTTGTGTAGAAGGACACACCCATTTCATTTGTATGATATAGTTAACTGAGTAGAAAGAATCTTTTGCAATTTCATAATTAAATATTATATAATTGCATTTTTAAAGAAGATAGAACTAGACAAGTCTAGTTCACGGAGAGTTTCTCCATAGCGTGCACTGACAATTTTCGGCATCGGATCTCACACTTCATTTGTTTCAATTTGAACATCATAAAATCAAAAGTGCTACGCGGTTTCCCTGTGCGCGACGCGGAAGCTCAATAAAACATGTGCACAGAGTTATGCGATGTCATGAATGATAAATGAGCGATTTGATAAATGATTTGAAAATCACATCAAAAGTTCTCTTGCTGAGATCAAATTAAATTGCCAAAAAATTTTGATGCGGTTTTATTCATTTAAATGGAGATTAATTACAGTGTCGAAGTTGAACATTTGCAACGCATCCTCTTGTCAACAGGTATATACTTTATGCCTTCAAAAATAGAAATTGGCAAAGCTGTCCGATGTTTTGATATTTCCCACATTGATCTTAGCCATACATTGATGTACCATGTTGTACCCACCATAATTTCGTGCATCGATGTTAAGGTTATAAACATCAAAGCATTCAGCATGTTTTGCATTTTTTCACCGGTTAATTCACTTGTGTTGACTTATGTTTTGTACATTTGCCATTTTATTACTAGCTTAAACAAACATGTTGATAATTTAATGAGTATTCTTTTCATTTTTAATGTGTATGTTTAAATGAGAGATTAGTTTACACAGTGCAGTTAGTCACTCTGGGATATGTCAAATAAATAAGGACTTTCATGTTAAATCGGTAATGGTGCTAAAAGTTCAATTAATGGCATATTTATGAAGATTTTCGTGGGAATAGATAGGGGCGCGTCTTATTGCAGTCTGAGTCGCAGATAAGTAAGTTATGTAATTATTTTGTAATCTTTTAATTCATCCACTACTATTTGCTATTTGTATCTTTTTTACTTTTCCCTAATATTTTCTCTTGCACAATCAAGTGCAGACCTGTGAAAGAAACGTTGTTATGGATATATGTTTAAATAATTTTGACTGCCTATCTAATGAAATTGGTTCAAAGCGAAATGTGGTTTGCTTTGTATTGTAAAATACATAGGAAATCTTATGGGTTGCTTTTGTTTCATTTCTATTAGTTTTTATTAGGAAAACGAACCTTACACATTTTATTATAGTTCACTTGCAGATAATGAAATTATTTTTTAATCAAAGAAAAAATCCTCTCTGATTAAATCATAAGGTATCAGGGAAGACTCTTCTAGAGTGTTTAGCTGTAGCGAATAGTCAAAGAAGATATTCTCAAAGGTGACTTTTCATAGCATGTTGTTGCCTACAAGACGTTCATAGTTAATCTGATACTTCTGCTCTATTTAGTGTCTGTGAACGAATTTTACATGTTCTTCAATGAAGAAAAGGCCTCTAATTTTATGGGCTAGTTAAAACAAATTCAAAGGAAAATGTGTACTTAACAATTTTTTCTTATTACTGTATTATCTTCGATTCATCATTAATCGTGCGCACTGGCACAAAAAAAAACATGTCTATGTTAGTTAATTTGATAATGCAAGCAAACGCATGGCTATAAAGCTGCTATAAGTTCACAACTTTCTTAAATTGTCATCCGTTTCTCATAAATCATTTACCCGATGCGTTGTAGCGTTGTTTCGCAAAGTATGCCATCTGGCAAAGTGTGCTGAGAGCTATGTGCCATTCCTCAGGAATAAAAGACTGGCGTTGTTAAGAAATAAATTAATTGTCATCGAAATGTTGTGATGTACTTTTAAAGAGGCTTGCTGCATTGTAATTTTTAATTTTGAAAAATAAAAGGTAAATGCAATACAATCTCTGTTTTTTCTATACATTTATAGTGTCATTTGCCAGTCATCATGATTGTAAGATTGTGCACCGAGTCGAAAGCTTAATAAAAATCATTTTTAAAATCCGGAGAAACTCTTATATACTTATATATATGTATTTACAAAAGTATGGTGTCGCTATCTGCGTAATATGTTCATGTATAAAGAATTCTACATTGTCAAGGACTTTTTTTGAGCGTAGTTTGCTTTTTAAAGGAATTCATAACAACGATAATTACAAACTGTTTCAGGTAAGATAATGATAATATTGACAGGGTAAGAGAATCCACTTTTAAAATAACACAACAAGATCGACATCTGACTGGTATGATAGCTGCAGTATCTGTAATAACCATTTTTTTCTGTCTTATCATAAATGTTGTTTATGCACGCTTAAGGTAAAATTACTGCTAAAAGTTTGTTCTTGTTCTGTCGTGAAACTGACGGTGTTGTGTACTAACTTTCTAATCACTTAATTTTCTGTGTTCTCTTTTAATATATACTCTTTCTACCAAAAGACAGTAGTCTACAACCACGCAAAATATGTAAATTTTAAACTCCCTATGCTAACGTTACACAGTTCCCGATGCCAGTGAAAATATCCATTTTTCAATATATGATGAACTCTATTCAAATCTCATTCTTCTACGAGTTTACTAGTGTAAAGTCCTTTTATTTATGAAGGAAAAACTTATAACGCGCTCATAATGTGTAACTTTGGGAGTATTGGTGAAAGCTTAGTTTTTGCAAACGTTCGTTCTAGAAGGTAAGAGTGACATCAAAAATAGAAAGACTGCATCAGATCATAGCTATACATCGATCAAAACTTTTTACCATCAACATGCAATCCGTTTAGGAAAAACAATCCACTCAAAGGGAGACGAGAATTTTTACATCTTCTCTGCGAAAGAGAACCCTCTTTCCTCGCGATGACAGCTTCATATATGTTTCACAACTCACCCCATGGAAGATGAAATACATGTTTAAGTGGACTTACAGTCATAAGCGTGCCATTTACGTGATGTAATCATGCACATTTCCAACATATGTTATCTATTTTTGATTGCGGAACTAAACGAGTAGATAAAACCCACTTGAGTGAATTAGTTTTGTCAACAATTCTTTAATACCTATTACAGATTTTTCCTCTAAGGATTAAAATTAATCCTCTTATATTATTGGCATAAAAGCGCTGTGTTTGCTTGCACAGATGTTTTTTCCTGTGTGTACAAGGAAAGATTCAAGTCATTCAACTGTCCTTGTGATAAATAATTTTCGTTTTTGCTGGTAGGTTTTGTTCACACTATGCTCTCCAAAAATCTTTTTGTTTCATAGCCATTACTGCTTTTTCGTATTATAATTCGTTAACTCTTATCACTATTTGTTCGTCAATATGATGTTCTATGTAATATGATTTTAGCTTACTGCTGAGATGCTCCAATAAATACATTGACTAGTTTCCTTTTGACACACGTTATCTTAGTTTATAATTTAGATAGTGTAAAGACTTTCTCATTCTCTGTTGTTCATTCATCATTACCTACACTGACACACGTTATCTTAGCTTATATTTTAGGTAGTGTAAAGACTGTTCTCATTCTCTGTTGTTCATTCATCACTACCTACACTGACACACGTTATCTTAGCTTATATTTTAGGTAGTGTAAAGACTGTTCTCATTCTCTGTTGTTCATTCATCATTACCTACACTGACACACGTTATCATAGTTTATATTTTAGCAGTGTAAAGACTGTTCTCATTCTCTGTTCTTCATTCATCATTACCTACACTGACTGACTCACGTTATCTTAGTTTATATTTTAGGTAGTGTAAAGACTGTTCTCATTCTCTGTTCTTCATTCATCACTACCTACACTGACACACGTTATCTTACTTTATATTTTAGATAGTGTAAAGACTGTTCTCATTCTCTGTTGTTCATTCATCATTACCTACACTGACACACGTTATCTTAGTTTATATTTTAGATAGTGTATAGACAGTTCTCATTCTCTGTTGTTCATTTATCATTATGTAAACTGACAAAAATTAATTCATATTTTAGGTTGTGCAAAGACGATTTTCAAACTCAGTTGTTCATTCTTCAACATCCAGTTTTTGAGTAAGCAATCATGTCATTTTTGTTCTCTCTTCATTTCTTCAATTTAACATATCTCTACTTTTATCGTGCCTTCTTGACCCATTTCTTGTGGTGTTTATGAAATAAAAGTTTGACAATTCACTGCTACAACTAAAATATGATATATTCACTGATGTAGCTACTATCAATGAATATAAAACCCATTGAACGCGTTATAACTGTAATTTAAGGTAGAAAGCAACTCAAAATTCTATTTGATTTTTCATAATTAGCGGGAAACTTTTGCTGATTCCTTTTCTGTAAACAAACTACGCATGTTTTCGCGTTTCGTAGCAATCTTTTTTCACTGTCGGCAGACGCGTGTTTGGTCTTTGCACTTAATACGACAACTGTCTAGCGCGATGGCGACAACTGACCCTAGAAATTGTCAGACTTGAAGGTGTTTTTTGCCGTTAATGCACGATATATAACGAGTTTAGTTGACATATTCTATTTTGAAACACAGACACCCAAAAGAATCTTGCATTCGTATGAACTGTGGCAAATGAAACAGGAAATATTCCAGCGAATTCTCTGACACTAATGTAAGTATTGAAATTATCTTTGCTACCAAAATATTTATAATATTTAATGCATGATTTTGCGAATATGCTAATCACCATAATTTGCGCTGACTATTTACGTAAATGCGCATTGCACGTACTTTTTAGCTTTGTGCTTCGGAACAAAATGTTTTTTAATGATTACTTGATTTTCTCCTTTTTATCTGTTCACAGAGTAGTTGAGCGTTATAAGATATTATATTATATTTTGATAAATATAGATGTGCACATATTATATAAATGTATTGTTCGTGAAAAGCTTGCTATGAAATGACTTATAAAACTTTTTGGTTGATCATCGAGTAAAGTATTTAACTCGTGAGACATTCGTTGTTTGAACGCATTTTAAGTGTTACTCATCATTGTTTTGTATACAAACGTATATAAGTGTGGGTAGAAATGAACATAGCAATTGTGTATGATAGATATTGAGGGGTAATAGTGAACATAGCAATTATGTGTGATAGTTATACGAGGGGTAATGATGAACAACCATTATGTGTGATAGTATTAGAGGGATAATGATGAACATAACAATTATGTGTTATAATTACAAGACGAGTAATAATAAACATAGCAATTATGTGTGATAGTTATAAGAGGGGTAATGATGAGCAACATTATGTGTGATAGTATTAGAGGGGTAATGATGAACATGACAATTGTTTTTGATAGTTTAAGAGGGGTAATGATGAACAACAATCATGTGTGATAGTATTAAAGGGGTAATAACAAACATAGCAATTATGTGTGATAGTTATGAGAGGGGTAATGAAAAAAATTTGCTGACATGATACACAAGAGCATCATTGCCTGTTATGTTTATTTACACTACATTAATTTTTTTCTCCCTTTTCACCATATTCTTTCAATTAAACTCGACTGAACGATGATTTAATCAACAGCACGTTTAAACCAATTTTTAACCTTAACTGTTCTTCAATAGGAGAAGCATTAAATCTATATCAAATATTTAAATCGGTGTAGTTTGCGCTTTTTCGTACCTAATATAAATTTTCACACCATCAAACTAGGGTCGGTGCGGTGGTAAAAGGTTCTTACATGTAGGTGTAAAATTTATACTTTTCGTAAAATATTACACATATTTTTGTATACTGTAAACATTTATCACGGTTAGCGACGAATGGACGGATCTTTAGAGGTTTTTCAATTTGCTTAAACTAAATATAGACATTTTTGGAATTTTAAATATGCATTGGTTGTTTGCATGTTTGAAAGCATGGTAACTGTAGCATAGTAACGTAGCTACAAACACACTTCAAGGGACATTTGAAATTTCAGAAATTATGTCCAATTAAATAGAGTGTTAAGAAAAGCTTCATGGTTGCTGCACTGCGTCACTGTCAGTGTGACAAGGTCGACTCATTGATAAAGACCAACTGTCATAGCAAATTAATTCAGTTGTTAGGAAGTTATACTACGTAGCTAAATGTCACGCTTTTGTGGTTTACATACCATGTAATTTGGTCTGTAATGTTGAATGTAAGTTGCGTTCCGATAAAAAGTTGAAAGGCATTAATTTCTTAAGGGGATTTGCTGTGTGTAAAAAAAGCCCAATGCATTTCTTATATACCAAGCAAGCGAGTATTTGTGTTCCAATGCCTTTGTGAAAAAGTCATCTTCTCTATTGACAAAATTTTTATTGCATATTACTATTAATATAACCTGAAACTGTTATATCATGTTTGTGTAATTCAAATTTTAATTATCTAACAGTAGATAACTCAAGTCTCCCTGTTGCGTGATTGACATAATTAAACTGCAGGCTATTAACCAATCAAAACGCTTGTAAATGATGTGTGAAATCGTTCAAATGCTTGAAAAAATTTGATTGTTTTCTTTCATCGTGTTAAGATATCTAAATGCCTTACCAATTTTAACTAGTGTTTTTTTTCATCATGGTTGTCTATAATTTCACTACAAAACATTGTTTTAAAAGTATGTTTTTGGACCCAAACGATGTTTATCGAAAGTTCTACCGCCACTAGGCAATATACTCATCGGAAAATGTTTTTATCGCCGGATAACAAATGAAAAGATTGAGCGTTAAAATCTTCAGAGATTTTAACTGCAGTTTTTGTCAGCTTTTAAACAAATCCTGACAGCTAGATGTTTTAAAATGAATTTGTAATTAACCAAAAACGTTATCATTTCTTTGACTTCAAGTTATACGCATTAATATTCATATAATTCATGGAAATATAGAATACAATATAAGGCAAGGCTTATCATTGTTAGATTGGCGCAACGAGAAAACGATTTTGAAAATCTTTAATGAAGATTAGTAGAATTGCGAGGCGTTTATATTAAACAGATCATTCTTGAATACACAGAAAATACATGTGTTTGTGTATTTAACTTAAAGCTTCATTTTGCTTAATCTGCGTGTTGAAATGTATCTGATGCGATTGACTTTAACACAGAAAGGTAAATACACACACACACGAGTAAGGATATCAAGTTACAAGAACATTATGATCATTTGTGTATGGGCCATCCATCATTCTTGATCACAGTGAACGACCTCTTAAATATAACCATATTTTAACTAATTAGGGACGGCTCGAAATAAATGCACTTTGTCGGTGTGCTATCCTTTTAATACTACATGGCCAAGCGCCCTGACGTGACGTGTATTATATCGTTTTAGCTTTGAAGCAACTATAGTCATTGTCAGTTCACATTAAAGGGAACATTTTGCTTAGTAAAAGGAGGCATTTTTTATGAAATGGAAGGTGCGTTATTATCAAGGCAGGCACATTTTCTGCTAAGGATCGTACTTGTTAAAGTTTTCATACTCAACTCCTTAAATGCCCGACGTATGGTTGGTTTTGATGAGATTAACAAGTATGCTCAATTACAAGTTAATGTGAATATGGACAAGAGAACTACAAATATTCCCACTGAGGAGTCGAAACGCCAGATGTTAAATGTACTAGGAATGGATGAATTGCCTGAACTTAAGAATGGAGCATCACCTCATCAATACATGATTCAAATATATAAAAAAATGTCGCGTCGTCGACGTCAAGCAAATGGTGTGAACACGATTCGTGGTTTTGTTGATATTGGTAGGTGGTTTTTAAATCTACAATTTAATGCAGATGTGATAATGTTTCTTATTGTTGATTGTACTGAGATATATCTATGTTGATAATGAAATCGATTCACCTTCAACTAAATGATACTCTCCTTGTGTTTTGACGCCGTTGTTAAACCCAATCAGCGTAGATATGGGAATATACAATGAAATGCAACCTACACTTTTTTATCAGTTCGATCGACGTATTTTTGTAATGTATAATATTGTGTTGAAGAAAAATGTAAAAAAATGAAAGTAAATGTTTTTTGATGAAACGAGCGTTATTTCGTGAAATAAAAGTTCATTGGGTTTGAAAGTGCAAATGTTAATGTCATCTTTCTATTAACACAATTTTGCATACTTTGGTCATATTTACGATCATCTATGAACTTCATTCGATAACAGTTTTGATTGTCGTTTAGGTAAAGATGATGCAAAACGCGAAATACAGTTTCATCAGACATACGAATTTAACATTTCTGCTTTGCCAATTACGGAGAGGCTAATATCTGCTGATTTGCGTATTCTGCGCCTACCAACTGGCATGGAATGGAAATATGCTTACGGACATGGTATGCGATACCGTGCGAAAATTTACTATAAGAAATATATTCATCACATGTGGAATGGCTTTGTTTACTCACATACTCAACTAATATTTTTGGATTCGATGGTCTTTGATGTACGAGACAGGAAAACAGAGGATTGGAAGGTGTTTAAAGTTTTAGACGCTTTGAATGAATGGCGTAACGACAGCAACTTTGTTCATAGTTTAGAATTACAAGTTGAGTCGATCCACTCTGGTTATCTGGTACCAGGATTTGCTTTCGGTTTTTCAGAAAAGTCAAGAGCTCACAATCAGCGTGCACTCTTAGTTAGTTACAGTGACGATGGTAAAACTCCAATGCGTAGCAACGAAGCGAGTTCAGAAAGGCAAAAGTCTAAACGATCGAAAAATGAAAAAATTGTGATGAAAAATAAAAACGATGAAGGTGGTAATCGCTCAAAACGTGGTGCAAAACGCAGACGACGTCGCAAATTATTATGTCATAGGAGAAATTTGTACATCGACTTTGCTCTACTGGGCTGGGCTGAGTGGATTATAACACCGCGTGGTTATAATGCGTATTATTGTCGTGGTGTATGTCGGGTTCCTATACCGGAACATTTAAATCCTACTAACCACGCAATGGTACAATCCACTGTGCATGATATGGATAGAAGACGAGTACCTCCTGTGTGCTGTATCCCGGACAAACTTTCTAGGGTCAGTTTGTTATTTTATGACAAGGGGGATAGTGTCGTTTATAAAACATATGATAATATGGTCGTTGAAAGTTGTCGATGCAAGTGAGTCAATTGAGAGTAAGAAAAAAGTGCCTTTCACAGTGTGAACTGAGGAAATTCGAGTTGGAGACAAAATGGCTTCTATAGGACGCCACTTCACCAGACGTCGTGTCTTTAATGTTCATCCTGTTTGCGATTAAAATAACACTGAATGCATTGAAACATTTAGACGCAAAGAACTCTGGAGACTTTGCTGCGACACACACGCGGATGTAACCTGTCGATTTGATGTATTTACATGAATGATAATTGTCTTTAGTTTATTATTTCTTATACACTTGTGTTGAGAAGGGAGAAAAACAACTTAACTATATATGCTATTCGATAAAAACGATATTATGTCAAAACTGTCTGATTTCGTATCGCTTTCCTGCGATAAACCCAATTACTATGACACTTTAAAAACATGCATCGTTGGAAAATTGATTAGTTTTCCTACTTTCGCAAAATTTACATAAATTGCGTGCAAATTACATCCTGTAATGTCATTAGAACAAATATGAATTCGTTCTTATGTTTCTGAATGAATATTTCGTGAGTTATATGAAGAAGATTTTCAACGAAAAATCTATGTCTACAATAGCCACAGACGTATGATTATAGCACTGTTAATTCTTCCTTATACACAACAACTTTCTATAGTGCAAATATAAAACATTATATCAAATTTGTAAATACTATTATGGTCTATTTATTTACCAGAACTTTATATTCGTAGTATTATTTGTATGTATAATTGATATAATTTTTCCATTATGAAAAGGCTTTAGTACTATTTAGCTACAATCACATAAGTTTTTATAACATATCAGATTTATAAACACAAATTCTCTTCTTAAAATGGTTCGAATCACATCTGATGTTTCATCCCGGATACAACCCCCTCGATGTCGAAAAAATGCTATCTGCTTATTGAAAGTCGAGTTTAAGTCTTAAATCATTAAACCCTATCTTATTTAAGTATAGTACGTGCTAGCGCATGTGACTTAAGGCCAATGACTTTACGCTTTACATTATATTGTTAAGCGTTAGAAAAGTTTCACTTAGATTTTTAATATGCTGGTCCTGCTATTTGAAAATTTTAGGAATGCCATCAAACTTTGCAAATGGCCCTATGTGTCAGTTGTTTGCCAAAGTTCCGGGTGGTCACGAATATTTCGTGTTTTGAGCGAGACTTAGTAGGAGGCATGTTTTTCCTCCCTATGTCAACAAGTGAATTATATTGACTTCACTTGAGGAAACAAGATCGGATTTTGAGTGCGAAGTGAGTTTGTGTTTTGACTTTACAGCGGAAATTGATAGCTTTCACCAATGCAAAAGGATTTTTGCGTTGTAAAAATGAAGAGTTCACCTCATTTCTCTAAAGCTATATGATAGTAGTGAGCATTTGTTAAATTATTATACATCTGTTTTTTGTCAATTGTGTGTGAGTTGTGTAATTCAGAATTTAGAAAATTGATGTTGGGACGATTTAAAACGTCCATATAATTCTATTGATCTTCGATACCACAAAATGCTCGTGAAATCAATTTAAAAAAATGATTGTTGATTTTGAATGTTTCATATCAGTTGAAAAGAATGTGCGAGGATGGAATTATTTAAATCGCAGCTGGAGAAGTCAACAAGTTTAAGCGAAGCATTTTACCTCTTGCTGTCTTGTCTATTGCGTCACTTATTCTCCTATTAATTTGACATTTAGGTTCGCATCATGTTTTATTCATCAAAATTGCGAGAAAAATCCAAAAACGGTTGGTTGCAAGATTACGCGGCAGACACGTCGTCAGAACGATGATTGTGGGGGGCCATATTCATGTATGCATGACATGCAGCATTAGTTTCTTTTGAAATCCATTGTTTTTTAAGGATTATAAAATGAATATATGAGTATGGACCCCCCAATTATTGTTCTGGCTACGCGTCGCGGTCAACGTTGTCTTTCATTTGAGTGGCGTGTGAATAAGTGACTTCACTCATAACCATCATGCACACATTTATTTAAACTAGTTTTTTCAATTTGAAACTTGAGACTCAGTTGGTCACAATCAGATATCTTGCTTCAAGTTCTCGCAAAAAGCAAAAATCTCAGATAATCTACAGATAGCTGCGCTTATGTTTGTCTGCTGAAGATTAGCACGCAGTGTGAGATGAACAAAACATCTTGTTTACGACTCGGCTTTTTTAAGTTGAGGTTTTTTTTGCAAAAAGGATAGTTGTTTAGACTTGGTGTCGTTGTTTGAAAGACATTCAGCAAAAACATTTACTTAAAATTCTCTCCCGCTTTCTTCCGGCATGTTGTTTTTTGTCTTCTTCTGTGATAAACATTTTTTATGCTATTTTATGTTTGGATTAATCTTATCTACAATGTGCATGTGCAAAGGTAGATCGATGAACTGACCCTTAGACTTCATTGACATCTTGATAAGCTTTTGTATCAGATATTTTTTTCATATTTCTTTCTGAAGTTGTTTCAATGTCAGCTATTGACAATAACCTTACTGATTACAAAAATTATTTGAAACTAGAAGAAATATTGTCTAAAAAGTTTATTTTTATGTTTAATTTTCAAGAAACCATTTACATGGAATTCATTTCATCTGTGTGCAACATGCTTTTGAAATCTTTTTGTACTAAATCTCCGGTCTATATTTCCAGACTTAGGATTGATTAATGAATTTCAGTTCATGTCACATGCCTGACATGTTTTGCGGTGTATAAACTTTGGTTTGGCTGGACTGAATGATATCAAAAGTATTCTGTGCATATGAAGATAAGTGTATAATAATGAAAGAGTAGAAAAGATACTAAAATTGTATCAATCATAACGACTGAAAATATAACTGTTTTAGTGAATGAAACAAGAGTTTGGCTTCTTTTATCTTTTAATTTCTTCCTCTATAACATTCCTTTATGTTTGTGACGTAAATTATACGTCAAGAAAATATTCTTAAAGTAACTTCATCATCGTTTCCTCCATATGAATTTGCATTGTCGTCTACACAATATGCGGAAATTTTACTAAATGTACTTCATTTGCATATTGTGCGTTCGCGAGTCACTTGTGTCTGAAAATGGATTTGCGAAAAAAGTAAATTAAAATAAACGGATATTTGGTAATTATCGTCCATGTACACACATTACCTTTATTAAAAGATAATAGATGTTATCGCACTCCAAAGAGACATCGAAATATTTAAATAATTTCCGTGCGCCAAAAAATAGCTTGGAAGGCGTGGTAGCGTGTTGTATGAGCTTTTCGTCATATTTTTTCGATTAATTATGACGGAAAATGTGGTATTTCTTTGAAGAGATTAGTGATAAGATAGAACCATGTTGGGGGGAAAGAGAAACAAAGTTGAATGAACTACCTATCTTTCTATCGATAAGATTAATTGTCTAAGCAGGATTACATTTTCATTGTTAAACAATGCTCACAATACCACGTGCATAGTGTGGTAAATTTATTAAAAGTTTCGTAATTTAGCTACTACAGGAACTCAAGTTTTACTACGCTTTCACTTATAATCTCTAATTTAACACTTCCCATGTAATAACTTTTTACAGATCTTAAAATTAGTGGCAAAGTCTTATCAAAAGCAGTTGGTGTTCTGTCTAGACGTAGAACTTATATAAATCTTTATTTGAATAAATTGTCGCAAGTATAATGATATTTAGTTGGCAGCTATGTATATTCACTTATCAGCAATGTAGAAATTTTAAAAATCAATCAAAACATGTTAAAATTCAATTGTTCCAATAGATTTCCGTTTCATACAAAGTGTGTACAGATAAATTGATTGTGCAAAAGTTTTTAATTTGCTAGTGGTATTTTTGAGACTTGAGAAGAATGATAAAGACATTCTTGTTTGGCATTCATGACCAGAGAAGTGATTAAATTTACTGACTTGAAGACGTTGAAAGAATCACGAAGTATATGTATCAAAAGTCTCAAGTTCTTCTTTGACTCGTTATACTTTTCCTTCTGTTATAAAGAAACCATTAATAAATTAAACTTATATAGTAAGAATGGCTCAGGAGAAACCAATTTTCCAATTTTTCTTGTACTTATGTCAGAGTAGTGAGGAATGTAAATAAGAATTCAATGTTTTTGATCTTCTTAAACTAACGTCGCATAGTTCTGATTTTATCGTGAGGATGATGCATAAGAAGTCTTGAAATACTTGATTTCCTTATACTTTTATTTTACAGTAATGGTTCATATGAAATCAATATATTTAGCGGTACAAAATTAATATTTAATTTAGTTAACCAGAAATTCGTATACAATCGTCTAATCTTCTTAAACAGACAAACATTTTGATGATTTTGACAAACATTTTGAGCTGTAAAATCTCGACTTCTTTCCTTTCACAGTGCATTTACATTAAATTCATGTAAATTTCTTTGACGGCAATTTGCAGCTGCCCTTCATATCACTTGTCTTCTTCCATAATGTCTTTTATCATATGTTAATTCATTATCTACTGCATTACAACCAAAACATAAACAATCTCCAAAAGAAACTTGTGATTCCATTTGCAAAGCTTTTAAAAATAAATTGACTATGGCGAGACGGCTGATCATAGAGTGCGTTGTCTTTCTGTACACAATAATTGTTCAATGTTTTCATGTGATTAAGTCATTATTTCTTCCTTTGAAAAAAAATGTTAGAAATGAAATTGTATTAATAACGGGCGCTGGAAGTGGACTTGGTCGTTTAATGGCTTTACGTTTCGCGTCTCTTGGTTCTACTGTCGTCTGTGTTGATATCAATACACAGGCGAACGAATCAACTGCAAACCAAATTAAATCGGAAGATGGAAAAGCATTCGCTTTCACTTGTGACTGTAGCAGTCGAGAGGATATTTATAGAGTTGCAGAAGATATAAAGGCGAGTGTTGGTGATGTTACGATACTGGTAAATAACGCAGGAATTGTTAGTGGAAAGAAATTCATGGAATTGTCTGATATAATGATCAACCAGACATTTGCAGTTAATACTATGGCTCATTTTTGGGTTAGTTTTAATGATTAAATAACAAAGGCATATACATTTATAAATTCGTAAAAACATCTGCCTACTTTTATCACATAATATCCGTAGAAAATGTGCAAGAAAAACATTTTGTTTTGACATTTGCATTATCGTTGTATTCTGCTGAAACTGACGAGTACCAGCAGGACTTGAATATTTTACTGCACAACAGGCCGACAGCGTTATTGAAATAATGGTTGAGATTCTTTTCAACTGTTTAAAAATATCAATGTAAATTGTTTCATTTATCGTTCATTTTAACTTGTTGCAAAACTGGTCAAACAAAAGCGACGTTGTTATGTCCCTTTGTCACCTGTTTAATGTCCAAGGATGACAATGTACTAAAATAGCACAAAACACAATTTAACTCGAATTTGCTGCAATATAAAAGTGCCTTCTTTTGCTCTTCCTTACCTTCAAAAAGAGACCCTTTTTTTTCATATCATTTTACCATTCAGCCAATCAATTGCTGTTCGTTGATAGAAGAGCAATCGTAAGTCTGTTCGTAGAATAAACGATTTTTCCATCCAAACAACAATAACTTTGTGAAGATATTGCAAGCCAGTCAAACGTGTCAGAGCTTTTTTCCAATCAGTTGTGTCCTAAACTGAAGAAGTTTTTTAATACGATGAAATCAGTTTCTACTGAAAAGTTTAACACATTTAACTACTTTACAGACAGTGAGAGCTTTTCTTCCATCAATGATCACAAAGAATCATGGACATATCGTAAGTATAGCTTCATCAGCTGGCCTTGTTGGGATATCAAACCTCACAGATTATTGTAGCTCAAAATTTGCTGCAGTTGGATTTCACGAATCCTTACAGTTGGAGCTAGCATCCCTTGGAAAACATGGTATAAATACTACTCTTATTTGTCCCTATATCATCAACACTGGAATGTTTGATGGTGCAAAGTCAAAGTAAGTAAAATAGTATAGTCACTATGCATGTTTCAATAAGAGAATTATAAAGGCAAGATAAATACAATTTCTGAAGTAATAAAGACTATTAAATACAACATTTTTTGAAGCTTGAATATCTGGGGCCGGTTGCATGAAGCTTGGATAGCGTTATCCATTGTATCACAAAAATCTCCAAACTTGTAAACCGGCCTTATTGATCTTTAGTGATTAATGAACGGTAGTCACAACTGCATTTTGTTTCTACAAATTCAACTTTTGCTTTTTTGCTTTGAAGATTTTCCAGGTTATTGCCAATTCTTGATCCCATCAAAACCGTTGATCAAATGATGGATTGCATTTTAAGGAATGGAAACGTGCTTATCATTCCCAAGATTTTGTGCTTTCTTCTTCTTTTGAAAAGGTAAGACTGGCTCAATAAATATCAAATCATTTAATCAAAACATGCCCAATGCGAGCAAACGCGACTGTTAAACGTTATTTCAAAATGCAGAAAGAGCCCAATTCAGTAGCTACTAGTAAATGTGTTTGTCAATCGTTTTATTTTATAGTTTTCTTCCACAGAAGTCATTTGTAACCATGTCGGAGTTTTTTGGAGCCAGTTCTTGTATGAATGAATTCAAAGGAAGACCTAAGAAAAAATTGATAAAGATGAATGACAGATTTCTAAAATCTAATACTGCGTGTGTTTAAAGCTTCAGTATATCCGGTTAAATTCTTTTCAGGTTTTATTTTCATTATAATTTGAAATAAACTATTTTGGTGTTCCACTAACTTGACGGCTACAACTGATTCTTTACGAACGGAAGTCACGGATGTGTAATACTGTAATTATTAACATGTACAATGACACTCGACCATTTTATTAAATTTCAATTGTATTGCAGCAGAAACTTAAATAGCAATGCGCTCGTCTTTCGAATTTTTTGGTTTCATCATTGAGTTTTGAAACATTTCCATTTAAGAAGACTTTCACTCGACGTTATTGAATGAGAAAGAAAGCTTCAGCCTCGATGAAGGATAAAGAAAAGATTATATGGTTTGTATTCAATGTCGTGCAATCTGTTATGATTTAACAAATGACCCAATTCTAACTGATATTTACTATCGATGAGCATAATCTATTTGGTAAATTTGCTGTTGAAGACAGTAGACGTTTGATACATGCAAACAAATTACTGATATCCACTTCAATACGAGAGGAAAGTGTTTGAGGTAATCATGTCAATCTTTGGTCGTTATTGGCGAATTTTGTTCATTTTTCTGTGTTTTATTGGATTATTGCAATTTGTCACTTATTATTTCTTAATAAAAACATCCGAGACTTATGAAGTTGCTAGCCAGACATTTCATTCTCGCTCAACTTTGCAAAAAGATACAAACTTGGAGTATAGGATAGACGAACTTAGTATGCATATAAATGAATTAGAAAATGTCAAATTGTCATTGAAGAACGAACTTCGAGAGCTTGAGGGAAAACGACACATATTATTACGTCATATTCAAGAGCACACCAATAATATAGAATCAATTCAGTTTAAAGCTACCAATCTAAAGGAAGAAGTCAGTCGCAGACAGCAAGAATTAGAAGATTTGCGCTTTGAGAAGACAATTGTTAATAACTGTCCACAGCTACCATTTTTAAAGCCAGCAAAAGACTTCCACTCAGTTCTTTCCAAAAGCTCAAAATTATATCCTGGAGCTTCCCTAGAGGAACAAGTACAATGTACCCTATCAAGTTGCTTAAATTTTCAACAGTGCTCTTTTGGAAAGGATTTTCATGTATATGTTTATAAACCAAAGTTAACTATGAAGGAAAGTTTGTCTGTTGAGATTTACCATTTGTTTAAGAAGATGGCTTTTACTGTTTTGTCTAAAAGCACGGTGGCTTGTATATATGTTGTTTTAATTGATGAAAGCTTCCTCTCTTCTAAAGATGTAGAACTGTTTCTTCATAATTTAGAATTCTGGCAAGGCGATGGACACAATCATTTTATATTTAATTTTGGAGTCAGTAAATTATTAAAGGGAGTGGACACTGGTCGAGCAATGATTGGTCAAATTGATTTTGATATTACAAAACCTTATCGAAGGAATTATGACATTGTTGTACCTTCTGTTCTCAACACAATAAATTTTGGAGAAGCTTGGCAAAACTCTGCTCGTCAGCTACCTGCACATCGCAAGTACATTCTCAGCTTTGAGGGACAATATCAATTCTTTCAAACTGACAAGTATAAAGATTCTTATATATCCATACATGATCTCAAACAACTACCTTTAGAGATGAAGGATGCATTTATTAGACTGTCATGCAAAATAGATGAGCAATACAAAGCTTTAAAAAGTGGTTGGGGATTGTGTGAAACACAGGAGTCAAGGGCAAAAGTATTAAAAGTTTCTACGTTTGCATTAATACATCAGCCAGAAAATGTTGATCAAACTTTCACAATCATACGATTTACAGAGGCTTTACAATATGGTGCTGTACCAGTCCTCATTGGGAAAAATATTGTGCTACCATTTGAGGAGGTTATTGAATGGCGTCGTGCTGCAGTTATCTTGCACTCAGCACAGCTTCCACAAATTAATTATATCTTGCATACAATTCTTGTAAATGACTTACTAGACATGAGATGGCAAGGACGTTTTTTGTGGGAAACTTACTTGTCTACAAAGAAGAATGTCTTAGCATCTACAATGGCTGTGATCCAGACACGTTTGTCATTATCAAGCACGCCAGTTTCAGATATTCACTACCCAGTGATATTTAAAGAAGGCCAAGAGCCAACATTTTATAAGACCGAGAAAAGTTTTAGAAAAAGTGCGCTTAGATCCCCAACATTTTATCGAAACTTTACAACAAGCAACATTTATGCAATAAAAAGATGGAACTCATATCCTGGTGCATTGTTATCATATCCTAGCTCCCCATTTGTTCCTATATTACCATCATCTGCTGCATTTCTTAACTCATCCATTGGCATGCAGCCTATTGGTAAAGGAGAAGGTGGTGCAGGGATTGAGTTTCAGAAAGCTTTAGGTGGGGATTATCCATATGAAGAATTCACCATTGTTATGTTGACATATGAACGTGAAATGGTGTTGGTGGAAGCTCTGACACGTTTGACTGGCTTACAATATCTTCACAAAGTTATTGTTGTTTGGAACAGTCCCCGTGAACCTGCTGTGTTGTTAAAGTGGCCAAATATTGGTGTTCCTGTTAAGGTAAGATTATCTTTGCTGTAGATGAAAGAGAAACGAATTTTGTTTACCTTGCATTAATTATTGAATGATGATTTGGCTTGGAGTCAAGGGGCTTTGATGAATGATTTTGCACACTGTTGATCGTAAACTTTTGCCTTCAATTCTACAAGTTCAGTAAGAGATAAAATTTTTCCAGTTTTTCCTTAGAGATTCTGATAACTTTTAGGTTTTACGTGCACAAATGAATAGTCTCAACAACAGATTTCTTCCTTTTGACGAAATTGAAACGGACGCAGTTTTATCTGTTGATGATGACGTTCATTTAAGACAAGACGAAATCCTGTTTGGTTTCAGGTATGTTGGGGATGGGATCATATTTAGTTTTAGATACGTAGGGGATCATCTTTGGTTTGTGGTAGGTAGATGATCATTTTTTCAAAACTAACTGATAAATTGATCTGTCTGTTTATATTCATCTGCAATTTTTATCAGCAATGAAGATGATCCAAAATCATTGGAATGATGTTCAGACTTAAATCCGCAATATAACTGCTGATGCGATTTTTTTGACACTTATCTATAAGTAAAATTTGACCTCATGCTTAAGGTTTTATTAATGTTAAATACGCAGTGAATGTCTTACACGATTATGATAAAATGTTGTACGTTTTTTGAAATTCAATATTACAGAGTGTGGCGTGAGGCTCGAGATAGAATTGTTGGTTTCCCTGGTCGTTTTCATGCATGGGATATGAAGAATGCTGAATGGTATTACAATTCTCATCACTCTTGTGAATTGTCCATGGTTCTTACTGGTGGTGCTTTCATTCATAAGGTAAAGTAAGGTTGTTTTGTTTTAAATCTATTGAATGATGAATGTAGATAGCTAAAGTTTTCATGATTATCGAGTAACATCGCCAGGCCAGAGGTATGAAATCCTCTTTAACATTCTTTTTCTCAGTAATGAAATTAATGAAAACAGTTATTTGTCAAGAGGGAGATCTTCTATCATTAACAATCGTTGCAATATTGACACTGCCTTTTAGCGTTAATGAACGTTGTATGTTATATCAGTGTGTTACATATGTATTTTATGTTTTTTAGTACTACATGTATTTATATACATATGTGTTACCACAAGCCATACGAGATAAAGTTGACGAGTATACAAATTGTGAAGATATTGCAATGAACTTTCTTGTTTCACATGTGACAAGAAAACCTCCTGTTAAGGTAATGTTGACGCCATAACAACTGAAGTCCAACTGGTTGTGACATAATGAAAATATGAGAAATGTACTTAATATAGATACAATAATCTATTATAGTCTATAATAATCTATTATAGTCTATAATAATCTATAATCTTAATACAGAAATGTACTAATATAGATAAATTTTATTTTGAACAACTTTCTAGCAGCACAACGATTGTTGTTTTTCAATAAAAAGAATTGGTTAACTAGCTTATATACTGACTACTTAATTTTTGATTTTTAGGTAACATCTCGCTGGACATTCCGATGTCCTGGTTGTCCTAATGCTCTTTACCAAGACGACGCTCATTTTAATGAACGACATCGCTGCATCAACTTTTTTGTCGAAGTGTTTGGCTACATGCCTTTACTGCGAACCCAATTTCGTGCCGACTCAGTGCTTTTTAAAACTCGTATACCACAGGATAAGTCAAAATGTTTTACATATATATAAAAAATTGGAGCGTAGTGGATCGAACTTAAAAGTGAATTATCCACTCGTGTTCACAACAAATGAATTAATGACATCATGGCTTAGGACTGCCCTGATGAATAGAAATTTGGATTTGTTAATGGCAATTCAAATGAAATTAATGGTCAGATGTTTGAATCTTTTCTTTCACCTTCATTTTAATAGAAAAATCTATATAGAGGTTTTTTCGAAAATTTTGAGCTACGGATGCATTGAAAAGCGTGGAGATGAAAAGAAAATCATGTTATTTCAGTTGATATATAATTTCTATAGGGGTTAAACAACCGTCTGTATAGGAATAATTGACACTGTATAACAAAACGGATTTTATATATCTAATATCTTATTGCATTACGTGAAATTTTTACTGACTGAAATTTTAGAGGATCTGAATGTTTTAAGAAGTTGTCTTTCTTGCAGTTTATTTATCAGTTATTTTCTCGGAAGTTTTTTTGAATGGTAAAGCTGATGAATGATTATTTATTTACCGTACAATCTTAAAGCGCTCTTTTCTCTCATTGCTTGGGGTTGATTCGTTCAATGGATGGAACCCTAGACGCAGACATAATATAGTTGTTTATTTAAACTGAGCTTTTAAATTTTTTGTTCGTTTTATCCAGTATTCCGACGATACATTATCACTTTTTGTGATTGTCTGGAAGATATGTCGTGTTTTATAAAAACATAAACAAGATCCTATTTATGTAATCATTAGTTGCATTCTTTTCGCTGTTTTCGCGCCACTTGACTACAATAAACAGTTCGTTGTTGCTATGTTTTGGTCATATCTAAAAAGCATTAATCTCTTGACTGTTCACAACCAATATTTTAAAAACAAATTTATTACCCTCTGCATGCATAGGGTAAAACCAAAGACTTGTAAAACCTGTTCTTCTAATGTAAAAGGCATTGCTTTTGTCAGTTGGTTCTTTAAAAGTGTTTATATTTTAAAAAGCTTATTAAAATATTTCTCAAAAAAAATCAGTTATGACTATGCTGCAGCTGAAACCTTTATTTTTTAATTAATTCTTCGTCACTTAGTCTTGTCAAATAAATACTTTTGTTGTCTAGGTGATGTAATTAGTAAAGATTAAACCGCTAACGAGCTTTTATAAGTACCGGGGGAGTGTATATGAAATTATAGATAATTGTCAAGGAAAAATCCTCGAAAAATTTTCGATAATCTTGCTTGAACTACTTGTATTTCCCAAATTATTTTATTTGCACTTTGCCGTAAGTTAATGTTTTATATTTAGGCAAATTATTTCCTTTAATTCACGCAGTTGTTGTTGATTGTTACAACTCCCTCCCCCCCCCGACTTGGGAAATTGACATGTTTTGACTGTAGTTTTCGTGCATTTAGAGTTTGCTTTTTCGCTGCCACAGATTTAAATGTCTTCGACCAAAGATAAACAAGTATATGAAAATGAGTTGCAGCAACAACTGTGTAGTTCGTTTACAGTATTTAGATTTTGTAAGGTAAAGTATTTTGTTGACCATTTGTTGGGGAAGTGAATTTTAAGTTGTGTTGGTGAGAAGTTAAAATGGAAGCTGGCAAAGAAAGAAAAGAAAAAAGACTACGAAAAGGTTCTCTTGATGAAACAAACGAAAACTTGGTTGATAAGGAACGAAAACATCGTAAAAAACGAGAAAAAAACCGGAAGAAAGTAAGGTCGCCAGTCCCATACTCTGACAAAGGCAAAACATCGACGAATTTGGGACAAGAGAATGTAGCGTTAGCATTGGATGAAACAAATGCTCGAGAGGGGAAGACTGATGAGCTTTCACAAGTGAAGGAGTATGAAGATGTAATAAATACTACAGAAGCTACAAATGATGAAGGATTGAATTCAAAAGATGGTGGCTCAAGTAACATGAAACTGGTAACTGTTGAAGATGGCATTGAAAATGTTAGTGGTCAAAAGGAAAATATAACAGATAAAGTAAGTTTATTTATCTTTTAATTCATGTTCAAAACATGTATTTGTCAAGCCCATATAGACCTGAATGCCAGTAAATTTTCTTTAACTTATATGAAACCTATCAAACCTAAAATCAAATCTGTAGAATTTGTTTATCATATGGAAAGACGAAATGATGAAAATTGGTGAAGGAGGAAAGGGGAATTGTGGTGCTAGAGAGGGCTGCGGAGACAGTGTTGTGAAGGAGGGAAGAGAGTTGTAGTGCTACAGAGGGGTACAGAGACTGTTGTGATGTGAGGGAAGGGGAGTTGTGGTGCTACAGAGGGGTACAGTGACTGTGTGATGTGAGGGAAGGGGAGTTTTGGTGCTACAGGGGGCTAAAGAGACTGTGTTGTGAAGGAGAGAAGGGAATTTGTGGTGCTACAGAGGGCTACAGAGACTATGCTGCTAAAGAGGGGCAGATAAATTAATGGCTATGTCAGCAGTTTTAGTTTAAAAGAAAATGATATGTTACTGTCAGCAAACTTACGTGTAATATGTTATAATGTAATGATAATGACTAATTTTCAATGAATAAGCGTGAGGTCTGTAAGCTTAAATCAATACGAGAAACAATATGGCCCTACATGTGTTTACCTGTTGAATTTTTTTGGGCAGTAAAACATGGTCAAATGATTCAAAAATTGCGATGTTCAATACTCGATGCTAATCAAATTTATTATTTTCCCAGAAAATAATCTTATCTATCAATTTTCGTTTTCTGTCTTGCGGAATTGTTTGAATCGGTGAAATGTTTTTGAAATTGGAACCAAAACAAAAACAGATTGGTAATTATTTTGAACAACGCATCGCTCATGATCAGCAAGTGTTTCTTTGTCAGTACATAAAAGCAATAGCAACATGATTTTCACTTACAGTGAAGTGAGCAAAATATCTACATGACACTGATGGCAGGTGATGGTGATCTTTATGTTTTCTTGATGAGATTGAGGATACGTTTCTAGAAAGGTCATAACTATCATGTCTCGACCATTAATCTGATCTATTTTAATGAACTTATTCACCTCAGATAAATAAACAGTTTTTCACGTTTGAAAACTTGACAACATTGTAACGATTGAAGTTTGTTCTTGTGTTTATTTCTAACAAATGCTGACCTCGAAAAAGCTTTATGTGACACGGCCGAAAAAATCATCAAAACACGTTCAGGTTTGTTGACTTTGCCGTAAAAATTTATTTTTCGTTCATTTTTTCCCGTTTTGTATATTGATGGGACGTTTTACTTTAGTCGAATTATGTATTTGGAATTGTTGATTGCTTGCGACAACAGCATCATGCAATGCGTATCTCTCATGCAATAAATTTTGATGAAAGAATCTACTGAAATATCCTATCAAAGAATGCTAAACTAAACATTGAATATATTATGTCTAGAAAATATTTGTATCTATGTTTTTCGTCTGTGTAATTTTATCTACGTTATTTAATCTTAATTTTTGTAAGAAAATCTTACATTGTCTGATGTTTAAATTAAAATTTTCCAGAAATATGATTCTAAGAAATTACTAAGTTAAATAAAATTTTATTGGAACTTTGATGTATCAAACATTAAGAAAATTAAGCGCAAAGCATTAAGAAATTTTTTTTTAATATATCATTTGAAGAGTTTCTAAAATTTGATTATAATCGGTATTTTTGCGGCAATCTCTATTTTTGTCCGAATGATTTTGTTAGAGCGATGTTTGTTTAACAGTTTAACATTCCCTCTGTTATAGGTCTTGGAGACGTTGAATGAAGAAGGAGAATTTTCAAAAGCCATGGATAATACATACATGCCGCAAAGTACAACTGAAATGTCATTTACATCTCCAGTTGAAACTTTCTCTGATCTTCATGGTAGTTCTACATCTGTAGTGTTAAAGCAGGATTCATCTTTGGACTCTTTGCAGCAATGGAGCGAACATGGATCGTCAAACTTAGGATACCAAGAGGAGAAAATTGTGCTAAAGGATACGCCGGTGTTTGAGAGGATTTCTGAAGATGTTCAGGTACCAGGAAAAGTTGTTTTCCCTGAAGTTCCTAACGTACAAGATGACCAACGTGTCGTGTTGCATGATGGGAAGATTACTTCAGTGCAGTCGACACCAGTAGAGCAAGTAATGAAAATTGGTAAGATGCGCTCGAATCGATGTGCGATTTTTCAATCATTTAATATTTTGAACATATTTTACACTAACTTCACGTCACTTATTCGATTAAAAAATAACTCGTTACGATTATAGTCTTTGGATACTTCCGGTATGAAAAGATTTCTGATGTGTTTGTTTTGAAAGTTCACAATCTTCACCATCACGTGATTAGAACCAAAGCCATCCACAAATTACACTCCTGCTGAAATATCTTTATAAATTGGGCTTACTTTGCCAATGAACGGGATTCAACTACAAATTTAAAATTTTATGATTGGATTAAAGATGTCACGTGTTCCATTTCTTTATAGGGAACGTAATTGAAACTCACACGACATTTGTGAAGAGTCATGATTCAAGTTCTGTTAATCATGATGTCATCGATGATGAGAGTGAACTACCTTGGGCTATGTACAGATCTCTTGATCCTGTTTTTAAAAATGAGGATGAACAAATTGAAAAATGGAATGTAGATGATGACTTGGAGGATTATGGTAAACAAACTACATTCATAATTGATGATTTGATTTCATTTTAGTTTAAAGACTGTTCGTTTTTAGTTTGTGAATTTTTCTTTCAGCTTTTGACGCAAAGAATGATTTGCCTGACATTCATGGTCTGTTTCATAGTCTGGAAGATGAGAAGGAAAGTTTATTTATGTCTCGGAGTATTTTTGACAGCGAGAAACAGAAAGCTAAATATGAATATATTGATGAACTCAAATCACAAATGGTGGACTCCTCTGTAGAGAAGTACGTTGAGTCATTTCATAGAAGTATCGAAGATGAGATCTTGATGATCGGAAGTATTTCACTGGAGCATGTTCAGGTATCCCAGTCGGTTGCTTGTCCAAAAACTTAAAAAACTTTATGTTGGATCATCAATTTTTAACTTATTTTTTCTGGAAAGATTATCTCGGATGAATGTAAATGTAAACCAAGCAATCTATTTATTAGAGAATGGTCAAACTTCATCTTGTATTGTTTCAGTTTTACTACAGTAACCAAAGTAACGTTATTTGTTCTCAATTAGTCATTAAGTTACAAACTGTTCTTGTTTATAGTGCGGTCCATTGATATTGCTCCTTGAGAAAGCTTACAATGACTAACTGACTAGCAAGTTAAATAACTCAATCATTCATACACAGTTTCTCTTTACCATTATACAAGCAAGCTCCATAGGTCACTTTTATACTGACTTTTGTATATTTATTGTTGATATAGGAGGAAGAAAGGCGTCTTAGAGATGAACATATCCAGTATCAGCAACAGCTCGGTGACATTCAAAGGAAACGATTGGAAGAGATTTTGGTGCGAGAGGAAATTGCAAAGAAAAATGTGATGGAGCGGGTAAAAGAGCGCAGGAAAGCCTTAATGCGACGTGAGGTAAAGTTCTATTGACATAAAATGATAATGCCCTTTTATCCACTCATATCCATAACAACCACATAAAGACTTCAAATCTTCTTTATCATTTGATTATTTTACACAGTATATATGTAGAGTAATCAACGAAGGACATTTAAAACTTTACGTATCTTGGATACTTACGTTAAATAAGGCAAACTTACTGATACAACGAATGTGCTAAGCTTCTGAAATCTTCTTGTTTTTATCAGAAACATTTGATGCAAAGAGACCGTCTACTACAAAACAAGATACACCAAGCATTTCGTCGCTCAGAACATCAACTTCTAAAAGCTCTTGAGGCTAGAAAAGCTGAAGTGAAGGTAAGAATATTGATTCATTCTTAACATCTTACAGCTGTGTTATAAACGAAGTAATTGTAACCGTTAGTTTCATTTTACAATACTAGTGTTGTGTTGCCAGCAGTTAATCATTGATTCATTCTTAACATCTTACAGCTGTGTTATAAACGAAGTGATTGTAACCGTTAATTTCATTTTACAATACTAGTGTTGTGTTGCCAGCAGTTAATCCATTATTTAATATAATTTATCTTGGATAAAGTTACTGTTCAATTTCAGCTCATATTTCTGTCACTCCCTCCCTGTTTTAGACAATGTATGGAGAACTTATGATGGCCGATGGTGAATACGGTGGAAGTAAAGGACGAAGGTGGAAAGTCGACTGGAACAGATCACCTCAGCCTATTCAAATCAAATTGAAATGCCTCCGTGGAATCAAAGACAAATTGCCAGGTTTGCTGCCAGCAGTATTGTAGAGATTTAGATCTTGCACATTAGGTGTCCCATCTTTTTTCTTTTAAAGAAGTTCAATGGATTAAATCTTGCATATCTGGCGTCAGACCTTTGAGTTTCATCTCTTTTATTGCTCTATGACTATAAGATATCGCATTTTTTGCTTTTTATATTGGAAAATATTTACAGCTGGTCGTTATGTTTTGATGGCGTCATTACACAACCGTCTTGGTGGTCACGTGATGAAATGGTCGAATCTTAAAGGTCAACAGTGGGGTGGAGCAACTTTACCATTGTTTCACGAAGGAGAATTTTATAACATTGAAGTGAAGGTAATAATTGTAATAATAATTGATAACAATTAAGTGATAAATTTTTGTTTTAACCTATTTGCAATCACAATTTTCGGCATCTTCATCATTCAAGTCTTTTCTCCTAACAGCCAAAGATCTTCGTAAATTAACGTAATATATAGGTGTAATTTCAATTTCTGGTCTAGATATATGCTCTGTATAGTTGGTTAAAAATGAAAACTTTCATTCTATGGCTGTCCCAGGGTTCCACTTACTATCGTGTATTTGTATTCTTGTGTATTCTCCAGGATTGTTATGAATCTTGTAGTCTCTGTGTATTCTCCAGGATTGTCGTGAATCTTGTAGTCTCTGTGTATTCTCCAGGATTGTCGTGAATCTTGTAGTCTCTGTGTATTCTCCAGGATTGTCGTGAATCTTGTAGTCTCTGTGTATTCTCCAGGATTGCTATGAATCTTGTAGTCTCTGTGTATTCTCCAGGATTGTCGTGAATCTTGTAGTCTCTGCGTATTCTCGTGTATTTTTATAACAGTCATCTCACTACTATGTGCTGTTTGGGACAAAACAAAAATTCAACAATTTCTTTAGATCGACCAAAGTGTGTTTACAGTTTGTCCTGCAAGACCGGATATTCGTCCCGGTATGGTTCTCGTATTTGAGTTGTTTCTTCTTCGAGGAGCCGTCACTCCAACTGACCGTGTGGTGGCTTGGGGCTGCTTTCCCATTTGTGATTCGAATTTTAACGTTGTTGAAGGAAAGTAAGTGTTCAAATGAAGCTGAATGTTTGTTCGGAAGAGCTTCGTTTATTTTTGTACATGTTCAATCAATTGATTATCAATAAAAACATTTCATCAATTTCAGTGGGGAATGCTACTGATTCTTGTGAGGTTTTTGACATGTGTGAGTTTATATTTGTCTGTTTGACCTTAGATATAAAACTCCTTTCCTTCGAGGAGACATTGATCCAAGTATAGATACGTATCAAAGAATGGAGGAGTTAATCACTGATGATATTGATCATTGGTTGTGTAATTTGTACTTCGAAGTTGTTCTCTTGCCGAGGTAAACGTTTTGTTTAATAGTAATGGTTTTGTGATTTGAATTATAATTACACTGCTCATTTATAAATCAAACACACTAAAACAGTATTTTGAAATATATAGCGAAAAACGTTTGTGTCTTTTCTATTTCTTCTCTGATGAATCTTTTAAAGATAACATTGGTGTAGAACTGGAGGTGAGAGTATTGTATATGAAATACAAATTGATTTTATCTTCAGATATATGTCAGGTCAAAAAGAGTACGAAGTTGAGTTGCAGTTTACATCAAATTTACTGGGTCATCCTAAACGCACAAAAACTGGGGAGGAGTTAGCTGATGGAGAGGAGCCTGTATACGGATCTCACAGTGATCTTCAGTCTCAGAGATCTGGTGGATCGCGCCCTAGTAGCAAAGTTTCCAGTATTATGGGGTGAGTCGTGTTTTTTTTTGTCCGTAAATTTTAATCGTTTGTTTTTTTTTCAGATAAATCTGTAAGTTGTTTTGATATATCAAATCATTTTGTTCAATAGAACAAGTGTTGCTAGTGAAGTGCAAGAAGATAATAACAACGAAGAAAAAATTCCTGTTGATAAGATGACGACACTGGGTCCTGATCTTCAATTACCTACTACTTCATATAAGGCTCATGTAAGTGTCTTCCATAAGGCATCGTTATGGTACTTTGTTCAATTGATCTTCAGTTCATTGTTAGGATTTATCAAGTAGAACGCCAACCAAACCTCCTTATTGTGGTCTTTGACGTGTGTTTATTGCAAAAGTTCATGATTAGTTGTTGATATGTTGTCTCCTTTTCGTAAAACGTCCTTTTCCCTTTTTTGCCAGTCTTCATCGAGCGACGTTAACGACAATATACGTGACGGGCGGCCATCGACAGTTTTACATACTTCACGCAAACTTCATGAGGCAGTAAACGTTTTAAATGGATTGTATGAAGAAGAGAGCGACTCTGACATATCTGAAGATGAGGTTGCTAAATCACGAAGACAAGATGAGTTTCAACCCGTGAAAGGAAAACCAGGAATGTTTTATAAGGTCAGTTTATGGTGGTGGTCTTTAGTTGTTGTAACCATAACATGGAGGCTTGACTGCTCAGTTGTATAAGGTCAGTTTATGGTGGTGGTCTTTACTTGTTGTAACCATAACATGGAGGCTTGACTGCTCAGTTGTATAAGGTCAGTTTATAGTGGTGGTCTTTACTTGTTGTAACCATGCCATGGAGGCGTCGCTGCTCACTTTTATATCCTCTTCTACTAAAAATATATATGGTCAAACTTTCAGTATATCTCTTAAAGTTGATCTGATCGAGTACTGCAGCATCATAATCCCATAATTCAGTTCGAGCATAGCTGCATGCGAGAAAATTACTTTAACTGCCAACTTGCCACAAAAGCCCTAACAAAATTGTTTCTTTTGCAATAGCAATAGGACACGTTTTGTATTTTGATAAAGTTATTGAAAATTAAGGTCTTATGTATATCCTGCATTGTTCCTAACTCTCAAAGTTGTGAATTTTTTTCGTAGAAACACGTCAACAATCCTGTGGATACTTATCATAGAGCATTGTACACAATGCTACCTAAGACACCATTACTTAGTAGTGAATCTGGCAAGAAAAGGAAGTTGACGCACTTGGAGGAACTTAACCAGCATTCATTCTCTGTGAAGTAAGGCAAAATTCTTAATGTTATTGATGCTTTCAGCAATTTAGAAATTGATTAGCATTAAATTCTGTTAGCAAAAAACGCTCTGTGGATAAATAATGACATTTAAGTTTCATTACAGATACGACGATTTTTGCGAAAAAACAAATAGAATTTTCTTCTTTGATACAAGGCAAACTAAACTGTCTTCATATTATATGTTTGTAAATGATGATCGTCCAGGTTAATAAAGTCCTGAGAAGGACTGTTTTTGTTGTTGTTGACTGACGTTTCGACAACCTTAGCGGTAGTCATCTTCAGAGTCAAATGAGGAGTAAACGTCAGGTTAGCCGTATTTGTTGTCTGGTTCTTACGTCATTGTATTGTGTGTACAGGAAATGTGCAGGAAATGTGTATTGTCTTTGTGGATTAGTGTGAAGTGAAATATTTTATTTTTAGTTGTGATGTGTGATTTAGGTGTGACGTTTTTAGTTGTAGTGTGTGGGTGTCAATTGTGTATTGTCATTGTGAATTAGTTTGAAGTGTAATGTTTTTAGTTGATCGTTTGTTTGTATTGTGAATAAGTCGTTTGTAAGGTGCCGGTAATTGCTGTGATCTGTTCAGGGGGGTTTGTTCCAAGATATAACCATACTCCCGGGTTCAAACCATTTACTTTACTGTCTTCATATTATCACTTCATGTAGAAGTCGCTGGTCAAACAAAGGTCGTCTACCACGACGTGGTAGAGAGAAAATGCAGTACATTGGACGACAGTTCCTTTCAGAACTTGGCCTCTCACAGTGGAGATCACGTGAATTCTGGGCAATGATGTTGATGATTATTATTACGTGGTTTATTCGCATCTACGCCCATTATGGTGGACAGTGGATTTATCTGAATGCAATTTTCATTCCCATCAATAAGTAAGATTTAAATGTGTAGTTATTTAATTCACTTTCCCTCAATTATTGCAATGTGTCTCTCCCCTCAAAAAGCACTTCAAATATCCTATGGTAAGCACGGATATCATTGATACTATTGAAAGAAACTTTGATAAGTGTTTATGTCGTAATTTTCAGTAAAGTCTGTTCTATCCCTGTGTGTGTCATCGTAGGTATAAGTTTTTAAACTCACACCAAGCAACAATTGAAAAAGAAAAATTCATGACATTATCACTTGCTTTTATGAGATTTTTGTATTCCTGTTAATAGCTAAAGTTTCTTGTTTTTACATCTTAAAATGTTAGAAAGTTTTGTCGTTGTCTTTTTTCTTTAATGTTTTGTTGGATTTTCTATTGTTTTATGCATTATTATTTCTTTTAGATTTGAGTTTTCACCCTACACAATTAACCTTAACTATCAAAATACGCTATTACCTACAAGACAAGAAATCTCTCTTGTTGTGCTTGGGCCTTTTACAAACATCGTCTTGTTCTGCATAATGGTATTTCTTAGCTGGATTGTGCAGCGATTGTTTGGACTATTTCCCAGCATACTTTCGCGATTTGTGATGGCTTATGGTATTAATACATTACTAGATCCTGTACTGATACTTCTTGTCGATACTGCTTTACAACGGTAAGCTTTTTTCTTAAATCATTGTCATGGGAACCAATGTCAGTTTGTGTCTGAACATCTTAAAAATGTCTTTTTGCTTTAACTGAAGGTTGTCTTTTTCTTACATACACGATGCATACCCTATATGAAAAGACTGGTCTCATCACGTGATTACCTTAACGAAAGGCAACCTTCCATTTGCGAATGCTCACAAACTTTTATTTTTTATCCTTCAGATATCGCTCCCTCGGTGGTGACAAACCAATTGGCGATGCTTATAAACTTTACTGGCATTTTGATCGTTATGAACAAAACGGCATTATAGGAATTTTTATAACAATATTTCTGTATATTGTTAGCATATTCACTACTGCAACTTTACTTTATATGTATTTCCTAAGAGTTCACAATAATGGACGATTACAGGATGTTTATCACAGGTAAACAACCAGGAGGGGCTCAATTTGTTGTATCCCAACTAGACAGTAGGGGGGGGGCTTTGATCAATTACATCACAGCTAAACATTCATTAAGGGAGTAGAAGGTTCAATCTGTTGTATCTTAGGTTAACCATATCAGGGGGAGAGAACGTTCCATTTGTTGGATATTTCATCATAAACCATGAATAGATTTTGAATCATCGAGAAAATTTAATTGTTATCTACATCTGAATTTTCAGATTGAATGGGAAAGAAGGTGAATTTTTCGTCCCTTATGATATGGAAGTTTCTTTGGAAGAACTGACATTCATATGTCGAAAGGCAGAGCAATGGAGAGGAGAAGAAGGCGAGCGACGTAAAGTTGCTGTTTATGATTACGTATGGGAAGAACAAGAGGTTAGACTGACGATGATGAATTAGAACAACTTACATAGAATATAGTGCATGAACACTGGGTTTATTTTTAAATATAATTGTATTATTTGCCCTACTTTTATCCTCTACTGTAACATATTAACCATACTCTCTCACCGCAATCCATAGTTTTTCATATCCTCTACTGTACCATACTAACCATACTCTCTCAGCGCAATCCATAGTTTTTCATATCCTCTACTGTACCATACTAACCATACTCTCAGCGCAATCCATAGTTTTCATATCCTCTACTGTACCATACTAACCATACTCTCAGCGCAATCCATAGTTTTTCATATCCTCTACTTTACCATACTAACCATACTCTCTCAGCGCAATCCATAGTTTTTCATATCCTCTACCATACTTCTTCAGCGCAATCCATAGTTTTTCATATCCTCTACTGTACCATACTAACCATACTCTCTCACCGCAATCCATAGTTTTTCATATCCTCTACTGTACCATACTAACCATACTCTTTCACTGCAATCCATAGTTTTTCATATCCTCTACTGTACCATACTAACCATACTCTCACCGCAATCCATAGTTTTTCATGTCCTCTACTTTACCATACTAACCATACTCTTTCATTGCAATCCATAGTTTTTCATATCCTCTACTGTACCACACTAACCATACTCTCTCACCACAATCCATAGTTTTTCATATCCTCTACTGTACCACACTAACCATACTCTCTCACCGCAATCCATGGTTTTTCATATCCTCTACTGTACCATACTAACCATACTCTTTCACTGCAATCGAAAGTTTTACATGTTTCAGCTTATTTTGTTACAGTTGGATGAAAAACTGTGGGAGAGAAGTAAAAGGAGTCAAAAAAATACACGAGAGATGACGACCCATACATCAATACATACATTACATTTGGATGGCCTGCGGGAACTTTATAGACATTTTTTGCGTTTACCTGATGGTGCAATTGTTGAGGTTGGTATTGTTAGACAATGTACTTATACAAGATGAATACTGATTGGTCATAGACTCGAATACGTTTCACTTCTTGGATGAATAAAGTTCCAGGTCTCATAATGCTAACAATTTTATTGACAATTCTCATCAACCTCATGAGTATTTTCTGCATGTTGACGAGCTAACGACCTTATTGGCCGTTTTCAAAAACTCTGCAAGAGAACGTAAACCACACTATATATATTTTAGGTATTTGGTGAGATGCCTTTGACTGGAGTGGATGAGTCAGTTAAGCAAGCAATACTACAAAAAAACACTTTCGAAAATATGGACTTGGTTAGTTCTGTTACAACATTACGATCAAGACGAGGGTCACATGTGACCGCTAATTTCTTCAGCTCAGTTGGAGTTACTGTAGAGCAAAGAAACACAAATAATGGGGGCTCAAGGCGACAGTCAAGGGTCCAGTTTAGTGACCTCCCTATCATTAAAGATACCCAAACATTGGATTTGCCTGGGACTAGTAATGGTCTGTTACAAAGTGAGTCACCCGTTTGATATACGCACGTTGGTTTATGTAACTCCGTAAAAATTATCGTCGTTGGAAGTGATTTAATCACAAATTTGGGCGTTATTTTCGCACAAAAACTCCGACAAGCTCATCACTAACCCTAAATCAATTCTTGCACCCTGTTTATTGGTCCATCTATTCTGTATTTCGCATGAAGAAAGTGTTCCTTACTGGATCTTGAATTGAAGAAAAATGCAGAAGATTGATATCCAATAATCGTGTGTGTCGAATGCAATCTTATCTTTATCTGAATCGAAAGAATTTTTTATAAGATATATCGTTGAAGTAAAAGTTCAAAACTTGCATCATATAATTTTATATGTATTTATTGAAACGATAAAACCTTTGCTTTTCCGATATTTTTTTAAAACATTTACGAAACCAAGAGCGCAAATCCGTTTTGAACAGTTGAGGAGGGGGAGAGGGTCAGGGAATAATGAAAGTTCTCCGTCGTCATCAGAAAAACTAGAGGGAACGAGTTCCCTCTGGCAACCCCCTCCCTCCAGGATTTGCACGCTTCTGAACCATTGGTCTGAACCATTTCGTTACATTTATTTGATGATTTTTGTTTTCCTGTTGCACTGAATCGATGTGTTTGGTTGTTTTTCGCTGATCATCAAGATATCAGGATATCAGAGAAAGAAAAGATATAATTATTTAAACAATGCTAGTATTTATTTCTAAATCACGTGACACGTCTAGTATTTTCATGTTCTAGTTTATTTTCTATATGTGTATCTATTTAACGTGAATATTATTTTGAGACTTTTTTTGTTTGGTTGTGCATAAACGAACAATTCATGCCAGTGTTCAGTTGAAGTCTTTTTTCATTCATTCACTTTCCAACAACAAATATACAGATGGCGATCTTTCAAAAGTCTTAATAAGCAAAAACTTAGCCATTATCCTTGAATTATCATCATAAATAAGTTTACCCCTTTGTCATGCAAATAGATCAATTGTTGTCTTAAATTGTTGTCTACGCTCTGATGATTGAGAAGAATTATGAAAGGAATGCGTTGTGTTATCTTTTAGAGATGGCACCCTGTTGATGACATTGCCTTATCTTCACCAAAGCATTGCTTAACGTCAAATTATTCATCAAATCTAGTGATTTCGTTTCAAAATACATTACTAGAAATTGTCCATGGAATTTTAAAAACTTATTGCACTCTCCCTCTTTCAATGTTATATTTGATAGTTTTAACTTTGTAAGTCTCAAATATTTCCATTCCAAGCATGCCCCTTGCTGTGGCCTCTCTTAAACCTGCTGCATACGTGTTAATTAACTTCATCAAACACGTTAAAATTACAAACATGGATCAAACTCTATCTTGTTAACCATTTTTCGTCCACTTTCAAATAGCTATAGACTGCCAAAATAATCCCAATTGAAGAATATTGTTTTCCACGGAACTAAAGGAAGTATAAAGATAGTAAAATATGCAAATACCGACTGATGAGAGCAGTAAAACATACAATGAAGACATTGGCATTGTGAGAGATCTTTTTCGATTTGGTTTTCGCCTTGCATTCTGGGGAAGTTTTATGTTTTGTTGATGACGTCACATGACTGGGAGCGTTGAAAAAATAAGCCGAAAGCTGTGTAAATTGTCAACTGTTTACGGGAAACATGAAGTAAATCTGTTTCTTAACGCTTTTATTCTTGGATACGTACAATTTTTTACAAGTAGAGGACAATTCTTCTGTTACCCATGAAATCACTGAGAGAATAGTGTTTTATATCATGTTTCGCTGCTTTGTACCATGGCGTTGTAATCGTCAAGTTCAATATATTGACCGAAGACATTCCAATTTGGTTTTATTCCTGACGAAATTTATCGATATGAACGTTATTTACAAGAACTTTTCTTGGATGCAAACCAAATAAAAGATTTACCTCGGGTGTGTAAAGCTCAAAAACTTTGCGATAAACTCGACGAAGATTCAATACATGTTTGATCATAAGTGAAATTTATTTGTGGTTGTTTTTGGTTTGTTCGTTTAGGCTTTCTTCAGGTTGTTTAATTTAACACATTTGGGATTGAGTGACAACGAAATAGCTCGATTACCGCCTGAGATTGGAAACCTTACGAATTTGCAAGAATTTGATATCAGCAGAAATGGTGAGTTAAAATTTACGGTAAAGATACTTGTCCTTTTATGTCCAGTCGTAATCAATTGTCTCTTCTTTTATTGTGGTCAACCCTGCATATTTTGTCTATTTTTTATTGAATTAGACAACATAGCACCTAAATATTCTTTGATGTTATTGTAATTCTCTTACGTATGTCGCTTATAGACATTTGTGATATTCCTGAAAACATTAAATTTTGTAAAGATCTGATGATTGTTGATTTCAGTGGCAATCCACTTTCAAGGTATGAAAATTTATTGACCACTCATGAATTTTATTTACTTTAAAAGCCCTTTTGTGGTTTGTTTATCGGCAATATTTGCTCGGCGTCTTGTGACACACTTTACATGTAAAGTTTTTATCATAGATAAAATGCACTGCAGTGCACTACATTTTGGGGCAAAATTGCAAAAATATCAATCCTTAATTTTTGTCATATTTGTTTGGATTACCAAAATTATTTTCCCGAAAAATTGTTATATATTTTTTATACCTTGTTATATATGTCGTTTTGATTTAGTAAATAGTGATTTGACACCTGTTTAAAAAACAAATTAATGTGAATATATTTCTTCAGTCGAAGGAAATTTATGATATTGTATTGGGGCTCTTTTTTCCTGTTTCATTAATCTGTGAATGTTAATATTTCTGTTTTCCTTTTTTCCTCAAGTTTATGTTGTCATTTTTGATGTAGAAATTTACTGTGTTGCTCATTGCTTGCACTTTCTCTTTATCAAGTAAAATTGAAAATAGATAAGGGGGAAATATTAATTTAAATCTTAATTTTACAAGTTTTTGTTTTACTGCTGCTATCACTTTTGTATAGAAAATTTTTGTTTTCGTTTCATTTTATTGAAGAAGCCTTCATAAAATTTTCTTAATAATTCACTTTCAATAATCAAAGATAGTTGGAAAATTATTTTTGTAATTCTATGTCTCCATCAATTACTTAATAATTTTACATTAAAAATCTAAACCATACACACAGTGTATGTGTCTACAATGAAGAATCTATTATGTTGTCTTGAAATCGAAGATGTTTCATAACAAAAGCTAAAGTATAATCTACACGCAAATTCATTAGTTTGTATTGGTGAATTTAACTTTTAGAAGATAAAGCTATCTACATTATAAAAAGAATGTACCAAGATTATTTCCTAGTAATCTTGTGAATTAATTTTACCTTGTGATTAGTACAACAATATCTTTCAATGTTATTCTCAATGATTTTATTGCTAAATTTTGATATGGTATTTATGCATACTCATTGTTTTTTTTTGTATTTCAAACAACAGACTTCCTGATGGATTTACACAACTAAAGTGTCTTACAAGCTTGTGTCTAAATGACGTTTCTTTGGTTCGTTTACCTCCAGATATTGGAAGGTAGGTGTTAATGTTCATGATGTCAATTAATTTTTAAGATAACAGCAGTTTACTTTTACGTATATGTGAAGATCTTATATCAATAAGCAGTATGTATAAAAAAACTGCTCATCTTTGAAATCACCTGACATTGCATGAATTTGCATGATTCAACAGTGACTGATCCCCCAAGGAGCTGTATGGCAAGTGAATACAATAACATGTAGTACAACTACTGCACATTTCAAATCCAAAGCATGAAATTATTGTCAATAGTGTTTATACCTCATTGTGAGCTAGTTACTGCTGAATTATAAAAATTTCATTCTTTATATTGACATTGTGTAGTTAACCATATTTTCTATTTATGTTGTTTTATGGCTCTTGGGGGATAAATATATGCTGATTCATGCAAATTATAAATATCTCATGATTTCTAAGAAAAACAGTTTCTTATTTCCCCTCCAGAATCTTTAAAACATATATACGTATAGTGTACATTGTGTGTAATTTTGTCCTTTTTAGCCTGGCTGAGTTACAAGTTTTGGAACTTCGTGAAAATTTAATCAAGTTCATTCCAGTGTATGTGTACATTTGCATTCAATGTTAGCATTTAATTGGATACATAGATGTATTTTGAGTAAGATTTATTGTTACCAAAACTCTCCATTGTTTTACACTAATAACTAACCCTCTCTTTTAATTCAAAGTTCTTTGTCATTTTTAACAAAATTGGAAAGACTCGATCTCGGATGTAATGAACTTGAAGATTTGGTATGTAAAAAGGCTGGTTTTGAAACTCTATCTTACATTCATTTGTACAATTCAAATGAATAGAAGTCTTTATTATAATTAGCAGAAACATTTTAAAGGCAGAGTATTTCTTTTTGTGATTTTTTACTTGCGTGGAAAAAATTAGTTGAGTTGAAAAACATGGCCTTTGCAGAAATGGAATGAACTAGTTTTCTGAAAGAATGTTTTTAATTTTTTAGCCTGATATCATTGGCTCACTTCCAGAACTTATTGAACTGTGGCTGGATGGCAACCTCCTACGGACTTTACCACCTGAAATTGGCAATCTCAAACGACTTCAAATCTTTGACTGCTCAGAAAATCGAATAGAGGATCTTCCAGATGAAATAAATGGCCTTGTTTCCCTTACTGACTTTCATTTATCACAAAATCTTTTGGAGGTTATCCCAGATACAATTGGTAAGTTTTTGTATTTATCTTTTGTGTTTCATCTGCTGTACTTTTTGCAACATGTCAAGTACCAGTTAATCACATAATGTACATGGTGATACAACAACATTATTTGATCCTATTCAACATGTCAAGTACCAGTTAATCACATAATGTACATGGCGATACAACAACATTATTTGATCCTATTCAACATCTCAAGTACCAGTTAATCACATAATGTACATGGTGATACAACAACATTATTTGATCCTATTCAAGCTTCCATATGAAGGCTAGTAAAACATGAAAGCTACATTATAATCAGGCAATATAAAAGCTAGTTAAGCATTTATGTGAGTCTTTTAATGTTTGAACTATACATTGAAAGTCGATTGTTTTCTGCATCTTATCTGATATATACAAAATGAATTTTTTAGATGAGTTAAAGAATTTACAATTGCTCAAAATTGATCAGAACAGGCTGGTCCAGTTAACTGATTCAATAGGGGGGTAAGTCAACTCATTCAATAGGGGTAAGTCAACTCATTCAATAGGGGTAAGTCAACTCATTCAATAGGGGTAAGTCAACTCATTCAATAGGGGTAAGTTGACTCATTCAATAGGGGTAAGTCGACTCATTTAATAGGGGTAAGTCAACTCATTCAATAGGGGGTAAGTCAACTCATTCAATAGGAGGGTAAGTCAACTCATTCAATAGGGGGGTAAGTCAACTCATTCAATAGGGGGTAAGTCAACTCATTCAATATGAATATGGGTATGTTAAGCTGGTAATTGATCCAATGTGTGTGTGGGGTGAGCTACATAATTTGTCCTATGGTTGTGTATGGGGTAAGTTAGGTAATTGTTCCTATCAGTGTTGGAGAGTAAATTTATTTGTTTATTAAGAGATAATTTAACTGATTCAGCACATAAATTGACAACATGATTGTCATCAACTGTTTGAATGTGTCATTCAACTTCTATACTTTCTTGGCATTAAGGGTTTTCTTGTTGAAATCAAAGTAAAATTTATGTGGGCATAATTTTCCAGGGTGATCACACTTACAGAATTGGTTTTGACAGAAAACATATTGGAGGATCTTCCCTCTTCAATTGGAAAGCTGGAAAATCTCTCTGTTTTTAATGTAGACAGAAATCAACTTCAGGCTTTGCCTGTTGAGGTACCTATTACAATCATTGTACTAAATATTTGCTTTATATGTTAATGTTCAATTCAGTAATGTGCTTGTTATCCTTGGAATGGCAGCTAAATTTTGAATACATAGTTTTTCTTGTGTTTCTTTCAACGAGATGTAAGTTATGACTAACTTTAGTGTTGACATCAATGTGTTAATTAAATACATTTTAGATTGGCAATTGTACAAAGTTATCGGTGTTTTCATTGAGGGAAAATTGTCTGACCAGCATACCTTCTGAAATTGGAAATTGTGTTAATCTTCATGTGTTAGATGTCTCTGGCAACAGGTAACCTGGTTGTTGTGATGAATAATTAGGAATGTGTGTAGGCACTCTTTTACTATCTGAAATGTGAGTAAACAATTGCTTATTTATCTTGATTTTCTGTCTATTTCACACACAGACTTGAGAATTTACCATTGACAATTGGCTCGCTACCTCTTAAAGCATTATGGCTTGCTGAAAATCAAGTAAGGTCTTAAGAATTGAAATATAGCACATTTACTCCATACTCTGTGCATTCCTTGTACATGTACTGCGTTTTATTACAAACATGATGTCCTTTAGATGATAACAGTTAAAATTGCATATTTTAGTCAAAGCCAATATTAAAGTTACAAACAGAAGAGGACGAGAGGACAAAAGCCAAAGTATTGACATGTTTCTTTTACCACAAACTGAGTCGAACTTTGATATGGGTATGTTTGTCATTTACATTTTTAATGTTAATTACTGAACGCTTTTGTGATAAATCTTGCTTGTGGAATTTGAGAATCAGAAATTCAATCCCAAAGATAAAATTTAAAATCACGTGTAAGTCACATTTTTTCATGTGCTTATAATTATGTCAGAATTCATGTTCTTATTTTCTAATGATGACTTTGAAGTAGAATCACACTGATAGAAACCTTGACGGACATTGTTTTGAGAAGGTTGAATTTTTGTGTTTATCAGTAGCTATATGACTGACTGTTTGGAGTAATATATTTTAGTAAATTTGTATAATTACAGTGTTGTCAAATGTTTACATTGCGAACATTAGAAGAGACAAGTGTTGACCATAAACTCACCAATCAAAACTTATTATAGAACTTCATTTACGTAAACTTATCTTTGATCATCTTTAAGAATTTTATGATGACGGGGAAAATCGCTATGATCTCGATTATCAACCACGTGACAAGCCGATGGAAATTGGATTTGTCAATGAACATGTAACTTTCACCGATGAGGAATCGGATCATGACGATGAACGGCTGGTAATTTCTACTTTTTATATATTGGTTTTAAATTAGTGATGTATCTCAGAGAACAAATATAATCTTTACACTTCTTTAAATATAAAGTTAGATAGCGTGTTAATAGGTAGTGATGAATGAACAAAAGAGAATGAGAACAGTCTTTACACTACCTAAAATATAAACTGAGATAACGTATGTCATTGTAGGTAGTGATAAATGAACAACAGAGAATGAGAACAGTCTTTACACTATCTAAAATATAAACTAAAATAACGTGTGTCAGTGTAGGTAGTGATGAATGAACAACAGAGAATGAGAACAGTCTTTACACTATCTAAAATATAAATTAAAATAACGTGTGTCAATGTAGGTAGTGATGAATGAACAACAGAGAATGAAAACAGTCTTTACACTATCTAGAATATTAACTAAGATAACGTGTGTCACTATTGGTAGTGATAAATGAACAAAAGAGAATGAGAACAGTCTTTACACTATCTAAAATATAAACTAAGATAATGTATGTCAGTGTAGGTAGTGATGAATAAGTAACAGAGAATGACAAAAATTGAGAACGAAAAACAGCTTTTACAATACCATTTTAGGGGGATTTTGTTCGCCACGACACTCCTCATCCTAAGGAATTGAAAGGACGACATCCTAAAATATTTTCTCATAAACCGAGATCAGATTCATTGAACTCTGACGAAGAAAGAAGAAGATCAAAAGGTTTTGAATCTGGGTCCGATACAGAGCACGAAAGTAAAAGTAAATTTGAACCAGGTTCATTGATGTCTAAAGCTACAGTAGGGCGACAAATTGAACCGGTGGCAAAGGAGAAGGAAGAAATAATACTGAATTCAAAATCGGAAGTGAAGAATCTAGAAAATGTACCTTTTGATGACGATGATGTTAATAATGAGGTATTTCTTGTTGTCAACGTTACTCGTATATTTACCATCTTGACTGTTGATTTTATATGAACCATTTTCACTGTGACATAAGTATGAAGGGATCAAGTACATTATGTACCTTCCCTAATATGATATGAGTAACTATAGAAAGATGAACTTCATTTCTCCGTTTTCAAAATTTTTACAATGTCCAAGAAAACTACATTGAAATAAATTTGTGAATGATTCAGGAAGCAGGACGCTCTAGCGAAGATGAAGAAGTTAATTCAAAATCTGTTGGTTTTCTTGTCGATGAAGAAGATGGGCCTGTTGAACGACACGATAAACTAAAAAGAACAAACACACCACATTATACTAAAGGCAAAAGACTTTACCCTGATACCGAAGGAGTGCAGGAAAAATTTTATCAAATCATGGCAAAAGTGGGTCAGAAGGATTTAAATGAAGAAGAGAACTCAGATGATCAAAGGGTGAGCGTTCTATACATTAAAATGAATAACTTCATTGACCTGTGTTAAATTCATTCATAAATTCAAAATTTCCACTAAGATATTTCTACCTACTGCTCTAATATTATCTTTGACGGCTGATAGTAATTACAAAATTTAAATTCGTTTTAAATCATATGGCATATTCGTGATTTTGATGTGTTCAAGTCAAGTAACTAAAGACAAACGTCAATTTATTTTATAAATCAAAGAAGACTTGCGTTAAATTTCAATCGTCCATAAAAGTTATATCCCCTAAATTTCAAATTAGTTGTAAAATATTCACGCACTTTAACCGTGTATAAATAAATGTCGCGAAATTTGCAGACGCTACTGTAATGATCCGAGCAGACAGGTTTATAATGCTACTGTAATGATCTTAACCGACAGCTTTGTGAAACGAGCCCAATCATTAAAATCTAGCAGAAATAATAAGAAAGACTCTAATGGAATAATTAAAACTAAAACATGTTCGTTATACTATCATTGAAGTTTTATTATCAGTTTTAAATTGTCTCATGACTGATTTTATTATTTTTGAGTGTGTTTGTATTAGAAGCTCAATTTTGTAAAGTTAGAGTTAGTCAATGGTTCTCGATGGTCTGTAAGATTGGTTTTTCGTATGTTGAAAAAACAGTTTTGACTTTCACTTTCTTACGAGGGTCTAAGTTGCTCTGCAAATTTCTGGCCACGACAGGCCATTGAGGACACATACTAACATTTTCTTTCCAGTTTCTTCACGTTTTCTGTTACCTTCAGGAGAGTGGAAATGATGAAGATAACTTCGAAGTCGATGAAGGTCAGTGAATAAAATTAACATTCGTGATCTATTTATCATTCATTAATTTATAGTCTGAAGTAATCTGATCATAAAACTAGAGTCATTATATTGTACTCTTGTCCAGTGTCTACATTCGGGGTGAGCTGATTTTAAAATTTTACTTATTTTATACTCAATTTTAGTGTTTTCATCGCTTTGTATACTTGAGTCTGATGTTTTATTCAGGATTGATTAATTCTCTGTTTATTTTGTAAAAAATATTTGATTATTTATGGTTTTTAAGATTCATCCCATGTTAACGGTATTAACGGTTTGAATTCGGAGAAAAACGACAACCATCAATATGGCGCCGTCACAACAACAGTCGAGGAGGTCTGTTACACATTTTTCTTTGGCAACTTCTATTTAAATCATTATATCATATGATTTTGTTGTCGTTTTATTTCATTTTAGATAATGTACACACTTATTAGAAACGGTGATGGTCTTGGTATAAACATTGCTGGTGGTAAAGGCTCGACACCATATCGAGATAATGATGAGGTAAAGCTTAAACTGTGTTTGGTTTAATTATTTGTTTTACTGTTACAATCAATGAATCGTTGATAACGAGAAGGCATTATAAGCTTTTTGACTTTGCTGTCTACGTAGAAAGTTTATCTTCCATGTTTATTTGTTATTCGTATGAAAAAAATTTAAACATATTGTAAAGAGATCATACAAGACGACAATGATTGGAAAGTACCTTAAGCACTTTTCATGAATTAATATTAGTTAACCATATCCTGAAAGATTCGCTTTTTATTTCTTAAGTACAAATTAACTCTGATTTATCCTTACAGAGTATCTTTATATCAAAAATTAACGAGAAAGGACCTGTGGGTCGTGATGGTGTCTTGCAACCTGGGGACAAGATAATATCGGTAGTTGAAAAGCATATGAATGTATTTATTACTTATGTTAAAATCACCAATCTCCCTTCCCCGGTTGCAGGTTGATGGTGTGGACCTCAGTAAGGCGACCCATGCTGAAGCTGTTCAGGTGCTTAGTACTGCCGGAGATACAGTTAAAATGTTTATTGAACGAGTGACTGAAGGATTTGTTAAACTTGATACAATGAAAAGCGAAGAAAAATCAAAGACTGAGGACACTGAGGTACGACCAAACATCAAATGGATTGTCTCTTTTTAAAAGCAACCCACGCTTTATTATGCGTATGCTTATTTAAAATTTCTCCCACACTAATTTCTTATTTCTTTTATGGTTTTATATTAATGTATATTTCTACGTTAAGTACATCATACATGTTGTAGGTTAATGTTGTCGTTTTCAAATTGTTAGTGAATTGTGGAGCGATGCTATAATATGAATATGGGCAACTGACGTTACAAAAATTATCCTCGAAATTATTTTGTAAGACACTTCGTTTGTCTTGTAGACGTCTAGCAAACCGACGAAAGATTCGAAAAAGTCTGGAGTGAGATTTGCAGCGGAACCGGAAATGGAAGAAATTGAGACTGCGACTGAGGTATTACAAAGTATTGAAAATGCTCATTATTGAAAGGAGTTTGTGACAGTTTACATTACTTTTTAAAAATTTTGTAGTTTATAGTTCTTAGTGAAAAGATAACTTCCAAGTAAATTTACAAAATGTTTTACTCTGTTTGCTAATGTGTCATTGCTAACAGCCTTGTGGCTGAACAAACACTTGGAGAAAAGTGAATTCTCTCTGAAATTTGATTGTGGATTTTTATTTTGCTCACATAGAAAGAAACAATCGTTTTAAAACGAGACAGCAAAGGATTGGGGTTTAGTATTGCTGGTGGACAAGGTTCGACCCCTTACAAAGGCAATGATCAGGTTAGCTATCACGTTAACTCTTCTTAAAATCACTCATTTTTTGTGCAAAGGTGCTAGGCAACTTTGCAGTATTGTTATGTATAGATAGTACAACTTTACACTATCCTTAAGGATCACTTGTATTCATCGTGAATTTCATTGTTAAGTGTGCAGTTGATGTTTATTTGGAGGTCTTTGATTTTTTAGGCAATATACATATCAAAGATTGCTCCAGGTGGGACTGCTGGATTGGATAGAAGGTTGCGTGTCGGTGATCGAGTTTTATCGGTAAATTAAATTTGTATAAACTGAACTATTGTTCATTGACATAGTGATTGGTCAGTATAATGTAGGCGAATGGAACATGTTGTTTATTACGTCATTTAACACATTAAAAGTATTCGTGCAATAAAATGCATCGAAAATTGTGATTCAATGCTTTTTGTTCAAAATGCTGGATGAGTAAAATACTTTTTTATTTTATATCATCCCATGCAGTAAGCTTATTGATTTGCATATCCACTATGTCACTAATCATCGTATCAATATCGTTCCAGATCAACGGCAAGTCAGTTGAAAACGCCAGTCATGAAGAAGCTGTCTCTCTATTAACGTCAAGTTTTCCCTCGGTGACCCTAATTGTCTCTCGTGAACGAGTTCTTGAGAAGCGTATGACACCTCTTTCTAAACATCGCGAGGAATCCATGATAAACAAACGAATTGCTGAGAAAGAGATGATACAAGATGCGATGATAAAGGCCTCTGCTGAGGTGAGATGGTTTTTGAATGAAAGGTTCATTGTTTTACACGCACTCTCTGGCTCCCCATTTATTCAATTGGGTGAACTATACGCTTAGCAAATGCTTTTTATTCTAATGATTTAAACCTTATTTCTCACAATGCTTTTTTAGGAGGCAAATCATGTCAATGAAGGTAGTGACGAAGAACAAAATGGTCCAAAAGTAGAGGTAGACAGTACGTTATTATGAAAACTGTAACTATTGACTTGTGTTTCAATGTATGAAACACGAAGACAGTGGGACGTTTTAACGTTATATAGCATGTCGTGGAAACTATAATTTAGTGGGGTTGTTCTTTGGATTGATATCTTAATTAGGAATATAAATACTATTCAATAAAATGAATACTGAATGTTTTCCTAATTTCACCGAGTTTTTGTTTAAGTTAATTTACTTTTTTGTGACAGAGGATAGAATTAAAGAAGGGAAATGGACCGCTGGGATTTAGTGTCGTGGGCGGCTCTGATCATACCTGTCATCCATTTGGAATGGATGAATCTGGTCTATTTATTTCTAAAGTAATCATTCAAATATTATGTTTGTATTAACTAAATGTTGTTTTTTAAATGATTGAATCTATTGATTTATTATGATCACATTTAAGAAATGGAATCAGGGAATAACTATATTTGTACTGCTTTTTAACTTTTGTCAATTACTTTTCTATTAAAAGCCGTTTTATTTATGCAAGATAGTAGCTATATCTGTTTATTCTTAGAGATCCTGTAAGGATCAAGATCCATTGTTGCTCTAAGATAAAATATTTTCCATATGTTTTATGTCTTTGCTTAATTATATCTGAACTATTTCATCTAATTTTCTACAGATTGCTCCAAATGGGGCTGCGTCCAACACAAACCTACGTGTCGGTGATCGCATTTTAGCCGTGAGTCTCGCTTTTCGTTACTTTTTTACGTAAATAAAATATGTTTATGTTGACGTACTTCCCATTATTTATTTTTTCAGGTCAATGGTAAAGATATGACTCGATCAACACACCATGATGCAGTTACAGCTCTCATATCAAATGTCAACTCCATCAAATTACTCGTACGTCATGACCCTCCACCCCCCGGTTTAATGGTAAATATTTACTAATATAAACCTCTTTATCATTATCTAAACAGACAGCTTTTAAAGTTACACAGCATTTGTCTTCATGTGCCATAAACATCATTCAAACATGAATTTTCTTCCAGGAAATAACAATTATGAAGTATCCAGGAGAGAAACTAGGTATCAGTATACGAGGGGGTGCCAAGGGACATCCTGGTAACCCGTTGGATCCTAAGGACGAAGGCATATTTATATCTAAGGTCAGCTCGTGTGTGTTAATATATATGTTTACAAAGAATGTTTTTTATGCAGTGCGGTGTTTGAAATTAAATGAAGATATGATTCGCAATTGTCTCATGAGACAATTGTCTCATGAGACAATTGCTTAAATTGTCCAGCAAAGTGCGAAGATCATATCTTCATTTAATATATGTTTACAATTGTTAATTTAATATTACCAATTTTCATCAATTTTAGGTCAACGAAAGTGGTGCAGCGGCAAAAGACAAGAGACTTCATGTTGGTCAGAGAATACTTGAGGTGATATTTTTTTCTTTAGTGATGTTTGTTGCAACGTGAGTTGTATATCGATATTTAATAAAAGCACCTCATCTGAAGAAGATCTTTTATGATTATATGACCACAGGTAAATGGTACCAGTTTACTTGGTGCCACTCACATGGAAGCCGTTCGTTCATTACGTAGTGTGGGTGATCGTCTTGCTTTGGTTGTAGCTGATGGCTACGATGTATCAAAATTAGAAGAACTCGTTGGTGTGATTGCTAATCCTCTTGCAGCTGCGGATAGTTTAGGTTCCCCTGATGAAAGTAGGCATTTCGGTTACGATTCTGATAGTAATCGACTTAGTTTAAACGAGAAGGTAACAACAGTGAACTTTGTTATATATGATAATATAATGTTCTACTTCTTTTTCTTTGCTTTATTGTATTAACGAGAATCTCTAAATGTAAAATTGATTTATATTTAGGTCATCTCTAACGACCGTACAAAGGAAGTGGCAAATACAGATAGTAATAGACTTCCAGTGGTAAGTCATTGATGCTTATAAGTCGTGATGGAGAATTCGTTACCTTTTATATTTCCTTTCATCAGCAAAATTCAAGATCTATCTTGCATACTCCATTAACCAGTTTACCTATATTTCACGAAAATAATATTGTTCATATAGTTTCTAAATATTGTTCTACTCAAGTTGTGGCACGTTAATAATTCCATCGAAATTTAGTTGTATCTTATCGTTTCTCGCTTCAAATTACTTACCCAATCTCTTCTGATTCAATTGTTTCCTGCTTCAAATTACTCACCCAATCTCTTCTGATTCAATTGTTTCCTCCTCTCGCTTAGGATACTGGGATGAACTCCTCAGAAACGACTGTGTCAAATCGCCATCGTCCAAACTTCCAGCTTCCCTTGAACAACTCATTTGAATCGCCCGAGGATACAAATTCTGTCCCATCTCCCTCAAGATCTTCTACGGGAAGCGTCACACCATCTGAGCAGCGTGCATTAGAAGCTGAGAAGCGCGCAGCCTGGAGACAAGCGCGAATGCGTGAACTTGAAGAAGACGCACTGAAGGCTCAAGTTGTTATTGCACAAGTCAAAGCTATGTCAGCTTCATCACTTGAAGGAACTTTATCGGACGATGATCGGAAACATCCGACACCAGATCATTTGAATAATACCACTTCTACGAAGTTGACTGCTTAGCTTAAATGAACCCATTCGATAAATTACTCCTCTTCTACAACGCACCTCTCCTGTCGGGCTCATGCAAGATGTACAAATGCTAACGTGGTCCCGAATTTTTGTATCTTATTGTGGTATGTTCGCAATTTGTTTTAAAAATATAATGCTCTACGACAATGAGGACGGCAATGCTGAACAAAGAAAATGCAAGACATATTTTCAACATGTATTTAATTATTTACAAAGGATGTTGAATTACCAACGCGGAGACTATGTCGCTCTGCCTTTTGGTTTTTAAGGGTACATATGAGGATACACGCAGTATTATGTCAATGTTTTTATTGGAAAATCAACATAATCGAATGTTTTTAGCATAAATTCCGTCGTGACAGTTCACGGAGAAAGATGGTTTTTGAGATGAAACGAATTATAATTGATATATTTTTATTTTTAACGTTTCGAAATTGTATCCGTATTTCAAACAGTGTATCGTAATGTATTTCAATTTATCTTGTTACCTACTACGCATCTTTAGCATATGTAAAAATATAAATATCGTGAATATGTTAATGCTTTAGTTTTATGCCACATAGCATTTAGCTAGTTAAATAATTCTGGATAATTTTAGTCGTATTTTATATTGTATAATATTGATGTACAATTATGAGACCAATAAAAACTTTGGTCGTATATTTTCTGTTCAAGAACTGCTTTTTCATTTCAATACATTACATACAATACTACATAACACAATTTTAATTCGCCAAAAGTGGCCTGTAAATGATCGCAATGTTGTGTTTTTTATAAAAAAGAGAAAACATTTCATACAATTTCGTTACTTATTCATCGTTTGTAATCATTACCGCATTTTAAGTTAATGTAAAATTAAGTAAATAGATAAAACGTGTTTAAACTTGATGTAAAAGTCAAAAAGCACTGCACAATTCTCGGAATTCCTAGTGTCTTTCCGGGGTGTTTCCACTTTGTATTTCTTCCAGTTTCTTGAACTTTTGATAATGCAAACGTCAAATTCAAAATGGCGGACAATGTGGAAATTCAGGAGTCAGCTGAGTCAAAAGTTTGTAAAGAAGTTAGGAATATTGACGGAATTCCTACTTTGATATCATATGCATGTGTGGAAAGTTTTGACCTTAAAAAATGCACTAAGGCTGTTGTTGTTATTCCTGGTAATCCTGGTCTCGTTCGCTTTTATGACTGTTTTATAGCTAGTTTATTCAAAGCATGTGAACGACGATATCCTGTATTTGGCATCCAGCATGCAGGTTAGCTGCTAGTTATGTTTACATGAGACTTTTTCTTGTCAAATTTATATTTGAATTTATCGTTTTCCTTTAGGACATGGCATATTAAAGGAAACATCAAGTTTTCCCAACAAATCTCCCTTTTCTCTCTCCCAACAAATAAATCATAAAATTGCATTCCTGGAAAATATTTTCTCGCCCTCTTGTAAGTTCGTACTTATTGGACATTCAATTGGTGCATATATCATTCTAAAAATTCTTGAACATTTTGGCAAACATCAGACAAGATGTACAAAGGGCATATTACTCTTTCCAACCATTGAGAGGATGGCCAGCTCTCCAAACGGTATATTTGCTACTCCTGTATCAAAGTATTTTTCATGGCCATTGGTTTTACTCACTTGGTGGTTGTCATGGTTGCCTCTTTTTATAAAAAGATATTTGATTGATGTGTGGTTCAATGGCAGGAAAGTTCACAGCAGTTGTAAGGAAGCTGTCATTGAGTTGGTTAATTCTTCCTGTGTAAGAAATGTGTTGTTCATGGCTGCAGATGAGATGGAAGAGGTTAATAGGACTCCAGTGGAGGTAAGTTATCATATTTGGGATGAATGAAGATAGTATTAGGAGACTTTTGGTGGTTTGTTAACCTGTGTTGGGATGTATGAGTACAATGTTGGGATGAATGAGTACAACATGTCAATGCAAAATTTCAAATCATATAATAAACCAATATTGCTATAGTAAAATACAAGAATATTGCACATGTATGAATCTTGCTAAATATGCATCCAGGATTCGGACATTTAAACATGTAAAGATTAACACATGTGTACTCCAAGGCTCCTGGACCAAATACCAAATACCAATACAAAACCAAATACATCATGTATGGTCATCTGTATTTGCCAATATAATTAGCACTTGTCATAAGTTCAAAGTACAATGAAGTACAGTTTAGTACAATATGAAATAGAAATGATAAATGTAAAGAGTAAATGATTATCATTCTTTGTTATTGTCCGATAGAGCCAAATGGATATTTTTGTGCTTGCAGCTAATATCAGACCATATTGACCAATTGATTTTCTATTATGGTGCCAGAGATCAATGGGTGCCAAGGTCCTACTATAATGAAATGTGCAAAGGTTTCCTAAGGCACAAATCTATCTTTGCCAGAATAGGATGAGGCATGCCTTTGTTTTGGAATCACATGAAGTAATGGCACAAATTGCTGCTGCATGGATAGACTGACTTTGAATATGTATACATATTACCTTCTGGTAAAGATTTGCCTTTGAGACATCGCAATGAACATTAAAATGTATGCAGATTTAGTTCTTTAAGTTATCGCAGTAAGTAATTTGGTATGAAAATTTTTTCTTGGAGCATTTTTTATTGCAAATGGGGAGTGTTTTAATTTTGTTTTAAAATTTTCAAGGGAACAAAAAAATTCAATGAAATGAGTAAGGCAGACCTTAACATGAGTAGGATAGATGAAGGACATTGTACGTGTATTGTATGTATGAGTAACGGAAAAACTATAAGATGAAATTCTGTATTTGAGTGGTGCATTGGAAGGATTATAATTGCTATATATATTGTCTATAGAAAAATTACGTAGTTGATTGTTCAGATTCATAAAGTTTATTTATTGATTTATTTCATACGTATTTTCAAGAAAGCATTCAATAGAACATTGGGAATATGTTTTTATACAATCAAGAAACGGAATAATTTATTGTAACTCATAATGTGATGGTATGAATGACTCGTTCAGCCACTTCTTCGTTCATTAAACGTCTTCGTTTGTTCACCAAACGCGGTTTACTGGAGCTTTCCGGTTTTTTTACATTGTACGCTGAAAAATGTTGAGATATTTTTATCGAGAATTGTACATGATCTCTGTATTTTTATGTCATGGGGAAGATGGTATACATCAAATAAATATAATTCATCTCTTTATACTTATGTTGTAATGACGATGGTACATAAGAAATCAATGTACTTGATCTCCTTATACTTATTTCATTGTTAGGATGGTACATAAGAAATCAATGTACTTGATCTCTTTATACTTATGTCATAGTGAGGATGGTACATAAGAAATCAATGTACTTGATCTCTTTATACTTATGTCATAGTGAGGATGGTACATAAGAAATCAATGTACTTGATCTCCTTATACTTATGTCATAGTGAGGATGGTACATAAGAAATCAATGTACTTGATCTCTTTATACTTATGTCATAGTGAGGATGGTACATAAGAAATCAATGTACTTGATCTCTTTATACTTATTTCATTGTTAGGATGGTACATAAGAAATCAATGTACTTGATCTCTTTATACTTATGTCATAGTAAGGATGGTACATAAGAAATCAATGTACTTGATCTCTTTATACTTATGTCATAGTAAGGATGGTACATAAGAAATCAATGTACTTGATCTCTTTATACTTATGTCATAGTGAGGATGGTACATTCGAAGTGAACGTATTTGATGTCCATTTTCTTAATGATGAACGTAACTTTAAAGATTTGAAAAATCAATGTATGAATTTGAGGCGAATTCAATTTACACAAAGGTAAAAAATGAGAAAGTTTATAAAACTAACATTACCGTATGTGTCTGCTCGTATACAATGAATTGTTAATTTATGACATCCAGTACTTCGTCTCAACCTGAAATTATGAAAATAACAGAATTAAATGTTAGTTCAGTTATAAGACATAAACATGAATTGATGTAAAAACCTATCTCGTTTAAATTCGTCCTCATTGACTTCAATTAATGATCGTTTTACACCCTGTTCGTTGGAACTATCTTCTAGAAAATTTGTTCGGGAATCATCGACTTCCATTTTCTCCATTGTAGCTCCCTGTAAGTGAATGCATGTATTTTTCAAAAGACGTGAATGTTGGCTACATCTTGTAGGTATTACCTCAAGCCAAAGAAAAAAGAATATGTATGTGTTCTAAAACATTGATCTATTTCCAACTTACTGATTTTTCAATGATGAAACGTTTTGGCTAACTAGTAGTTTTATAGCAAAATGTTAGTTTTTGTATGACCGATATATGTCTCAAAAACAACTGAGTAAAGAATTTTCTTGTCTTAATTATGACGTCACGAATTACTGTTCTAATAATGATGTCATAATACGTCATCAATTACGTGAACATTAACCAGTGACGTGCGTGATGCTTGATTTGATGCTCTTCATGATATCTGCGCCGATCAACCTCGGCCAGCGGCTTGCTCTTCATTCAGATTCAGACATTGAGACTGCGTTTCAAGTTCCAAAATGAAAGCTTGGGAGCGAGTTTGCTCAATAAAATTTTAAAATTGTGTAATTTTTTGTTAGTTTAATTTATTCGTATACTGTAAACAATGTTAGGCTCTAGACGATATATTCCTGTTTTTGTGAATCGTGCTCGTTCCCTACAAAATGGAAGAACTTTACGGAGAATTTCAGCAAATGCAATTATTCAAAGAAGAAAAATTAATCAGAAGTTGTTGCAAAGGTAACAGCGATTGGTAGTGTCAGGCAAATTCCATTTTGTCGTATGCTTTGCTTTGATGACGAATTCTTTTCAATTTAGTAATTCTTCTAATATTTTCGGATCGAATACATTCAAAATTTACATAAAGACGAGGCTTTTTAGCAATGAAGGTTAGAAAATTGTTTCACATTAAATTATAATGATCATATCGTCAGCTCGTTGCCAAATATTTATATTTATCTGTAAACTTGTAACTTGGACGTCATGCAGTTTTTCTGTGTCTGTAGTCTGTGATTATTACTCTAATTTGCTATTTTACCAATAAATTTGTTGGGTATCTAAGTAATGTCTACTGGTTTCATGATTTAATCGTGTGAGTGAGTGAGTAGTCACACTTCTTTGTCAAGTGAGAATTCGTTAAAGGTGTTTAAGATATGTAGAGACATCGTAATGTACATAATGAGATGTTATGTGTGGATGCCTGATTTGCTGAATGAAGTAATTCAGATTTTCTTCTAGCAGAAGATGAATGTCAGGTTAGCAAAATTTATTTTGTTTGTTTTTTCTCAAAGCACTTCCACCCCATACCAGAATTCCACTTCCTGCATTATCACCAACCATGGAAACTGGCACAGTGGCTAGTTGGCTAAAAGAAGAAGGTGAAAAGTTAGAAGAAGGGGATGTCCTTGCACAAATTGAAACAGATAAAGCTACAATGGATTTTGAAACACCTGATGAAGGCTACCTTGCAAAAATTGTTGCTCCTGCTGGCTCAAAAGACCTTCCTGTTGGAAAGGTAGCTTTGTTTTGTTGTTTTTTAATGGTTAGATTGATAACTTTTTTAATGAAGAGTAGTACTACCTGCACCAAATAAAAAACTATAAATTCTTTGTTCTCTTATTATGATAACAAGTTAGTCGAAGTTAACATATTATTTCATTACATTATTTTACTAATACTTCATTTATCAACTTTTAGTTGGTTTGTATTATTGTTGAAAATGAGGAAGATGTTGCTGCATTTAAAGACTTTACAGATGATGACAGTGGGACACCTCAATCTCAGGTACTCATAGTATTCAGGTACTTAGGTATTCATAATGACCCTCATATCAAATATTTCTGTTCACTTTCTATATTTTTCATCTCAAAAGACATCAGATAGTCCAGTTGAACCACCCCCATCTGTTACTCCAGCTCCTGTGGCCAGCACCACAACTCCTGACTCACCGCCAGCTGTGTCATCTTCACAAACTGGCAGAGTGTTTGCAAGTCCACTTGCTCGGAAACTTGCAAAAGAGAAAGGTGTTGATTTACCGGTAAGCTAATTCTAAAAGGTTTCTTGTCATGCATTAACCATCAGCTTCTTAGCAAATTGGAAAATACATGGGAAAAGTTGATATTGAACCATGAAATAGATGTACTGTTTTACTTGTCAAAACATATTTGTAATATTGACTTGGTTTTTATCATACATATGTATAACATTAAATATTTCAACATTAAAAATTCATTTGTTACAGATTTGGAATATTGATCAAATAGATTTCTCTTCTAGCAGTTAGATGGCTGTCATTTTGTTTATGTTTAAATCATTTTTAATTCATGTTTTTTTTAGTCTTTGTCCGGAACTGGTCCTGATGGGAGGATTGTTGCTAATGATGTGGGAACTAGCATTCAAAGCATTCCACAACAATCTCCAATTACTACAGGTGCAAAAATGATCAACATAACAGGAATTAGGCTTTGCTAATTTTGATTAACAGGGAGGGCATTTTAAATTTCAATTAAACCTGTAACTGAAAATTTCAAGTTGAAAACTGCGTTGTTTTTTATCCAGTGTGATTCACTGTCTTAAAATGAACTTGTTAGTCTGAAAATTTCATGTTGTCTTGAATAATGAACATAAATTTGTGGAAAATATTTGTATTTGAAGAATAAAGGTAATTTATGCAAATATGCATGTTTTTATTTTTCAGAAGAAGAATTTACTGACATTCCTTTATCAAATGTTAGAAAGGTAATGTGTACATAAACAGACTGTTTAGATGTTGTGGATTAATGACTGGGCAAATTTTGAAAATAAATGCCACAATTTAAAAAGTTTTATCTTTGGGCTCAAGATTCTTGAAACTTGTTATTTAGTGAGGTATATTTGGTTTTAAAAATCACAATTCAGTTGTTAATTGTGGCAAGGTCCATCATGTAAAAAAATGGATTTTGGATCAACACATTTTTTTATTTTGTAGGTGATTGCTAAAAGATTACTAGAATCAAAACAAACTATACCACATTACTATTTATCTGTGGATATACGCATGGATAACATTATTGAGTAAGTATGATTTACTAAGTAAATGGAATGAGTAAATAAATTTACTAAATGGAATAGACTGTAATTTTGACTTGGACAGACTCTATGTAAGGTGAACCATAGTTGTGTTTGCAACTTTGTGCATAGATTTGTGTGTGGAGACATTGTTGGGGAGTTTGCACCATAGATAAGATTTTGTGGTTTCACCCCTTGTCTAAAAACTCACTCACACTTCTTCAGTATGATCCAGAAACTCCTTTCCCTATGAATGGCTTGATTTTTGCTAAATTAAACAAAAGACCATCTTCCGATAGTCATAAGTTGATTTGAATTCCTGCTCAGTGAGTGTTGGGAGCTTTTAAAATACAGGCATTTGTACCATAAACTTTGTGTCTGAGATGTTGTGTTGTGACTTTCTGAAAATTATAGCAATGCTCCAATATGGAGCAAAATCTCTGGAGCCGGTTGCACAAGCCTGGATAGCGCTATCCATTGGATAGCAAAAAATTTCAAACTTGTAAAAAAGATGTTTATATTTTTCTCACAAGAAAGAAATTTTGTAATCTTCAAAACAATATTTTATTTCAGCGATTGCACAGTTCAAATCGTATATTTTTTTCTGATAAGAGGTTTTATGAACGTTCAGAAAAATTTGCTACCCAGTAGATAACGCTATCCAGGCTTCGTGCAACGACCTCTGTTGGTCAATAATAACTAAAACTTTATACTTAATTATATACAACCATGTGAGAGGGTTTCTGGTGTGTCAATTTGTAAGCATTTGGTTGGTTATTTAATGTCATAGTGTTACTAAAGATTTGTTTACATTTTTGGTTTATTTTAGACTTCGTAAAGAGTTGAATGAGTTAGTAAAGTCTGAGTATAGGTTGTCTGTGAATGATTTCATCATAAAGGCATCAGCCTTATCGTGTAAACAAATTCCCGAAGCAAATTCCTATTGGATGAACGAGTTTATCAGACAGTAAGTAAAATGCTACTTTCTTGAATTTATTCAGTGTGATGTTTGAATTTACATTGCTTGTTGAAATAGAAATCTTCTTCATTTTTATGAATATTTGTTATTCATCAAGTAGACGTATAGTGAGGCATTGTTGCTGAAATTTCTAACTTACTAAGGAGTTTTGTATGATTTACAGAAATCACAATGTTGACATCAGTGTTGCTGTAAGCACAGATTCTGGTTTGATTACGCCTATAGTTTTCAATGCAGATAAAAAGGTTTGTAAATATGTTAACTTTCATTATATTTTTTGTCTGTGCAATAAAACATTTCAATTTGATGTGATTTTTTACTCTGTTGTGTTACGTCTGAAGACAAAGTTGTATTTTTATAGGGACTAGGAAAGATAAATTCAGATGTTGTTTCACTTGCGAAGAGAGCTAAAGAAAACAAGTTACAGCCACACGAATTCCAGGTGTGATTTCTTATTCAATGTTTTTATGTCTCTGAACTCATGTTGAAGGACATGAACGGATGTATAACACAATAGTTTTGATAATACGGAGAGGAAACATAGTTTGGAGGAGGAAAAAATTAACCTTAGCAAGTTATGATGACAAGTAATTCATCAAAACACAACACATAATTTAATTATTTTAAAAGAGTAATACTTCCTTCTAGGGTGGCACCTTTACTGTTTCAAATCTTGGAATGTACGGAATAAAGAATTTTGCTGCTGTTATCAACCCTCCTCAGGTAGTTTGTAAATCATTTATTGGCTGGACAAAATTTTGCTATATTTTGGTTGCAGCGTTAGATTGCTTTAGTTTGAAATTTAGTTTGTCGAGGAGATTTTCTTTTCCGTTCATAAATGTACATATAGTAATAACAATATCTAATTACGTAGTTGATTTTCCTCTGTTGTATGTTATTTAGTCTTGTATCTTAGCCGTTGGTCAGACAGAGAAAAGAATTATTGTTGATGAGGATTCAGATCTAGGGTAAGTTTATTTTAGATTAATGAATAAAAACTCTACTCTGCCTTAATTTCTTTATTCGTAACGCACGACTTTTCTTCATGTCCTCAGTCGTACGTTATAAACGATGCTTTTAGAGTTTTCATGTTTACTTTTTAAATTACTTTTATTCACTTTTTCTATAGTTTTACTCAAGCTATGATGTTGAGTGTCACATTAAGTTGTGATCATCGTGTCGTAGACGGTGCTGTTGGTGCACAATGGTTGCAACACTTCAAGTCTTATCTGGAAAAACCAGCTAAGCTTTTATTATAAGAATGTTGATTTTTATTGAACAAATTCTATGATACGTTCAAAATTTTTGAATTGGTTGAAACAAAACCATGGAAGCGTAGTGTATATAAACGTTGATCTCCTGAGCTCTAGCTGTGAGAACTCTGATTGAACCTGTCACTCTTTATGGTATCGCCCTGATTAACTTGCTGTTAAATCCATTTTTGGATTTAATCTCTCGCTTACTGGTGGTGTTATCTATAAGCACAATTTTTTTTGTTCTGGTGTTTTGTACGACGCCTGAAATTGTCGAAAAATAACCAATAAAATGTACTCTGGCATTTTGTTTTTATTATCTTCCGGTGTACTAGTAGCAAAATTATATTTTTTTATAAATAAAAGTATTAAAAAAATCCATCAAAAATCTTACTGTCATGTACTGTTATCTCCTAAGAAAGGACGACGTTTCCAAATGTCGTCACAGTAACAGTAGATAGCTTTAGACCATTCTTTATACAGGTGACTGATGTGACAATGTATGTCTGTGGATAATGGTAGGTTACTGAGGGTGACGATGATGATGTAATACATACATAATACATGTAATACACAGATTTTCCTTTATTAGCGTATTTAGAAAATGGAATGATTACGAAGAGGGAAAAAGTCGAAAGGTTTAAAAGGTTTGTATGTCTTCTTTAATTTTATAACTTAGAGTTTCAATTTTCTTGCTATACTACAACTAAGCATTGTTTATATAGAAATTGGTAGCTAACGGCACGCAAAGTTTTTTTATTATAAGTTACGTGAAGGCATCAATTTATTCTTTATCGTCACAAGAATGTTTTTTTCGTTTTGAAACTTGTCATCAACAATGACATTATTTTAAGTTATTTTGCTTTTTCAATATTCTCGTTTGTTTTTAGTCCATATCATTGTTCATTTATCACTCTTATTCGTCATAATCTCGTTGCTGATCTTTCCTTGGACTCATGTTCTTTGAAAGTTGGCTCATGGTGTTGGCCATCTTATGAAACTCGTCCCATCTTATATTCTCCAAGCTTTTCTGCATTTTTACTTTAGATTCAAGTTGAGAACACAAACTTTCAGCTTCATGGAGACGTGATTTTAAGTCCAACAGCTCGTCATTTTTTTCATCTAACTAATGAGGTAAGATGAGATAGTTGTATTGATTTAATATTGAAACGTGGGTCATATAACATGTAACAAACACTAAATAAGCCCATGTGTATATTGTAGTCTAGATTCATACTTGTTTGATGTGTTATTCCAATGTATAAAATTTTACCTTGGATTGTAAATCACAAATTTCGTCCGTCAACAGCAGTTTATCTCGTTGTAATGAAATATTTTCATCGCTTTGTATTGTGTTCATATTTTGCAATTCTTCGACGTTGGTTTTTAACTTGTTCTTGCTCAGAGTCACTGTGCACAAGATTTTCATTTTTTATAAGAATTTTCACAATTTTATCATGGTAAGATAATAACTTTGACGTTATACTTACATTACTATATAAATGTTGTGAATATAATGAGGATCACATAAAACACTTATAATGTTACTATCCACTATCGTACCTGTTGATCATAGTAAGTTATATATACTTTTATTCATAGCAAATCAATCTTACCGTTTAGTGTGTTCTTTTCTTCACGTGTAAGCTATATATAGAATAAAATTTTGCGCTAGTCGCGTTAACATCACGAAGTAAAACTGTTAAAATTTGATAATTTAGGGAAGCTTGAATCTGTGTTGCAGTATCGTGCTTCATCAGTGGTTAAATGTCATTAATTAAAGAAAATGTTAAACTGGTTGCACAAGTTGTGGCGCTTGGAAAACAAATAGATACAGTGAGTTTTGCTTGATAGTTCGTTCTTTGTCATAATTTAGCAAGTCAACTACGTGTAACATCATATTTAGCATAAGTATTACATAAGTATAAGGAGATCAAGTACATTGATTTCATATGTACCATCGTCATTACAACATAAGTATAAAGAGATCAAGTACATTGATTTCATATGTACCATCCTCACTATGACATAAGTATAAGGAGATCAAGTACATTGATTTCTTATGTACCATCCTCACTATGACATAAGTATAAGGAGATCAAGTACATTGATTTCTTATGTACCATCGTCATTACAACATAAGTATAAAGAGATCAAGTACATTGATTTCTTATGTACCATCCTCACTATGACATAAGTGTAAAGAGATCAAGTACATTGATTTCTTATGTACCATCCTCACTATGACATAAGTATATTATTTATTCTTGCAATCCTATTTATTCATAAATACCTTTTGTGTCGCTTCTCGATTTTTTAATTTCTCATTGTAAAGTTGTTCTCTGGTAGTTTCTAATTCGTTTTGTAAACGTCTCTCGCTGTCTTTTAACGTTACTAATTCCTGTATGTTTGCCTGACGGCGGGCGATTTTTTCATCCTTGTGGGCACGATCCTGTCACGTAAGAAAAATAATTGATTTATTTTATCGTAGTAAGGATATTTTATAAGAAATCAATGTACTTTATCCCCTTATACTTATGTCATAGTGACGATGGTACATAAGAAATCAATGTACTTTATCCCCTTATACTTATGTCATAGTAAGGATGGTACATAAGAAATCAATGTACTTGATCTCTTTATACTTATGTCATAGTGACGATGGTACATAAGAAATCAATGTACTTGATCTCTTTATACTTATGTCATAGTGAGGATGGTACATAAGAAATCAATGTACTTTATCCCCTTATACTTATGTCATAGTGACGATGGTACATAAGAAATCAATGTACTTGATCTCTTTATACTTATGTCATAGTAAGGATGGTACATAAGAAATCAATGTACTTGATCTCCTTATACTTATATCATAGTGAGGATGGTACATAAGAAATCAATGTACTTGATCTCCTTATACTTATGTCATAGTGAGGATGGTACATAAGAAATCAATGTACTTGATCTCCTTATACTTATGTCATAGTGAGGATGGTACATATGAAATCAATGTACTTTATCTCCTTATACTTATGTTATAGTAAGGATGTACATAAGAAATCAATGTACTTTATCCCCTTATACTTATGTCATAGTGAGGATGGTACATAAGAAATCAATGTACTTGATCTCTTTATACTTATGTCATAGTGAGGATGGTACATAAGAAATCAATGTACTTGATCTCTTTATACTTATGTCATAGTAAGGGTGGTACATAAGAAATCAATGTACTTGATCTCCTTATACTTATGTCATAGTAATGGTGGTACATAAGAAATCAATGTACTTGATCTCCTTATACTTATGTCATAGTGAGGATGGTACATATGAAATCAATGTACTTGATCTCCTTATACTTATGTCATAGTGAGGATGGTACATAAGAAATCAATGTACTTGATCTCCTTATACTTATGTCATAGTGACGATGTTACATAAAAAATCAATGTACTTGATCTCCTTATACTTATGTCATAGTGACGATGGTACATAAAAATCAATGTACTTGATCTCCTTATACTTATGTCATAGTGACGATGTTACATAAAAAATCAATGTACTTGATCTCCTTATACTTATGTCATAGTGACGATGGTACATAAAAAATCAATGTACTTGATCTCCTTATACTTATGTCATAGTGACGATGTTACATAAAAAATCAATGTGCTTGATCTCCTTATACTTATGTCATAGTGACGATGGTACATAAGAAATCAATGTACTTGATCTCCTTATACTTATGTAATAGTGACGATGTTACATAAAAAATCAATGTGCTTGATCTCCTTATACTTATGTCATAGTGACGATGGTACATAAGAAATCAATGTACTTGATCTCCTTATACTTATGTAATAGTGACGATGTTACATAAAAAATCAATGTGCTTGATCTCCTTATACTTATGTCATAGTGACGATGGTACATAAGAAATCAATGTACTTGATCTCCTTATACTTATGTAATACTTATGCTATATATGATGTTACACGTAGTTGACTTGCTAAATTATGACAAACAACAAACTATCAAGCAAAACTCACTGTATCTATTTGTTTTCTAAGCTCTACAACTTGTGCAGCCAGTGCAGCATTTTCTTTAATTAATGACGTGCAATCTTCTTGGATCTAAATGGGAGAAAGAATTTATTTTTTAAGTATGTAGAGTAAACAACATTGCTCAATGAACTCCGACCTTTGCTCTTAGTGTTCTGTCTTGTTGTGCATTTAGTTCCTTTTGTCTTGCATCTAGACGCAACTGTCGTATTTCCTCCTACAACGTTAAGATTTTTCTCAACTTTTCTTAGTGAACACAATTCAAAAAATGCAAGTCATTCATATTTACTCTTAACTCGCGTCCCATGTCTTCTTTCGATTTTACGTCGGATTGAAAGAATCTTTCTTCAATTTCCCGTAATTGTGTTTGATATTTCAAACACTCAGCACGACTTTCCTCCAACTTAATTTGACACCGACTAAGTTCTTCAGTTTTATCATCAAGCTTCACAAAAACAGGAAAAAAGAAATGATGAATTTTTTCTTTTGTTAATTCTTTACCAAAACTTAGAACAATTTCCCCAACTTATATTTGAATAGAAAATATTTCTCAAATCTTGATAGGAAAATGTGACAGTTGTACTTGAGTAATTAGAAAGAAAAGTGTTTTAATAGTAGAACTTTTCTTTCTTGTTGCATTTCATAATTTGTATTTCCATCATCTGAAGTGGAGTAAGTTCAGAGAGTATTCATTATAGTGGGTGAAACCTGAGTTCCTAATAATGAAATTCGTTCTTCAGCTTCTTGTAGTGCATTTAATCCTTTACTGGCTTCATTTTCTACTTGTTGCACATGAATGTCACGACGTGAATGGAGCCTTTCTAGGTCCTCTTTGAACTTTTTTAATGACACAATTTCATTTACCAACTCTCTTTTTTCATAAGCATGGCTTTCTGTGTAATAAAAATTGCTCTGTGAACATAAATGACAATGAAATCCTGTTTTTTGGATCTAGATTCTGTAGTAGCTAGGTGGAAGCTATGAATAATTATGTGGGTAATTAGGGGTTAAAAAAAAACTTGATGAAGGGAGGGGTTAGGAGGCTCCATGGAAGAGACATGGTGAAGTCTATATTGTGTATTTTTGTATAATTAACCTCCCTTGTTATAGCATTTGTACAAATTATATAAGATAAACATAATTATCCATAGCTCTTACCTTCAACATCTCTAAGTTTCCTCAATGAAACTTCACGTTCATTTTCCAACAATCGAATTGCTGATTCTTTTTTTGCTATATCTGTGACTCGATCATCAAGTTCACTTTGAAGTGTCTAAATACATAAGAAATTAAATTAAATATTTGTTTGGGGTCTCCAACAAATAAAGAGAAAAGTGCTTATTATATTTAAATTTAATTATTATTTTTTTTGTAACACAAATTGATTAATTCATTTTTAAATAATACCACAATTTTTACACTTTTAGGTAAATACTTACTCTCAGTTTTCTCATCATTTTTTCAGCCTCTTCAGTTAATCTAGGTGGTATAATTGTTGCTTTTTTTGCTTGCTCCCTTCTAAAACTTGTATCAAGGAGTGTTCAAAAAAGTTGAGTAGTTTTTGTATTAAATAATGCCAAAGCAGTGATTATATAATATAGGATACAAATAGTTGGCTTCCAATTCAAGAAAGTAGATTTGCTGTTGTAGATTTCTGATGTATTCATTTTCAATCTTTGAAAGTTCTGTAGTTGAATAACCACTCCTAATATATAGTAGCCAGTTAACATGTGCAGGCAATAGTTTAAAAATATTTACATGTGTAATATAAAAATATACAGTATATTTGCATTATATTTCAGGAAATGTTCAACGTGGCAATATTGACATCACCTACTTTTTCCCAATGTCAAATGATGCAGCAAGTCCACGACTAGTGGACGTGCGTAGATCTTTGCCACTAGATTTAAACAATGAACCTGGGGCACTCTTTCGCATTGGTGAAGCTGGAAAATTTGAGGAAAGGACATGAAAAATCAAATGGTAAGGAAGATGTATAATCATAGCCTCACTTACTAGATCTATTTGTTTTTGAACGACTAAAAGCAGCCATCTATTCAAATTTTCTCCTTCCGAAACAAATAATAGTGAATCCTATTTAAATGAAGCCATGTAATGATCCGTAAACGAACGGAACGACGGCGTCTTTCGTTGCTAGGCAAGTACCTCTACACTGATCTCTAACTAGCAGATAATTAACTGTATTGGTATCATGTCATTGCAGATCTGAGAAATAATACAATTCTATAATATATTATAATAAGTAATGTACTCAAATGTGAACACAATGATAGGTAAAATGGTAGACATAAAGGTAGAGATAAAGACACAAATGTACAAAAACATCAACGAAGGTTGAAAAAAAGGTAGATATTAACGTAGACATAAGGGTAAACTCATGTCTTACGTCTTAAGCCTGGCTCGCATGAGTGAAATAAGCACAAACTGCAACAATAGGCAATCAACAAGGCATGAACTATAGTCTTTGGCATAAAAATGTGTGAAAATGCAAAGACTATAGTCTTTGACATGAAAATGTGCGAAAATGCAAAGACTATAGTTTTTGGCATGAAAATATGTAAAAATTCACCGACTATAGAGTTGTCATCAAAATGTAAGAAAATACAAAGACTATAGTCTTTGGCATGAAAATGTGTAAAAATTCAAAGACTATAGTCTTTGGGATGAAAGTGTGTGAATATGCAAAGACTATAGACTTTGGGCATCAAAATGTGTGAAAATACAAAGACTATAGTATTTGGCATCAAATTTTGAAAATGCAAAGACTATAGTCTTTGGCATAAAATGTGTGAAAATGCAAAGACTATAGTCTTTGACATGAAAATGTGCGAAAATGCAAAGACTATAGTTTTTGGTATGAAAATTTGTGAAAATGCAAAGACTATAGTCTTTGGCATGAAAATGTGTGAAACACAGACTATAGTCTTTGGCATGAAAATGTGTGAAAATTCAAAGACTATAGTCTTTGTATTTTTACACACTTTTACATAAAAGACCATAGTCTTTGCATTTTTACACACTTTTACGCAAAAGACTATAGTCTTCGCATTTTTACACACTTTTACGCAAAAGACTATAGTCTTCGCATTTTTACACACTTTTACACAAAAACTATAGTCTTTGCATTTTCACACATTTTCATACCAAAGACTATAGTCTTTGACATGAAAATGTGGGAAAATGCAAAGACTATAGTCTTTGGTATGAAAATGTGTAAAAATGCAAAGACTATAGTCTTTGGTATGAAAATATGCAAAAATTCAAAGACTCTAGAGTTGTCATCAAAATGTAAGAAAGTACAAAGACTATAGTCTTTGGCATAAAA